GGCGTACAGTTTGAGAGCCTCTTGTTACACCGTTGTATGTTAAATGTTGCACGTCAGTCGCTTCAGCGAGCGATTTATGAGCCGGCCACTGCAACGTTTGCTGCTGGTGGTGCATGTAATGTGCCCGGCACGCCCCCACCGACCACCGCCCCCGCCCCACCGTTCATAGGCTTTCATAACACGGCCACAATGGGTGGCTCAAGAAAAAAAGCCAAAAGCGGCAGCAGACGAACGTACAATAAATAACAATCAGTTGGCTACTCTTGGGTTGGATGGTGGGGGTGGATCCAAGGGAGAATGTGGTGCTGGTGGTGATGGTTATGGTTGCTGGTGGTGGTGGTGATGGTGCTAAATAAAACGCAGCTGCAAAGGATGGCATCAGATCGAATGTACATAGGTTGTGGGTGCATGTCTTACCTGTTGGCTGTAATTGTGTTTCAAAAGCTAAGACTAAGAAATAGACTTTATAAACCTGGTGGAAATGGTTTTTTATATATGGCTTTTTATTTAATCTTTTATTAAGTTTATTACTATATGTTTAGATAATATAGTAATAGATAATATATCCATTTATTTTCTAGTAGGTATAGGGTTTTTAAAAATTCCATTCAACATATCAAGGGAAGGCTTCCAATAGATGTTATAGATTATTTTAATAATTAGAAATATTAAAAATATATTTAGAAATATTAAATTTAAATATATGTAGTCTTCAAAAGTAAACAGTTAAAAATAAGAATATGAACACCATGTTCTTCCAGATCTTCCAGAACCTTGAAGATCTTGTTGAAAAGACTTGTATAAATTCTTAAAGAATTGTTTCAAATACTTCAACTCTAATCAATACTTTTCATTTTAATGTTCCAGATTTCAAAAACCCATATATCTCTTAAAAACATATTAGCATATACGATTGTATGTAACAACTTGTAAGTTATGTATTCCAAATAGCTTATGATCTGTGAATAATTACGTTTGCCCCATGGCGATACTAAAACGATCACCAGAGCTCCCCCACCACTTTGGGTAAAGGATCGGATCGGGGATCGGATCAATTTCTGCGGCTCAGCAAAGCAGAAAAATGGACAAACGAAACTGAAGCAAGGCCTGAGAGCTGGACTGGCAAGTGAAAGTCCAATGTTTGGACGCCTCAGACTTCGTTCACATCTCACTAACCTCGTGATTTATATATTTGGCCCAAACCGGCTGTCTGTGACTCCTCCTGCAATGCGAGATCGTCTCAATGACTGAGTGACAGACAGACGGACTGACTGGCAGTTGCAAAAGGGGCGTGGCACATGGAGCTTTGCCTGCATAATGAAAACGTTTTTTTTGCATTTTGCTTTTTTTATTGTTTTTGTTGGCAAGACACTCCAAGAAAAACGGCAGCTGAAAGGAAACAAAAAATTTGCATACTTAGACGAGGTGAAAAATCGAGGAAAGTGAAAATTGCATCAAGTATTCCAGGCCAAATGAGGGAAAGTGATCGCAAAAAGGAGTAGCTATAAGAAAAGTCATAAAAAATTCCAAAGCAACAAAAACTTTAAACAGGAAATGCATTTCAGAGCGTTTGAAAATTCGCAATGCTTGTCAAACTGCGTGTCCAAAGTGATTTGAAATTCAAATTTTTGTTCATTTTTTTTCTCCATAAACAATTATGCAACTGGATTATGATTGAACTACTTAAAGCGATGAGATTATGTAAATTATAGTCTGCCAGGCCAAAATATTTATTGAATTTTTTAAGCATTTATGGAGGAAATTGAGTTTCTTTAATTATAGTTTAGATAACTTTTGTTTAAAAAGATTTGGCTTTAAATAATTTGTTTCCTTATTAAAATTAAACAGTAATCACCTAATGAGAAATTTATGCAAAATATTTTACAAACAGCCCGGCGAGGAATTAAGCAATAAATTTATGTTAAGAACTCACTGAAAGCTGTAAACTGTCGTCTCTTAGCCAGAAAACCAGCCCTCGGCCGCCTTATTCTCCTTTTTTTGCTATTTCAGCACTTACAAGAATTACGCGACCCGAGAAAATTGTAATTCATAATATACCATTCTTTGGGAGCGGGCTAACAAATCCTTGGGGACCACAGCATCCTTGCTGTGACTGCGGGGCCTGTTATTGCTAAAAATAGCACATGGCGCGGGCTTCAAGGTTGGATGAGATAAACAGGGGAAGCTGGAGACCGAGGAGGTGGGTGGTGGACTTATTTTTACGTGTCAGACTTTTGGCCAACAAAGCTACCCAAGATGGTAAAAAGAAGGAATAAGAAATGAGGATGGGGACAGGTGAGTGAAGGGGACAAGGAAACAAAGGAACTGTCAGATATTCCATTCAGTTCTTGTCAAACCATAGGTTACAGTCTTAAAATGTCAAACTGAGCACAGTTTTATGATTACTGGTAGCTAATAAGGGCTTTAAATCGAAACTAAAGACTTTATTTTATATATTATATGTAAATTTATTAAGCTATACAAAATGTTATAAAATTTTATCACTTTTTTGTTGTTAAGAACGCCAGGAATGTTCCACTACGTCACATCACATGAACTATTCAAGTCAGAAAACACAAAATAACACTAATCTTTTAGGTTAAGGACTATTTAATGTCCACTTCCGGATCAGTGTCAGTTGCATTTTGGCATCACGTGACTGCGAGGTAGTGGCCACTTCCCGAAACGTTGGTTTTTAAATCTTTACTTAAAGTTTGGCACAAAAATTCCTCTTTCCGGGCCAATCAATTCTGGCATAATCAGATGGTTGACTGGCTGCTCCTCCCTGTGCTGCTGTTTGCCTCATTTTTCATCCTTCTCCTGGCAAATGCTTGTCCTGGAAAAATATTGAAAGTGTCAGGCACACATTGAATGCGAAAGGAAGAGAGATAAAATGGGGCAGCCAGGTGGGGCTGGGTTGGTGGGTGTTTGGAGTGCCCGCGAAATTGCAATGTAAGTGGCATTTGCTATTTTCCCTCCACTTCTCACCCATGCACTTTCACATCATTTGCATGTTATTAAGCGCCATTTGATGAGGGGATGCCCAAAAGGACGAAGGGGGGATTTCCCATTCTGGATGCTGCATTTGTATGCCAAACTATCAGCAAACGATTCTGCTTTCAATGTTGCATTTTCCCTTTTTCCAGAAGTGAGGAAAAATCAAAAGTCCTGAGCTCTTTTCCATATATTCGGGCTTATTGGTGTTTGTTTAGAGGATTTGTGTGAAGGATTTGCAGTTTCTTTTACAAAGATGCTGAATATTTAAAAAAAAAAGAAGCTGAAAAAAATATTTAAAAAATATTCGCCACATCCAGACTATTTAAAGCTCAATGGTGCCACAAATTCGCCAAAAAAAAATTAGGCTAAACACAAAATTATTATAATAAGCCATAAACAAACGCACATGAGGCCTGAAAGAAAAAAAAATAATAATTTACGCAGTTGCAAGCTGCAGGCTGCTGGTTGCCGATTGCTGGCTGCTGGCCCAGTGGGTTTCTGGTCCAACAAATTGCCACAAATTAAGACCAGCTCACAAAAAAGGTATAAACAAAATGCGCCCGGCAGGTGGTAAGCGAAGCGAAACTGCAACTGCAACCGAAAAACTGCAATTGCAACCAGCAGACAGCAGGCAGCAGCCAGCTAAAGACATTTTTAAATCAAATTCGATTTGCGTCTTGGCATTTTGTCGATTTACCGACTCTGGCGAGTCTGGGAATCGCCAGGCTATTCACATAATTCCAAAAAATTGCGTAATCTGGGAAATATTCAAAAATTGTTTCGTCCAAGCTTGAGAAATTTATTAAAAGCCATTTGGCTTTAATGAGAAAATTAATTTGTCTAATACTTTTCACACAAGAACTGGTTTTCTTTTTTGAACACTATTTTCTTTGATGTCTTACTCTTTTCACCATATAGTACTATTAACTTCAAGTCACTATTTGAATTCCTTGACGATCTATTCCTGATCACGTTCGGCACTCTACTGAAATCCCAAGAAGTCCAGCAAGTCGTCACTGCCCTTGACGCCACAAAAATTGGAATTATATATATTTATCTTTATATATCAGCACGTTTGTCGAACTGTACATAAAATGTAATTAAATATATGTATGTGGGCATTCAAATATCTAAATGACAAAATGCAGGCCGATTCGCGACAATGTTCTTGCCTTTGAGCGCGATTCGTCTTAGAAATTTGCTGAATGGCCAGAAAGTGGAATTAACCCTTGAATGATTTTATTTCTTTATAAAAAATTGATTAAATTATATTTTTATATTTATTTTTAGGTAATCTCTTTAAATTAAATCCTATTTAAGATCTAAAATACTTGGAAAGTTCTTAAAATCTTGATCAAAGTTATCCTTAAAGAAGTTATCCTCAGGTAGGTGACGAAAGCCTATTTCAAAAACTCAAAAAATATTGTTATTTTTTCACTAATGTTGGGTTAAAATAAATTATTATATATATAAAAATAAATAAGACAACTTATACCAAGAAAACATTGTACATGCACAAGCCCAGAGAGCTTCAATGAAACTTTAGATGTCCACCGGACTGAAGACTGAAGACTGACGACAAACTGCAGTTCTAAGCATAAAGTTAGACAAGCACTGGTGGCCGTGTGAATTCGTGCTTACATAATTTACTCCCTCGGGCTGGTGTCTCTGCCAGATACAACCGAAGAAACTCTTTTTCCGAAACATTTGATGGAATTCAAGGCATTGGATAATAATTTTCTCACGCCGCCAGCGCTTCCTGTTCTCTCTCCGGGGAGCTCCAAGAACATACACTTGTTAAGTCCACCTGAAGTAGAGTAGATACTATATATAGGGAAACCTAAAACTCGAATCAAGAATGTGTTCGTGTCTGCAAATGAAACCGTCTCCTAAACGAATTCCCAGAACTAAAGTATTAATGAATTCTTTTTCCTGTTATTTTGCTGAAATAAAATTCTTTCAAGCTATTAACAGACTTTGAGAAAAACTGGAAACAATTCGAATTCGTTTCTTTCAAACTTATTTATGGTATTATTAACATATTTACAGTGTCAATCTATATATCTATAAGGTAATAAGGTAAGAACCAAAATAACAGGTCATATATTAGTTACTATAAGCTATTTCTTATCCTAGTTTTTGCTCTGACTTAAAGGAGCTGCTACAGACACTGCTGTCTGAAGCTTAATAACCTTGGAGTCGGCGACGCCCGAAGCGGTTGATAGCTTGGAGACGGGACCAATGTTAACCACCCGGCGCACAGCAGTTCCAGGCGGCGCTGTCGAAGAGCCAACTCTATTAGCTATCATCTGAACGGGTACTTGTTTCAATCCGGCAGCCGATTTGAAATATATGTTCCGAACGGCCTTACCATCGGCCGATACCGATGTAGATCCAGCCGGGCTGTTAATTACTTGAAACTGCTGGTAGGTCTTATTGCCCACGGTGACATTGCGGAGAGCTCCTGCTGGAAGGGACGTCGTCGTTGGTTTGATCGTCTGTATGTTCACCGTCTTGACACTGGGAACAAGAGATCCTGTAGCAGGATCGACCAGCAGAGGACTGCTTGTGGCGCTAGAGGTATTCGATGGCACGCTGGTCTTTGGGCTGCTCACAATGCGTATGGGCACGCGATGTGCACCGGTGACTGGCTTTATAGAATTCCGGTTGAGATATACCACCTTGTTCTGACCGCCACCCACCGGTGAGGGGGTCAACAACTGGTGGAGTCCCTTGTTTAGTACTATGTTGGTGCCTGGTTTGCTGGTGGTGACCATACCGGACGGCTTGTTGGCCTCCTTAATGATTTTCTGGCTAATGATCAGAGGACTCTTGTTCGCGTTCCGAATAGGCACTGAAAAAAATTACCAATTAGTTACAAAATTCACAAAGAAACTCTCTAAGTTACCTGGCTTGTGATCTTTATCCGCTTGTTTCTGCTGATCTGCAATGTTGCCCTCGTTGTCGGCAAACACAATGGGCATATCGATGATGTTGGATAGGTCCATGCTCGACGATGAGCTGCTGGCTGGCGGAGTGGACACATTCTTGGTGAGCTGCAGCATAGTCATGCCGTTGGCGTTTTTAAACACCGTGTACTTCTGCTGACCCTGGGAGGAGGAGGCCCCCGTTCCGGATGCGGATGCAAACTGAGTCGATTGCCCAGCGGGTGTTTTGAGGGTGTACACCTGCTGACCACTGCCTGATGGGCCTGGGATTGTCTTTACAATGTTACCAATGGTGGAATGGGTAGGCGTCCCACCGCCAGGTTTATTCAGGGCGTAGTTGATGAGCTTCGCGTTCGCCACCTGGTTGGGTAGCGTCTTGATCTGCACGAATTGATTCGGCGGAATCATTTTGATCTTGGTGCCGGCTGCCAGGTTGACAGGAGTGGGATGCGGTTTGCCCAGTGCAGCTGGTGTGATAACCTTGGGTAGAGCCGATCCTCCGGTAATTGTTGCTGGTGATGCCGCAGCACCAACTGCGCCACCAGGGGACTGAGTGTCCTCGTACTCCAAGGTCTCATCTAATATGAATTCAATGGATTGATTAAGTTCATCGCTGCTTAGGATCGGTTTTTCTTGAGGGGAAGATGTACTTTTTTTTTTGCTTCCCAAGCCAGCCGAGGCGACTGCTTTGGGCATTGGGCGGGTGCGAGGTCTTCCAACTAAGGAACGGTAGAAGGGTTAGGATTTGGAAATGGAAAGCAGGGCCCAAATGAGTTTACCCTTTCGCTTGGCAGCAAACGGATCAATGAGGCGCGGCGGCTTCGGCTTGGAGGCACGACCTTTCAATTGGTGGTTAGGGTATTGGGGATCATTGGTTAGTGGGATTTCATGCGAGTTAGATGATTGAATGATGATGAAGATGTTCTTGGCTTGCTTCAGATACTCACTGTGCGGGGGGAACTTTGACTTTGCTGGAGTACACATCCCATCCTCCAGTACACCATCAATCTTTCGCTTTCGCATCATCTGAGCCGCCTTGTTGGCATTTCCATCCGCCAAAATGTGGGACGGCTTGGACTGTCGTTGGTAGTTTTGGTTGTTCATCAGCGACGTGGGCATCCGAGGCCCGGGAGGGTTGTTCAACGTACGATTGACAAAGTCGAATACTTCATCCTACAAAATAATCCAAAATATATTAAAATAATATCGTAGATCCTTGGGTAACCACTTACAATCACCATGGCATCCACCATTGACTGAGTCACGCCCTCGATGCGCCGCTTGCTCTTTGGCACACGCAGCGAATCATCCGCACTGCCCACCACCACCAAGGCAGATTCGGACTGCATCCGTTCCCGCAGTCCCTCCATTTCCTCTTGGCTGGTGCGGGCCGAATTCTGTCCAATGACGAACAGAATCGGAGCCTTAATATCCAGCATGCGATCGTCGGGAGCTCCTCGCGGACCACGTGCTGTGTTGTAGGCAAAGCCCATGCACACCACGCAGGCCACACTCTCCGAAATAGCCACCTGCAGTGCTAAGGCAGATCCGGCATTAAAACCGATCAGTATGATCCCACGGTTTGGATTCTCTGTGCGCAATTCGTGGATTTTAACCCGAGTCAGCGAAACAATCGTCTCGGCCACTTGGTCCAGATTGTGATTAGCAATTCGGTTGTCTAAAAGGACGTACAATTATTAGAAATGTTTTAAAAGATTCTATAAGTAAACTTACTCGTGTTGGGAAGCGTAATTTGCACCACCTGGGTTATGGTGGCCAACGCCTGATACCACTTCTGCATTCGTTCTGGAACATGGCCACTGGTAGGCATGGTGGGTAGCACCACCATAATGGCATTATGCGAAAATTGACGCCCCTTGGGCAGGATGATAGGTTCCCAACGCTTCTTCATGACCGGCGCCAAGAGTTCCTGTGAGGTGTTAAGCGGCCTGCTGAATAGCATCTTGTCCACCAGTGTGGGCAACTTTGATTTCAGTGTCTGCAGAATGTCCAGATAGGAAGCCATGTAAGATGGCGACAAGTGCTCCATTAGCAGCGCATGCAGCCACTGTGTGATGCGTTGGTCCCAGTTTACATTGGCCAGAGCTTTACGCAGACGTGAGGCGGACTTGTCAATGGCCACGCGCCGATGCAGAGCTTCGTGTTGTCTCTTGTCGTTGGCCAAACGTGCCAATTGGTCCTCATCCAATATGGCAGTGACTTTCTCGAACAGAAGCTGCTGCTGAGGTGTCCAGCCAAACCTGAAGGAAACAGAGGAAATAAATTTAAACTGCTAGAATAAAGCTTCGTGTTACTCACTGATTAACGCGAGCCACCCAATCCTGTTCATCAGAGTTGTTGTTTTTCACATACTTGGCGATGCGGGCGCACTCATGCATGGCCTCCTTGGCGGCTATCTCATCATACGGCGGCACATGGGCCTGCTGAAACTCTGTCATCTCTTCGCTCTGTGGATATGTGTGGCAAATGGTACACTGCGGCGGATGACGTACCAATACATTACGGGCAGGTGCCAGTCCATTACAGACATCGCTTCGAATGGGCGGATCCCTCATGTAGCTGTGCTCCATTTTGTCGTTGCAAAAAGAGGATTCACTGGGCGCGGAGATGGTGCTAGACTGTGGGAAAATACAAATATATTATTAAGAAAATATTAATAATTAAAAAAAAAAGTTAATAAATGAGAGTTAGTGAGGGATCTGATCTGGTTGGTGTTTGGAGAACATGCAGTGCTGTTTAGTAGATGACATAGTGATCTCAATGGACTTATTACACTCTCGGTTGGTGTGGCGGGCGATGTGACGGCTAGCGATGGGGACTTCATCACTGTGCAGGCCTTGGGTGGGGTGCTAACTTTAACTGAACCCGTCATTGATGCTGCGCTGCCCAATGAGCCAGCCTTCACCACATAATACGATGTGGATCCGCCGCTGGCTCCGGTCGATTTATTTGTTTTTGTTGTTACGGTCGCTGCTGTTCCCGTAGCTGCCTGCGCGTGTGTGTGTGTGTGTGTGCGCAAGTGTGTGTTTGTGGTGTATGTGTTTTCGCCTGGACCAACTCGGGTCATGAATTTGCTCGGACTGTAGGTTATAATTTCTGGACTCGGCGGCTTGCTGCCGCCGCTTTTATTTGTATTTTGTTGAAGCATTATTATTCGTGTGAATGGTCGCCGTTTAGCTTTTTTTTGTTACTCGCTGCCTGAAGTTGATTTTCTTCTTCTTTCCAATTCTTGTTGTACTTGCGGCGCTTGCAAACAGCTGAAACTAGGGCACCACTTTAATACCACACAAAACCGAATATTGACAACGTTTAAAACGATTTTTGTAAATTTTACAAGACGTTCAGGCTTTTTCCCGTTCGGCTTAACAACGTAGAACGCGATTTTCGCAATTGGTCTTGTAAAATAATGGCGTGCCCGTATTGGTGTTGCCAGATGTATGAAGTTGGCAACAAAGTCCGGCAACGCCACGAGCTGCCCCAAAATGCACGGCCCCTTACAAATATTTAGTCAATTTCACAACAATTAGCAACCAAACTGCATAAGGAACATGATCAACCTACAAAAGATATTTTAAGGCAGGGACACAACACTTACACTCTCGCTGGGTGTAGGAGTAGAGGGCATTGGCTGGATCTCCATCTCGGATTCCACTTGCTGGGCCACAATTTGTTCCTTCTCCTGTGACACATTCTGCGCTACGTTGCCGCCGCTCTGCACGAAATTGTTGAAGCACTCAAAGAACGAAGACATCTTCCGCCGCGCGTTGGATCAAAACAAAAACGGATAAATATTCTCCCCGCAATAGAACGCAAAAACATTAAAATAAGCGAGCGTCAAATCGAGAGTAATGATAGTGTGAGCGTTGCCACCTCGACCTGATAATAGGCTTCGTTTTTCAACACTACGGCGTGTAAAAACAGCTGACTCTTCGGCGTGCCTATTGTTTGGAGTAGAAAATTGGTGAAATTACTTGATTTTTGAAGAAATATACTCCGGCGGCATGGACGAGCTGCAGCAGTTGGAGTATCTGTCGCTGGTCTCGAAGATCTGCACAGAGCTCGACAACCATCTGGGCATAAATGATAAGGACCTGGCCGAGTTCATCATCGACTTGGAAAACAAGAATCGGTCGTACGACTCCTTTCGCAAGGCTCTGCTGGATAATGGAGCTGAGTTTCCCGATTCCCTGATTCAAAATCTTCAGCGCATCATTAACCTGATGCGCCCCGGTAGAACTGGTGGCTCCAGCGATGAGATTAGCGGTGCCAACGGTTCGGATGATAAAAAGTCTAAGCTCGAGAAGCTCTTTCCAGGCTTGGCTTTGCCCAATGATAAGTACAGCAAACAGAAAGAAAGCGACGAGGAGGAGGAGGACGAGAAGGACGAAAAGAAGGAAAAAAAGCAATTGCAAACGAACCTCAACAAAACCGACATGAGCGACGTGGACGCTGCTATGTTAGAGCTCGAAGCCCTGGCTCCTGGAGAACCAAAAGCCGAGGTGCAACCTTCAAAGGAATCCAGCTCCAAGGATCGTCACAAGCGCAGAGAACGTAGCCGAAGTAGGGGAAGAGACAGGGATGTCCGCAAACGTAGCAGATCCCGTGAAGATCGGGATCGGGATCGATATCGAGACAGAGATCGCCGGAGAAGCAGGTCCCGAGACAAGGATAGAGACCGCAGACGACGTAGCAGATCCCGTGATAACCGTCGGCGCAGCAGGTCCCGTGAAGATCGCGACCGACGGCGTCGTAGATCTAGCTCTAGGGATCGCCATGAGCGCCGTAGACGCAGTCGCTCCCGGTCCGGCGACCGCAGGGACAAACGAGATCGAGATCGTACCGAAAAAATGCCACCGCCAGCTGCCGCAATGACCGATGATCCTGAAGCGGGTAAGATCTACTCTGGAAAAGTGGCAAACATCGTTCCATTTGGGTGTTTTGTTCAACTATTTGGAGTGAGGAAACGCTGGGAAGGATTAGTACATATATCTCAACTAAGAGCCGAGGGAAGGGTCACCGACGTCACCGAAGTAGTGAATCGGAATCAATCCGTAAAGGTGAAAGTGATGTCCATTACAGGACAAAAGGTATCGCTATCCATGAAGGAAGTGGATCAGGATAGTGGACGGGATCTCAATCCTCTATCACATGTTTCCGAAGAGGACTCCCTAAGAGATCGCAATCCCGATGGGCCGTTCAGCAGCAGCACTTCACAACTGAATCTTCAGGGCGGTGTCGTGGATGGCGACGAACACGACTCCAGAAAGCGTGTCACCAGGATTTCCAGTCCCGAGCGTTGGGAGATTAAGCAGATGATCAGTTCCGGTGTGTTGGACAGAAGTGAAATGCCGGACTTTGACGAAGAAACTGGACTGCTGCCGAAGGATGAAGACGATGAAGCGGACATCGAAATAGAAATTGTTGAGGAGGAGCCGCCATTCCTCTCCGGGCATGGAAGAGCCCTACATGATCTGTCACCCGTGAGGATTGTCAAGAATCCAGATGGTTCCCTGGCCCAGGCAGCTATGATGCAGTCGGCTCTATCAAAAGAGCGTCGGGAGCAGAAGATGCTCCAGCGTGAACAAGAGATGGAAGCACTGCCCACGAGTCTGAACAAGAACTGGATCGATCCCCTGCCGGAGGAGGACAGCTCTCGCAGCCTGGCGGCCAATATGCGAGGAATGGGAGCCGCCCCGGCGGAGGTGCCGGAATGGAAAAAGCACGTAATCGGCGGCAAGAAGTCCTCCTTCGGCAAAAAGACCGATCTGACCCTGATAGAGCAGCGGCAATCCCTGCCCATTTACAAGCTGCGAGATGATCTGATCAAGGCTGTTACCGATAACCAGATACTCATTGTCATTGGAGAAACGGGTTCCGGAAAGACGACGCAAATCACCCAGTATCTGGGGGAGTGTGGATTCACGGCTAGAGGGAAGATTGGCTGCACCCAGCCGAGAAGAGTAGCTGCCATGTCGGTGGCCAAGCGTGTGGCCGAGGAGTACGGTTGTCGGTTGGGCCAGGAAGTGGGCTACACCATTCGTTTTGAAGATTGTACCAGCCCGGAAACGATGATAAAGTACATGACAGACGGTATGTTGCTCCGCGAATGCCTCATGGAGGCCGAGCTCAAGAGTTACTCTGTGATTATGTTGGACGAGGCCCACGAGCGTACCATCCACACGGACGTACTTTTTGGATTGCTGAAGACAGCCGTACAAAAGAGGCCGGAACTGAAATTGATCGTCACTTCGGCCACTTTGGATGCCGTGAAGTTTTCCCAGTACTTCTTCAAGGCACCCATTTTCACGATTCCCGGTAGGACCTTCCCCGTAGAGGTCCTGTATACGAAGGAGCCGGAGACAGACTATTTGGACGCCTCACTCATCACAGTGATGCAAATTCACTTGCGAGAGCCACCCGGCGACATTCTACTGTTCTTAACCGGTCAGGAGGAGATCGACACTGCCTGCGAGATCCTGTACGAGCGGATGAAGAGCTTAGGACCCGATGTTCCTGAGCTGATCATTCTACCTGTTTATTCGGCCCTGCCCTCCGAGATGCAGACTCGCATTTTCGACCCTGCGCCCGCTGGAAGTCGAAAGGTGGTCATTGCCACCAACATAGCTGAGACTTCCTTGACCATTGATGGCATATTCTACGTGGTGGATCCTGGATTTGTCAAGCAAAAGGTGTACAATTCCAAGACTGGCATGGACTCCCTGGTGGTTACTCCGATTTCGCAGGCAGCAGCCAAACAACGAGCAGGAAGAGCTGGGCGAACCGGTCCTGGCAAGTGCTACAGACTGTACACGGAGCGAGCTTATCGGGATGAGATGCTGCCAACCCCTGTGCCCGAGATCCAGCGTACTAATTTAGCCACCACGGTGCTGCAGCTGAAGACCATGGGGATTAACGATTTGCTTCACTTTGATTTCATGGACGCGCCACCAGTGGAGTCTCTGGTAATGGCGCTGGAGCAGCTGCACTCACTTTCGGCGCTAGATGACGAAGGACTTCTGACCCGATTGGGCAGGCGAATGGCAGAGTTCCCCCTGGAACCCAACCTCTCCAAGATGCTGATCATGTCCGTGGCCCTGCAGTGCTCGGACGAGATCCTAACCATCGTTTCGATGCTGAGTGTTCAAAATGTGTTCTACAGACCGAAGGATAAGCAAGCTCTGGCGGATCAGAAGAAGGCAAAATTCAATCAGGCGGAAGGTAGGTGCTTTCAATCTAAATATATAATATCTGTTAACCCCTTTTATCCTTGCAGGTGACCATCTAACCTTGCTTGCCGTTTACAACAGCTGGAAGAACAATAAATTCTCGAATGCCTGGTGCTACGAGAACTTTGTACAGATCCGAACCCTAAAGCGCAGTCAGGACGTAAGGAAACAACTTCTCGGAATAATGGACAGACATAAGTTGGACGTAGTCTCCGCTGGAAAGAATTCTGTGCGGATTCAGAAGGCCATTTGCTCTGGTTTCTTCCGCAATGCGGCCAAGAAAGATCCACAGGAGGGCTATCGCACCCTGGTCGATTCCCAGATTGTGTACATCCATCCATCGAGCGCTCTCTTCAATCGCCAGCCGGAGTGGGTCATCTACCACGAGCTGGTACAGACAACAAAGGAATACATGCGAGAGGTGACCACCATTGATCCCAAGTGGTTGGTAGAGTTTGCACCCTCCTTCTTCCGATTCTCTGACCCCACAAAGTTGAGCAAGTTCAAGAAGAACCAGCGCTTGGAACCGCTGTACAACAAGTACGAGGAGCCCAATGCCTGGCGTATCTCACGCGTCCGGCGACGCCGCAATTAATCTGCGCGGTTTATGTGTAGAATTTTTTGTATTTAAGCGTCTAGAAATATATTATTAGTTTAAACTTCAGTATCCTTTGCGTCCGCGGAAGCGTTGTCGGTTATCCAACTGGAATTAGTAACATTTTATGACTCTGATGGAAGAACGTTTTAGGGGACAGCCTTACCAGGGACCTCTTGCACTCGTAGAAGGTGTTGCGAAGGACCTGGCACTCTGGTGGGACGTTGTTAGCCTGGAGGCACTGGCGCGGCGTTAACTTATCTATCCGGCAGCAATCGCTTTCCAGCAGACACATCTTGAGGTCAGCCCTTACTCCAGCGCAAGCCGTCTCGTCGGCCAGCCTCTCGTTGCCTTCGTAGCGCATCATTTTGATTCAATTTCAATTCACCCGGCGTGTTTCTCAATAAAACTTATATTCAGTTACAAAACCAAAGACAGCTGATGATAACTGTGGAAACGACAGGTGTTGAAAAACACCGGAATGCCTTTCAAAACAAATGGCAGCACTGAACATTGGCTCTAAAAATTTCATTAAATAATGGATTAAATATTTCTAGGGTAGTGTTTAATGCATGGGCTAAGTGAATTTCACATCTTTCCATTAAATTACTAGTTTTAAAATAAATAATTTTTTATTATAAATTGTTTTTGTCTTGAAACCCGTCGCTTTCCAGCACTACTGTTGCTGGAGTATTTGTTGATATCCTCCACCCGCACAAATAGTCGGTGATTTTAATATTTTAGATGTAGCTCCCTATAGAAGCTATTAAACGGCCCAAAATGACGTATGACGAGCGCAGTGACGGCAGCAGTTCAAGCGAAACGCCGGACACCTTTCCCCAAATGTTGTCCCAGAAACCGGGACAATCCCAACCGCCGGCAACAGCGATGCCCAAACATATTCCATTCCCGGACCACGCCACCACCTCCGAGTGGCTCAGTGAGCTGATCATGTGCGCCTTTACGATGGGTTCAGCAATAGTACAGTTCATAAATATCTACAGAACCAATTGGTGGCTTCCACAGGCTCATACAAGGCACATGGTGGTAGGGAGACTCCAAGAAGATTTGATGATTCCAGGATTAATAAAATATTCCAATTCTTTCAGAACATAGATCTAATTGATCCGTATCTGCGCTATTTATTGTTTATTCTTAACACCCGAAGACTGATATACTGCTTGCTGTTGATAAAAATAAGGAAATTTGACGAAAATACCCAAAATTGGATTCGTTTGGGAGTCAAATACGGATTTGGGGGGCTCGTGCAGATTGGATTAGGTTTCTGTGCGATGAAACTTTATCAACAACACTCCTACATATTGCTACTTTTCCTTTCGTATCCGTAAGCTTCATTATCGCAATTTTAAACCCATATTTAAGTTTTGTTCTCCTTGCAGGGTGATTATCTACTTGTTGATCTTTGGCTTCCAGCTGGAGCCCTTCTTGCGCACCAGATTCGAGCTACCAGGCGTTTATATCAATGACATGCCCGTTCACAGTTGCACCACCAATGCGGTGCATATAAGAGACGAGGTGGAAACACTACGACATGACTTCAATCGAAGATTCAAACAGCTTATCTTCACCTCTATGCTCAATGCCTACTACAGCGGCCTGGTTCCCTGTTGCCTGGCCGTGAACGTCCAGTACAATGTGATTAGGGCGGCCCAACACTGTTTAGGGGTTTGTCTAGGGGCGTTCAGTTTGTGTGCGGTGTTTCTGTATCCAGCCAAGTACTCTGACACACTGCACAGAGCCACCTTACATCTAGGGTGCTGGCAACGCATAGGAACAGTGCCAGTGCAGCTGATCGCAGCGGCCAATGCATCAACTTGGTCAAAGTATTCATCCTATGGCCACGGCACTGTGGTTAAGCACAACGGAGGGCTATATCGTAGTCATGGAGTGGTCACTGTGGCCACGCCGGGAAACACCAGCCATGCGAGGTTTTATGTAAGCAAAGGATGTTCTATACTCCCTTGAAAAAGGCTCATTTTAGGTTTATTGAATTTCAGAAACTTTTCCACAATCCCACTACTATCTACTCCACGCTGGCTATTCTTCAGGCGGCTGTCTTGCTGGTTGAAATTGGATCGCTTAGTGCCGAGAGCGTCGAATGGCATTTTGTGTTGTCCATTAGCTTCGTAGCCTTTACCAGCATGGGCGCATTCTTCAAGTTGGTGCGCGACTATCTGATCACCAAAGATTTGTACAAGGCGGAGTATGCGGTTGCTGCCGATCAACCATTTCGACTGAAAGAATGAAAGACGCGTTTATGTAACAAAAACGATAAGAAACCATGACTTTTATTCAACAGAAGATTTGCTTTTCTCATCATCCGTCGGACAAGAGACGGCAAAGACCCAGGAACTGCCCTGTTTATGGTCCCGCACCTGTATACCGTGCTGTTGCAGGAGTGTCCTTAGCTCGTCGCAAGCAGCCAGCAGCTGAGAGTTTTTCTTTTCGCCGGAGAATGCTTCCTGTCGCATTCGACCACGCACAGATAACACATCATCCACCAAGATAGACGGATCTATCCTATGTGTCGTGGATGGAACTTGTTCTTCCAGAGTCTCTTTTGGTGCCAGATCCGTTACACCAAAAGTAAGCATAGCTCTGTTGATAAAGTTCCCGGCTGCCATAAGAAGATCCATGCAGTATGCGGGCTCTTCTTGGGCATCCACCTTTTGATCATTGATGCATCGACTAATGCTGCTCATCTGGTCCAACATCACGCTAACGGCACGGGAAGTGTTGAAGTCGTCACGCATACAGTCGTCAAACTCCGTCATGGTATGCGACAATTGAGCCCGCAGGGCACCCTCATCCAGCAAATGGACTGGTTTGAGGAACTGAACGTAGGCGCTGAGATCCGCATGAAAATTTTTGAACTTTTGCAGTGTTTGGCGGGCAGTCTGCATTAGGTCGTCACTGTAATGCATGGCGTTCCGATAATTGCACAGGAGACAGGCCATCCGGAACTCGTCGGCCGTGTACTTCTTTAAAAGCTCTGTCACAGATATGGTGTTTTGCAGGGACTTCGACATCTTGCGCTGATCTCCGGCTATGTGCAGCTGGCCTGTATGCAGCCAGTAGTTCACCCATTGATCCGTTTTAAACCGCGCGCAACACTGCGCTTCCTCGTTTTCGTGATGGGGAAACTTCAGATCTAGCCCACCCGCATGAAAGTCCACGGTTCGTCCAAAAAAGAGGCCGGCAATAGCACTGCACTCAATGTGCCAGCCAGGTCGTCCCTCGCCGCCCCACGGCGCCTGCCAACTTGACTCCTTTTGGGTTTTTCGTGCCTTCCACAGGGCAAAATCCGCACTGTTTCGCTTTTCGTTACTAGACGTTTCCTCCTCAATGGTTACTTTCGCCAGCTTTCCGTACTCCTTGCTCTTGGACACGTCAAAGTAAACCGAATTGCTGCTTGTTATGTAGGCATAGTTATCGTCAATCAGCTCCTGAATGAACTGAATGATGGCCGGCATCGAGGTTGTCACGTGACTGCGTACATCGGGAGGCTTCACATTGAGGCGTAGCATATCCCTCCGGAACTCTGCTTCGTAGTCTCGTGCCATCTGAAGCCAGTCTTGGCCATCTAAACTGGCTCGCATTATGATCTTATCGTCCACGTCGGTGATGTTCATAGCGGTCACTAAATTGATTTTGAAGTAGTCTCGCAGAATGCGTTGCAGGATATCTACTTTTACATAGGTGCTCGCGTGACCCAGGTGGGTTGAATCGTACACGGTTGGCCCGCACGTATACCAGGTTGCCATGCGGGGATTTCGAAGTACCAGCGGTACTTTACGGCGCATCCCTGGGTTGTATATGCTGATTCCAACGGAGTGGCCCACGGGCTTACGCCAGTTAAACAAACTTTCCCGATTATGTCCATCATCGGCCAAATTTCGTCTGCAAATCGTGAGGCGGCCCCGGCGACCACCTCCAAAGGCCCTCACCACCTCCTTGCTAGGGCAAAAATTATCATTATAGTTATCATATGCGTATTCGATAAGGGGCATACTCACAGACTAAACATAGTCAATTAATTTTGCAAATTTAAAATAGGCAAGGAGGAACTGACGTCCTTATTTTTAAATTTTCCCAACATCTGATTAAGTAAACAAAGGTTGCCAGATTTAAGCTTTATTTTTTGTTTAGGGTGCAAGCACTGTACCCCCTAATGCCGAGGTTGCCACCTTGTTGTTAGCAAACGAAGCCGGCAGAATGCAGTGGCTTAAATTAAAGCTCTGTTTTATTTTTCTAATTTCCATTTCAATACGCTTTGCACTCGGCAATTCTGGACGCGATCCGAATGGATACATCACCTACTGTCCCTGCATGGGTAAATCTTGGCTTAAAACTTTCCTACAGAAATATAAGTCCTTTTCCCTTAACAGGACGCTTTGGTAACCAAGCCGACCACTTCCTTGGCTCATTGGCTTTTGCTAAGGCCCTAAATCGCACTCTGATCCTGCCCCCATGGGTTGAGTACCGCCAGGGTGAGCTACGCTCACGCCAAGTACCCTTTAACACCTACTTTGAGGTGAATCCGCTTCTGGAATACCACCGCGTACTGACAATGGCGGATTTTATGTGGCACTTGGCTGACGACGTTTGGCCAGAATCGGAGCGCGTATCCTTCTGTTATATGGAACGAAAGAGCCTGCAGGAGGAGAAGAACGATCCGGAAAAGCCGAATTGCCATGCTAAGGATGGTAATCCTTTCGGTCCTTTTTGGGACACATTCCACATCGACTTTGTGAAATCCGAGTTCTACGGACCGCTGCACTTTGATGTCCATCATAGTGCCGTGGCGGCCAAGTGGCAGGCCAAATATCCAGCCGAGACCTGGCCCGTCCTAGCTTTTACAGGAGCTCCAGCCAGTTTCCCTGTTCAATTGGAGAACTGTCCCCTGCAAAAGTATTTACAGTGGAACAGCCGCTACAGGGATGCGGCAAACGATTTTATCAAGGAGCAGTTGCCCCGAGGAGCCTTTTTGGGCATTCACCTTCGCAATGGAATCGATTGGGTGCGGGCATGTGAACATGTAAAGGACAGCCAACACCTCTTTGCCTCACCCCAGTGCTTGGGCTACAGAAACGAGCGGGGATCTCTCTACCCGGAGCTTTGCATGCCCTCCAAGGAGGCCATAGTCCGCCAGCTGAAGCGAGTCATTAAGAACGTGAGACAAACCCAACCGAACAATGAGATAAAATCGGTCTTCGTGGCCTCCGATTCAAACCACATGATTGGGGAGCTCACCTCAGCGCTCAGTCGTATGGGCATCAGTGTTCACAAGCTGCCGGAGGATGACCCATATCTGGATCTGGCTATTTTAGGGCAATCGAACCACTTTATCGGCAACTGCATATCGTCCTACTCCGCGTTCGTTAAACGAGAAAGAGATACGCATGGTTTCCCAACATACTTCTGGGGGTTTCCCAACGAAAAGGACCGACATCATCCAAAAGTGCACGAGGAATTGTAACAGCTTGAAGGATACCTTGGAGGATAATCCTAAATACTCATACTGGCTCTTGAATTCTTATTTTAGAACTTAACCTGCAAACATTCCTAATTCTTTTTATTGTGCCCGTGAGTCTTCTTAATCGAATGTTAATGAAGCCTTCGAACCTTGCATTTAGCGAGAAACCGTTTCATATTCGGGTATACTTAGAAATTTATTCAAGTTATCCACGCACTCCTGCAATATACTTTAGATTATAATTCCTTGGCCAGAAGATTGCGTTTGTTCAGTGTCGTTTTGGATGGGTTATGTGCCTAATGTACCAACTTCTGGTTGCGGGCGAGGTCCAGTTGCGCCGCCGAAACGTTTGTAAGGCCTTCCCGGACCGAGCTCAGGTTTTCCTTCCAGGCCTGCAGCAGATCGCGCAGCTGTTCCCACTGTGGCGCACCGAAGGTACGGTGCATGGTCGATGAAATGTGTACCTTGCGGTTGGCTTGGTCCAGACGGGCACGCACCAGCTTCGTTTTCAGAACCTCGATAACGAAGGGCTCAACCTCGTCCTCGGTGATTTGGAGCTCCTTTGTCAAGGTTTCGAAAGTCATCTCGGGACTGCTCTCCGCCAACTGCATGAACGTCAGCAGGCGCATTTTCTTCATGTTCTGCTCGTGGTTCAGACCCTGCGAATTCACGAACTCCTTGTGATCCTCGTAGAACTGGACGTATGACGGAAGCTTGTCCGAAACAAAAATGGACAACAGGTCGTGGATGAGGTCGCCCTCGAGGAACCGCACCGGTTTCAGCGACAGCAGGGGATCCAGCAGGAATGTATTGGGATCAGCGAGAGCAGTAACAATGCACTTCATGGCGTCCTCGCGAGCAACACAGGCATTGTCGGCGGTATAGGTTCCCAGGAGCTCAATCATTACTTTGGAGGATAGCTCCAAATTGGTGTCCTTGGTGACGTCGTGGAGAAGGCGGTACAATTTCTGCATCTGTTCCGAGGAGGGCGGGCAGTTGGCAAACTGAGACTTGAGCTGATCAACGCCAGTAAAGACCTCCAGAACCTGGTCGCACTGCTTGGCCACCTGCACCAGATGGTAGTAGACGTGGTAGCGCAAAGGTGAGGCAGTGTCCAAGTTGTTGAACAGACGCCACAGCGACTGGAGGCAGACCTTAGCCAGGGGTTGGTTGGGAGCCTTGGTCATCTTCTCGCAGTAGGCCAAAACAATGTTCTCTCCGCGGTCCAGAGGAATCTAAAATATATAAATAGTTAGATAAATTAGCTAATTACAGTTGTAATCGCATGATTACTCACCGTGATCATAATGGACACAATGCTGTTGAGGATGCCATCAATCTGCGAGGGTTCACCGTCTTTGAAGCAGACATCGCAGACGCCAATAATTTTGTGCAGGTCATCCTCGACGCCTTTATTGGACTTCTCAGATGAGATTTCGGCTCCCAACTTCTTGAAATACTTTCTCAGCTCTTGCACCTGTCGGAAAAATATGAAATATATTAGTTTTCGAACGCATTCGTAGTTTGTTTTGCACTCCACGGAAAAACATAACCTCAATTTCGCATGGCCCTCCCAATTTCATAGTTATAGTCCTCATTTCACTTTACCTGCTCGTCCAGGGACAGGTCTATGAAAACCGGATGCGAAGTCATAGTTTTGTTTAATGTTATTCCGCTTATTTAGTTAAATGCTGTTGAAAATAACACGCACACACGTCTTCGCCGCTATGACAGCTCAAAAGGAAAGAGTGCGGGGATGCCAACTTGGCGGTTTTCTAGCTAAAAAAATGTTTAAATTAATTTATAAAATCTAAAGCAATATTTATTAAATATATGCAAGAAACCAAAATAACATTGTAAATATTATTTAATTGTTTTTATGAATCGTAATTGCATACTATCCTTTTAAAAATATAGCTCGTAAAAAGCCAAATAACAGCAAGGATGGCAAGTCGTATTTCAACAGCAGTACAAGCCATCTGGCTGCTTTTCAGCTAGAATATAGCCGTTTTTTTAAATCCCAATTTTCATGATGGTCCTACTAATAAATTGTTCTTTTATAATATAGTTATCTTTTTATTGTATTTGGCCAGAGAAGCGGCTGCTGCCGCTCTTCCTTGTAATCGTGAAGGAAAATTATGAAATACCCGTGAGCGCCAAATCGAAAGGCTAAAGAGTGCCGGTCCAGGCATCTCAAGAAACAGTATCTAGTCAGTAACCGATCCCGTGATTACATCGGACCTGCGCCATGGCCTCTGAATTTGTGATAGGAGGGTTGGCCTCGGTGGGAGCCACCTTTTTCACAAATCCCATAGAGGTGGTCAAGACTCGTATCCAGCTGCAGGGTGAACTGGCGGCAAGAGGCACTTATGTGGAACCCTACAGGGGACTTTTCAATGGTCTGGTGACCGTCGGTAAAAACGAAGGATGGATGGCCCTTCAAAAGGGATTGGCTCCCGCCTTGTGCTTCCAGTTCATCATAAATTCCTGCCGGTAACTATTAAGTTTCACAACATACATACATCACAATCATAACAATGTTATTATCCACAGACTTAGCATTTATTCGGAGGCCAATGAACGGCGTTGGATACACACCAAGACCGGAGAGGTGTCCTACAGCTTGGGCCTCTTATGGGGCGCCATTGGAGGCGTTGTTGGAAGCTACTTCTCCAGCCCATTTTTCCTGGTACGAAATCCAGCTCATATAGACTGGCTGCCTGAAACTGTTACATAAACGACAGTTGCGTGCTCATCACATTTCGAAAGCCTTGCCAATGATAACATCATGTCTCTGGAAATTTCCTTAGTATTCATGTTCTTTATGCTGTTCTCTCTTCAGATCAAAACTCAGTTGCAGGCACAGGCTGCCAAGCAAATCGCTGTGGGCCACCAGCACACACACTCGTCGATGAGCGATGCGTTGCGGCAGATCTATGGCAAGAACGGAATCAGTGGCCTATGGCGAGGATCGATGGCAGCACTGCCACGGGCTGCCCTCGGATCGGGAGCTCAAATAGCCACGTTTGGGAAGGTCAAGGCGTTTCTGGTGCAAAAGGACTTAGTTGTCCAACCCACCTGTAACTCCTTCTGCGCTGGTTTAATAGCTGGTTCGGTCATGGCAGTGGCCATGACGCCTCCAGACGTGATAGCCACTAGGCTGTACAATCAGGGAGTAGACGCACAGGGTCGGGGCTTGCTGTACCGTGGTTGGACGGATTGTGCACTAAAAATTTTGCGAACAGAGGGCATGTACGGTCTGTACAAGGGTTTCTGGCCCAACTATCTGCGTATTGCGCCCCACTCGACCTTGGTGCTGCTCTTCTTTGACGAGTTGATCCTGCTCCGCAACAAGTTTGCGCCTCAGTCTTGAAAATTTGGTAGCCTATAATTTAAGTACAAAATCGTTTGACGTACTCCTTTGTTAGCTATTAGTAGTCAGAATTCCTAGATCCAGTTTCCTTATTTTATTATAGACGCTAATTGTGCCTTCGGATGCTAACTCAAGCTCAAATCCTGTAGTCAGTAATTGTGCAATATTTTGCGAAATAAACCTGTTAAATTGTTACGTTTTTTACACCTTAAACGCTTATTTGTTTGAACACAAACATGCTTCTTATCGGAGAAGTGGTAGTGGTTTAGTGATCGCTAGATTGCGAGGGAGTACGGACGCACTACGTAAGATCGGAATGGCCACCTCGGATTTCGTTTTGGGCGGTGTGGCTGCCATGGGTGCTGGTCTTTTCACCAATCCGGTGGAAGTGATCAAGACTCGCATTCAACTGCAGGGAGAACTGGCCGCCAAAGGATCACATGCTCAGCCTTATCGAAGTGTATTCCAGGCCTTTGTTACAGTGGCCAAAAATGATGGAATCATGGGCTTGCAGAAGGGTCTGGCACCAGCTTTATGCTTCCAATTTGTTATAAACTCTTTCAGGTGAGTTATGACTTTTGACCAGAGTATCTATAAAATATCTCTTCCCACTAGACTGAGCATTTATACGCATGCTTTGGAGCAAGGCTGGGTGCACAATAGCAAAAAGGAGATCTCGTTTTCTCGGGGACTTTTCTGGGGCGCCTTGGGCGGCGTTGTGGGGTCCTATGCCGCCAGTCCTTTCTTTATGGTAAGCATAGATTTACATAATCAACTTCCGTACTTGCTAGACGTTCGACAATGTCTCGCAAAGATTAGATAAGCGAGCTGTTCCTCACTGATAACTTGACACTCTGCCTTTCAAGATCAAGACCCAACTCCAGGCACAGGCCGCCAAGCAGATCGCCGTTGGTTATCAGCATCCGCACACCTCGATGAGCGATGCGATAAGACAGATATACCGGAGGAGCGGCGTTTTCGGACTCTGGCGCGGATCTATGGCCAATGTGGGCAGGGCAACGGTAGCATCCGCTGTTCAAATCGCCACCTTCGGACAGGCCAAATCAATGCTCAAGGACAGTGGTCTAGTTAGTCATCCCACCTTACTGTCCTTTTGCTCTGGGCTGACGGCTGGATCGTTTGTTTCCATTGCCATCACTCCGCTGGATGTGATCACAACCAGACTATATAATCAGGGATTGGACGCTCAAGGCAGGGGCCTTTACTACAGGGGATGGCTGGACTGTGTCCTTAAGATCCTTCGCTCGGAGGGATTGCACGGCTTTTACAAGGGTTTCTGGCCTATATATTTACGAAGTGCTCCCTACTCGACTCTGGTTCTATCCTTCTTCGACGAACTCATTTCGCTAAGAGAAAAGTATAATCTTCATTAGGAAATTATAAAAATAAAAATAAAATATTTGTTGAATGTTTTCATTTTCCTTTCTATTAGGAATCTCCTAAACGTATAGGCATCTATTAAATATAACAATTTTTAAACAGTAACAGTTTTTAAAATTCACATTAATGTTCGAAAAGTGTGACCCTCCTCTGGGACCTCTGACGTCAGTGGTCAGGTGAAAAATTTAATTCAAAATTAAATTAATTATGTTTTTGGTAAGTTACACTCTAACCAGCTCTTATAGATAGTGCATAGCTAGATTGACATAAACTCAACCTTTTCTCAGATTACATATATATGCACATATATCGCTTATCAGCTGAAATGTGTCGGCTCCAGTCATTACAAAACAGCAAACTAGATAGGCTGGACACCAAAATTTTCCCCTGCGTTGGAGCGCAATGCCGACCTCAGATTTCGTTTTGGGCGGCGTGGCTGCCATGATGGCGGGGATTTTTACCAACCCCATTGAGGTTGTCAAGACCCGGATGCAACTGCAAGGAGAGTTGGCCGCCAGAGGAACCCACGCCAAGCCCTACAAGAATGTATTCCAGGCCTTCGTAGCAGTGGTCAGGAACGATGGAGTCGCGGGCCTTCAAAAGGGTATAGCTCCCGCATTGTGTTTCCAGTTTGTGATAAACTCCTGCAGGTGTGTTCTCAAGTTCACAGTTTCTCTTTTTAATTATTGTTTGTGTAAAGATTGGGTATCTTCAAGGTTGCTTTGGACAATGGTTGGGTGAGCAAAAACAAAGAGGAGGTATCCTTTGTACGAGGCATGTTCTGGGGCGCTACGGGAGGCTCTGTGGGCGCTCTTTTGGCCAATCCATTCTTTTTGGTACGCTTGCGTAATCGGTCACAAGATATCGCCAGCTCTGATAACCACTCTCCCATTTCAGATGAAGGCCCAGCTTCAGGCCCAATCTGCTGGAAAGATCACTGTTGGTTATCAGCACCAACACACCTCGATGTTCGACGCTATAAGGAATATTTGTAAAGTCGGCGGAATTGCCGGACTCTGGCGAGGATCTTCGGCGAATCTGGTGAGGGCTTCAGTCGCCTCGTCAGTCCAGATGGCCACCTTTGGTTGGGTCAAGTCACCTCTGAGGAACATGGGTTTCAATCCTCTGGCTGTGTCATTCCTCTCGGGACTATCAGCCGGCTCATTATTGTCATGCGTCGTCACTCCACTGGATTTGATCACTATACGGCTGTACAATCAGGGTTTGGATGCCCAGGGAAAGGGGATTCTGTACAAGGGATGGTTCGACTGCGTCTTTAAGGTCATGAAAACTGAGGGAATATATGGATTTTATAAGGGCTTTGGACCCATATATGCGCGAAGTGCTCCACACTCGACTCTTATGCTTTTCTTTTTTGATCAATTGATCGCCGTAAGAACTAAAATCTCTCAGAAATAATAAAAATAAAAAATGCTGTTTATAACGCGTTATTGGAGGGTGGTATTTTTTGGGGCATCCTCATGAGAATTTGAAATAAGATAAAAGAACCGCTAAAACGCCAGTGTGACCGCTCCTCTGGCATTTCTTCCATTTCGAATTGCTGTCACACTCGCGCGCAGTCGTCAAAATCTGGAATTGTCCACCCACCTTTGCCTTGTTTTAGCTAAAATTTAGTTCATTTGATTAAAAATTTCCTGTTTATAATGGCCACTCAAGTCTCTCTGGTGCAACAGTGGTTCAACAGCTACAAAAACAATCTCGGCCAGTCGCTGCGCGACACTAGCAAGCCATGGACATCGGCATTTGAGAAAGTGGAGGAACGCACCGGCGTCGATAGGGTTAATGTGTTTCTCGGTGAGTTATAGTGTCCTGGATCCGGTCTACGTCATCACGTCCTGGCCACCCGAAACTCCCCTAAACGATGCCCAACCGCAAAAGGCTGCGTAACCCGCGATGCAGTGGAATTTTTCACATTTATAAATAGCAACCTGTTATATATAGCTATGCATGATCCATCCCATGCCTAGGGGGTTGAAGTCCCCGCCACCTGACCAATTTGGTGCTTAATCACACATCTTAAGTATTTAATCGCAATTAAATGCATTACTATTCGATTACTTGGCCCTCACTCACACCAAACTAAGAAAGTGAGCATGTGATGTGTGCATGTACGCTACGTATGCAGTACGCACGTCTCTTTGTTGGTGTGCGTTTGTTATCCACAAAAGTTTCATGTTTTGTGCTTTTCTTTGTTTACGTTACTGAAAAGTACATTTTTTTTCACTCACACGGTGAGCAATCGCTTTTTCACATTCCTTCCATTGATCTCCATAAATCGAACTTGAAAAGGTCAAAAGTTGACCGAGACCGAGACTTACAGACGTGGCGCTTGTTACACGTGGAGAAAATCGCGGCAGACAGGTAGTACGCCTGTATGTGTGAACTATAGTGCTTCCATCCACAAAACAACTCTCTAGAGTTCCAGATGTGGCTCTGGGAGTATATTATGCTAATCAGACAACGACAAACGGCGCGGCGCAACGTCAGGGTTCCCTTGGTTTACCTGGGCATAGGTGAGTGAGGCGGCGGTGGACATTGTTCCTCCCCCCATTCTTTTTGTTTTATTTGCCAAATTATTAGCCACAACATGGCATGACATCATTGATTCATAGTGCAAAAAACCCCCCGCTAATTGGTCGTAGATTCGTCTGGTCTGTTCATCCGAACGTGCAATTCAAAACTGGCCGGGATCAGAAGCAGGTCGAGACATCAACTGACAACAGCTAAGGGTTTATAAATAGCCAAACGGCATGGGGCGGTTCAAGAATCCCCGGGATCCTAGGAGGGGGCCCAACCAACAGGGTACAGGTACCACCTCGGTGGTCGCATATCCTTGGCATCCTTAAATAGATAGCTTAAATTCCAATTGCGCCGAACTTCTCGCTGAAACCCGTGCCCATTAGAACCGCTCCTGGCTAAGAACTAGCTGTAGCCAATAGGAAAGTCTGCCCCTAGGGCAAAAAGTAGTAAGTCTGCAGCCATGGCATCCGAGGGTATAGAAGCCCAAGTGGTCCGGTTATTCGTAGAGAACCCTGTCTTGCGATATGGTATTTCTATCAATTAATAGTTCCAACTAATAAGATCAATCAATGCTTACTAATAATTTCAGGTGCGGTCGGTTTATGCGCCCTATATCTAGTCTTTGGTTCTGGCGCACATCTGCTGTGCAACATTATCGGAGTGCTCTACCCAGCCTACATCTCCATCCATGCCATCGAGTCTAGCACAAAGCAGGACGACACAAAATGGTTGATCTACTGGGTCACTTTTGGCATCTTCACAATCATTGAGTACTTCTCCGGCCTCCTAACGGCAATAATTCCCTTTTACTGGCTGCTGAAGGTTGGTATATCTATTAATGATGCCTTAAATGTATTACAACTCTTTAATTATCCTTCCAGTGTGCTTTCCTCATCTGGTGCATGCTGCCCACTGAGCAGAACGGTTCCACCATCATCTACGCTAAACTTGTGCGTCCCTATTTCCTGAAGCACCACGAATGTAAGTTGTTCCATCCTTACAATGAATTAGTTTTAAAATTTGTATTCCATTTCCAGCGGTCGACAGGATCCTTAACGATGGCATAAACAAGGCCGCCGGCGTGCTCAAGCGCGACTAGAATCGTTTGGATGCGCCATCGCCGTCCCGCTGCTCGCTTCCCTATGCATTTGGATTTGGACAAGGGCTTGATCATCTCCTCACCTCGTATCGATTACGTTTTATAAATTTTAACTATGTATTCATCTTGTTGTTGATAAATGCACCACCAGTGGGAATCAAGAATCTGCTTGTTGAAAGTAAAACAGAAACGAACCTTTTATTAACAAAATCTATAATCAGGCGGTTGTTTCCGCCTTTTCTTCATTAGCCTCCGACTCGGCGGCTGTTCTTCGGTTCCGCCAGGCGGTCATGTAGGTGCGCGGGTGAATTGGTAGCAGACCGGCGATACCCAGCAGCTCTGCAGCCGGTGTGGACAGATGGGCACCTTTTCCTAGCCAAAAACGAATCCTCTCGGTATTTAGGGCCACCAGGCGCTCATTGTGATCATTTGGCAGGGGATCGTAGGAGCCAACCTGCTCAATCACAGGCTGGTGTTGGTTTTTGCGCCTCTAAAATTAAGAAAACCTTTTATTTATAAAATTCCTTCAATCATTTTTTAGAAAAACACAAACCTCCATGACGACAATGTGATAAAAGGGGCGGTTAGTGCATCCCAGCCGCACAAAGCGGATGATCTTGGCCGACTTAGCGTAGAAACGGCCAATGCCACTGGCTGGTGACAGAGACATGTTTATCTAACAAGCTTTTAATAAATAAAACCTTTCCGACAAAAAATTAAAGCCGAAAATGTGAATATTTTGTTATGTATAGTTTCCGCGTTTTGCAGCCCTGTTTTTAGGTCTTATGCAACACTTAAGGGCCGTTCCGATAGGTATCGTAAAAGAACCCGAAGCGGAGGTAACCCTAGCACGTCGCCATTTTGACCAAGAAGAAGACATACTCGTCGGGATACACGAACACTTACTTATTTTCAGTGGTGTCTGTGTCTGTGAATTATTGGAAAAAAGAGTGTTTTGTTTATAAATTTAATTGCAAAACTGCACATAGACGCGTCACACACGCATCGCACACACACACCCCAACCGAGTGTGTGTTATCAATGGATAAGGCAGCACGCCAACGCCAGGCCACAAAAGTGAATTTTTTCTAGCGAAGGAAAAAAATGGCGCCCGCAGCCAGAGCAAAACTTGACTTTCTTTTCGGTGTATAGTTCGTCTCGCCAAGTCTCGTTGCCGCAGTGCGCGATCCCCCCAGAAAAGTGTATTAGAACATCGCAGTGGCGAAGCAGAAAAAACTGAAAACAGAAAAGCGTGAAAAAATCGTCGGAAAGAGCACGAATCGAAACGAAAAACTACAAAAAATTGTTGTGCATTCTGCCTCGTACATGTACAGGCGCAAATTACGATTACCATTACCAATATTCCACTTACTACTACTAGAGGAGGCTAGTATTTTGTACGTGCTTTAGAATACATACATACACACCTACATATACCACAAGAAAGCGAGAAGTGCAATTACATTTGCGTTTGGAAATTTTGCGCTTTTTTCTCTTCCGCCTCCCCTCCGCCCATCCGTCCGCCCCGTCCCCCTCTCTCTCTCTCTCTCTATCTATCTCTTTCTATCTGCTTCCCCCCCTCCTGCACTGCACTGCACTCCTAAAATAAAATGTGCGCCGCCCAGAATCCGCCGCCCTTTGGCTATACCTGGGGCTTCGCTGACAACGGCAGCCGCACCGCCGAATCGGTTCTGGAGATATCGCCGAACATCAACTACACCGTCAGCGGGGAGTCGGTAAGTTGGCATTCAAATTAACCTGCATATTAGACCTATTGACTGCAAGTGCAAGCTGCTGGCTAAGATTCCGGGCCGTACCCCTCCTCCTCCGCCTGTTACTGTGTGTGTTGCTGTTGCTTTCCCACACCGAAAGGTGTTGTGCCACATACACACGCCATGGAATACACACGAACGCACACACGGCCGCTACAGTAGAGGTCATGACAGTAGCACCTGACAGTGAAACAATGTGTTGCATGCCCTAACATAGAAATGTAAACAAATGTTAGTAATCATGAGAATGATTAATAAAAGTTATTTCCCATTGAGAAAAATAAAATGTCATCACTCATTATGAATTAAGTGTATTAATTATATCCATTAGATTGCTTTAAATTTGGCCGCGACTGTAAATACATACATACAGACGATTTACTCGCTCGCTCACCAACACTCGCTGGTTTTGGACCCCACTGTGTATGTATACGGCCCGAGAGGCATTCACGTACGGTATACGTGGAAAAAGAAGAACGAATGTATGTATGTACATACATACATACGCTACAGCTACACTTTATGTAACTGCGTTGTCATGCGAATATGCGAATGGAGTGGCGAGTGTGTTAGAATTCTTTTACCATACATCCATACGGATTTTTTTCGTTTCCATTTCATTCGTAAACATTCATAATTTGGTATTTGTAAGCGGAATGCGTGTACATCTGTATGCGGAGAAATGCCGAAATAAACACACGCACCTGAGATATGCGATGCAATAAGTAAATAAATATTGAATACCAGCCCCCCTCCCCCTCACCACCCACCTAATTAGCTGGAAGGTCATGAATTTCTTAGCAGTCTGGCAGCTGGCAAAGGCTATCGACGCTAATCGATAATCTAATGATTATATATGTACATATGTATAAAACTAACCTAGTTTATGGCTATTAATAGTAATGGCTGCCTATGCACTTGTTTCTTGTTTCCCTATGGAAAGCAACAATTTTTGTTGTGCAATTGGTGTGTGTTGCATGTAAACTTGGAAGCCAGTCTTGGGCCGACGACGACAACCCTTTTTTGCGCGCACTTACACAGACACGAGGTCGGCGAATTCGCCGCACTTGTGCGCACCACCAATTCGCCGCGAGGTGCGTGCGTGTGTGTATGTATACGCACGCATACACACCAGCAAATGATTTGCTGGTGATGGTGTTGGTGTGAGTTGCGTTTTGCGTGCGTGTGTTTTGATTACTTTTGCGTTCCGTTTTGGCGCCCATCACACATACATGTATATATGTATACCAACCCCCTCCCTCTATACAGTCGAATGTCCAATTGCACACACTGAAGTATGAAAAAGGCGCGCATTTTGCCGACCACTCTCTGGCTCTCTCTCTCGCTCGCTCCCTTATTTGCAATGTTTATCATCTGTTGCCGCACCACTGGCTGCGCAGGTGTAACGAGCGCGCGCGGTTATCAATCAGAGCGCACCGCACCAACCAAAACAAAACAAAACACGAGCGAACGTGACGGAATTATGGAGCGAAACTTGAATCGCAGCTTGCACTAACCAGGAGTGACTGTACTAGCACCCACTAGGAATTAGTTAATCTTTATTTTTATTGATTTAGTAATATTGATCTCGTTCCAGATGCCCTACTTGTTGGCCACAGATGGATCACTGGCCGTGCAAAAGGATGTGAAAGGTGCCCTGGCAGCAGCCGGAAATAAAAATGTCGTCCGTCGCATGTTCGTTGTAAACGATCCTTCATTTCCGCCAGGGACTCAAAGGTGCGATCTTGTGATCTTCTGAAAGGTTTCATCTGTATCCTAACATCATCTATTAACAGAGTTATCACCACTGGAGGAGCCTCGACGGTGGTCAAGAAGCAGGACGCCAACCAGCAGGTCCTGAGCCTCGACAAAAACTGTAAGTGCCTCGATTCGAGTCCGGAATTCGTGTTGCACGCGTGTTTCTGTTTCTATCTTTGTGATTATCCATATAGTTTGGGTTTTTTTGTTAATCGATTGTTTTTCTCTTTCTACTCCTGTTTATTTAATTTAAATTTTATTTATTTGTGTTTTTCTACTTTTTTTTTTTATATTTAATTCTCGCTCGATCTCGCTCGCCCTTGAAAAATAATGATATCGAACCCGAAACCGAACCACAAAATCCCGCGATCCCAACCATCTCCTCCTCAACAACAACAACAACTACAACAAAATAAACCCCTTCACTGTGTTCGTGTGTTATTCGTACTGCTATTGCACCCAAAAATCACCGAATCCATCATATAACTTGCACCGCCATGCATCACATCACTGCACCATGCCACCATAACACCACAACACCTTCATCCATCACCACTGGCGGGCGGCGGGCGCGGGCTGATCGATAAAATCACAACCGAACAACCATCAAAACTTGGAAATTGGAACCACCAAATAGATCTTCTGGTTGATCAGGCCACGGCAGCAGCAGCTGCAGCCGCGGCGGCTGGAGATCCCACAGCCCATCATCAGTTGGCCAATGGGAGTATCGTCGATGCCAAGACCGGACAAACGGTGCTGACGGCCGGCTCGGCGGCCAAGTCGCACTTCAGCTCGATCGGAGCACTGCACCTCACGCAGGAGGAGTGCAACGAGATCCTGATCAAGCGCGCTATCGCCGCTGGCCACCATCAGACGCACACGATCACAACTGCCGACGGAGCGCATCATCATGCCGCGTCCGGCGGGACACCAAGTAAGCATCTCAAATCTGTGTTTGTTACTCCCTCCCACTCCAGTCCTCCTTGTATCCTCCTGCACTCACCGATAAACCTGAAACGAAGTAATTCCACTGAACACTATCCGGCATATACAACAATATTGGCACTTACTCGGTTCCGGTTGCTTTGACTGACTGACCCGGTTGCGTGGCGTTTCAGCTATAGTCTTAGATAGTTTCGTTGGCCTAACTTTGTTTTAGTTTTGATGACTAACCCAACCATCGGCTAATATTATTTATTTGCACTTTGAGTTTTATTGTATATTTGATTTTATTCCTTTTGTTTCTTCTCTTTATTTCTTTCTTTTACTTTTTTCGTTTGAATTCCATTTGGTTTCTGTTCCGTTGGCGGTGCAACAACTCTCTTAGGTGACATACTTCCTGGTATTTCAGTTCAAGTACAGAAAGTAATCCAAGGGCTCGAGGAGAACGAGGACTCACAGGGCGACGCACCCAACTTGAAGTTGGAGCCAGGCACATTAGAGTTGTCCCCCAAGACCGAAATACAGGAATCAATGCATTTCAGCGAAGTAAGTTTCAGTAAAACATCTTAAATATTGTAAAAAATAATCATATTTCTTATTTTTATAGACGGACGCCACCATTAAGAAGGAACGCCCGTACAGTTGCGACGAGTGCGGCAAGTCCTTTCTGCTCAAGCATCACTTGACGACCCACGCACGCGTACACACAGGTGGTTGTTCTTGTTCCTGCCATATTAGTCATCCCCAGCGAACGGGTCTAATCCATATTGTGTTCTTTTTTGAAAATCCCAGGTGAACGCCCCCATATCTGCACCCATTGCGGCAAGAGCTTCGCCCACAAGCACTGCCTTAATACACATCTGTTGCTGCATTCGACGGAGCGACCGTATCAGTGCCAGGAGTGCAAGAAAAGCTTCACCCTCAAGCACCACCTGCTGACTCACTCGCGCGTCCATAGCCGCGAGCGACCATTCGTCTGTCAGGAGTGCGGACGTGCCTTTCCCTTGAAGCGACACCTGGTTACGCACAGCAAGTTCCACGCCGGTGAACGACCCTACGTGTGCGAGGAATGCGGTGAGAGCTTTGCCCAGGAGAACCACCTGATTATGCACTCGCGGTAGGTTGAGGATTTATGAAGTCGTTCCTGGACTGAGTTCTTTTTTGGCCCTTAGCTTTCATGGTTCTTTGAATCCATTCGTTTGCGCCGAGTGCGGAGCCTCGTTTCCACGCAAGTTCCAGCTGGTTAATCACGGACGCATCCACGGCAAGATTCCCCACTCGTGCACAGTGTGCGGCAAGGAATTTTTACAAAAGCGAACGCTAGTTTCCCACATGAGGTAATCACTTAAGACTATGCTCTCATTGGGACATGTACTAATCCAATTTCTGTCTTGCCATTAGGCGGGTACACACTGGCGAGCAGGCTCATCCCTGCGTCAGCTGCGGCGAGGGCTTCCTCACCAAGGCCGAGCTACACCAGCACGTGAGGACGGCGCACAACGGCGTGAATCCCAACACGAGCAGTGCCACCATCATCGCCAATCAACAGGTATTTTGTCTTTGCATTCGCTCTCGTCCATCGGACAGTCATTGACTAATTCAAGTATTACTCATTCAAGCAGCTGCAACAGCCTCACCACCATCCTGGCCAGCCGACGCATCCGCAGACCATAACAGTGGTCAGCAATCCGGCCAATTCCACGCTCCTGACGGTCTCCACCACGGATGCCAACGGCGTGGCTCGGCCGCAGTTTGTATGCCGGTGAGTTGCCAGTCGAAAAATCTAATAAAGATATCTATTAACTTTGAGGTCTAATTATAGCGAGTGCGGCAGCGCCTTTAACAGCCGGGAAGCGTTGGCACTTCACTTGCGCCTCCATACCGGCGATAAGAGTCTGATGACCGATCTGTGCGCCCTGACAGCCGCGCTGCCTGGCCACTTTTTGAGCACGGCCAGCCTGAATCCGGGCACAGTGGTCACGGCCAATCCGAACCTGGTGGGCCAGAGCCCAGTGCCCGTACAGATCATATCCTCCACCGGGCAGGTGATGTCGCAGACCACGCTGGTGCAGGCCGCCAACTCGACCCATCCGCAAGCGGTGGTCACCGCAGTGCCGACCATGCCGGTCCACGGCCAACAGCAGCATCTGCAGCACGTGCAACAGCAACAACAACAGCAACAGCAGCAGCATGTGGTGTCTGTGGCGCCGGCCAACAAACCCAAGTCGCACTTCTGCGCCAGCTGCGGCAAGGGATTCGCCGCCAAGCACGGACTCATGCAGCATAATCGCCGGCATCCGAACGGTGGCTGTACCGTCCGCACCCACGTCTGTGAGTGCGGCAAGGCGTTCTTCCAGAAGAACCACCTGATGCTGCATCAGCGCCAGCACTTGGAGACGAAGCCAGCCATATCGCAGCAACAGGTATGCTAGACTCCAGATCCTGGTTCCGATCCAGTCCCAGTCCAGTGCCTCTCCGATAACCCAGATAACCTGATACATATATCCCGATCGCTCCGTTCCGCTCTTAAAAAATGCTTTGATTAAACACACAACCTAGTTAGCGTCTAAGTCTAATTCTAGTTGGGAGTAAGTTAGGCCGACCTAACCCTAACCTAAATGTAAAATACGAACTCTAAGCACCTAAGCAATGTTATCGATTCAACAATAAACGATTCTTATTGGCATCCCCAATCGGCCGATGTGGTTTAAGCCTAATCTTAAGTTAAATGTCTCTCGACCCACTCGTCTCTCTGTTTCTCGTCTATCTGTCCCCTATACCTATATATACATTTATTTTTATGTCACTGAACCAATGAAATCGAATCTAAAACATAATCGCATTACCTTTTCCAATACTTTGCAGCTTGTTGTACCAACTACTTCTTACTAAGAACAAAAAAAAAAATTAAGAAAAAAGATAAAACCATAAAAAACTAATCAAACAAACAAAAAAGAAACCAACTCGAGCGATATCCATTCGCACAAGCACACGCCTTCAAGTCGCAAGTCACATCGCTGGTCCCGATTCGATCTGATCTGATCAGGTGGAATGGGATCTGATTTGATCTGATCTGATAGGGGTGTACTGGTGGGTCTGTCCATGTCCGCCTCCTGACGACAGGAAGTAAATATATTTCTCTCTCACCAGACAAACTAAAAAAAGAAACAAGTATATAAATATATATAAATCGAAAGAAATCCATAACTCTGCAATGAATATAAATCGTATCCGTATCCGTATCCGTATCCATTCAAAAGGCTTCAGTTTAAGCGTTTAGGTGTGTATGAAATATCCAAATTATCGCTAATTGTCTTTAAATGTCTCCTTCTTATATAATCAATCGATGATTGTGATTATGTATGTTGTCTTTTGTTGCTGCTGTTATTGTTGTTATTTGTTGTTATTGTCGTATGCCTTGAGATTATAACCTCCTGCCTGTGACTGTCCTCCCGTCCTGACCTGTCCTGACCTGTTTCCTGTTTATGTTTTGTACACGCTTCCTTTCATCCTCAAAAAACATCCTGCTTGTTGCTGCCTGAGCCTAATACTTAGTTTAGTTTAATTAGTTACTGTTCCACGCTAGGCTGTGTTACAAACATTTATTTGACTTGCCCCACTATTGCAGGAACAGCAGGCGGATGCCAGCGACGGCCAGCAGCAGCCGGTTCAAGTACAGATCTTGTCCGATGGCCAGATACACGGCAAGGTCATCAAGTACGAGGTCTGTCGCAACGCCTTACCGGAGGACCAGCAGCAGGGGGACTAAGCGAAACCAATTGTATATAGTGATCGTCCAGCCGACATCATCGCACTTGGACACAGACAGGCAGATCAGATCAGATCAGAAGAACCGAAGTATCCTTGGAGTGGGACGTTTCCCTTTAATTGTAATAGTTTTAGTTAGGCTTAGGCTAGCGTTTAAGTAATTGCATTGTACACATAATAGTTAACTAGCGTTACATACATGCATACACTTACAACTATGTATACACCATATACATATATATACACCCATATATATATATATATATGCTATATATACGTCCGTGCCACCTGTACGGACTTAGATGTAAACGATTATCTGTTAATTTTTGCGATGCGTTGGTCGCATCTAAAACAACAACCTGTATGAGTTGCAAGTTTTAAAGTGTTACGTTCAATTGGTTTTACGCATTACACGACTTTTAATACCACAAACCACATACACATATATATATAAATATATATATATGACTAGATGAGGGACATAATTATGTATAGGCCCCCTAAACGGATAATTCTAGAAGACACTAGGCAAGCGTTGCACTTGATATACGTAACCAGTAGCTCCAGTCCGGACTTGGGCGTGGGTGGGCGGTGCGTGGGCATGCCACATTTTGTTTGTACATATAGAGGAGTCTGCAGCAGCCAACGCCAGCCATGAGCCATGATCAGAACTGGTCCGATCCGAGTCCGGGCCTGGAGTGGAGTAGGTGCCTGGCACAGTAACTACATAGCTAACAGATACATAACAAGAAACAAAAACTAGGCAGTTCAAGATACTTTTTTTTTTCTGGACCACAATTAGGAGCAGCTACCAGAAGAGATATACCCCAGACACGATACCCCAAAACCGACATCATCCGACAATGCACGCTTGGCGACGAATATCACACTGTAAAAAATAACAATTAAGTCTTAGGAATGCGTTAAAACCAGACAGAAAATAATTGGTAATTATTATAATCGGATAAATAAACAAAAACAAAAAAAAAAAAAAAACAAACAATAAATATTGAACCTACACTAAGCATATATTTTAATATGTAAGCCTTAAAGAAATACAAATGGAAAAATATGAATTATAATAAACGACAGAAGCGTGTAATTGCAATAATTGCTAAAATGTTCCGTATCTTTAAATACTTTTTTTAGTTTTTAGTTTTCAAGGAATTTTTTGCAAGGTCTTGGTAGGTGTTATCATAACTTCCGTATTAAACGATCATGCAATGTACAAGCCGAGTGATAAGAACCATATTGCATATAATGTATAGAGGTTAGGGGGTTATATTTAAGGTTGATCGGACCTTTGGATTGTAAACTTTCCTTCTATCTTGTTTAAAAGGTGATTAACTAATTGCTTTCTCGCTGTGTACTCAACAAGGGTCTACTGGGACTTTCATTTGTCAAAAAATGAATGAATAACTTATTTATAGATTTGCTGATTAAAAAACAAACACAAATATGTTGCCATATTGATTGTGACTCAACTGTATTGCATTTCTTTAGCATTCTTTAGGAAAATATTTAGAGTTTACTACGAGTACAAAAGATACAAAGTATCTTATGCAAATTATGGAGAATGCCAAGGCAAGGCGAGCTAGATAAGATATAACCAAAATGTTGTTTAATGGTTTTTACTAAGCACCGATATTAGCCTTGCTTTTAGAGCTTTTTTTTTGAAGTATTTCATATGGGAACTAGAGACTAGATAGGTTGGGTTATAGCTCTGTACCGGATAGGCCTAGGCACGTCACTGGTCGTAGTCATTACAATTCATTGACCAGCCTGGCGTTTAATTGTTTTTAATATTTTTCAGTTAAGAGTGTATAATATATTCGGCAAGCTATGTACGTGACTGGGCCGCCATGCCCATATGGGCATCTGTCGAGCGCTGTTGACTCAGTTGGCCGATTTGGCCAACTCGTAAGAGAATGTCGTTGTTCCAAGCCTGCCCTAAAAGTGCATTGTGTAATGCTTTTTTTTCGGATATCTCGACTTTTCGGCCAGATGCCAAATAAGGGCTGACATGGTCGCGTTACCTTGATGTGCTGTGCATTTCGGTTTATTGTTAAATTAAAATTAATTGAACTTGAGGCTGTGCCGAAAACTTGCGCATAAATTTCGAGAACGCCTCTGTTGCCGACGCCATCCCAGAATTCAATTTCAATTCCAAGGAAAACGTTGTGAGATGTCATCATCTTACTACTGGCTGATGAGATCTGTGGAACCCGAACCCCATCTCTCTCTCTCGCTAATTACACCCAGCAGTCCACCATGGTACAGCCATCGGCCCAGTTCCCAATTGGCATTTGATCTGAATTGCAACATGTTCCAGATCCCAGAATGCATGTATGGGTAGGTATGTAGGTATTCCCATCTCTGCTGTCGTGAATTGCTAAGCAGGCTTCACTGTGGCCGCTTTTATTTTCCACTTTAATTTTGCATTTGTGCCTTACTTCTATTTGTGTGATTTTATTTTTTTGTGTACCCGGCCAGCAAACAAGTTTTGATTGCTTTTGGCTTCGCATGAAAATGGGCTTTCGGTTGCTTTATCGTTCGTCGCTCATACGCCGTGTATGACGTCAGGTTGTGAATTAAGTAAGAATTCGGATTGTTTTTTTTGATAGCTTAAACTCACCAGCTAGCTACATAGCTAGCTTGGATATTTGACAGACGAGACTTATGAAGGTCGAATTAGTGAAAGACCTCCAATGGGGCTATACTTTCCAAGTGCAATTGCATAGATCAATGGATCTATTGCTAGAGCCATTCCCACATTTGGTCATATCCACTTTTCACCCACCAAAGGCCGTTATAAATCAATTGGGCCATTGAGTTCAGTATTATTGCGAATAAATCTTGATCCCAATGGAGCTTACTCAGAGCGGAGGCGCCCACGTACCGCTCGGCTAGACGATGTTGCCACAAACATGGCGATCGTGTGCTGACTAATCAGTGTCAGATGCTATTCAAATTTTAATTTATCCGTGCATCCGACACCCATGTTTGGTTAGCCAATTTGAGTTTGGCTTTATGACCGTCCTGCCCCGGTTGTTGTCGCTTGGGAAGTTCGTGCATCTTTCTGTCAAGACTGCCGGCAGTCATCAGACACATGTTTTTATTTCTTTTTTTTCGGCCACTTTCACAAAAGATCGATGCTACATCGATGGATCGATCGATCGAGTTGCGTGTTGTGTTTATTGGCTTATTGAACTCTCCGGTGCGGTCTTCGTGGCAGCCAAACCTGGCCAGCATACCGGCCTACGCATCCGTCAGATACTCTTTGCACGCAAAGATACAAATACACACATCCAGAGTTACATACAGGCGCGGCGCCGAAACCTACGCTCTGACGCTTTGGCTTTTTTTTTTTGTTGGTTTTTGGTTTTTGTTTTTGCGAAGGCGAAGGTGTTGTTGCCTCTCGCTCCCACTGGTATGGGGTCCAAAGCTCCGACGACCGAAAACCCACAAACGCTCCGATCCGCTGCTGCCGCTTTCGGCCGGCAGCGCACAGATAGTCGGTCGAAAGCGGTTCCAGACGCGATCAGTACGTTTTGAGTTGTGCTTCGCGACGGTTGGTGATCTTAAAAAAGTGCTCCGAACACGAACAGGGTCTATATAGTATACAGTAGTACAGTGCCTGGTCCGTATAGTCTCTCCCCGGTTTTGTATCGCTTTTTTGGCATCTAAGCAGTGTATCTGTGTAGCTGTATCTTGAACTGCTCCCCACCGCGCTGCATCCGAGACTCTCTCCCCCCCGACCCCAACGGGTATTCTGGTGTGTGTGTGAGAGTGCCTAGCTTTTAGCTGGCACCGTTGAGTTATTGTTGTTTTTGGTGCTTCAACTTGAACTATGGGTCGCGTGTTCGTGTGCGTATTATAAATATTGTGTATATATATTTAAAAATAAGTATTTCGACATTCCACGGCGGTGGAAAGTATGTGACACATCAGTCCAGATCCCAACAACCACGTCCCATTCACATCGCACACAAGTATATATATATTATTATTAGTACGAGTGCCAAAAAGCAACGAACCGAGCAATTATTGTGATTAATAGCAACGAAAAATAACGAAAAACGACCTCAAATCAGCTGCCAAAGGCCATTGAAAAGCCATAATCCAACCAGGTGCATTATTTACGGCTCTCTTGTAGTGATTACCTCATCCGTGTCAGAGCTCAGCCAGCAAAATGGTATCAAAAAGCAATAAAAAGAAACAAGTGTCTCACCAGCACCAGCAGCAACAGCAACAACATCAGCAACAACCAGCAACATCTACCACAACAACATCGTCGTCGGCCTCGGCCACTAAGCTGACAAAAAAGCTGGGACCCGATGCGTTCGCCACTTTGGCAACCAACCAGAGCTCCACCACCATGGAGCACGAATCGGTGTCCTACGGCGAGCCAGTGGCCGGCACTTCGACTGACACTATGCCGGCTGCTGGAGTCAGGAGCTATAGCAGCCGAAGCAGCAGGAGCAAGGCATCGCAGTCCCAGTCTTCGTCCTCCTACGTAGAGCAATCTCAGGTGCAACACAGTAGCAGCAGCAGCAGCATCAGCAAGATCTCCAGGGACTATGCCAACGAGAAGATCATTTCATCGATTGATCTGCTCGAAAGCGAAAAGAAAGATCCAGTATTCTCGGTGCCGATCGAGGTGGTGGAGATCACAACACCCACGCTATCCGTCTCCGCCAGCGGGGGCAGTGTCTCGAAAATGTACACGTCGTCCTCGTCGATGTCTTCCAGCCAGAAGCTCCAGCAGCAGTTTGAGTCCACAACCAGTTCCAGTCTACGGAGCGCCAACGAAACGCTCATTGGCAGCGAGAGAGCCGACACGGCTACCGGTATGACATCATCCGGGCCGAGGAAACAGGTTGGCTTCGATACAGACACCAAGACAATGACAAACACCACCAGCAGTAGCAGCAGCACAAAAACAAGCACAAACATCAACATCAGCAACCTGAAGAGCAGCACTTCGACCAGCTCCAACGGCGGTGTTATTCATTTGAGCGAATCTCAGAGCGTGCCAAAGCTGCCGCCAAGCAGCGGAACAGCTGATGGAACCATCAACGCATCGGTGACGTCGCCGCCAGCGGCAGGCACCCGCCCCGAACCGGTTGCCGCGACGTCTGGCGCGACCACAACAAAGGCGACGACGTCATCGACGTCCACGCGCCGCAACGATAAACTGGAAGTGGAGGAGGCGAACACTGGCCGACACCGCACCGATAGGCTCAGCACAGCTGTTGACACGGCTACGTCATCGTCGTCCAAGTCCAACAAGGAGGTCAGCGAGAGCACACTCCTCCAGAGCTCGAGCAGCAGCAAACAGTCCAAGTCCACGTCCAAGAAGGAGGTGTACGACGTGAAGACCAAAACCTGGACGGAGTACAGCGATGGTAGCACCCAGGGCCCAAACAAGAGTCGTCCTGCCTTCGAGCGTTATGTCAGCAAGGAGACGGATGGTAGCAGCAAAGTAACCTACAAGAAGAAGATATACGACAGACGCAACAATCGGTGGCGCGTTGTGGATGAACGGACGGTGGATAGCACCGCTGACCCGGGCTATCCTGAAATAGTGGATGATGTCATTAATACAACAACCACCACCTACACCACCAAGGTGTACGACACGAAGCTCGGCAAGTGGACGGTCGTGGACGAGAAGTCGTTCACTGATACGAAAGCTTTCGTGCCCAATGACATTGCTCGTGAAATCGAGAAAGATAATACCGATGTTGCAAACATAACGACTACCACAGAGGTAACAAAGGTAAGTCATTGATTGTGCGTGCGGTCGGCCTAACATACAGAATAGACCGTTCCTCCAACCAGACCCAGACCCAGACACAGGCCTGTTGGTTTTTTGGGTGTGTGCCCCTCCAGAGAGCACCTTTGATATTGAGGTATTTTTCCCACAGATTTTCGATGCAAGCATCAACGACTGGCGCGTCCTAGACGAAAAGGTTCACACGGATGTCATTGAGAAGATCGTAGAGGCTCCCAAGAAGACCATATACGTGGACGAGTTTGTGGAGATTGAGAAGAACACCTCGATTTCGGAGAATAATGAGAACATAACCCTGAACCTGAACGAAACATCGAAACACAAAAATATTACCGAAAATATTTATGATGAAATCGATTATGTGCGGACTGATAAGCAACGCCTAGGCGACTCAAGAACCGTGAGTAGATTAGTTAAGAACTTAAACAGGAAAGCCTAACTAATTTTTACATTAAACACACATGGTTGAGTAACTAAACATTAGAGGAAAACTATTCCAAATTCTTTAATTTAATTAGTTTCTTCTTTTTTTTTGAAATAATGATGCAATTCTAATGGAAACTTTAACAAGATAATGTCAAAAAAGTGATTCTTCAACCAAGAAGATAAGGCTTTAAATAAAATTTTTTTGGTTTAAAAGATAAAGATATGTTTGAATTCCTATTCGATTGTCTCAAAAGCTTCAAGACCTATAAAAGTTATAATTATCTAAATTAAAGATATAATTTCCTCTAATTTTCCTTCTTTAGCGTGGAGTCGCAAAGAACAAGGTTTCCACTCACAGCGAAAGATGCATTTGTGAAATTTGCACATGCGGGTATGTTCAGAGTCTTTTATATTTATATAGTGCCACTACTACCAAAGTTCTTGTCTTTTAGACGTCATCATTGCTCATCTAGCACAACCAAATCTACCGAAAAAACGATCATTCAAACAGACGGCAAGTGTAATTAACTTTAAAAGAATATATTTAAATAATAATTTTTCTAAATATTTATTCTGTAGATACTGTCGACGAAGCATACACGAGGATACGTACGAATACCTGGTCAAAAAAAGATAATGAAAACATTCCCAAGCCAAACGAAGACATTCTAGTGGATTATATAGTCATAAAGAAGCCAGAAGACAATTTGAAGCCGGAAGGAGAATTTATAATACCTCAAAAGGAGCCATATAGACCGGGGGAGAAGCGCGAGAAAATTGTACATACAGACAACCTTCGTACTGAGGGAGAAATGACTTTTGTCGAGAAAGAGGAATACCAATACGCTGTTCGTCCCGGATATGTTAAGCCCACGGATAATCTTAAGCCCGAAGGAGAATTCTTCAGTCCTCGGAAGCCAGAATATGTTCCGGGAGAAAGGCCTACACAAGTTCGCCATCCCGACAATCTTAAACCAGAGGGCGAGTTTTATTCTCCCGAGAAGCCTGGTTACACGCCAGCCGACCGCCCAATCCAAAAGCGGCCTGTCGACAATCTTAAACCAGAGGGAGAATTCGAAAGTCCGGAAAAACCTACTTACAGGCCAGCGGAGAGACCTCAAAAAATCATCCGGTCTGACAATTTGCGTACTGAGGGGGAAATGACATTTGTGGAGCGGGAGGAGTACCAATACGTCACAAGACCCGGACAAGTCAAGCCAACAGATAACCTAAAGCCTGAAGGAGAATTCTATAGCCCCGAAAAACCGAAATACAAGCCAGGCGAGCGACCAACTCAAGTAAGACACGAGGACAACCTCCGCCCAGAAGGGGAATTCTACACTCCAGAAAAGCCAGGATTTAGACCATCTGAGAGACCAACTCAAAAGAGACCCCAAGACAACTTAAAACCAGAGGGAGATTTCTACAGCCCAGAGAAACAACAGTACCAGCCTGGCGAACGGCCCTCTCAAGTACGACCAGAAGACAACCTTCGACCGGAAGGCGAGTTCTACACTCCGGAGAAACCTGGATTCCGACCTGCAGAAAGACCCGTACAAAAAAGACCAGAGGATAACTTGAGGCCTGAAGGCGAGTTTGTAAAGCCTGAGAAACAGGTGTACAAGCCAGCTGAAAAGACGGAAAGGATTATTCGCAAGGACAATCTCCGAACTGAGGGAGAAATGACTTTTGTCGAAAGGGAAGAGTATCACTATGTGGTGCGCCCCGACCAAGTTAAGCCCACTGATAATCTCAAACCCGAAGGAGAATTCTACAGTCCAGAGAAACCGAAATACAAGCCTGGCGAACGTCCTTCTCAAGTACGCCCAGAGGACAATCTTCGACCAGAGGGAGAGTTCTACACTCCGGAGAAACCTGGATTCCGCCCTGCAGAGAGACCTGTTCAAAAGAAACCTGAGGATAACCTTAAACCCGAGGGAGATTACAGCCCGGAAAAGCCCAAATACCGGCCCGGAGAACGACCTTCTCAGTACGCCCAGAGGACAATCTTGACCAGAGGGAGAGTTCAAACCCGAGAACTTCCAGAGAGACCTGTTCAAAAGAAGCCTGAGGATAACTTAAAGCCCGAAGGCGAGTTTGTAAAGCCTGAGAAACAGGTGTACAAGCCTCCTGAGAAGACGGAAAAGATTATTCGCAAGGACAATCTCCGAACTGAGGGAGAAATGACTTTTGTCGAAAGGGAAGAGTATCACTATGTGGTGCGCCCCGACCAAGTTAAGCCCACTGATAATCTCAAACCCGAAGGAGAATTCTACAGTCCAGAGAAACCGAAATACAAGCCTGGCGAACGTCCTTCTCAAGTACGCCCAGAGGACAATCTTCGACCAGAGGGAGAGTTCTACACTCCGGAGAAACCTGGATTCCGCCCTGCAGAGAGACCTGTTCAAAAGAAACCTGAGGATAACCTTAAACCCGAGGGAGACTTCTACAGTCCAGAGAAACCGAAATACAAGCCTGGCGAACGTCCTTCTCAAGTACGCCCAGAGGACAATCTTCGACCAGAGGGAGAGTTCTACACTCCGGAGAAACCTGGTTTCCGCCCAGCAGAGAGACCCGTTCAAAAGAAACCAGAGGATAACCTTAAACCCGAGGGAGACTTCTACAGTCCAGAGAAACCCAAATACCGGCCCGGAGAACGACCTTCTCAAGTACGCCCAGAGGACAATCTTCGACCAGAGGGAGAGTTCTACACTCCGGAGAAACCTGGTTTCCGCCCTGCAGAGAGACCTGTTCAAAAGAAGCCTGAGGATAACTTAAAGCCCGAAGGCGAGTTTGTAAAGCCTGAGAAACAGGTGTACAAGCCTGCTGAGAAGACGGAAAAGATTATTCGCAAGGACAATCTCAGAACTGAGGGAGAAATGACTTTTGTCGAAAGGGAAGAGTATCAATATGTTGTTCGTCCTGAACAAGTAAAGCCGACTGATAATCTCAAACCCGAAGGAGAATTCTATAGTCCAGAGAAACCGAAATACAAGCCTGGCGAACGTCCTTCTCAAGTACGCCCAGAGGACAATCTTCGACCAGAGGGAGAGTTCTACACTCCGGAGAAACCTGGATTCCGCCCTGCAGAGAGACCTGTTCAAAAGAAACCTGAGGATAACCTTAAACCCGAGGGAGACTTCTACAGTCCAGAGAAACCGAAATACAAGCCTGGCGAACGTCCTTCTCAAGTACGCCCAGAGGACAATCTTCGACCGGAAGGCGAGTTCTACACTCCGGAGAAACCTGGTTTCCGCCCAGCAGAGAGACCTGTTCAAAAGAAGCCTGAGGATAACCTTAAACCCGAGGGAGACTTCTACAGTCCAGAGAAACCCAAATACCGGCCCGGAGAACGACCTTCTCAAGTACGCCCAGAGGACAATCTTCGACCAGAGGGAGAGTTCTACACTCCGGAGAAACCTGGTTTCCGCCCTGCAGAGAGACCTGTTCAAAAGAAGCCTGAGGATAACTTAAAGCCCGAAGGCGAGTTTGTAAAGCCTGAGAAACAGGTGTACAAGCCTGCTGAGAAGACGGAAAAGATTATTCGCAAGGACAATCTCAGAACTGAGGGAGAAATTACTTTTGTCGAAAGGGAAGAGTATCAATATGTTGTTCGTCCTGAACAAGTAAAGCCGACTGATAATCTCAAACCCGAAGGAGAATTCTATAGTCCAGAGAAACCGAAATACAAGCCTGGCGAACGTCCTTCTCAAGTACGCCCAGAGGACAATCTTCGACCGGAAGGCGAGTTCTACACTCCGGAGAAACCTGGTTTCCGCCCTGCAGAGAGACCTGTACAAAAGAAACCTGAGGATAACCTTAAACCCGAGGGAGACTTCTACAGTCCAGAGAAACCCAAATACCGGCCCGGAGAACGACCATCTCAAGTACGCCCAGAGGACAATCTTCGACCAGAGGGAGAGTTCTACACTCCGGAGAAACCTGGATTCCGCCCTGCAGAGAGACCGGTTCAAAAGAAACCAGAGGATAACCTTAAACCCGAGGGAGACTTCTACAGTCCAGAGAAACCAAAATACCGGCCCGGAGAACGACCTTCTCAAGTACGCCCAGAGGACAATCTTCGACCAGAGGGAGAGTTCTACACTCCGGAGAAACCTGGTTTCCGCCCAGCAGAGAGACCCGTTCAAAAGAAACCTGAGGATAACCTTAAACCCGAGGGAGACTTCTACAGCCCGGAAAAGCCCAAATACCGGCCCGGAGAACGACCTTCTCAAGTACGCCCAGAGGACAATCTTCGACCAGAGGGAGAGTTCTACACTCCGGAGAAACCTGGATTCCGCCCTGCAGAGAAACCTGTTCAAAAGAAGCCTGAGGATAACCTTAAACCCGAGGGAGACTTCTACAGCCCGGAAAAGCCCAAATACCGGCCCGGAGAACGACCATCTCAAGTACGCCCAGAGGACAATCTTCGACCGGAAGGCGAGTTCTACACTCCGGAGAAACCTGGTTTCCGCCCAGCAGAGAGACCTGTTCAAAAGAAACCTGAGGATAACCTTAAACCCGAGGGAGACTTCTACAGTCCAGAGAAACCGAAATACAAGCCTGGCGAACGTCCTTCTCAAGTACGCCCAGAGGACAATCTTCGACCAGAGGGAGAGTTCTACACTCCGGAGAAACCTGGTTTCCGCCCAGCAGAGAGACCCGTTCAAAAGAAACCAGAGGATAACCTTAAACCCGAGGGAGACTTCTACAGTCCAGAGAAACCCAAATACCGGCCCGGAGAACGACCTTCTCAAGTACGCCCAGAGGACAATCTTCGACCAGAGGGAGAGTTCTACACTCCGGAGAAACCTGGTTTCCGCCCTGCAGAGAGACCTGTTCAAAAGAAGCCTGAGGATAACTTAAAGCCCGAAGGCGAGTTTGTAAAGCCTGAGAAACAGGTGTACAAGCCTGCTGAGAAGACGGAAAAGATTATTCGCAAGGACAATCTCAGAACTGAGGGAGAAATGACTTTTGTCGAAAGGGAAGAGTATCAATATGTTGTTCGTCCTGAACAAGTAAAGCCGACTGATAATCTCAAACCCGAAGGAGAATTCTATAGTCCAGAGAAACCGAAATACAAGCCTGGCGAACGTCCTTCTCAAGTACGCCCAGAGGACAATCTTCGACCAGAGGGAGAGTTCTACACTCCGGAGAAACCTGGTTTCCGCCCAGCAGAGAGACCCGTTCAAAAGAAGCCTGAGGATAACCTTAAACCCGAGGGAGACTTCTACAGTCCAGAGAAACCCAAATACCGGCCCGGAGAACGACCTTCTCAAGTACGCCCAGAGGACAATCTTCGACCTGAGGGAGAGTTCTACACTCCGGAGAAACCTGGATTCCGCCCTGCAGAGAGACCTGTTCAAAAGAAGCCTGAGGATAACTTAAAGCCCGAAGGCGAGTTTGTAAAGCCTGAGAAACAGGTGTACAAGCCTGCTGAGAAGACGGAAAAGATTATTCGCAAGGACAATCTCAGAACTGAGGGAGAAATGACTTTTGTCGAAAGGGAAGAGTATCAATATGTTGTTCGTCCTGAACAAGTAAAGCCGACTGATAATCTCAAACCCGAAGGAGAATTCTATAGTCCAGAGAAACCGAAATACAAGCCTGGCGAACGTCCTTCTCAAGTACGCCCAGAGGACAATCTTCGACCGGAAGGCGAATTCTACACTCCGGAGAAACCTGGTTTCCGCCCTGCAGAGAGACCTGTACAAAAGAAACCTGAGGATAACCTTAAACCCGAGGGAGACTTCTACAGTCCAGAGAAACCGAAATACAAGCCTGGCGAACGTCCTTCTCAAGTACGCCCAGAGGACAATCTTCGACCAGAGGGAGAGTTCTACACTCCGGAGAAAACTGGATTCCGCCCTGCAGAGAGACCCGTTCAAAAGAAACCAGAGGATAACCTTAAACCCGAGGGAGACTTCTACAGCCCGGAAAAGCCCAAATACCGGCCCGGAGAACGACCTTCTCAAGTACGCCCAGAGGACAATCTTCGACCAGAGGGAGAGTTCTACACTCCGGAGAAAACTGGATTCCGCCCTGCAGAGAGACCTGTTCAAAAGAAGCCTGAGGATAACTTAAAGCCCGAAGGCGAGTTTGTAAAGCCTGAGAAACAGGTGTACAAGCCTGCTGAGAAGACGGAAAAGATTATTCGCAAGGACAATCTCAGAACTGAGGGAGAAATGACGTTTGTCGAAAGGGAAGAGTATCAATATGTTGTTCGTCCTGAACAAGTAAAGCCGACTGATAATCTCAAACCCGAAGGAGAATTCTATAGTCCAGAGAAACCGAAATACAAGCCTGGCGAACGTCCTTCTCAAGTACGCCCAGAGGACAATCTTCGACCAGAGGGAGAGTTCTACACTCCGGAGAAACCTGGATTCCGCCCTGCAGAGAGACCTGTTCAAAAGAAACCTGAGGATAACCTTAAACCCGAGGGAGACTTCTACAGTCCAGAGAAACCGAAATACAAGCCTGGCGAACGTCCTTCTCAAGTACGCCCAGAGGACAATCTTCGACCAGAGGGAGAGTTCTACACTCCGGAGAAACCTGGTTTCCGCCCAGCAGAGAGACCCGTTCAAAAGAAACCAGAGGATAACCTTAAACCCGAGGGAGACTTCTACAGCCCGGAAAAGCCCAAATACCGGCCCGGAGAACGACCTTCTCAAGTACGCCCAGAGGACAATCTTCGACCAGAGGGAGAGTTCTACACTCCGGAGAAAACTGGATTCCGCCCTGCAGAGAGACCTGTTCAAAAGAAGCCTGAGGATAACCTTAAACCCGAGGGAGACTTCTACAGTCCAGAGAAACCCAAATACCGGCCCGGAGAACGACCTTCTCAAGTACGCCCAGAGGACAATCTTCGACCTGAGGGAGAGTTCTACACTCCGGAGAAACCTGGATTCCGCCCTGCAGAGAGACCTGTTCAAAAGAAGCCTGAGGATAACTTAAAGCCCGAAGGCGAGTTTGTAAAGCCTGAGAAACAGGTGTACAAGCCTGCTGAGAAGACGGAAAAGATTATTCGCAAGGACAATCTCAGAACTGAGGGAGAAATGACTTTTGTCGAAAGGGAAGAGTATCAATATGTTGTTCGTCCTGAACAAGTAAAGCCGACTGATAATCTCAAACCCGAAGGAGAATTCTATAGTCCAGAGAAACCGAAATACAAGCCTGGCGAACGTCCTTCTCAAGTACGCCCAGAGGACAATCTTCGACCAGAGGGAGAGTTCTACACTCCGGAGAAACCTGGATTCCGCCCTGCAGAGAGACCTGTTCAAAAGAAGCCTGAGGATAACTTAAAGCCCGAAGGCGAGTTTGTAAAGCCTGAGAAACAGGTGTACAAGCCTGCTGAGAAGACGGAAAAGATTATTCGCAAGGACAATCTCAGAACTGAGGGAGAAATGACTTTTGTCGAAAGGGAAGAGTATCAATATGTTGTTCGTCCTGAACAAGTAAAGCCGACTGATAATCTCAAACCCGAAGGAGAATTCTATAGTCCAGAGAAACCGAAATACAAGCCTGGCGAACGTCCTTCTCAAGTACGCCCAGAGGACAATCTTCGACCAGAGGGAGAGTTCTACACTCCGGAGAAACCTGGATTCCGCCCTGCAGAGAGACCTGTTCAAAAGAAGCCTGAGGATAACTTAAAGCCCGAAGGCGAGTTTGTAAAGCCTGAGAAACAGGTGTACAAGCCTGCTGAGAAGACGGAAAAGATTATTCGCAAGGACAATCTCAGAACTGAGGGAGAAATGACTTTTGTCGAAAGGGAAGAGTATCAATATGTTGTTCGTCCTGAACAAGTAAAGCCGACTGATAATCTCAAACCCGAAGGAGAATTCTATAGTCCAGAGAAACCGAAATACAAGCCTGGCGAACGTCCTTCTCAAGTACGCCCAGAGGACAATCTTCGACCAGAGGGAGAGTTCTACACTCCGGAGAAACCTGGATTCCGCCCTGCAGAGAGACCTGTTCAAAAGAAACCTGAGGATAACCTTAAACCCGAGGGAGACTTCTACAGTCCAGAGAAACCGAAATACAAGCCTGGCGAACGTCCTTCTCAAGTACGCCCAGAGGACAATCTTCGACCAGAGGGAGAGTTCTACACTCCGGAAAAACCTGGATTCCGCCCTGCAGAGAGACCTGTTCAAAAGAAACCTGAGGATAACCTTAAACCCGAGGGAGACTTCTACAGCCCAGAGAAACCGAAATACAAGCCTGGCGAACGTCCTTCTCAAGTACGCCCAGAGGACAATCTTCGACCAGAGGGAGAGTTCTACACTCCGGAAAAACCTGGATTCCGCCCTGCAGAGAGACCTGTTCAAAAGAAACCTGAGGATAACCTTAAACCCGAGGGAGACTTCTACAGTCCAGAGAAACCGAAATACAAGCCTGGCGAACGTCCTTCTCAAGTACGCCCAGAGGACAATCTTCGACCAGAGGGAGAGTTCTACACTCCGGAGAAACCTGGTTTCCGCCCAGCAGAGCGACCTGTTCAAAAGAAGCCTGAGGATAACTTGAAGCCAGAAGGAGACTTCTACAGCCCAGAGAAACAGAAGTACAAGCCTGGCGAACGTCCATCTCAAGTACGGCCGGAGGACAACCTTCGTCCTGAAGGAGAATTCTACGCTCCGGAGAAACCTGGCTTCCGTCCAGCGGAGAGACCTGTTCAAAAGAAGCCTGAAGATAACTTGAAGCCCGAGGGCGAGTTTGTGAAGCCAGAAAAACAGGTGTATAAGCCTGCAGTAAGGATTGAGAAAATCATCCGAAAGGATAACTTGCGTACTGAGGGCGATATGACATTTTTGGAAAAGAAAGAATATCAGTATGTTGTTAGACCCGAACAAGTTAAGCCGTCGGATAACCTAAGACCAGAGGGAGAATTCTTCAGTCCGGAGAAACCGAAATACCAGCCCGGAGAACGCGTTACTGTTATTAAACAGAAAGACAATTTGAAAGTAGAGGGAGAATTTTTCGTCCGAGAAAAGCAGGACTTTACACCTGCCGAGCGGCCTAAGCAAAAGAAGCCCCATGATAACTTGAGGCCGGAGGGTGAGATGGTACTACCAGAAAAGGAGAAGTATAAGCCGGCTGATAAGGTCACCAGAGTTATTCATAAAGATAACCTCCGCACTGAGGGAGAAATGACCTTCACCGAAAAGACGGAATACCAACATGTCGTTCGACCCACTCCTGTTAAGCCTGAGGATAATCTCAAAACGACCGGCAAATTTTATGTTCCTGAAAAGACGAGCGTTACCAATGGGGAGCGCCCCGAGCCAGTAAGACCGAAAGACAATCTGAAACCAGAAGGTGTTATGTACACTCCAGAGAAACCGAAGTATGAGCCTGCATCCCGACCAGAACAGAAGAAATACGTTGATAATTTGAAACCAGAGGGTAAGATGCACATTCCGGAAAAAGAAGCTTTCAAGCCTGCGGACAGGGTCAAGACAGTTATAAGAAAGGACAACTTGAAGACCGAAGGAGAAATGACCTTCACCCAAAAGGAGGAATATCATCATGTTAAGCGACCAGAACAAGTTAAGCCTACCGACAATCTCAAGGTCGAAGGTGAATTCTACACACCCAACAAGACTACCTTCAGGCCTGCCGAGCGGCCCGTCCAGAAGAAGCCGAAGGATAACCTGAAACCAGAAGGAGAGTTTTACAAGAGAACCGATCGAAGTGAGACGGATAGCACAACTCTGGAAACAATCAAGAGAGAAACACCCAAACGTCCCGTCGATAACCTAAAGATGGAGGGTTCTATGACAGTGACCAGGAAAGATGACTACAAAGCTACCACTAACAAAACAACTGTTGAAAGGACACAGCGCACTCAGAAATATAAGCACAATAGTTCTTCGATTACTTTGGGAAGTGATACTGCCATCCTCAAGACCACCAATCAGATGAATTACGTTTCTGGCAAAGATGCTGTTAAGCAGGTCGATTCGAATAGTCAGAATCCTGTGGATGGCTTGATTGTGGTCTCCACGAAGAAGGTAACTACTGTCGTCGGAGGGCGTCATAAGAAAGAACCCGAAACCGAATATGTCAAGAGGCCAGCGAAAATCAACGTCATTGAGAATGTGGCCAAAAACACCACAACCACAAACATTGAGAACACTCAAAATATCCACAAAGAAACAACATCGATGCAACGAAATCACAACCTTGTCCAGAATGCATCATTGACAACGGATACATCCAAGATTGCAATCGAGAGTGACCGTGGTCAAGTCACAAACAAAGTTGGAGGAGAAACCACCACACGAGTGGTGGCAGGAGGTTCATCATCCAACATTGTGACCGGGGATTCATCGTCAACCCGAGTCGTGTCAGGAGGTTCATCATCCAATATTGTAACCGGGGATTCATCGTCAACCCGAGTAGTGTCCGGCAGGACTATAACCCGCAACACCACAGAGGATACTACTTCAAGAGTCGTATCTGGCAGAAACGTCTCCAGCAATATAACTGGCGACACAACGACGCGTGTGGTTTCTGACAGGAATGCCTCTAACAATATAATCGGAGACTCTGGAAGTAGGACTACCCAAAACAATATTGTCTCCGGTGGCTCAACATCCCACATGTCCTCTTCAAAACACTTCCATCACAGGAAGAGCGAGTTCTCCTCCGAGGCCGATGTGTCCAACACAATATTCCACCGCAAGAGCGTGACCTCTGACTCGAATACGGCCAATGGTAGCCTGACCTCCAACGGCAAGATGCAGCGCAAAAGTATTCTGAATCTGCACGAGCAACCCTCCAGCAGTGCTACTTATGGCGGGGATCGGCAAAGCTACAGCAGTATCCACCGGCAGAATCGGGAATCGGATTTGAACAGCAGCTTCTCCACCGAGCGCCGCAGCTGCAGTGTTCACAAGGAAAACCGAGAGCACAACACGAAGAACTCATCCTCCATGTCTCGAATTATCTCTGGTGGGGGCAGTAGCGCCGATACCAGATCGAATGTGGAACGGACAACAGTGACACGCACCCACATATCCGGGGGCGGGGGCATCGATTTTCCATCTCAATCTCACTCCCATGTCGGCAGCCATGTGACACGTCACCGTGGCGGCCAGCATGTGTCCAGCTCCAGTGGCGGCATCGATTTCCCCTCCTACAGCGCCCACAGCCACACCGAACGTGTGGTCACCCGTCGCGGCAATCAGTCCTCCATTAGCCTCGGCAACGACAAGTTCACCGGCTCCAGTATGTACAAGAGCGAATATATAACTGCCCCGACATCGACGTGTGCTGTGCACAAGATAAAGCAAGGTGCATTCCAACATACCAGGAGTACTCAAGAACACAAGTTCTTCAAGACCTCAAACTAATCCCGAAATCAGATAAATCCCAGCTACGATTATATACATATCTTTTGCCTCACTAATATCCATATCCCATAATAACGATAATATAGTGCCTAAGCTTCCATGACAATATGTGTGTTTTATACAAACCATAAAGATTAACAATAAACGTAATTTTTTCAAAGCAATATTATCCTTCATTTTTTATAAAAAAAACGCAACTTTTTTAAGGATCAACTGGAGATGACGTCTTTATTGAGAATTTATAAGATGCTAGTGTCGTTTTAAAGGCTAGTATGTATAGGTAACTGTAAATTTAAACATTAAAAAAATCGACTCGACTATATATATACGCACACATGTATATATAAACAATGATTTCTATCTATAACTCGTACTTTTCGATTTCTTTTTGTATAATGGTGTACATATGCAGTTTATTGTTGTTCTCTGTTCAATTTCTCTATAATTCATGTTAATACAATAAATATTTCTCTTTTTTTTCATAATCGTACAATGTATATATATATATATATATTTTCATTAATATATACTCATCGATTCGCTTAGACTACGTGTTTAATACCATATATATATCATAAATCATTATTATTTGTGTTTGGAAGACATTTGTTCGCTTGTTTGGAAGACTTGCGTTTCGTTTCTTAAATACTAACATTATTGTTTTCGATTTCGTTTCGAGTATTAGAATTCCCGGTGTTCTGGGCACAGCCAATGGATGCCCAAGCATCTGGAAGACTTGCCATGCCCAAAATTAGGAGGATTTCGACTATAAATCATGGAGTTATTCGCTTAGAATGGAAGACCGATTTCGAATGCATTAATTAGGGCATTGCCCGAATCGTAGATACCGATGACGCCGAAGAGCACGCCGAGCCCAATGATGAGGTAGTCTTTGGCTATTTCCTTCTGGTCGAGCAGGTGCCCCTTGATCTTGATGTGGAAATAGCAGGGCCAGATAAAACTAAGCATGGTGCCGGTGAAGCTGCCAATAAAGCCCATCAAAATGGAGAAGTGGGGAATGAAAATGGCCATCAGTATGGTGGACACGATAACGCCCACCCGGAAGCCCAGGCCCCAAACTTTCAGTTCCCCGTCCAAGTTCCAGATGGTCGGGAACTTGGTCTTCGGCGGACCCCGGAAAAAGTTCCGTTCGAGCAGCTCACAAGCGGCATAGTATGGCAAGGGGTAGCTAAGCACGGCCTTGATGACCAGGAAGAAGTTCACCAGTCCCTTGAAGCCCTGCGAGTGCAGGTTGTTGGTGATGACCTGCTGGGTGTCGTTCTGGAAGGTAAGGAAACATATGTAGCCGAATCCGGCCTTAAACACCGCTGCCGCAATATGCGACCAGTCCAGCATCCAGTTGAACTTTGAGCGATCGATCATGTTGCCCTCGAGAGTGGGCAAGAAGATTTGGGAGGTGTACGAGAAGACGATCACGCCCAGGGAAATGGGAAAGTTCTCCATGTCGATGCTGAAGCGGACCTTGGACCAGCCCCAGTCTCCGATCTGTAGCAGGCAGTAGCCCAGGATCACGGCGTTTATCACGATGTGCGACATTGTGCACCAGAACGACAGGGTCGACACCATCTTCAGGGACTTGAGGAAGCCCATGGGCAGCAGGAAGATGCCCACGAACAGCATCCAGGAGCGCGAATCGAACGATCCCTGTGGATAGGTGCCGGCCAATAGATCTCCGCACACCACCACGTACAGGATGCAGGTCATCAGGAGCTCAATGAGCTGGGCAATGCTGACGGCGCGAGCACCCAGCTTGGGACCGAAACATACCTTGGCGATGGCCACGTAGCTGTCGCGTACACGCACCATTTGTCCCGTGGCCGGATCCGGTTCGTAGAGGCACTGCACCAGCACCTTTCCCGTGTAGCAGCAGATGTGTGCAATGCCCACCATGGCCACGATGGCCCAGTAGCCGCCGTGGAGCACGGCGAATGGCAGCGATACAATGAACATGCCCTGAATGGCGTTGGTCACATTCCAGCCTGCCTGAAACTCGTCGATCTTGCAGCCGCCGCCACCCTCTCCCTCGCAGACGAATGAGCTGCCCTCCGAGGCGATGCTTCCTTGTCTGGAGAGAACCAGGATCAGTGGGTGGATAGTCTACAATTAGTTGGAAGAAACTCACCTGAAGCCATCGGTTTGCTGGTACCTGCCATCGTACTCGTTGAAGGATGTGCTCTGGTACTCGCCTTTGTACTCGCCACCGCCCTCGCCCTCACCCTCTGTTGTCCAGTTGCCGGCATTCCGGAATGGATTAGAGCTCATTTCCGTGGACTGGTCGCCGCCTTCCATACCCGCATAGTCCATGGCCTGGTGACCCGGCTGTTGGTGGTGCTGTTGCTGCTGCTGGGGGTGGTGTGTACTACCCGGCGGCTGTTCGTAATCCTTGCGCTCTGGAATTTGCTGTCTGGCCGTTTGCACGGCCACATTGAGTATGTTTCTGAGCGGCGGCAATGGTGTGGCTTTCAATTTGGCTATGAATGACATGTTGGATGCTGGCTATATACTCTGGCTCTGATGGTGGGATGGTGTGAGTTTGGTGGCGATGGTGGTGGTGCTGGTGGAGATGAATGGCGGCGGCCGCGGTGGTGTCAAGAAGGCGTTCGACTCGACTTGGCTCGAATGTGCTGTAGTAGTTTATTGATTTTGCCTATGGGTCCAAATGGGTGCTTTAAAAATTTTGAGGGCTTCCGCAAGCATCCGAAACTCGAATCCGCTACTCGAATTAAGCTACTGGCCGTGTCTGGACATTGAAATTAACAAATCTATAAGATAAAACCGATTCTTTTTCAGATTTTTGTTCAGATTTTGGTTTTTTTTTTTGTTGATGATTGCGACTTCTTGGCGCCCTTGTGCGAATGCTGCACGTTAATCATGCGATTCTCGGATACTTGCACATCCTGCTCACTCGTTTTCGGTTTGGAATCCTGTCCGAATGTCCTGCTAAAGTGGCCGAAATTAATGCGAAATTAAATTTTCAAAATTTAAGTGCGAATTTTATGTAACTTGGGAAATCTTTGGCCGTGCGAATGAGAAAAGAAAATCTTTGCACTCCAGCCTGATGGAAGTGGTTGTGCGCAGGCCCCGGAGTCTGCTGTGTATATCGGGCAAGGATGTGTCATATGGTCACGGTCCACCCCGCTGCCAGACGCGTTCCACAGTGACATTGACATCGATAGCAGTGATTCGATTGCTTACGCTTTACTTTATTTTGTTCTTTCTTTTTAAATTTTAAAATATATTTTCATTAAGTTTCTACACATTGTACATTTTCTAGGATCTAGGCTAGGCTGGGACTCTAGTCGGGATGGAAGAACATGGGGGATGGGGGAGAAGGGGGCTCAAACTTAGGACTACCTAAACCACTCTCTAAGCTCTAGATATCAAAATTACATACATATATCTGATCAGAGTCAGTTGCTGTAGCAGGTCTTGCGAACTCCCGCCAGAATGTTGCTAATCTCGTCGTCCTTGCGCTGCTGCTGCTCGAACAGCATCTCGCCCACACCCACTCCGACCATCCCGGAGCTAACCGGTCCGAAGGGATGGTGCTGCTGCATGGCTCCCACTCCTGCGGAGTTCGCGGAGGCCACCGTCTGAATGGACGACAAGGAGGGCGGAGCGGAGTGCGATGCCTGCTGCTGCAGGGGAGCCTGGGCTTGGATTTGGTTTTGGGTCTGACCCTGGGCCATGCCCTCGTAGCCACCGTAGTTCCCGTAGTGCAGGTATCCTCCCTGCATGGGCTGTGCCCCGAAGCCGCCGGTCGTGGTCTGCTGGAAGGGCACTGCCAGCTGGAGCGGGAAGGCGGCCAGCGAGGTGGGAGCGTACGGAAGCTGGCTGTAGTAGCTGGCCGCCGTAGCCGGGATCATGGCGTTGTTGTAGGTCTCCGCCTCGTAGTCGTCGTAGTTGTGGTTCGTGTCCGGGTACTTGAGGCACTTATCCGGCGTCGGATCCTTGTGCTGCTCATTGGAGGTGGAGTAGTCCATGTCGTTGCTCTGGTAGCGCAGAAAGTCCTCGTACTGCATCCCGTAGGCGTTGGCGCTGGGCAGATACTCATTGGCGGGCGACGACAGCTCGTTCATGCTGAGCCGCAGGTTGCCGCAATTGTCCGCCATGGTTACGGCGTAGCTGCCCATCTCGGACGTGGTGGGTGTGGGTCCGGAAGAGGAGCTGGAGGGAACGGTAAGGCTATTGCAATGCTGCTGCAATACTCCGACACTGTTCCTCATGGAGGCGCTGCCCTCGTCCTCGGAAACTGACACCGGCGGATAGAAGGTCCCCTTGACGGAGTGCCCGTGATCCAGCAGCCCTCGATTGTTGCAGGTCACGTACATCCCCCTGGCCGCCACCACGGCCACGGATGTGGGGGCCAATGGATAGCTGCCGGAGTATAGGCCCTGTTGTGGCTGAGGCTGACCTTTAGCCTTGCCCTCCTCCGAGGACTTGGAAAGCTTGTCCTGGCGCGCCTTGGCCGCCCGACTGGAAGGCGGCGGCTTCGTTAGTTTCTTCAGCAGCAAGGAGCTGTCGTAGCTGCCACCCGTTCCCGACGAGGACTCGTTAAGCAGTGCAGGTGGACAGTTGGCGGCTAGGGACTCAATCTGCTCGGAACTGTCCGCATTGCTGTAGCAGTCCACGGAGCTGGGCGAATATGTGGGCTTCAGGGGCTGCTCATACAAGCCGCCCGCAGAGACCTGATTGGGATTCTGGCTCGTGGAGTTGCAGGTGCTCTCGTCGGTGGTGGGCGCGGTGTAACTGGACGCTGCCGTTGCCAACGGAGGAGTGCTCAGCTTGGAGTTCGATTTGGCTCCTCCACCGGCCACTGGATTGGGTGAGTTCTCGCTCTGCTCCTTGCCACCCGGTTGCATGGTGCGCAGCTTGGACTGCTTGCGTCTCCGTGGCCTGTACTTGTAGTTGGGGTGCTCCGTCATATGGATGACCCGGAGACGCTCTGCCTCCTCCACATATGGTCTTCGATCCTGCGGCGTCAGAGAACGCCATTTTTTTCCTGAAAATAATCAAGAAAATGGCGTAAAATAATTAAAACCGAGAGGTATTTGAATCTTGCTCTCAGGATTTTGATGCAGAATGGTGAAGAATCGATCTAGAAATCGTTTAAGGTACTCCGCTTGAGAATCGGATGAGAATTGGCAAAGATATAGCCATGGCTGTGGACCCTAAAAGGGAAAACCCCATTTTCAAGGGATCCCATCACGAAAAATAGACAAAAAATCGAAAAAATATTTTGTCTCAGGATTTTGATGCAGAATGGTGGAGAACCGATCCACAAATCGTTTAAGGTACTCCGCTTGAGAATCGGATGAGAATTGGCAAAGATATAGCCATCGCTGTGGACCCTATAGGGGAAAACCCCATTTTCAAGGGATCCCATCACGAAAAATGGACAAATAATCGAAAAAATATTTTGTCTCAGGATTTTGATGCAGAATGGTGAAGAATCGATCTAGAAATCGTTTAAGGTACTCCGCTTGAGAATCGGATGAGAATTGGCAAAGATATAGCCATGGCTGTGGACCCTAAAAGGGAAAACCCCATTTTCAAGGGATCCCATCACGAAAAATAGACAAAAAATCGAAAAAATATTTTGTCTCAGGATTTTGATGCAGAATGGTGGAGAACCGATCCACAAATCGTTTAAGGTACTCCGCTTGAGAATCGGATGAGAATTGGCAAAGATATAGCCATCGCTGTGGACCCTATAGGGGAAAACCGCATTTTCAAGGGATCCCATCACGAAAAATAGACAAAAAATCGAAAAAATATTTTGTCTCAGGATTTTGATGCAGAATGGTGGAGAATCGATCCACAAATCGTTTAAGGTACTCCGCTTGAGAATCGGATGAGAATTGGCAAAGATATAGCCATCGCTGTGGACCCTATAGGGGAAAACCGCATTTTCAAGGGATCCCATCACGAAAAATAGACAAAAAATCGAAAAAATATTTTGTCTCAGGATTTTGATGCAGAATGGTGGAGAATCGATCCACAAATCGTTTAAGGTACTCCGCTTGAGAATCGGATGAGAATTGGCAAAGATATAGCCATCGCTGTGGACCCTATAGGGGAAAACCCCATTTTCAAGGGATCCCATCACGAAAAATGGACAAAAAATCGAAAAAATATTTTGTCTCAGGATTTTGATGCAGAATGGTGAAGAATCGATCCACAAATCGTTTAAGGTACTCCGCTTGAGAATCGGATGAGAATTGGCAAAGATATAGCCATCGCTGTGGACCCTATAAGGGAAAACCCCATTTTCAAGGGATCCCATCACGAAAAATAGACAAAAAATCGAAAAAATATTTTGTCTCAGGATTTTGATGCAGAATGGTGGAGAACCGATCCACAAATCGTTTAAGGTACTCCGCTTGAGAATCGGATGAGAATTGGCAAAGATATAGCCATCGCTGTGGACCCTATAGGGGAAAACCGCATTTTCAAGGGATCCCATCACGAAAAATAGACAAAAAATCGAAAAAATATTTTGTCTCAGGATTTTGATGCAGAATGGTGGAGAATCGATCCACAAATCGTTTAAGGTACTCCGCTTGAGAATCGGATGAGAATTGGCAAAGATATAGCCATCGCTGTGGACCCTATAGGGGAAAACCGCATTTTCAAGGGATCCCATCACGAAAAATAGACAAAAAATCGAAAAAATATTTTGTCTCAGGATTTTGATGCAGAATGGTGGAGAATCGATCCCCAAATCGTTTAAGGTACTCCGCTTGAGAATCGGATGAGAATTGGGGAAGATATAGCCATCGCTGTGGACCCTATAACGGAAAACCCCATTTTCAAGGGATCCCATCACGAAAAATGGACAAAAAATCGAAAAAATATTTTGTCTCAGGATTTTGATGCAGAATGGTGAAGAATCGATCCACAAATCGTTTAAGGTACTCCGCTTGAGAATCGGATGAGAATTGGGGAAGATATAGCCATCGCTGTGGACCCTATAGGGGAAACCCCATTTTCATGGGCAAGGGTGTATCAACTTTGGCTTCGCCCAAAGTTAGCTTTCCTTTCTTGTTCTAATTAAATATCCTTAAATTTTTAAAAACATCCTCTCACTTACCCAACATCTTGCTGAGGTCGGCATTATGCAGGTCGGGATTCTCGTCGGCCAGCTTCTTGCGCTCGATCTTGGCCCAAACCATGAAGGCGTTCATCGGCCGGCGGATGCGCGACTCTTTGGCACTTTTTGACTGGGTTCCGCCGCTGGGTCGGTACTTGAGGTCATTGGGCATCGGCTTGTGCCGCTCCAGATAGCCACAGTTGGGGGCACAGAGATCGCCCTTGTAGTCATAGCTCCACATGGATCCCGGCTCGCAATCCTCCATGGATCCTGCCGTGGTAATAGATCCTCCGCTGACCAGTCCCGGGTGCGGATGCGACAAGAACTTATTAAGCACCGAAGTGCCACCACTGCCCAAAAGCGGAATATTGCTACTAATCAGCGTACCGGAGCCAGTGCCTCCGCCACCAACATAGGCGCTGGAGGAGACCATCGGCATGGGCGAGTGGCTGTGGCTGTGCACGGAGAGAACGGCCTCGCCGAGGGAGTGCTCGTTCTCGTAACCGGTGCTCTGTATGGCTGGGGAGTGGAGGCTGGGCGACGAGTGCTCGCTGCCCTGGCGGACATGGTAGAGGCCCCCGGCATCGTTGGTGGTCTCATGCATCAGCCGGCCGTGGCTGTCCGTCAGGTAGCCGCCGTGCTCCGGATAGTCGCTGCCAGTCGAGTGGCTGTACTCCGGGGTGCGCGATACGTGCGGATACTTTTTCGAGCTGGAAATTAAAATTTTGAAAATATTATAAAGGTAACTTTAATAAAAACCTTAATCAGATAGGACTTCATGATCCAGAACATGATCTTTATGATAGATAGAAATTATTGTATCTATAATTACCAAAGGTTTAAATAGTTTCTTAGAAAGATCAAGATTTTTAAGATAAAACTAAATAAAATACATATTTTTGAAGCACTTGAATCACAATCTTTATTTTATAGGCTGGATGGGATGTGATTATTTCCACCGTCTGCTCCCCTTTCCGTATCACATTCATGATCGTTGTTAAAGTCGCTCCCCAGGGGCTACCGTAGAAAATTACGTACCGCCGGCAAAAATGCCCGTCGCAATGTTCCTTATAATGATATTTAAAAGGGCTGCTAAATACGTTGACAATTTTCGCGTTGCTGCCACGCAGGAGGAGTGGGAAGGGTTTGCATTTATCAGACACCAGTGAGACCTAAAGGCTGAGTCTGACTGGATTTGCCGGGGACGGGGATAGGGTTGGAGGAACCCTGGATGGGTCGGTGTGTGCCCTGCATCGGTGCGCTCCTTAATGTCAGCGGACATAAATGTAAATTGGGCGCGTGCAGCTATTGTATTATCAAAGGAGGCCGCCCCAACTCCGACAAGCCACCGTCTCGGATCTGGAGTCTGAGGGCCTGGGGTTCGGGCCTTGGATCTTGGATAGGGGATATCTCGGGCGGAGTAAGCAAAGAAGCTGGAGCAGAAGCTGCTATCCAGACTGGGGACCCAGATCGAGACCAAGCCGAAAGCCAAAAGCCGAAAACCAAGAATGAGAATGAGAATGAGACCGCAGTCTGGCTGCCTTGCCCGACCGGACCTTTATGCATAACTTTTAAAACTTGCGACATATCGACACATTTCAAAGTAATTCGCCTTCCAAGAATTCAGGCAGCATTGGGAGCATGGAGCATAAAGCCTGGACAAGTTTAAATATTGCCAAAGCTCCCGAGATCCCGACTTCGATCCGGCGGCTGGCTTTCGGTGCTCCTTTGGGGGATCTTTTGGTCGTAGTATGTAGCTTGGTTGCCTTGCTCCGCATTTCTGTGCTCCTTCGATTTGTTACCGTTTGAATTTATTGCTGCCCACTACACTTTTGGTCTATTGTCTGGCTCTGTGGCTCTGTTGCTCTTTTGCCTGCTCAGAAACCTCTGTTTGGGCCTAATTGTTTGGCTGGAGATTCTAAGCCAGCCAGCCAGCCAGCCAGCCAGTCAGCCAGCAAGGAGAACCCTAGCCTCCAAGTCTTAGAGTCTCAGAGCCTTTTGTCCAGATAGGAGTCCCCAACTTTTGGCCGGCTAGGCGCTCTAGTTCCGACTACTTTCTTTTGCCCAAGATGCCGCCAAAGTTTGCAAATTTTTGCAGTACCCTTGAATCTATACCCCTTCTCCCAGTTAGCGGCAAGCAAAAGTCCCGGCTACCCAGCCCTCGATGAAGTCTCGATAATTTATTGAGGGTTTTCGGTGACGTCGTTACGTTTTTGATATTCGGTTGCGGCTGCCGCTGCTAAATACTTCGCCGCTGTCGATATGCCGCCAAGTGGCCAGAAGGGGTACACAAAATTATACCGTCTTGGTTCCTGCCACTGCCACAGTGGTCCCCTATCCCCTGTCCCGCATCCCCCGTCCACTGTTCCCTGTTCCGGGATCGCAGTCCTGCTGTCCAAGCTGTCCCAACTGTCGGCTGTCTGGTCGCAGTCGGTCTGGCTTTATCCTAAGCGCACTCACGATCCACGAAACTACGCTCCTGGCTTAGCTTCGGACCTCGACTTGGACAGGGGACTTTGGCTTCAGCTTTAGCTTCAGTTTCAGCCACAGTTTCGAGTGCTTAGCCATGGCCCTGATTTTAAAATAGGACACATACAGTGGCCGGTAAGTTGGCATTTTTATGCGCGCAAAATGTCAACATCTTTGCAAAATGCCACATATTCCACATTGCGGCCAGTCGCTGCAGCATCTCCTCTACCCGAGTGGTGCCCCAGTACTCCATCCATGTCCATGCCGGGGACCATGGAACGTTTTGTTTACGACAACAACGTCTCCTCTGGTGGCTCAGTAAAAGGTGGAACGAAGAAGTAAGAAGGTTCCTGAGAGTAATGGTATGGGGGCAGTTGGCCGGGGGGACTCCCCCTAGGCTACTCCTCCCTTTTTTAACAAGCCAGCCAACTTCATTCAGGAGCCGCCTTGATCTGGAGAGTGTCAGGCGCTTTAGCATATTGTGATTCATGTGACGCTCTGCCGCGCTTCTCAAGACAGCCTCTTGGTAGTTGGAAGTCGCCCAGTTCTGGAAATCAGATACACCCCACACCCCATCGATATATACAATAGCATTCATGGATGGCATTCTAAGACCTTAAGGGGCTACTCCTTAATCTATATTCGCCATATTCCGGGCTAATTTTAGAAAGGCTTTCGGCCAGAACTCCAAAAACCTTGACAATCTGGCAAACTCCGGCAAATAGGACAGTAATTAAGACAGATCCCCGGATACTGTGAGCTGTCAATACCTTTTGTCTAGCCTTTCCTCTATTCGGATACGAAAGAATGGCCTGGGGGATTCTCGAGACTTTCCAGACGACAGGTATGTGACAACAATTGGCCAGATTTGTCTCGGATTCTAAACAATAGCTGCCCAGCAGAGCACCACGAAAATGGTATTTTATTGGGGAGATGGCTTAGATTGATTTAGTGTGGCTCTAAGGTTGACATTAAATCGAAATTGGGTTGAATACTTGTGAGTACAGGAGGTACTTTATAAGCAAATAGTTTGCGGTTTGTGAGGTGGCTACTGGTCCAATTATCACATTAGGGTTACAATCACTCTCATATACATATTGGAAAGCTCCTCCCCTTCGAACTGGGTAATTAACAACCTTGATAAGTAATTTATTTAGATTGTCCGATTGTCAGTTGCCCATAAATATTGTATTAAATCTTTAATCGATCAGTAAGTTGGGTTTACAGAGGGAGAAATAATCCAGGAGGTACTCTAGCTAGATACTGAATGGTTTTGTTGAATATTCTCAAAAAACTTCTTAAAGTGTAGCTTCTACCCATAGCTTCTCTTAGCCAAATAATCATGGCCGAAATGGCAAATCATTTGGCGCCTCATCTTCGATCGCATTGGGCCTCGCAAGTGGCTGTAAGCGGTGCGGCAAGGTAATAAAAGCCATTTTGATTTTCGGCCCAGTCAAAGGCGCACGGCTAAAAGGCAGATGTGCTGGAGGTGGGTGTGGCCAGTGCTTGGCCAGAGGATGGGGTTGGGGCATCTGCCCCGGCGACTCTCCATTTGCTCCATTTGCAGTCTATTGGTTGCCTGCTGTGGTGGCTGCTTGAGGCGCCCCAACCCGAATACATTTGTTACCAAGCCATCCAGCCAGCCAGCCAGCCAGCCAGCCAGGAGAACAGATTTCCAATGCAGCAAACGGGTTTTGAAGCCACGACTTGGGCCAGTTCCAGAGCTGGAGCTGTATCTGTATCTGAGGCTAAGACTGAGCAACTGAAACTGAGGCTGGGGCTAAAAACGGCGGTGCCCAGGTGTGATGTACTTGAATAACTTAACGACGCAGGCCAGGTCGCCGCCGCCGGTCGCCAAGTTGCTGCGATGAGTTGTCGGCCATTTACGCATACATATGCATGTGTATATTCCAGGCAGTATGCAGCATATGCTGCAGTATGTAGCATGTAGATGCTGCAACGGCTGCTGCCTGGCCAATAAGCATAAACAGCCCAGCATCCGGGCCCGAAGAGCCGCCATCTTAGGTTTAATGAACATGAACGAAGCGCTACCTGAGCGAATGAGATCGGTACGCACTTAATATGTATCTGTGTATCTGTAAGATACGTGTGTGCGTATGTATATCTATTTGTATCTGTGTGTAGAGGCCATTTACTGGCCGGGGCACATAATTAAACTAATGAAGCAAGCGAGGAGCAGGGCAGCGCCATCATCATCATCACCATCACTCTTCGAGGGCCGAAGTGAAGCCGAAGAGCTGGATTCGTTCGGCTAATGAGGTTTATTGCGGCTGTCGTCGCTTGATCCCCCCTCACCTCCTACACCCAGTCCCCAACCCCCACCTTAAACCCCCCAGGCCCTACAACTTCCCCTCATTCAGCAGCCAAAGAAACAGCGAAGACCCAGTTCTCACACAAGCGATTTTAAGAGCATAAAAAAAAAGATACAAAAATTTAATGGATTTTAGCACGCACACCAGCACACGCAGAGAAACACACAAAGATACACCACAGGTATGCATACGGATACAGATACAGATACAGATACACTTAGTTACGAGTAGACGACGGACGACGGACGACTCCCTCCCTCGCAGGTTGAGTGGCACTAAATTATATGGATTGCATGGAAATGGAGGCAGTGCTACATGTTCGTACTAGTAAGTAGAGTAATTGCATGTGAAGGATCTGTACTTAGCTAGTTGGTGCCTATGGAAATAAATACCACCCCAGTCAGCCCAACTAGCCCAGCCAGCCGGACCTTAGATCGTTGTCGTTATGGGGGGCACTCGGGAGGTATTGCCACATTTCATATGAAATCTTTTAAATTTTTTTGTAAAACTTAGACGTGTTTTTGCTAAATGTTTTATGATCCATAATTGCTGAGCTTTAATTCAATAAACTGACAGAAATGGTTACGATCATGCAATAGTTTGTTGTTTTTTGAGATCAACTTAGAAACTGTCTCAAAAAAGGGAAATCTTGGGAACTGTTTTTAAATTATACTTCCCTTTGTAGTCTACTAATTGAGAGCTAACTCGGGTAGCTAATGTTAGTATGGTTATACATAGTATGGCATAGATGGGGTTTCAACTGTAATATTTCATCCATCACTAATATTTTTCTAGCGGTATGCTTAGGGACGTTTTATTTTAACATTTAAATTCATTATTGTAAGAAAACCCGGTAAAAACTTCACTCCCTTATAATATTTATTATTATTAGAATTATTAGCTGCTAAGGTGTTTTGAGGTTTTTTACTAAGTTCATTTATAAATAAATTATATCAGAGATCATAAGGTTCTTAAGATGGTTTTTCAGAAGGTTCTTTCGTTTAAAAAAGTAGTTTTTATTTTAAAAATATTGATTTACCAAAGTTATAGAATGAAAAACAGTTTATTGAAGCATTTTTTTACTAAAAAGAAGCACAGTTTCATTTTATATTCTTTCAGGGCCTTATAGTCCTTAGGACTTAGGAAGGTTCTTTCGTTTAAAAAAGTAGTTTTTATTTTAAAAATATTGATTTACCCAAGTTATAGAATGAAAAACAGTTTATTGAAGCATTATTGTATTAAAAAGCAGCACAGTTAGAGGGGGCCTTTTTTAAGGGCCTTTTGGGACTTATAGTCAGATTTTTAAAATGCAAAACATCTCAGAACCATAACAAACTATGATCCTATTGATCATTTCATTTTCTTAAAATGAAAATTCTGGGAAAACTATAAAATTACAACACCCATGCATGTTATCAGGTACTTTCTACGCAAAAACATCTTATAGAAATTTAATTATTTCTCATTACAACCTCCATAATTAAACAATTAACCTGTCTCCGCAAGATTTATAAACAGTAAAAAAGATTTATCTTAAAGTTCTAAGAAGTAACAGAAGCTGGAATCTCCTGATACGTCAAACATTTAGTTCCTGCTTAAATTTATTAAAATTAAGGGGAATTCTTGAACATGGCTCTCAGACGTCACATATGAAATTAACAATGCAAAAATAATTTCAAAGGAAAAGACCATTTTAATTGGAAGCAAAAACGGATTTTGTTTAAATCTTTATATATATTTTTTATTCTCAATAAACAAACTACAATGAAATCTTAATTAATTGCCAAACATGATTGGAAATCCACATATAGAGACGGTTGTTTATTGCTCATTGAATTTTATTTGATGAGAAAAACTATTTAGATGGAAACCGAAGTTAGCAGAGTTAAGGTAGATCACAGCCTTGACTTGATTTATGGAGGAGCCGTAAAAGATCAAATTGAATGAAATCGCATCAAATCGAGTTGATTTGTGTCCCCTGTCACGTGCTGAGCCAATTTCAAACAGGAAGATTTCAAAAATGTGACGAAAAATGCGACAAGCTTTCGCCTAAAAAAAATGGTGCTTTTGGGATAAAAACAAGCGAATCCAAAAGATTCCCGGAAATCGTTTAAATTTCTTTTTTTTTTTGTGATTTGTTTTTTTTTTCTTACAAACTGTTCGGATTTATCAAAGCGTTTTCATCTGTACTTAATTTAATTTCATGGCTTCATTTCCATTCATAATTTCAGCCAATTTGTAGACGGGAATTTCCCGTCGGAAACTACGAAAGTCAGTCGGGTGTACCTTAGCTTCCATATAGCTTAGATATAGACGTTATATATACGGATATTAAAATCTCATGCGTAGCTATCATGCTGTTTAGATCGGAGGTAAATCTTTTTAATGGTCAAAGCTGCATGACCTCTGGCCGAAATCTAAAAAGAAACTTAGGAAGAGGTCTTCCTCGGACCTCGATGCCTCCGCGTTTTTCCCATGGTCAGGTCACCGCCGCCAGCCACCCCCGTCGTTGGTGTTGGCCCGTCTTGGTTCACTTTCCACTTGACCAATTTCGAGCCGGGTCCGAAGACGGTTCTTGAGTCATTTACATATTCAGAGAACCCATACCCCGAGCCAGGCCGAGAAGCGGATACGAATACAAGTGTAAGTGTCTGACAAAGTTGAAACTGGGGCCACACTAAGGAAAATCTAAGCGAATTCTCATGTACCACTTATATAGCCCCTATATAAAATGTATATACATATATTATATCTTTTGTGGCACTGTGTGCATTCGATATCCCCAACCCCAACCCCGACGGTGTTGTTTTTTTTTTTTTGTCGCTGTCGTGCCTGCTGTGCCGAGTATCCGAGTATCTTACTATCTTAGTATCTGTATCTGTGTGTGACTAAGTCTTAAAAAGTCCCCAGTCATGGGCCCATGTAGATGATTGTATATAACTATATATATACATATATACACGATCTAGAGAATTTCTTCACCACCACAGGCGCGCTTTTTCCATTTTTCATTATGGTTATTATCTTGAAGATATGTATCTTCGCTTCGGTTGGATATAATTAAACAGCGAGAAAAAAATTTTTAGCATGGGAAAAATGTAAATATTACTTGTAATTTGTTAGCAGATGATGTGGATGTTCGTGATCATATGAGGGTTCCATTTTATACGGCGACGTTCGTGGTAACGGTGACGTTGATGTTATTGCTGTTGTTGCCGATGTTGCTGTTGCAGTTGCAGTAGTTGTTGCTGATGTTGATGTCGGTGGTGGCAGGTTGAAAATATTGTTGTTGTCTTTTGGAGCTTTGCTTTAGGAGGGCCAGCAGCATTTTGCTTAATGTTGCATTATTCCGTTAGTTTTTTTCCCTTTGTCGGTGGTTCGGTGGGTTGCTGGGATGGTGGTTGCTGGGGTTGCTACTGCCACTGCTGGTGGTTCTACTACTGAAGCTGAGATGGCGGCTATGATGGTGGTAGATGGCTGGTGGAGTTGGCCCGGGCCTAGCATTCCGCCCAGTTACAGTTCCGACCATAAATTCATTTGTGCACCGGGCATGTGTGAATTTGCGTCTAGTTGTTGTCAGAATTAACTATTTTTCTAGCTCAGACCCTAACCCACATTTTTGTCCACGATTTGGCAATCGTAGATTCGGATTTTGGAACTCTTGGCACACACACACACACACTGCGATACACTCCTTGGCGAATTCTAATTTCCAAATTGCGGCTTAGTTTGCAGACCACTAATGATGGATACGAATATCAAGGGCTCCACGACATTTCACAAGATACAAACCGCTCACGGGCTGGCGGACTTTTCAAAAAACAACACTCTTGGGAAAAATGCACCAACAACCACTAACTAACTGGGCCTAAATATACTGTATATATCTATAGATATGTACAACTGAGGGGGGCCACCAGTCTGTGTATGTAGATATATTTATGATTATAGCCGGAGACGCAGATGGCTAAAGCCCGATTCGATGCCGATTCATGAACCGCGCTGATGACGAACCGCCAAGCAACTGAAACTGAACTCTGCCACCGAACAACCCAACACAACCGATCGACTCTCTCGCCCGGAGACTGTGAACTGAACTGAGGTGTCTCGACAAAGTCGATCCATAAGGCCAAAAAGCGAAAAGCTATAAGCCGAAAGCAGTCTTGGGCCAGATCGGCCAGAGAGCGGAGGCAGCTGCTCACCAAAGCGTAACGATCGGTGGCAGGCCAGGTGACTATGCCTCCGACAACTCAGGCTGCTACGACTCCCAAGACCTCGTAGTACCTTCGCCTCGGCCAGCGGCAAGTTCTTTTGAATCTAATGAAACAAACCTTATTTAATATTCGGTTCTCTCTCTTTTTTGCTCTGGTGGCAGTGAGTCTCACTTTCAGAAAGTCTGAAAACCTGTTCCCCCGATTCATTTGTTGTGGGAGAGACGACTTTGCATTTGGTTTGTTTCAATTGGTGGAGCCCCTCCAATGTCGCTGCGGCTCCATGTCTCTGTTGTTGGCTGTATGTGTATGATGGCCACAAACACATGCTCCATGAGCCATGGGAGATCGTACCCATACACGGAAATAAGCGTATGCAAATATTGTCATGTGCGGAACCTCTGGGAAAGGGTGTTATATGGTCCAAGTGGAGCACAATCTATGACAGAGATTTTTCTTTGAGGTTTTTAAACCAAGAGGCAAAATGGAAAGCTGACTTTTAAATCTTTAAGCAAGGTTCTCTATAAAAGACTTTATTAGACTTCTTTCATTAGTGATTTAAAAATATCTCAAAGATACAAGTTAAATCTATCTTAAAACCAACTAAACTTATCTAAACCCAACTTCCTAAATCCTTAAGGTCTAAGGCTTAATCCATATCTCTTTCTTCTTACTGGGAATATTTAAATAGAGCCATATTTAATTTTTATTTCACTCTCCACCCACCCACTAGGGGCCAAGCTGATTGGTATCCAGTGAAAGATAAGCACCCAAATTGCATATTGCAACAACTGCTGGCAGCGAGCCAAGATGCCAAGCCCAAAATAAACAACAACAAAGAGAAAAAAAAAAAGAAGGCTAAAAGAAAAAAGCCAACAGATGAACCTCCCAGGAGAAGACGAGTCAAGTAGTTTGGCAGGTAAAAGTGCATGTGGCCACGCGTAGGGCATTTAATAAACTCGTACTCGTACTGGAACTCATACTCCCCGCTTGGATGTGCCCCTACCTCCTGTTAGCCCGAGAGTTCATAATTAAGCGCCAGAATGCCGGGAAAGCCTTCGCTTCTTAAACGTAGATGCAAAATATTTGTTTATCACATCGCGATAATTGCCGCCGGCGAAGTGAGGTCCAAGTCGAAATCGAAGTAGGAGTCGTCGGCTGTGGCCTGGGTTCGGGGCTGGGGCTATGGCTGGGATTTATGCGCAAAGAGGGGCCAAAGTCAGGCAAAAGGTTCAGTTCGCTCGGTTCAGTTCGGTCAGACCAAAAGAAAGAAAAGCCCAAATGGTGGGGAGAGACCTGCAAGCAAGCGTGTGCCGATCGCCCAACGACGACCGCCTTCAGAAGACTGAGGGTCTGAAGAACGGAGAACGAAAACAAGGCTGGGGATAAAGATTGAGAACGAGGATCGGATCAAAGCGTGCCTCGGTGGTGGGTACAAGTTTATTGGCGTGGCGTATGTGCAAATAGCCGCGGATCGCCGATCCACCGATCCACCGACTGCTCCAAAAATGTGGGCGTGTGACACTTGAGCGCCTATCGCCAGCAAATCTCTGCCTAAATGCAGAAAAAGAAGCAAAACAAAAACAAATTATTGATAAGCAGATCGGGTCGAAGCACAGCAACAAATTTTGTCCAAGCACTTTCAATTCGCGTTCTTTCCTCCAACGACCTGCCGGCTGGGGTTTCTTTCAGTGCAGGGGCAACCTCCAGGTAGGAGGTGCAGTTTGCAGTTTGCGACTCCCTTATCGCTGATGAAGCCCGGCACACGTTGGTCCAACTCTGGGCCCATGCATTGATGGCTGTCTGTTTCGCTTGGCTCTTGGCTGGTTCTGTTATGTAAGCCAATCCACATAGCCACTGCGGTAGGTATGAGAGCCTGAAGAGCTGCTGAAGCTCACAATCAGGGAGTGTCCTATGCAGCACAGCTTTGTTGTTAAATAGTCATTACTATATAATCTTGGTATGTTTTAAGAAATATTATATTCAAAGATGTTTTTTTGTTTCATTTTAATCTTCTTATTTCATTATTTTAAATTCAAATTATGGCGCCAAATATAAGTTTTGGTGTTTTACAGCACTGTTCTGCTTTGTGCTACCAGATCAAGGATGCCACCTTGTTGTTTTATCCAATCACAGGGTTGCTGCCTATTTTGATCTTAGCCATTTTAGGATTCATTTTAGCCATGCTTACTATTTTTTTATCCCCCTAAAATTTACATTAAATTATTTAGCTAAAACATGAATGTAAAAAGAAATGTTCAGGTTTCTACTATTTGCATGTCTTAGATTAAATTATTATTTTGAAACAAAATACATAGATAAGTTCATAATGCGCCAAAATAGACGCGATACTAATTAAAAATGAAAAGTTTTCTCTTTAATCGAGTAGTAAGAATATTAATTCTTCATATTTTCTATGCTATTCAATAAATTGAAGTCCACTTTCTAAGAATAGTTCTCATATATCACATTTAATTGAAAGATCAATCAACTTGTTTCTTTTTTTTTTTTTTATTTAGTTTTGTAAAACCCTAACTCTGTTCGTCTGGAAAAATATTAGATGTAGCATCATCTAAGATCTTGGGCGCTCCTTCTTCTCCTTGTAGAGAGCCAGCAGAGAAACGTTGGCCACCTTGACAACCTTGAAACGCACACCGGGAATATCACCGACGGCGTGGCCCTTACGACCGAAACCGGCAACCAGAACCTCGTCGTTCTCCTCAATGTAGTTCAAGCTACCGTCACGGGGTACGAAGGCGGTGATCTTCTTTCCGTTCTTGATCAGCTGAACCCTCACGCACTTGCGGATGGCAGAGTTAGGCTGTTTGGCTTCAACACCACTGTAAATAAAGTGGAAAGTTTCATTAGAATATAAGGCACATATATAGTATAATTAGATATTGAATTGCTGATATTCGGCTGCTAACACGCTTGGCATCTCACAGTATAATCCTGTGATTTGAGTTTCAAAACAAACAAAACACAAAAATATACTGCGAGGCGACGAGACATGGATGTAGGAGTGCTATCACCTTGTTTAGTTCAGTAGAATACTTACACCTTCTCGAGCACGATTCCCTTGGCGTGGGAAGCACCTCCGAAGGGATTGGCCTTCCATCTGGTGCCCAAGTGAGCCTTCTTGTAGTCCTTGTCAGCCCAACGCTGGTCACGACGGTGGTTCACATGCTTCCTAGCAGTGCGCAGACCTCTTGGCTTGCCTGAAACGTTATTAAAGAAATCCTTGAGTTAAAGGAACACTTTCTTCACATCGCAACAACAAAACGTAAACAAATGGTAGCTGATTCGGCGCTTGGTTTCCTCTTTGAGGTTAGAGAGAGCCAAGGATTGTAAATACATGGGAATTGCGAATTTTGGCACATTGGCACTAGCACTTTCAATTTGTCAATATAAATCATTGACATAACTATATATCTTTCGTATTTTTCAGCAGATTTATTATATTTTCACTTTTTAGTTTACTTTTCAGTCTTTCCACCGCATGGCGTTTACAGCTCCATTTTTTCACCTTTTCCCGGGGCAAAGCGGTTTTTCCGCACGAAACTTCAACTTTCCCGCAACTTACCCATGATTTCCTAACTATCGTGTCGACAATTAAAACGCCCGTTCTGCGAAAAATAGTTAAAATTTAGCGAAATAAAGGAGGAGCCACGTGGAGCGTACATACCTTGCCAAAACGAGAGGTTAAAAAGAAAGAGGCCAGATCGGATGGTGGGAATAATGGCACAAAACCAGGGCCAGGGCTGCCATATAAATTCAAGCCTTTTTGCCCCAAGCGATAGCTAGTAACACTATGGTAACACATCAAACAGGGTTGTCCCGTGGAAGTAAAAGGGGGACCGATTATAAAAAGATAGCTTAATCAAATATTATACTTAATAATTTATAAACATTAATACATGCTTCATCCTCAAACCAATGAAAACAACCATTGGGAACTACCGAATAATCGATTGTATTTTTTAAATTGTTATCGATTCATCTGTAAATAAGAGGAATTCCTAAATCGCAACCAGGGCCGTAGCTAGCATGGGGCAGGTGGGGCGGTGCCCCAGGGCCCCCGAAGGGAAGGGGCCCCACCGGGGCAAAAGACTTCCGTATAGGAGGCCCCAAATTTACTTGTTGCCCCAGGGCCCCCGAGGCTCTAGCTACGGCCCTGATCGCAACTTTAATACATTTTTAAAACCTTTAGATGTTTTCTGATATTTTTTTTTAAATAAACTATCTAGTTTAATGATTACCAAAGTTAAGATTTAAGCCCAAGTTTGTGCTATCAAACAGGTACCAAGTACCTAGCTTCGATGCATCCCTGGTTCATAACCGTTTTTTAAACTTGTTACAAAAAATAACAAAAACCCAATTTCCACACAATCATTTTATAAAATTTTTAATTCACTATAATATAATATATATGTATTGTTTTCAAGAAATTGTTCTTTTAAAGTCAACTTCTTATCTGCTTAACAAAGTTTTTACCCTGTCAATATTAGTAACCATTTTGGTACTCATGAGTCATATGTATATTCCGCTTTCGCTTCGAACGTTCAATTAGGATGCTGTTTAATTTTTGACTCCATATATTTTAAACATCCATTTTTTGCTGACCAATGCTCACATTACTGAAATACCTCAGGCAATTTGACATTGCACTGATAAGCGATAAGCGATTTGCATAGATGCTAAAAGAAAACAAGGCAACGTCACAGATTCTGCGTAAATTGATAATAGATCGTGTACTGAATGAAATTTGTATTATATAATATGCCTTCAATAAATTAAATTAAAAATAGTTTCCTCCAGACGATTTGTTTTATTGCAAGCATACGTATATTTATGTCCGCTATAATATGCTGATTAGATTAATCACTAAATCCGGCCAAGTTAGGTAAGATGTTGCCCCGCCAAGACTGAAAAAAGAATTTAATTTGTCTAATCAATATATTTTTATGACGTGCCACCCATGGTCATATAATTTGGGAGCCTTATCACTGCACCGAAGGGGATTTTCAGGGGCTGGGGGATGGCGGCTTATCAATCAAAACTCAAAGTAACCCAATAGTTTTCTGATTAGTCGATACAGATATGAAAAAGGGAAACGGAATTGACCTGAAGCGATATCGAAACCAAGGTTTTTGTCTGAAAAGACTTCATTAATAAAGAATTCCTGCTAAGGAGAGACCAAAGTTCGCGAATTCCCGCCGATAATGGCACCGCAACCGGATAAACGACTACTACTGATAAAGACGGAACCTCTATCTAGGGGCTAAAGAATCGGTTAAATCCCTGGGGGAATCGGTTGAAGTACTTTTCGAATACGGACAAGTTCATGGCCCTCTTAATGAATTCAAGCTGAGAATGACTTTCCATTTTAAGGCCTCAGTGCCGGCGATTAACTAATTACACACGTCTAATCAGGTTTATCTGACAATAAATAAAAATAAAGTGCTACAATTTCATAATTTCTGGAAACAGTTTCGAAATGACTGAAAGCAGAATGCCGATAACCTGTTGGATGGGCAAACAAGAGTCCAAAAAACTATTCTCTCGCCACATTGTGAATGAGGCCCATTCACATTTTTGAGTTTATCTTTTCTGTAGTGGAAAAAGCCAAAGACCCACACAACATAGCACGAGGGCAAACACTCATCGTGTTGTTGTTGGTAGGTGGCACATAATTCGGGAATACAAAGATATACGTAGTGTAGTTTCTTCTTCTCTGGAAATATTCAAAAGATATACGAGAAAAAAGTAACACAAAAATTCGACAAAAAAACCAAGAGAACACTCCCAAAAAAATGTAGACGAAATGAAACAGAGAACTAAATAAGATACTTTGCATTGCGTATCTGTCCGATGGGCTATAGAGCCATGTTTTCTGTGGTTCTAATGGACTCAATAAATCCATTTGGATTCCATTCAGAAAAATAAAATTTTTGGGAACAGGGCATGTAACGCAGCTAAATTAAACAAGAACAGAGACAGCTCATCAACGAAGTTGAAAATACACCGTACACACAGATACACACGCTCACTATCGCAGGCTGCCGCCGTATGGTGTTTGCTGGTTGATGTGTGTGTTGTCGTTGATGCCGTGCTGCCGAGCAGTCTTGCTGCTTTTGCCTGCTTTGCTGCTTTCTGCTGTGCGGTTTATACTGCCAACACATTCTGATTTCCTTCAGTTATCTTTAGTCCGTCGGGTTGCTCGCATCGATTCCGATCCCCGGAGTGAATAAAACAAGCGGTCCGCATTTATATGCTCTACATATACATGCTGTGTGCTCCTACGGCTGCTACTGCTGTTTCGAATATATAAACATATGTATAATCAGATACTGATACATATATGGTAGAAGTATTTTTAAGCGTGTTGTTTCGCTTCACGTCGATCCTACTTGCTTGTGCTTTTGGTGTTGCTATTGCTGTTGCTGCCACTGATGACTTTTAACTTTCGCTTTTACTCTGTGTGTCGGCAACTTACGCGCTTGATTGCTTTCGCTTTCTCACACCAGAATAAATTCTTTGCAGCGCGCCAAAAATAAGCCATCGAGCACAAGCTTCCAAGTTCTAAAATAATACCACAAAAAAAAACACACAAATATCGCCGAGAGACGAGACTCGAGACTCGAGAGGATAGAGACCCTGCTGCAACATTGCATAAAGTTAGAGGTAAGGCAACTCCCAGAACCGCGCCCGCACGCTCATTCTGGACTTGGCTCAAAACGGGTTTTGGCCAAAAAGAGCCGACTCCACACTCCACACTTCATACTCCATACTCCATACTCCACGCAACACGGACGACGCACAGGCCATGTTACCACTTTACGTTTATGGCCAAAAGGGCAGTCAAATACCAGGAAACGAGGCTTTCTTTGTTGCTGCTACATGTATTTCGCTTTGTTTTTTTTTTTCACCCGGTTATTGTCTGTTTTAAACCACCTCCTCCCTGAACTTGAACAAAGACAATCAGCTTACGTTAGATCGATAGCTGGCTGCGAGGGGGGGTGCGCTACTGCTAAGCCTATGTATCGTATCTGCGAGATACTTCTGCACCACCTGCACCACACAACTTTTCTTGTAATTATGGCAGTATAGCGGCATTAATTTCATATGCAAATCTCGACGCCAGCTCTCGACTTTATCTTTCCGTTTGGAACACGCCTTTCGCCCCGTTTCAATATTGGGTGACTAAGCGATCGAATTTTTTTTGGGCATTTTGGCCAACCGGTTGCCGGCAAAAAGCAAACAAAAACAAGCTAACACTCCCAAGGGCAGGTGTGCGGTTTGGGAGAAAAATGTGCCAGTGTCGCGTGTGTCTATTATTATGATAAACTTTTAATGACCTGGATAGCCACCCCAAAGATCCTCAGAATCTTAGACTGCCCGGGCCGCACTGGCCTCCTTCCGAAACTTGGCAGCACTTGAAAAAAGTCTGAAACTAAAACCGAAAACCCACAATCGAAAACCGACTTAAACCACATCCATATTCATATCAATGGGCCGTGACGCACGTCAAAGGCGAAGCATTAGAACTGCAAGATGCCAATGACCCAATTTAGCCTCACTCCACTGGCTAATTGCTCTACTCTCGGTAATTAATCAATCTGACTCACAAGTGGCATGTTTGAAACTACTTTTCAATATTTTTCAGTTAATTAGGAGCTGGGTATTTTTGGTCTTTTGGGAAATCGTAAGCGGCAAACATGTTTTCTGCATTTAATATGCCCACAGATTCAGAGTCGGGCCAAGACTCATTGCCAAATAGCATAAATATTGGGCTTTTTCTCAACTGTTTGGGTAGAAGAACTTGATTTGGGTTTCTCATTCTTCGACATGGTCGGGTGCGCTTGCGTGCTGTTTGCTTTTTCTCTTGAGCGGGGCTTGAAATTCTCAAAAAAATAAGAAAAAAAATAAACCCCAGACTGTGGAAATTTTTTTTTTAACACAAACTGAGATCGATAATCGGACAGTAAATATTGACAACGAGATTAAGCCAATTTTAGACTGCAGTTGCAGTTTGTTTGCTTCCTTGATTTTCTTATCAGATCGGTTGTAATAACAGAAACAACAAAATAAAGGAAAATCATCGGAAAGCAATAACATTTTGGCGCCAATGTCGGGGTCGGATCATTTAGATCAGTATACTCGAAAAAATACTTGTTTATTTTACAAATAATACAGAACAAATACCATTTTAGGCAATAAATTAGGAATTATATAACAAGATTAAAGGAAACAGTTGAAAGATATTCAAAAATAGTCTTTTTAGTTTTTTGTTCGAGTGTAGAATCACATCCTATCGGAAAATTGCTGCTTGGTTACTCAGTTTGCTTAGTTTCTCGATTCGGGGTCATACTTGGAAACCGGGAACCGAACAGCTGGGAGCTGGGAGCTGGAAGCTCGAAGCTTGGGGGGATGACTGCGTCATGAGACAATGACACAACGCACTGCCCGGACAAATGAAAGAGGAAAGAGCCTGACACAGCCACGTGCAGATAACCCAATAAATGAATATATAAATACCAGTCGACAAACACACAAATCTCGACTTGCAGCCACCCAGACCGAGAACGTAAGGCAGCACGATCGATCCGATTCCCAATTTGGAAAAATAATTGCGCGACTTGCACTTATTTTCCATGATTTGAACATGTTAATTGATTATGAATCCCATGCTCTACTTCCGACAAAAGAGAGGAGACCAGACCCCAGCGACCATTGATCGCTCCACTAATTGTCGCGGCCTTTGTTCGTGCCGATAGTGGTGGTCAGTAGAAGCACCAGAGGCTACAGAAGCCACAGTGCCACTGATAGTGCCAAATGCCCCGCATACGATAGCTAACGGTGTCAGACGAACAGTATCTTAGCGCCCCAAAAAAGATACTTCCCGCAAAACATCCCATATCTGAAGCTAGCTGGTACTTGTACTCCTGGTATCTGCTGGGTGAAAGGCCGAGCAATGAACTTGACGTAACAGATGCCCTGAAGTGTTTGCAATCCCATCCCATCCGGAATGGGGTCAATTGGGGAGTAGGAAGTGGGAAGAGTGGGTAAAATCATTCGAAGAGCGAGATGATCTATAAAAAGAACTAAACGTAATTGTAATCGTCTCTTAAACATACATATTTCTAGCTGGTAATAGTTCTTTTGAAAGGTACAATTTTATTCTGGAATTTTGTAAAGTTTTTAAAGAAATTCCTAATTACTCACTAGTTAGTGGAACCATTAACCAAAAACCGGGATTATTAAAATGCCACCAGTTTCAAGGCCCGCCTTTTAGGGGCATCGCTCCATTTTTGGACTGAGCATAAAGTGGCTATAAATAGCTCATTAATATTTTGAGCATAAAGTCGTTTAACGATTGCTTCACTTGTACCTACAAATTGAGGCGCCCAGATGTGACTACCGGCCACAACTGGGACCGAAGACTAGCCGCAACTGGGGACCTGTCCCAGAAGACTATCTAAATGGGTCTGCACGCACGTTGACAAACGGATTGGATCGCATGAAAAGTAGTGAGGGTTGGGAGGAGGGTCTGTGAGAGATGGAGGTTTAAGAGGACGGAGGACGTAAAACCGGACGCCTACAGTTTAGTGTTAAAAATAAAAAGAGACATGTACTACAAGTGTGTGTAATGCGTGTGCATCCACACACACACTTACAGGGGGGAGCAAGGCAGACAGTCGCAGATAAAGATACAAATACTTGTAGATACATGTGCACATTAAAGGAAAACCAGAAGTTTTCAAGCAGGAGAACATCTTAAGAAGTCACCGTCTATACTGTCTACACCGGCTCTGTCTACGTTTCCGTCTGCGGCGAGGCCTCTTCGTCTGGCCGGACTCTTCCCCGCCGGCCTCATCCGGCGGCTCTCCTCCTTTTATGGCCATATGTGTTTACCTATAACATTTATTAATTCAATCGACGAACATCAATTTAAGCGCTGTCAACGCTGGCAATTGCTGCTGACAACTGTTGGCGACCTCCTCTTCTACAAAAACAACTAAAAACATATAGGAATGCGGGATGAGGGACTATGAGCTGGTGGCTCGCAGCTGGATTAGCTTACACTCAGTGGGAGGAGCAGGGCAGGGGGCTCGTGGAGGCCATGGAGGCCACAGGAGCCGTGTCACATTATCAGCCATTTGTGGGGCCAAACCCACAGGGAAACAAACAAAACGGAGAGTATGCCAGATAGATTTTTCCAACAAAATGTTTGGATACTCTTATGTAATCGATTCGGTTTTAGATAATTCTAATTTTCTTTTAAAAGAATATTATTAATTAAGAAGGTCTAGTTTTATTTTAAAATATTTTTTCATTAAATATCCTCTTAAGAATACTTGAAGATTCTGATAAAGATCAAAGCAGGAAATTTGATTTGGTTTCATTAAGTTTTATCAAGAAGAGTCTTAAAAACGATATGGTATAATATAACCCTATCTTCTTTCAAATTTTATTATTTTTAGAAATAAACAAATTTTTAATAGGGATTAGGCAATCAAAATTTTCAATAGCTCTCAAATTTCTAAAGATATTCCTATAGTTTTGTTGGAAAACCCTTGAGACAGTCATGATACCCAGAAGAAAAGCCAAGACCCAATCTAGGTGTGGCGTTCCCCTTGCCAATTTGTAGCTCGAAGATGTCTTCGGCCCATCGCCTCACTTTCGACCACAATACTAGTATGGGATCGTGGCAACAAGTAAATGCTAATGTCTATTTATACTCGTCGCTGTTGTCGCCGCTGTTGCAAGTCAGTTACGGCAAGAGGCACTTGAAGGGCTTCCTTCGGCTGCCCCTTCTCTGGTTCTGGTTCTGGTTGTAGTTCTGGATTCCCAGAACCCGGCTCGCCGTGCTCCGTGGCCAACATTTCCTCATGCCGCCACCGGCATGGTCATTTGGGCATGAAAATGAAAACAAAATCTGTAATACGAGCAGGGATCGAATGGGGTAGGGGGTCTTCTTATGGGTGTGTTTTTATTCTGTTTCGATTGGCCCAAGGATGGTGTGGAGTGGAGGTGTCGCAACACTTTCGATTGCTCAATAAACAAAATCGAGCCAGACCTTTGTGCTATCGCCTCAATGGGTCTCTTTATGGGATGCCATAAATTCGCCTGGTCAATTGATACGACTCTATAGAGTCTATAGCCGAAATTCGGTCATAAAGGAAATGAAATTATTAAACTTGGCCCTGTCACGTGGTCGGGGGGTTTCAGCTGTGGCCCGTTGCCGGTTGCCAGGCACGAATCCCTATCGGAGGGCCATAAGCCGTTTACTGTCCCCGGTTAAGCCGTAGCCGGTGCAAATCCACCGTGATAACGTGGCCAAAATCTGGCAAAATAATCAATTAATTTATGGAATGCAGACACCCAAGCCCACCTGTCACCGGTAGGTGCCACCGATTATCAGCCAGTTATCCGGCTCTATCTCCGGCTAATGATGCAATCTCAGGTCCCGGGATCATAAATCTCTGCTATCACGGTTGCTTAGAGTTTCTAACAGCCTAAATGGTATATCTTCTTTATAAATTGTAAAAAAATGAAATGAGACAACTCTCGTCTCAATGGGGGGGGTATTAGCCACCATGATAGGACCATGTAAGCATCCGCTTTACGGCAGTCACGAAGCTGTTTAGGGCGACTCGCCCCACGGCGGATCACAGATTAGATTAGCGGAACAAAGCATGCGCCAAGGCCAAAAGTTTGTTAGCCGCAAGATGTGGACAAACAAGAAAAGCAATCAAAAGAAAAGGCGAAATCTACGGAGCTCAACGCGCTCATATAAATATGTACCATACCATTCCTACCTACCCGGCATACCGTGTGCCTGGCATACTGAAAGATTATTATTTCTACACCGTATCGAAGACTCCTCCCAACGGGGGGATAGCTATTTCGGATACATAATTGCAAATTCCATTTGCTTTTAGGTGTTTGGTGTTTTCTGCTTTTTTGTCCAAGACAATCGAACTTCTGCTGCTTCTTCTGCTGCCTGGTTGACGCACTCTTGGCCATGGCCCTGGCCATGCCTGACGTTTGACAATCCACCAAACTGAACCGTCAAACCACCCACCCACCACAGCACCACCCTCATCACCCAGCCCCCTCCCTGTCGGCGCCATCTGCCGATTGACGTATACATATGTGATGTGATAAACAGCAAAAGCCTTTCACACTACGCACCATTCTGCAGATATTTCGCAAATAGGTATAGCTGCGGCTAAAAAGAAAGCATTTTGGCTTAAAAAAATTCAAAATACGCCCTATTTAATTGCTCTTTTAATGGTTTCGAGTTAGTCTTCAAACCATAAAGTAACTTCGATTACCAAGATTTGAATGGGTATGACCTTTTAGATAAGAACTTCTCATTCTGATTAAAACCTCTTTCTAAGAAGTTTAAAATAAATAATCAATAGAGCTCATTTATATTTAGTTTTCAAAGAATTGTGTAAATATTGGAAACTATTACATAAGTAGGGAATTAGATTCCAGAGCATTAGGTCGTGAAAGAAATGAGATGTACTTTTTATTAAAGTTTATAGTTTAAGGTTTCTTTTAATGATCTCTAATAAACAAAAGTCAATTCTAAGTACTATTTTAGAGTATTCTTACAATATATTAAAGTCATTACATATAGCTATTTGACTTATTTTTAAATTTATAAGAGATCCTCCTTGATATGTATATTTGAATAAATTCGAAATATCTTATGACACCTTGAACTAGAAGTTTACCCTTCACTGTAAATACATAGATACCTGTACAGGTGGAGAGCAGAACCCAACCAAATGGGAAATGTTCAATTGTGCGGCTATCTGGGCACGTGACACTTAAAAATAGATTTATCCATGCAAAGCATAGGGAGACCATGGGGGCGTATACGCAATGCGAAGGCCATTCCATTTGGTAAACACTTGCGCAATCAAAGAACCGATCTTATTTCGTCAAAATGAATCCACACTGATCAGCACTCTCTCTCCGCAGGTTGGTTTCTAGGCCATGGCCACACAGCAGCAGGCAAAGCCCCAGGACGAGCTGGTGTCCAAGCAACCGGGCAACAACAAACAGGAGGATGAGGAGGAGATCGATGAGGCGGCCGTCGTGGTTCCGCCGGACAGCGGCTGGGCATGGGTGGTGATGGTGGCCTCGTTCCTCTGCTGCACGGTGATCGATGGAATCGTCTTCTGCTCGCCGCTTATCCAGGAGCAGCTGATGGCTGAGTTCAATGTGAGCAAGGGCTATGTGGCCTTTGTGTCTTCGCTGCTCAGTGGCTGCTACCTGATGGCAGGACCCTTTGTGAGTGCTATGGCGAACCGATTTGGATTCCGACCGGTGACTATAGCTGGTTCAGTCTTCGCTGCCATTTGCTTCGGGCTGTCGTACTTTGCCACCAGCGTGGAGTACCTTTTCCTGATCTATGGCATCCTGGGCGGCATTGGCTTCTGCATGGTCTACATTCCTGCTGTAGTCATCATCGGTTTCTACTTTGAGAAGTGGCGTGCCGTGGCCACCGGAGTGGCTATGTGCGGCTCCGGCGTCGGCACCTACGTGTTCGCTCCCCTCACGAACATCCTGTTGAAGATGGGCTGGCGCGAAACCCTGGCCATCCAGGGAATCATTGTCCTGTCATGCGCCCTGTTTGGCCTGGCTTTCCGACCCATCCAGCCAATCACTCTGTCCGTTTCCACCGAGGAAGGCGACGAGCAGGAGAAGAGCAAACTGAACGGACATGGCAACACTGTGGCCCCCACTCCACAGCTCCACCAGGCCGCCTTTACCAAGCCGCTGCCGGAGGGCCGGTTCGCCTACTCAATGCCCAACTCCGCCCACAACACGTACATGGGTGCCTCCCAGCGCAACCACTACCCGACCGCCCAGGAGATCTTCAAGGGCATGAATCTGGAGAGGAGGCCTTCGGGCAACGCACCAGGCAGCAAGGGTACTGAGCTGAAACAACTGCGCAAGTCCCAGCCCACCACTCCCAACGGAGATCCCCAGCAGCTGACCTTCAACCTGCACAAGGAACTGACCACCGTGGGTGAGAACGAGGAGGAGGCGGAGAACGACAACCTGTTGGAGACGGAGGCCAAGCCAGTGACCATCCAGGCACGTCGTCACACCGTTTCTGGCCGTCGCCCCCAGGATATTGGCAAGCGACCAGTCGCCGGAGCCCAGGACCCCAACCATGGACAATCGCACTCCTCGTCCAGACCCATGTACCGTGATGATATCTTCTTCACTGGCTCGCTGACCCGTATTCCCCAGTACCAGTCGCAGACTTCCCTGGCCTACCACATGTCCGTGACACGTTTGCCCACCAAGCAGGACATGCTCGAGGATCGCCAGAAGGGATGCCGCATCTGCCCGGAGGCAGTGCGTCGCACTCTGTCGACCATGTTGGACACCACACTGCTCAAATCGCCCGCCTTCATGTGCCTCGCATTCAGCGGTTTCCTGACCATGATGGGCTTCTTTGTGCCCTTCTCCTTCCTGGTAGATCGTGCCGTACACGCAGGCATGGATAAGGAGTCGGCACTCGGAGTGCTTGGTGGAATCGGACTGGTTAACACCTTTGCTAGGATCGTTTGTGGATCTATCAGCTCCTTCCCCGCCGTAAAGCCCCTGTGGCTGAACAACTTTGCCCTGACTGCCGGTGGCATTGCCACGATCTTCAGTGGCATCATTATCAACACAGCCACCCAGTGGACCTTTGCCCTGTTCTTCGGTATCTGCATTGCCTGCTTCTCGGCGCTGCGATCCCTGATCGCCGTGGAACTGATCGGTCTGGAGAAGCTGACCAACGCCTACGGATTCCTGATGCTTTTCCAGGGCATTGCCGCCACGGTGGGCAGTCCCATTGCCGGTGAGTCATTATTTTCAAATATTTACCATTTCAGATTACCTATACTTTCTTATCTAACAAGTCACAATGATACTTAATTTCCATATCAAGATTATAATTTATTTTTAACAATTTCTACCTATCTTTCTACCTTCTTGCAGAGGGTATATAATTTTGAACAAAAGCTTGCAACGCAGTGAAGGAGGCATCTCCGACCCTTAAAAATTTATATATTTAGGATCAGGATCACCTCACCTCCTGAATTGATATAAATGTGTCCGTTTGTCCGTTTGAGGTACTCCGCTTGAGAATCGGATGAGAATTGGGGAAGATATAGCCATCGCTGTGGACCCAAAAGGAGAAAACCCCATTTTCCCCCTAAAAAAAATTCATTTAAAAAAATAATTATAAAAATAATAAAAATATTATATCGCCCTCCTCCTCGATTCTCATCGGTTGCACTTAAGCAGGCCCGAAAAGTTGGAAAAATTAATTATTTTTTTTTTATAAATTTTATTTTTTGCTCCCTTTTGTTGTTGTTAGTTTAAGTTTTTGTACTGTATTGTTGTTGTAATTTGTATCCCTTACTGAGGCTTATACCCCAGAACGAAAAATGGCCAAAAAATCTGAAAAATATTTTGTCTCAGGGTTTTGATGCAGAATGTTGGAGAATCGATCTAGAAATCGTTTAAGGTACTCCGCTTGACAATCGGATGAGAATTGGGGAAGATATAGCCATGGCTGTGGACCCTATAGGCGAAAACCCCATTTTCAAGGGATCCCATCAGGAAAAATGGACAAAAATCTGAAAAATATTTTGTTTCAGGGTTTTGATGCAGAATGATGGAGAATCGATCTAGAAATCGTTTAAGGTACTCCGCTTGAGAATCGGATGAGAATTGGGGAAGATATAGCCATCGCTGTGGACCCTATAGGGGAAAACTGCATTTTCAAGGGATCCCATCAGGAAAAATGGACAAAAAATCGAAAAAATATTTTGTCTCAGGATTTTAATGCAGAATGATGGAGAATCGATCTAGAAATCGTTTAAGGTACTCCGCTTGAGAATCGGATGAGAATTGGGGAAGATATAGCCATCGCTGTGGACCCTATAGGGGAAAACCCCGTTTTCAAGGGATCCCATCAGGAAAAATGCACAAAAAATCTAAAAAATATTTTGTCTCAGGATTTTGATGCAGAATGATGGAGAATCGATCTAAAAATCGTTTAAGGTACTCCGCTTGAGAATCGGATGAGAATTGGGAAAGATATAGCCATCGCTGTGGACCCTATAGGGGAAAACCCCATTTACAAGGGATCCCATCAGGAAAAATGCACAAAAAATCTAAAAAATATTTTGTCTCAGGATTTTGACGCAGATTGATGGAGAATCGATCTAGAAATCGTTTAAGGTACTCCGCTTGAGAATCGGATGAGAATTGGGGAAGATATAGCCATCGCTGTGGACCCTATAGGGGAAAACCCCGTTTTCAAGGGATCCCATCAGGAAAAATGCACAAAAAATCTAAAAAATATTTTGTCTCAGGATTTTGATGCAGAATGATGGAGAATCGATCTAAAAATCGTTTAAGGTACTCCGCTTGAGAATCGGATGAGAATTGGGAAAGATATAGCCATCGCTGTGGACCCTATAGGGGAAAACCCCGTTTTCAAGGGATCCCATCAGGAAAAATGAACAAAAAATCTAAAAAATATTTTGTCTCAGGATTTTGATGCAGAATGATGGAGAATCGATCTAAAAATCGTTTAAGGTACTCCGCTTGAGAATCGGATGAGAATTGGGAAAGATATAGCCATCGCTGTGGACCTTATAGGGGAAAACCCCGTTTTCAAGGGATCCCATCAGGAAAAATGAACAAAAAATCTGAAAAATATTTTGTCTCAGGGTTTTGATGCAGAATGATGGAGAATCGATCTCAAAATCGTTTAAGGTACTCCGCTTGAGAATCGGATGAGAATTGGGGAAGATATAGCCATCGCTGTGGACCCTATAGGGGAAAACCTCATTTTCAAGGGATCCCATCAGGAAAAATGGACAAAAAATCTGAAAAATATTTTGTCTCAGGGTTTTGATGCAGAATGATACAGAATCGATCTAGAAATCGTTTAAGGTACTCCGCTTGACAATCGGATGAGAATTGGGGAAGATATAGCCATTTCTGGCAACTACCCATCACGATAAATATCCGATCTTAACCGCAAGGGTATATCAACTTCGGCTCCGTCCAAAGTTAGCTTTCTTTTCTTCTTTTTTTGATAATTTATTTTTTGTCTAATCATTAGTTTTGAGTCATTCAGAAGCATTCCTCTTTAAAGATAAGGAATTTCACAAAATTATGTATTTATGATTATAAATAATAATAATGATTATTAACGCATATCCTTGTCATCCACAGGTGGTCTCTATTCGATGACCCAGAGCTATGATGCCGCCTTCTACTTCGCCGGAGGACTGATTCTTCTCTCAGCCTTCCTCTGCTATCCGCTCACCTGTGTGAGCAGGTGGGAGCAAAACCGCAACCAGAAGCACACCCCCCTGCCGGCGGCCTAAGGTGCTCCAGCGTTGGATCTAAGCAGCAGACAACCCATTGAAATCGCAGCCGAAATTATCTCCGATTTGTGGACAACCGTAATTGGCCAATTAGTCAATTTAGGTGACATGGAGATCCGAAGGAGCGGAGCAATGAAAACAGAGCGCGGAAGCGTGTTCCGAGTACTTGATACGTTAAGATTAGACTAAGCGTAATGTTTGTGCCTTCAGCGATATCGAGTGCCTATCATACACACCCAAAAAAAAAAACAACAACAAAAAAACCAGAAAAGCCTAAAAACTAAAATTAAAAATAATGAAAAAAACACTCAATCAGAAAACTAAAGAAAACAGCGAGGAGTGTAAAGTATGTTTCTATAAGCTTTAGTGGAGCAGTTGCCCAGATTGGAAGTAGAATTAAGCAGCCTAGGTTAACCGAAAACATTATTAATACCATTATGTTAGCTATAAGCAGCGTGCACATGGCTTTGGCTGGGCCACAAGTCGACTGCCAAGTTAGGAATCGTTTGTTGAGAGTTATTTAACCGATAGGAGAACACGAGCATTTGTTTATCTTGTAAGAGATACTGTACGCCACCACGGACTTGTTACATAGCGTGTATATACACACAAAACCCCTAGCTAGCTAGATAGATATTTATTATGTTTATCAATCAATCAAAGACACCTCTCCACCAGCCGATCGCCCAACGAGAGGTTGTTGCACCCGCCGATTACGATGCCGATGCGATTCCGAATCCAATGCGGATGGATGCATCGTGGGCTTAGCCGGGTCGATCGTGGACAAAACGAACAATCAACCAACCAACCAACCAACACGATGAGGCATCTGGTGCAAGTGCTGTGCTCTTATGCAAACAGATTTAAATATATATTACACTATACAGATACGAATACAGAAACAAATACAGATATACACACGGACCGCTACATACTCAGCACGTTGAGTGCGTTTCGCGTTTACGTTTATCAATTACAATTACATTTTAATACCGAATGACTTGTATTACATTTAAATTAATGAGTTTACATTGCATTGCATGCGACATAAGGTTACAACAAATAATTCATAAACAATAAAGACGATTCGGTAATACAAACTAACGATCTATTGGTTTATTACTTTCGCAGCACAAAGTAAGCTTAACTAAGGGCTCAAGCGTGACTATGTATGAACAAACATTTGAAATGTGGGCTTAGACTATATCATCCATTTAAATAAGTAACGCCTTGTTTGCTGTGTCTTTGGTCATGGCACACGAACACACACTATTTCTCCTGGTTCAATGAATTAATGAACTCCTCCAGCTTCTCCTGGATCTGTCGCACTTTGACTGACAAACAAACAGATAAAGTTAATTGACAATTTAATTGGCGTCTAATTCAATCAACAAGCCTGTTGGCAAACTTACTCAGTTCCTCTGCCAGCAGCACACGCTTGCCCGTGAGCAGGTGCGCCTTCTTTTCCTCGTCGTCGCTGAACTCGTCCAGCACTGCCTTTATCTCCTTGTCCAAGCGCCGCGCCTCCCGATTGATCACCTGCTGGCGCAACGCATTGCCCGTTATCTTGATAACCTGTTGGATGCGCCAGAAGAGGACGACGTCACTGCAGGAGATCTGGAAGGAATCGAAGACGCTTTATTGATGGCTACACCGAAGGGGGACATTCTTCCGGCTCACCTCGCATTCGGCTCCCTGCTGGGTGTACAGGTAGTAGGCCTTGCGACAATCCCTGGCCCGTTGTAGCGCCTGTTGCAGGAAGTGTCTGAAATAGAATCATGTGTCAACAGTTGTTATATACGGATGAATCCCTTAAAATTACTTTCTGTAAACGGGGAACCACGTCTGCCGAATGTAATCCGTGTCCACGTCTACGTTATCACGCTGCAAATTCTTCCGAACTGTCGTCAGCTCATCATAACTCAACGTAGGCAAATGTTTCTACAATTAAATGAGAAGAATCTAGTATTATTTATAAGTAAAATAGGTGAGAGGATAATCCTACCGAATCATTCTTGAGTATCTTGTCAAGTTCTCCCCTAACACTTCTCCGCTTCTGCTGATCCTGAGTGAGGTACTGCCAATGGGTTAGTCTTCGCCACTGACCAGGTCCAAACATTTGCCCCAGGGTCTCTTCTGTTTGCACAAGCTTGGCGTTTACGGAGGACTCCAGGAATTTGACCGCCTGATCCCACTCGGACTTGTCATGAACAAACCGATCTTCCAAGGTATTCAACTGGATGACCCGTAGCATATCGATGGCTTTGTCCTCCCAACTGTGCCTCCGGATAGCCTCGTCAACGACAGCAGCCTTCAGGTGATCAAAGATTCCGTCGTGATCTTGGGATTTTTTCGCCCTATCCATTAAAGACAGAAACTCGTTCTGCAGTGCTTCCCAGCCGGCCTCCACAGATTTGGCGGGCAGTGCCTGCTCAGCCCACTGACGCAGCTTTATGTCCACCATCGTGTTGAAAGAGTCTAGAATAGGAGAGCATTGTAACTAAGGTTACTTGCTGGACGAAAAAACGATGGAGTACACAAATACAATGAAATGATATACAAAGCAACAAAACAATCGACATTCCTAACTTGGTGAACTGCAATTTGTGTCAATTAGACATTGATTTGGCTGAATTCATTGGGCAAATTAACGGATCTGTCATAAAATGCAAAGTAAACACCCAGCCGAGCGGGACAAACGTGTTTGGCGGCGATAAATCGCTAATATCACATACATTCTACTGCTCAGAGCAAATTACCCAAAATCTGGTTTCGTTACAGGTGCTCGTAAATCTTCGCTTATAACACTTTCCGGCAGCGCACATGACAGCGAACCTGTGACGAGTCTCGGCTTAGTCACTATTTTCGGGAAACGGAAAGGAGGGTACGGTGCTAATGGAGTTCAAATCGGCGGACGGTTGTCGGGGATTACACAGTAAATTTACACTCATGATTCAAATGAGCATTAACATATTTAGAGTCGCAGGAGCCTCGAACCGGTTTCGAGATCTTTTACGGCGCATGTGATTCCCTTACGAATGCGAAGTATGATAAAAGCAAAGTTAAACAAAATAAACCTTACGACGCATTATTTATAGGAACACGTGAATGTGAACTACAAGACACGGGCTTTCCCTCACACGTTTAACGACAACATATACATATATATATATGCGATGGATCACAAGGCGGGCGACGGGCGATAACGAGTATAGACGTGCCCCCAACGATGACGTTGACGGTACCGGCTTACGACCTACAACTTAGTCTACAAAATATTACTTTGAGAACCTGACTGAGCGGCGGGCAGGTAAATATTCTCAAACACATAGTTGGACAGCTTCTCCCAAAGCTTCGAAGTGAGGGCATCATCCCATTTTTTAGCTGAGATCTGCGATAGCGTTACCACCTCGTCCAGTATTTCACCCTTGGCCTTGTCAAACAGCTCGTCCCGTCCCGATTCGCGCAATCTAAAAATGAATTGTTATCAAGTGCTAATTGCCCAAAAATCTCTTTCTGTTACCTGGGGAAGTTGTTCTTCCATTCGGTTTCCAGATTGAATCTGGTAGCCTTAAATGCATCTGCCTGCTGCTCAATGGTTTCCCGCACCATTTTCCAGAAGCGGTCTGACACGGCGAGACTCAGATTCCGGCTGGTTACTTGATGGGGCATAATCACACCACGGCGACTAAGTGGAAGAAAGTAAGTCTGGATTTATGTGCATATATTGCATGTATGTACTCACTGAAACAGTTTGGAGTTCTTGAAAAAGTCCTCTTCGTATTGCCGAATGGCATCAATGCTGTCATCCTTGCGTCCACGTCCTGTAACCACTGCATAATAGCCAAGAGCCTTCATGGGGAACAGTTTACCAGAGAGTATTTTTCGTATCCTGTCAGGATCGGCCAATTCCTCAGCCAAATCCACTTTGGTGAGCACGAAAATTGTGCGTCGACCCAGAGGATCGCATTGCATTACCAAATCGGTTACATTGCTCCGCTCAGCGTCCACAGAACCATCTTGGATGCAAAGAATGATAGCGTTGGGATTGCTCATGTAATGCCTTGTCATCTGGTGAATTGAATCTTTCGTATCTGAAGCCATATCCACTGTCATGGTCTGAAGTATATTTGAGTATTTTGCTAAAATAAAATATAAGCTTAACTTACGGAAATGATACCCGGCAAATCCACTAGAACCATGCGCTGCAGGCCTGGACCCTTCACCGTCATGGCGATGACTTCGTTGCTCACAGTTTTGCCACCGCGCACCGAAGCCCGCATACGGAATTCCACTTCACGTCGCAGCTCCGCCAAATCAGACTCTTTGGTCAGGTCATACTCCCGTTCCGAATCCCGAAACTGGGCCACGTGATAGGGACCCTCCGCAAGAGTAACTTTTACGGGTGCCCTAGTCATCATTTCGCCACTGCCACGGGGGAAAATGCGTGCCTTTGCGATAGATTCAAGTACAGAGGTCTTGCCGCTGCTCTGATCTCCAACAACAACGACTCGAGGTAAATGATCCGCCATCGTGTAGCCCGTATCATAGCCAGACAGTTCATCCAGCACTTCAGAGTACATGTCAATCAGCGACTTCTTAATTTTCTTGGCCGAGGTCCTTTTGTTCGTCTTGAGGATCAGGAACTGTTGGCGAAGCTCGCGGTTCTCCTTCTCCATCTTTTCCAGCTCCTTTTGGTACTTAATCTGCACGTTCATGATCTCCGTTTGCAATGTTTCAACCTGGCTTTGCAGTTTTTCTGTAAGATATTTTGTTTGTATTGAGGAATTCGATTGTAAAAGTGTTAAATTATAACTTACCATACTTCTTGCGACTCTCATCGGTGGTAATTCCCAGAGCAGCCACTGTCGTCTTGGCTTTGAGATCATCTTTGGCTACAACAGAGTTAGAAATAAGTCGCGATTACAGAGGTCAGGGTTCTCTCACTTTAAATAGGCCCAAAGCAGGGAGCAGTGTGATTTTATTATTGTGTAACCTACTTTCGACAATCTGAACTCCTTGATAGTCGGCCGCCTCGATGGCATCTTCCAGACGACTGTCAAACCAGGTGCGCCATTCCGACAACTTATCCTCGCCCAGCTGCTTGAGCTTCGGATCTACAAGCAAACCAGGCCAGGTAGCCAATAATATGAATCAATTAATTGAATCGTAACTCGAGGAATGAGGTGAGCAAAAAATGCGAAACAGAAAATAATTAAATTCGGTTAAAATTTAACCAGTAATGGGAAATCGCAGTTAAAGAGTATAAGCTTAAAACACACTCCAATGAACTAATTTATATTGTTATTTTACAAGATAAGGGTAGTTTAACCCTCTATAAATTCGTTATTACTCATTTGTCAAAGGTCTGGTTATAAAAGGTTATAAGATAACCTTCTTTAAAACTATTTAATGTTATTTTCAAATACCCATCCATAGATTAAACCGCCGTGAAGACCATTTATAGTGAGAGAAGACAGACGTGGTGGCGGTTAAGGAACTGCAACTCACCGATATCAATAGCGGTCTTCACCAGGCTGCCCACCTCGATGAGATTCTGCGAAAACTGACTCCACCGCTCGCCCTGAGGTAAAGCATCCTGAAGCCACTTCATATCTGGCAGACCATCCTTCCAGTCCTCGTATTTCTGAAAATAAAGTCAAAACAAAAATGGTACACTGCCAAATCGAAGTTATATAATTTGCAAAACTTACTTTATTGAGAGTCACGCCCCCACCTATAGCACCGCCTAGAACGAGGTACCGCAGCTTAAGGGCTCCTCGAAGGATGCGAACCACCAGCATGCCGTAGCCACGTGAGGGGGGCGGCATCTGCCATCCCCGCGCTGGATTACCGGCCAACAAGAACTCCTCGTGGTGACGGCCATTTCCATTGGTACTCCCGTTTCCATGACCCCGAGAACTCCGCTGATGACCGGTGATGTTGCAGAGGGTGGAGTGATTACAGCAGGCAACTTTCGTGGAGTATACAACAGCCTTTCTCGCGGTACGCCTACGGATAGAACACAAATGAAAATAATAGATTCCTTGCTGATGACGAAATCGGTACGAAAAATGTAGCGAAACCTTTGGCCTTTGCATTTGGGGACGCCGCCCGCTTACCGGTATGTATTCTGGTAGATGCGCAACATGATTGCTGATGAGAGGAACGATTTTCTCGCAGATTGCTTGTTTTATTTACGAGAATCAATCTATTTGCCTGCCGTAAAAATTCATCTCAACCTTTTCCTTGCAAGCATCGATGTTTGATGACGACTATCGATGTTTTTGGCCCATCACTGAATCGAAACTATCGAAAACAATCTGCAAACCCATCAAGTTCGAAATAAGCTTTTTTCGAAGAGCGCGATATTCAAAATACAGCAGGAAAGACCACTTGTCCAGTAATAACACACTTTTTTAATGCGGCACTTTATATTTGTTTAATGTATTTTCACTAAATATTGCATTGAGTGATTAGACTTACAATTATACATAAATTAATATATTTAGAATAATTTAAGCGTAATATGACGACAGACAAAAACAATTACGCTACCACTAAATTTAAATATTCTCGCGCGCTTCTTATATACGGGATATAACTTTTTACGATTTGTAATTAATACATGCATCATATTTTCTACGTAGTTCGCTTAACCAAGTTAGAATGCACTTTGCAATGAAGTAACTGTGTCTATTAAGAGAAGTTAATCACGGGAAAATACTTTCCAAGCCGTCGGATTTTCTTCGTGACAAAGCATTTAGCGCCGGAAACGTGTATTGCTTTGGTAAGGCTTTTATCCTCCAAAATCAGATCGATCTTCTCGATTGAGTTTAGATTGTAAATATCTTTTGGTGTTTCGTTGGACTTCCTCTGATTCTGATTCTGGCTGTTGTTAGAGACTTTCTGGATGCTAACATGATTGTTATTATTGTGGCTATTGAAGTTTCTACTTAGAATGGTGTTTTTAAAATATTGCTCTTGTTGCAACGTGGCTTTGGCTGCATTCAAAGTGTTCATGATTTGGTCTGTGGTACTCCCGGCGGGGTCCTCGTCGTATTCCTCCTTGGTTTCGGCAAGCGAGAATGTGCTAGTGTTCAGGTTAATCAGAGAGTTTCTCTGATCGATATGTAGGGTGGACGACGATGACGAGGATGGTGCCTCACTTTCCGCGTAGCAGCGGTGCCGCATGTCGTACTCCTGAGCCTCTGTGATTCTGTCAAGCGATTGGCTTTCGCGCATCCGTCGCCTTCTAGTCGAAGAAGTTGCCGTATTAGCTGTAGTACTCTCTGCTTGTAGTTTGTCAGCCTGGGAATGCTTGTCACCATGGTCCTTATGCTGCTTCCGGCATTTTTGTGTGTGAGATTTCCTTGTTTCTTCAGATTTGTTTTGCTTAATTACGAAAAAATATGTTTCCATTAAAAAATCTTTAACAATAAGTTGCTAACCCACCTCTTTACACTGTGATTGTCCCTCCTTTTTGCCGCTTACAGAGCCTCCTTTGGATATAAAGTTCGCAGCACTGCTGGCCGAGCCTGGGGGTGGATACAACTGATCCTGCGAGTCGCTTGAGTCATCGTGCGAGTCCCGTCGGTGCATACGAAACCGCACGGGGGTGTCTCCTACGAACTTGTTGATTTTTTTCTTATTTCGCGTTTTGGTGTCATCGTCTGATGCCTCCGAACTGCTGCAGGACGGTGTTCGGATTTTGTTCAATTTTGTGCGCCGGTGTGTAAGCACTGGGTTCTTGCTGCTGCTTGGCAACGGCTTTAGCTTTCCTATTTCCAGTTCTTTAAGGCCACTCAGCGTGTCCTCGTCAATCTTGGCACTCTTTTCCATCTGCTTTAGCTTCTGGGCCAGTGTAGCGTCTACGGAAACGACTATCTTTGTGCGAGAATTGCTTGGGACTCCAAAACTGGGCGAATTCTGACCCTTAGCAGGGCTTGGTGGCTCTGTTTTTGCCTGCTCTTTAATTGGTCGGCAGAGAATGTCCACAGAGTCTGTTACCCTCCGCGGGCATGACACCACGAGTTCGTTTCCAGTGCCCGAGCATTCGTTAGACGATTCCTCTTCATCCTCCTCCCTCACAATACTGCACTTGCGGCTGCGCTTGTCCTTTAAAATTTGATTAACGAACTAATTAGATTCCATGAGGGTAAAACGCGACATATAATTGACTTACTGGTTTTCCGGCATCGTTTCCCAGATGACCTGCGGATGTCACATTAATGCTGATGGATACAGCTTCCTTGAGAGCTTCTGTGGGACTAGGTTTTTCCGGCACAGGCTTGCGGGTTGGTTCACCAGACCTAATAAACCAATACATTAAGTACTGAATATGTATATTTAAAACTACTCTTACTTTAAGCCAGGATCGTTTAATAGCCTCTGCTTTTGGGCCAGTTCTTCTCGCCGCCGGCGTAGCCGAAGTTCCGCCAGCAAAAAATACGTGGCCGTTATGTGATTGTACTTGTTTTTGTCGAGAGCCCTGCAATGACGTCAGTACGGTCAGCCAAAAATAATCATTTAATTTTATCTTTTGCCAATACTTACTGCAATATCTCTTCCTTGGACGCAATATTTCCGTTTATCATTTTTTGAATGATAAAAGCGTGGTCTTCCTCACCCAGCTGCTCTCGGCTGACCAATGGAAGAAAGTGTTCCGTGGTGCCCGATGCATTTGTAGTGCCGTCTGGCTCATCAATTGATTTCAGCCAGGCCGATGCAGCAATCTCCTCAACGGTGGCCCGTTTCTTTGGATCCCTTACCAGCATCGACGCAATAAGATTCCGGCAGTCCGTCGACACATGAGACGGCACCGTATACTTGCAGTCCATGATCATTGTGAGGGTTTCCGAGTCATTGGCCTTTTCAAAAGGCGCCTGACCGCATACTAGCATATACAAGATCACTCCCAATGACCAAATGTCTAAAATGAGAATACATGCGTTAATTATAGTTAAGTTAATATATAGGAATGATTAACTTACCTACTGCTGGAGCATCGTAGGAGTCACCCAGCAAAATCTCCGGAGCAGAGTATGCCAAGCTTCCACAGAAAGTCTCAAGTTTTTGCCCCGGCGAGAATTTGTTGCTGAATCCAAAGTCGGTCAGCTTGACCAAGCCTAGCTTTTCAAAAAACACCACGTTTTCCGGCTTAAGGTCCCTGGGTGCGCATGTAGATCGAACGAAAATTGAAAAAAAACAACAGGTTACGTAAATCAGTGATCGGTGGCGTAAAAGGGGCATTATCAGTTTTAGGGGCTAGTGGCTAGCTAGAACCTCACCTGTGCACCACGTGTAGCTGATGACAGTACGTGATTGCACGTAGGATTTGGCGGAAATATTTCCGGGCCAGTTCCTCGCTTAGCCCGGTATCATGCTTCATTATGTAATCATATAGATCGCCGCCATCTCCTAGCTCTAGCACCAGGTACAGCTTGGTCTGGGTGTCGATGACTTCATAGAGACGAACGACGTTTGGGTGCTGTACAAGCTTCATACATCTAAAAGAAGATTAGGATAGAATTTAATAGAGACCGAGGAGAAAGAACAGGATCAGGGTCTTACCGCACTTCCTGAAATAGATGCGCCTTGGACACTTCATCCAATTTGGTCTTATCTACCACTTTGACGGCAACCTTGGCGCCGGTGAAGACATGTCGTGCCAACTTAACCACAGCAAAGTGTCCGGAACCAAGGGTCTCTTCCAAGTCATAGAGTCCGGCAATTTTCCCATCGCACACCCCACCAACGGGCTGCGTCTCCAGGGTCATGATCACTCCTCTCTGGCTCCTTGGCACGCTTCCAACCGCGAAACTACCCGATTTTAGCTAAAACTATAATTATAGTATTTTAGCGTTTCGGAATGGGAACAAGTGCTTGTTAAGTGCTGCTTTCGAGCGAAGATTCATGTAATAGTCCGGCAATGGGGTGTGTTCCCATTTAACGAATTGCCAATGAAACTGGTCGGTGTGCCAAATATATCATTGATTTCGGATATCCTTTTATTTTTAACTTCGCACTGCAGGAATTGGTTCAAAGGCACGGCTATTACACAAGGGGGAAGGCAGGGCTGTTACCGTTTTACAGCGGATGCGGATTCTTCTATCCGCCAGCAGCCGATGAACAAAAACTACGATGCGCGACCCATTGCGCGCTTTTGGCGATTATACCTGCCCTGTCACTGGGCGCTCGAATGTCTCGCACTAAACAATTGGCCCTTATCACTCATGAAAATGGTTACTTTAACTTTTGTATACACATTTTCGTCCAATATATTGATAAGTGTTGGTAAAGGCATATAACAAACTTCGCGAGCTGTTAGAGCACTCTATTTCAGTGTTGGTAGTCAATTGTACCGTGGGACAAACCGAATTCTACAACGCAAAAACTAAATAGATGTTCCCGTATATCTTTTAGATGATTTTTAATACCCTAATTACTATTTTATCTAGTAACTGCATTCGCAAAGATAGAACCACCAATAAAGACGGCAGAATAGTTAGTTGACGTATTACACATAAATATTCGGTGATAATCGCAGCAGATCGAATGTTTTTAAGCTTAAAACTAAATTGTAAACTTATTTTTAAGCAATCAAGGACTAAAGTTTTGAACGCCCGGATTAAAAAGGTTTTGCGGTTGTAGCAAATTATATTTAAAAAATCAGGAGTCTTATCGATAACACATACCAGCTGTTATCCGATGACGCAGTCTAATAGAATTTTGCAACACTACTATGTGGACAACAGAAAACATCGAAGAATTTAAGAAAATCGGGAATAATTTAATCTAGGATCATAAATACCCTATAATATTAGCAAATTTATCCTATGAAGTCTCACATCTGACAATCAAAATTCAAAACACGCCAACATGTTCCTCTCCATCGCCCCGCCTTTAATGGATTTCGAAGACGAATTGCTATGGATAAATCAGTCAAATAGCGAAAAACTGGAAATACTATACGACAAATCGAACTATGTGACGCCCAATACAAAACACTTAATTGAGCAGGCTTTCCTCCAACCTCTGAGTCTGCAGGATCAGCAAATTCTATTCGACGACTTGCTTAAACAGAACACGGACATTGCTCACCAATATGGATTGACTCCTGCCAAAGTGGGTACACGATAATACAATATAAATAATGTTATTAAATAATTTGATTTTTAGCTACCTCTTCTGGTGGAAAACAATCCATTGATTTCCATTGAAATTCTTCTAAGACTGATGATGACATCCGACATAACAGAGTATTTCAACATACTGGTTAATATGGACATAACGTTGCACTCAATGGAGGTGGTTAACCGGTAGGACCCACTTATCATTCCATTAAACTCTACCTAATAGCTTGTTTTGTTTTTAAGTCTTACTACCTCAGGTCCTTTGCCCACGGAGTTCATCCATTTGTACATTAGCAATTGCATCTCGACCTGTGAAACTGTGAAGGATAAATACATGCAATCTCGGCTGGTTCGACTCGTTTGTGTGTTTCTTCAATCTCTTATTCGAAATAAGATTGTTAATGTCAAGGTGAGAACCAATATAGTTTGTCCTCCATTGTAACAGATTTAAAAATGTACATTCTTAGGAGCTTTTCATTGAAATCGAAGCGTTTTGCGTGGGATTTAGCAAAATTAAAGAAGCCGCCGCCCTATACCGTCTCATTAAGCACTTGGAAACCGGAGAAAGTGCTTTGTCTTCGAACTCGTTAGCAAAGTAACAAAGTCCTTGTTTCGTTTTAAAATACTATAAACTGTTTGATTACATCCAAATATAGACCATTTCGCCATTCGTAAAGAAAAAACACCCATTGGTTACAAGTAAAAACAAATTCGCATTTAATAACTTAAGTATCTAGTGTAGAGTGTGGTTTTTATGAGTGAGTGTTGGCTGCCTCGCTGGGATGGAAGTAAATTGGCTCGGCCGAGGGCACGGGAAAACGGCTAAGATAGCGTTCAAGTCTTAAGAATTTGATAGAAATCAGGCGCTTGTCGAACCACCAGCCATTAATTTCGTTGTGAATCATACCGGCATCTTCTTCGCTAGCGCACCGTATGTAAACGCAGCAGGACTGGATATCCAATTGCACGTCGCAGATCTTGCAACGCGGTCCCACCTTCTCTATGATAGACTCGACGATCGACTGCTTCAGGTTGGCTTGGTTAACTTCAGAAGAATCAAACATGTGCCTAATCTTCAGGCAGGGCGTCGGTGGATTGGCAATCTTGTTGGAGTTGTCGAATGCGGGACTCTGCCACTTCTTTACCAGACCAGGATCTTTTTTTTCCAGGTTCCTATTCCAAGCAATAGTACGCAATGCTTTCCCATCGCGATTAACCATTCCAAACAAGACGCGGCTGTCGTTTTTCTCCAACTGCTTAAGTGCTTTATTCCACGCAGTCAAATGCTTGGAGCGTTTCTTTGCAGGCAAAAGTTTTTCCTGAAGCTGATTTATGATCACCTCGGGGCTTTCGGATTGGGAACTATGGTAAATTAGTTCGTTAATAATATCCTTTGTGACTTGGTCGACTGCCATAAGAGCTTCCTTTTGTTTGACGCGGTAAAGCACAACTGCAAAGTAGACGAGGAGGACTCCCAATACTATCAAAAATATCGTACCGATAAGGGTAAAGAAACGTGTAACTTTTTTAAGAACAATGCACTTAAGTGGCAGACTGGGTTCAGAGAGTTCAAAGTACGAATCCTGACCTAGAGGGTTAGAGTCTACAAGTTGTACACTCCACTGTGGGTTTTCGGCAATAAGGTATTTTGTGGCCAAAAGATTGCTTTGCAGATTGGCACTGAGGCTTTTAGAGCTGCTCAATAATTCATTGACAAATTCGTTTACTTCCAATGTGGGTGACAAGCTGGGGTCCTTGCAGTGATGTAGACGGGCCCGTTCGTTCAGGTGCTTTATGAGTTCCTCACTCATGTCCAAAGCACTTTTAAGAGAATCCTTTCCTATGCAATTCGTTCTATCATTAACCAGTTGGACATCGTTTGGGTTGCACAATGTGTATTTAAGCACGGCCTTATCGATGGGACTCTGCTCAAACCTTTTGCTTACATATAGGACCGTTATTATTGTCAAGAAAATTAAGAAAAGTGAAATAAGCACTTGTGGTATTACATATTGTCGGATGTCAGGATTTTTAAAGAACTGTTTCAGATCCGATAAGGCGAACCGATTAAGTCTACCGCTTTTTGGAGGCACTCGTGATCCTTGAGTTGTAAGCGGAACCTTAGTGTTGAATTTACGCTGAATTGTTGTGTCTCGAAAGCTGAGAAGTCGGTTGACTACCCCGCCATCGGATAGTTTGACTTTACTGCTCGGCTTACCGTAGCTATTCGAAGTGTCTATCGAGTACGGCATGGAGCATTGTTGCCGGTATTTTCCATTCAAGCTCAGGGTGTGGGGTGAGCAGTCGCCGTCGTAATTGGATGCTACCACAGGTGGTGGGGCGTACATTTTTGAAGCCGATAAGTGGAGTGGGCTAGAATCGCACTCGTCAAAGCTGCGCTGATTGAAGGACAAGGATGTGCGACTTAGTTCTGCCTCGTTGTTGTTTTCTACACCGTTGGAGAATCCTGAATATTGGGGATATTGATAGGAGGGCGATTCCTGCTGGTCCTTTGAGTACAACACGTACTTGTTGCTCTTTCTTCTCCGCTTATCAGCCACTGTGTGTTTCCTGAGCTTCTCAATTAGAACTGCCCGGGTTGTTTCAGTCACCGGCGTGTTGGGGAAGCCGCTCTGGATCAGTTTTCTATGCAATTCCAAGTCGCTAAGACTGTTTAAGCTCTCAGTTGACATCTTTGCTCGCTCTGAAAAGGGAATGCCAATTAGTTTCGTTTAGAACGCATACATTTTAACGCACACGCATGTACACAGGAATGCCCACATATGTACATATAGAAGCTTATATAGAACAGATTTTCGCAATTTCTTGAAATTTTCACGAGATTTCCATAATAAAAGTTAGTAAGGGAAATAAATAACTGAGAGTGTTGCTTAAGAATGTTAAAATATACCAAATATTGACAAACGTGAGAATTTTAAAATGCCGTTTACAGATAACATACATTCACAAATACACTGATACAAAAATGTTCAACAAGTGAGTGCATCACTTTTTGTCCAACGTGCAATTATCTTATAATCGCATTAATATAAAATGTAAACTACTTCTTTTCAAGCAACAGAACAGTCTTAAACAATCATATTTTGATTACAAATTTATACGGCACATACTAAATTATTAAGTCAAGGGCGCGGCGCCAACTATATGGAAACGAAGCTGCAATGGAACAGAAAACACATCTAGAATTTCACTCACGACACGACAAATTTTTGAAAATATAATTTTTATGATTTTTTATTGTGTTTACTAAGCATATAATAAGCTAAAAACTAAAAAAATAATTTATTCGTAACATTAAAAATATATTATATAAAAAATACCAAAAAAGTTTTAAATATTATATATAATTAGGATGATTTCTGAAATTGTATTTTTACATGGAGGGAAAAAGAAAATATTTTTTTTTTAATTTAATCAACAATTAAAGAATTGATGATATTTATTTTGTACTTTATTTAAAGTTTTAAAAAATAATCGAATAATGCCGGTGGCCATTCGTGTTTCATTCCATGTCGTTCCCCGATATACAGAAACCTGTCGTCTGCGTGCCATTTTTATCGAAATTGGCTATTTGGAAAGCAAAACTATCGGTGGAGGCCAATCAGTTTTCTTAAATTGTAGATACATTTATATGTGTTTGTGCTTTAAGAATTAAAATATTGTATGCCTTTTGCAAAGGTGCGTATTCGGGAATTACTTATTCACATTTGGGAGAGTGTGTTTGGGCTTTCCAACCGCTTTTCTCCCCGATGTGAATCGGTCGAAGAAAAGTGTGTGTGTGTACACACATATTTTGTAAATGCAGTTGGACATACAGACAAGTGCATACATACGTACAGGCTCATAAATACACCAAGCTGCCTGAAATAATACGATGAATCTAATGCATTTGCCTATTCGATTCTATTTGCAGGCTGACGCGAATGCCCGAAACTATTTACCACAGGCATGAATCGTAGGGGTTTGAACAGTGGCAATACGATGACTTCTCAACCAAACATTGACGACGGCAGCTGGAAAGCGGTTAACGAGGGCGGCTCAATGCTCCCAGCGGCGAACTCGGCGGCGCTTAACCCGGACGGAAGCAATCAGGGCGGATTTCCACAGGGCGGCCTGCCTTACAACTCTGGCGGCAATCCTTATCCGCCTGCAGGCCAGTCCTCGCCGGCGGGAAACCAGTCGATAGTGTTCCAGAACACCAACCAGCCTGGCTCGAACACACCTCAGTATACCTCCTCACCCGCACCCTCGGGCTCTTCGACACCCGGCCCCGTTGGCGCGCAAAACATTCCTGGCAATTATCCGCAATCCTCAACGGCGGGAAACTTCAACGGACCCGTGGGCGGACCCTTTGGATCGCCATCCTCGGGATTGGGACAGTTTAGCCGGCCAGCCAGCTCCGGCACACCGTTCAACAGCGGGCAGGGAGGTCACTTCTCATCACCCACGGTTTTTGGTGTCGGCGGTCAGTTTAACCCCATGCCACCGGCGTCCCCCTTCGGTCATGGAGGAAACCATCCGATGATGGGTGGCCCACAGCAAATGGAGCGAATCGATCAGGGCTTCAGAAGGCACAACTCCTATTTCAGTCATACCGAGCACCGCGTCTTCGAACTGAACAAGCGGCTGCAGCAACGCAACGAGGAGAGCGACAACTGTTGGTGGGATTCATTTACCACGGAGTTCTTCGAGGACGACGCCCGGCTGACGATTCTTTTCTGCCTAGAAGACGGACCGAAGCGGTACACGATCGGACGCACGCTAATCCCGCGCTTTTTCCGCAGTATCTACGAAGGAGGCGTTTCTGACCTGTACTTTCAGCTTAAGCATGCCAAGGAGTCGTTCCACAACACGTCCATCACGCTGGACTGCGACCAGTGCACGGTCATTACGCAGCACGGCAAGCCGTTTTTCACGAAAGTTTGCGCCGACGCAAGACTGATCCTGGAGTTCATGTACGACGACTACATGCGAATCAAGTCGTGGCACATGACCATCAAGGGCCATAGGGAGCTGATTCCCAGGTCTGTGATCGGAACCTCTCTACCGCCCGATCCGATGCTTCTGGATCAGATAACCAAGAACATCACGAGAGCCGGAATCACCAATTCCACGCTCAACTATCTCCGCCTGTGCGTCATTCTCGAGCCGATGCAAGAGCTGATGTCGCGGCACAAGGCCTATGCTCTGAGTCCACGCGATTGCCTGAAGACGACACTTTTCCAGAAGTGGCAGCGCATGGTGGCTCCACCCGGCAAGAAGGATCCTCAACGGCCGCCAAATAAAAGACGCAAAAGGAAAGGATCCAATTCTGGTGGCGGAAACAATGCAAACACCCCGCCTGTGACGAACCAGAAACGATCCCCCTCCGGTCCGAGTTTTTCCCTCTCCTCGCAAGACGTGATGGTTGTGGGTGAGCCCACGTTAATGGGTGGTGAGTTCGGCGAGGAGGACGAACGGCTGATCACCCGGTTAGAGAACACGCAGTACGATGGAACCAACGCAGTGGAGCACGATAATCATACCGGTTTCGGGCACGCCGACTCGCCCATCTCCGGCTCGAATCCGTGGAGTATTGACCGGGCGGGAGCTATTCCTGCCAGCCCTGGGAACGGTGCTGCGCCGCAGAACAACGCGAATATATCTGATATAGACAAAAAGAGCCCCATTGTATCGCAATAGAAATTAATAAAACATAATATTTCGCTATATTGTCAAATGTATTTTCATACTTGCATGTAAAAATATTTAATAAAGCTTTCAAGTTTTAGGAAATGTATATAAGACATACATACAAACTATAAATACTATATAATTGTAATTTAAGTCGTCTATTCTACCAACTTACGATTATAAAATGTAGTGTAGGAAATCTTCTATTCTGTTCTGTCTTAATTGCCTTGAAAATTAATTCATGTGTTGTTTTAGTAAAACATAAATTTTGAGAACAACGCAAGTTTTATTGAAAGCTAATTGCAGGTTTCTTCATTTTATACGATGGTGATTAAATTTTTTTTTTTTTAAACAGATTAAAAGGGAAATTTAAATAAATAATAGGTTTTTCCAATGGGTAGAAAAAAATCCCATAGAAATAATGTTTGAAGTTCTTATAAAGGTTACTGCAATCAAAAAGAAAAAATAACTCCCTAGATTTAATAGAATTTCTAAATAATTGAAATCATCGTAACTTTAAGCGAAATCCATTTCAATCTATGTATCTGTAATGATGAAAGTGTGATTTTTGAAGCTAAGCTCCTTTGCGCATGCACGAATATCCACGAGATACACAGTTTCTGTTCCACATTCAGTTATACAGTCGCGCGTTGAAGAAGGAGTGATGCTATTTTTAAATAAAAACCGAGCGCTTTCGTTGGTCCTTAATTTTATTTTCTTAATCATTCTAATTTCGTCAAATGCCCAAGCCGATGAAAGAAACATAAACAAGCTGCTGAACAATCAGGTTGTGGTCAGTCGCCAAATTATGTGCATTCTTGGCAAGAGCGAGTGCGACCAATTGGGACTTCAACTGAAAGGTAATAAAAATCCGAGAATCTTTTTCTTTTCTTGGTTTAATGCGAAAATCAGATATTTAAGATTTGAAAAGATTTATTAACTTATTAAATAAATAATATATTAACATCATATTTTTTCAGCTGCACTTCCGGAAGTTATAACCAGAAAATGCAGAAACTGCTCTCCCCAACAGGCCCAAAAGGCGCAAAAGCTGACAACCTTTTTACAAACAAGATATCCGGATGTTTGGGCTATGCTTCTAAGAAAGTACGATAGTGCCTAAATATGGCAATTGAATGTTCTCATACATCGAAAATAATAAATTAGTCTCACCATCTTAATGGATTATGTTGTTTTGTTTCTAAGGGTCTTCAAATTTCCATTAAATGAATACCCACACCCAATGGAGAGAAAAAATAGCCACATCTTTATACATATTCATGTATTTTACATCTTATTATTATATAAACTCTACAAGTACGATTTTATAGGGGGACATCATTTACTATGACTTTCCAGATAGACCGTCGAATTATCCACGCCCAAAAACTGGTGTATACTCAGTGTGGAGAGCATTTTCATTTGTCCCTGGTACAGTACATCGGCGATTATCTTCTCCGCATATATTGCTTGGGTGGCATCCATAGAACGCAGCTTGTGAGCAATTATTTTCCCAAAATTTGAGAAGTGGTCGTCCAGCTGGCTGTCTGCGCTTTTCAGAGCCAGGGAAAACAATCGTTCGAAGTCTATGTTAGATATGTCAGCCCGGATTTTGCCGGCCGGTACTTCATTTTCCTCGGAGACTTGCGAGGACACCGACGAGGAGCGCTTTCGATTGATGGCATTCTGGGTCTGGATTTGGTTTTGATTCAGACTCTGACTTTCTATGTGTACTTGTTTCGGGTGGGCAATGATGCGTTTGAAATGTTCAGCATCAATCGTTTTTGCGGATTCGGGAAGCGATTTTCTCCTCTCGGATATGATCCTACTGTCGGCTGGCACCACGATTTCCACCTCCTTGATAGTAGCGCCTCCCGAGCTCGATGTGTGATTATTGGCGTTGACAGTTTTAATACTGATAACGGGGTCAGCTGCTGCGGCCTCCTCGAAAATATTGGCACAAAACTCGTTCGCGCTGCTATTTGGCGACAGTTTGCTGGTGTCGGCCTTGTTGGGCGGCTTTGGCAGGCTCTCCGCATCAGAGAACTCGTCGCAGTTCTCCGCCTGAATCAGTTGAACCGCGATCTCTGAACAATTTTGCTGTTGTCCCGCGTTTTCGTCGCGCTTGCACTTCTTATCGGGGCTTTCCTCGTCCTTGAGGAACATCAAAGACTCAAAGTAGCGGCGTTTTGGGCAGTATGGTTCGTATTTCTCTCCTTTCTTCTTAACCTCGTTATATTTCCTCAATTGATGACGAAATGCACATCGAAGATTGTTTATCTTTTGCTTTGTTCGTTCAACATTGTACATTTCCCCATGCTTAGTGGCCACCTCGATTAGCTTCATGTAAGCCTCCTGCCGCCGGCTGCGGTTCCTGAAATCAGCAGAGTCTGCCTTCCAAAGGCACGGATTGCACTTATATTCTTCTATGAAATCGTCAATAAAGTCCATTTTTGTTTACTAAATGAAAAAATGCAGTAGTTGTTGACTGTAGTGGACTATAGGGTTGTGGACTCGTAGGGTTGTTCGGTTTTCGAGTGATATATCAAAATATCAATATATCGATATTCTTTTTATAATAAAGTCTTGATAGAGAAGCAAAGCTAGCGGGCGCGGAGCATTAAATAAGCATTCAATGGATTTTGTGGCTTAGTGTTCCAATCAAAAATAGTAATTAAAGATATTAATTTTTGTAAATTTTATTTTCCATTTTACTCGATTTTTTTTTAAGTTTTCGATTGTTCTTTCCAACACTAATCGTTCACAAAAAAATACTGTATCTTTAGATTTTAGTATATAAAAGAAGATACGCCTTAATTTTAATATCCGGTCACACTTGGACAAAAATTAAAACTGATAAACATTTAATAAAATAAATATGAGTGGGGCTCACAGAGAGGCGATTCAAAAACAAATCCATCAGGACTGGGCGAATAGGGAGTACATCGAGGTCATAACAGCCAGCATAAAGCGAATTACCGACTTTCTTAACTCGTTCGGTAAGAAAACAGCTCTACTCACTTCTTCATATGTAGTGATGTGTGTGTCTGTTCACATTAACACTTTTATTTATAAAAAAAAATACAAATAAACGCTTGCTAACAAATCATCCACTGTCATTGGCATTATTTACTTACCTGTGAATTATGTGAGTCGACTTTTTTGTGAACGGGGCTAGTCTTTTGTGCAAAAAACAAACATACATTAATACACAAAAGTATGTTTACACCCGGCCTCTTCAAGGCAATGATTTTTTATAAAAAAGTACCTCTCGAAGCTGCAACTACCTCTTTAATAGTTAAGCCTGGGACATGTTTAAAAACATCATCATTTATATCCTTACAGATATGTCCTGTCGATCACGGTTGGCCGTACTAAACGAAAAGCTCACGATCCTCGAGCGACGCATAGACTACTTGGAGGCGTGTGTAGCCCAGGGCGAAACATTAACGTAAATGCCCTGCCCTTTCTTCTGCCCTCACTCTTACACTAAGCTTTGTAAATTTATAAGATAATTAAAAATACTGATAAAATATTGAATATTCTTTTGTCTAACCATGTGAATTTTCGCCGAATGCGTTTGCCATGACACGAAAATAATAATTTGTAATACATTGTTTGGTCTTTGAAGGACGGAATTTCATGGTTGAGTTATCAGCCGGCCACTGGTTTCGTTTCATTGCCCCTTTTAAGAATTAATATAAGTAATAATTCAAAAGCAGACGAGCACGCAATGTTTCTTAACTAACCGTAGCTGGCAAGTTCCACTTATTTTTTTTAATGCAAATCGAACTGACGAGCGTAACCATAAATTAAAGTCTTGACGCAATCTTATGACTAAGTTGTCAAGACTTTAATTGCCTTCGATTAAATAGATCATGGGTTAAGTACATTAGTCAGTGCTTGTAGTTTATATAAACTCTAGTTTTATCTTAATTGGCCCATTAACGAACAATTAAAATCTCGCCCTTATTATTATTTTGTACAAAACAAATCTCTTTATTCGGAGCACGATCGTAGATTAAAATTTTGGTAAACAGATAAACCTAATTAACGATGAATAATAACAGTTTGGAATTGAGATGAGGAATTAAACCTTGATTCCACGCTCAGCCGCCTGGGCACGGTAGCGCTTGACGTAAATTTCCTCGGGATCGAACTTGGCCTGCAGTGTCTTCCACTCTTCAGGCTTGTTGTCGATGATGAAGCGAATGATCTTGTCAGTGTTCTCGCGCTGCTTCTCGCTGCACTTGCTGCACTCGGTCTTCAGGGCGTCCGGCAGGGACCTCTTCAGCTCACGGGCCTCCGGGGTGCACTTGCCCGTGTCGATAAGACACTTGTAGTAGTTGGAAAACAGACGGTCGGACTTGAGGATCTCATCCACATCGATGTTGTCGTACTTTGTGGTGTATTTCTCCTCGGCGGCAACCAGAGCCACTCCCAGGACGAGAAGAGCAAATAACATTTTCATCTTGCTGGCGATCTGCGGTGGGAGTAAAGGTTTATTTCTTAGAAATATGTATGTTGACAATATAATCATTAATCAGCACATTTTTCTGGTCGCATTCGCAAATAGAGGAGTGGATAAGTAGGTCTATTGGCTGGGAACCTGTTTGACGGTTAACCTAGTCAGGGGATTTTTAATGGACGATGCCAATGGAAATGTTTTCAGATCACCATCATCAACAGATACAAATGTATCCGAGTGCGACTGCATTCGCCAAATTAGACTATCATTCACACTAGCAATGTATCCGTGTTTATGCAAATTGTCGCTTTGAAAACGCCACTTTGCATGCGTATCAGATACGAAGATCAGTAGATTCAGATAAACACCTCTATCGACTACCGAACTACATATGTATGTTGGAAAAAGATGTCACTGTTTACACACTAGAAAAACAGGTTGCGGGTCTAGTCCTATTAGCCTATAAATGCGTCGGAGACACCTGATAATAACCAACAAAATTATCAATGAGGGCGGGCTGGCTTACAATGGAGCTCGACTTTTGACGACTCGACGAAGGTGACGACGGACTGTATGTGAAGCGGTGCAGCTGCTGGAACTAACTGAGAAATGTTTCTATGAAGTTGGCTTTTATACCGGGGCTACCTTACGATTGAACTTCAAGTGTAATACATACATCGATTGTAAGCTTGTATTAAGGCTGACACTAACACACAACACAGCACAGCACAACAGAGCACCTCACACCACAACAAGGCGGGCTCCATATGGGATTGCACACACTTTAGACTTTGAAGCACAAATCGTTATTGGTGAAAAGTCAACCCAGTGATTAGTCAATCGTCGTTATAAATTTATATAATATATACCGATAGTTATACTCACTTAATTTGACATTAACATTAAGGAGGTTGACGTCTGTGTACTCAACGATGATCGAAAGCTAGGCTCTATGTACTTTGCAGGTACTATTTACGGGTATATCTAATAAAAAACTAATTTAATGATCATATTTAACGATCTCGTTAACCATTTCCATTAGCATCCATTCATTTCACTTGAGGTGTGCAAAAAAGGCCCTTCAGCGGGCAGACGCTCTTAAATTGCTTTTCGAATTCCCGGAACAGTCTTGCCAAATAATGATTTAATAGGTTTTATTAGAATTCACTTAGTGCGTTTTAAAGAAAACAACTATCTGAGGAAAACAAAACAAAGTGTAGGTTATTAACGGCCAAACGTAAAACACTTTTTATGTAGTCCTACAATGTAAGCTCGCACCTGGAAATGAAAGATTATAGTAAACCCTTGTGAAATATTACAAAATTGTCCGGTCGCTATGTATTTTGTTCATTTTGTTTATTGTAGTTACAAATAGTGAAATGTAAAGAGTAACAAACACTTATACATTTTAGAAATCTGTACAAGGAAAGTATGTAAACCTGTGGACCTTTTTAAATAATCATAATTTTTGTCTATTAAGGATTTCTAGATGCAACTTTTAACTTTACGCTTAAACGTTGTTTGTGTGTCTCAAAGTAATTTGTCAGGAGGCAGTAGTTTCAGTACTTGATCATTGCCCAGGAACAACTCATAATTGAATCTTGGCGGGACGTTGGCGTTGGAATATTGTGTCGATAGTGGAAAAGACGTCGCTGGACTTTTTGGCGGCATCAACCTTGAAGTGCAATCCCCTCAACCCATAGTAGTCAACCAGGGGCCTGGTTTGCTTATGATATGCTTCAAGCCTCTTCTTCAGAGCTTCGGCGTTGTCATCGCTTCGTCGCATCAGAGGTTCTCCGGTAACCTGAAGAACATTTGTGACGGTGATGATTTCAATTCTCAAAAGATATTTTTTAACTACTCACATCATCGGTCATTGGCTTTTTCGGAGGGGCAAATTCCTCGTGATACGAGCGCCCGCTAGCTTGATGGATCAAACGGCCAGTGATACGCCTCACCAAAAGACTGTCGTCGATGGCAAATTCAATAACAGCATCCAGATTGGCTTTCCTCTTGTCAAGCAGTGTGTCGAGCTAAAAAAAAAGGCAAAATAAACCATTTATTTCTTTAAAAGGTTTGGGGAATAAAATGAAACTACCTTTTCAGCTTGAACGACAGTCCTTGGGAATCCGTCCAACAAGAATCCGTTCTTGCACTCGGGCTTATCCAAGTTAGAGTCAATCATGTCGACCACAAGCTCATCGGACACGAGTTTGCCGGCATCCATGACCTTTTTCAGCTCTGCTCCCAGCTTGGAACCGGATGAGATTTCCGCCCGCAGCATATCGCCAGTAGATAAATGGCAGACGCAGAACTTCTCCTTCAGCAGGGGAGCCTAAAATTGCCGTAATTAAAAACATTGATAAATATTGAGTAATCATGCGGTATCAAATTGATTGGCAATGGATAGATAAGATGCATTATTCAGCGATGAAAGTTCGAGTAGGTTTTAAATACCACAACTATTGCCTTCAATTAATTAATCTTCTCACACCACTACCTATTTTATGTGCCGCATTTCATGGTCGGCAGATTTTTGGACGTGCCACATTTGAAATTTTGGTCGTGCCACATGTCTACATACGCCTCTGTATGTACCATGTGAGTAGGCAAATAAATATGTGGATATGTACCACATGAACTTATGCAACTGCCTATTTAATTATTTGAGAAATAACAATGTTTGAAAAGTTGTGTGTAGAAGTATAGGCCTGCACTTTGAGCACACGTTGTATTTATTTTTAGTGCATGTAGCGTCCATATCAAAAAACACATTATGTAACTAGCGACACCCACCTGCGTTCCTTTGCCGGAACCCGGCGGACCCAGCAGAATGGCGTTGATGCCAATCCTCTCGGGTTCATATCGCTCCACTGGTACTGCTGCGGTCGGCGCCATGGTTTATTGTTTATGCTGAACTATTTCTTAAGTCCTAATTCATAGCCAAAAGCAGAAATGAAGGTTAAAGAGATAAGATAATAATTGCCGATGCAGCCCTGACAGTGATGGCAAAAATTCTGGCAGTTGGCCTTTTTTATTGCCACAGCTGTAAACAATGTTGAAAGCAGCTCAATTTAAAAGAAGCCTGTAGTTCTTTCTAATATATATATTGTTTTATAAAATTAAGAGCTATTATCGTACTTCCTATTAAATAAAAAATGTATATTTATTGTTTGCTTAGTTGGCCCGCTCTTTTCTGAAATAATTGTCAATCGATAGTTGGCAACCCTGAATGAAAAGCTTTCGTCGATACCATCGATAGCTTTTAAAATTTAAATTTAAGTAATTTGAAAAACAGACATTTTTTTAAATTTTGTATGAAGTTTTTTTTAACTTTGTGGTATAAAAGCAAAGACCATTCATTCTAATAGTACTATAACAATTTTATTTAATTATTCGGGAATGCGTGTATTACAATTGCCGTGGTACATTTTAATATTGCCTTCGCACCGGAAATATGCATCAAATATGTCGCTGTAGCCGTGATCCTTCCACCAAGTGCACAGCTGTCTGTTCCAAATGCAGTCTAGTCTGTATATCAAGTTGGGGTACTCGTATCCGAGAAGAGTGAAGAAGTCCTGGTCCCCCAGATGGCCCTTGAAAGAGTATTTTGCGACCAGAGTGTGCACCTCCGTGTGCGTCAGCTTCTCCAGATAGGCCTTTGAGTTTCGGATGCGGTTGAGGAGCAGTAGGACCACGCCAGAGTTCAGCCCCGGATAGCCGTGGTGGATGTGGCTATGCTGATTTCCAGCTTCGTTGTTCATTGGATAGTAAGGATTACCGAAACTGGTCTTTGGATAGCGAACGCGATAACGATACAATATATGGCGGTATACGGGAGTTAATTCTGGGGCCAAGCCGTATAGCTGGTGTGGCAGAAAGTTATCAAACTCATTGAACAGCAGCCGGACATCTGAACGGAAGACTATATCACAATCAAGCAAAATGGCTCTATTTAAGCTTCTATCGGCGATTCTGTGCAATCCAAGGGACAGGAAAAACAGGGAGTCACTATAATAGGAGTTGGGTGTTGAGCTAAAGTACGGGGACAGTCGAGCGGCTATATCCTGGATTATGCTAGAGCAGACTTTGACGTCGTAAATCGTATATATCACTGTTCTCCTGAACCGCCGGATTTGTCGCTGCAGGATCTCCATAACAGACACTTGGCTCTCGCTGTCCGTGATAATATGCAAGTGCAGCTGGGCACTGGTGTGTTTAAGCAAGCTGTGTGCAAATAAGTCGAACTTGAGGTTCAGATGATAGTTCTCCCGGGTATAGATGACAAAGATGTTGTAGTCCGAGGATAGCCCGTTTAGATGTGCTCCCAGCTCCTGTTGCGTGGACGAGTAGTTCAGCAGGTAGTGTGTGGGCTGCAGGACGGGCGGAACGGCGGCAGTGGTCTGCTGGACATCCGAGTACTTGGACTCCTGCTTCTCTGGATGCGACAGCTTGTTCAGTCGGCTGGAAAGGAACGCCGACAATATGTTGCCCCGTACCAGCAAATGCGTATTGGCGAAAACAATTAAAACACACATACAGATAAATATTAACAAAAGTACTAGCTTTTTCTGCCACCTGCACCGTAGCAGGGTCCACGTCCAACTTTTCGGCTTCCGTTGAATTGAGTTCCGTCGATTGATAATCAGAGTGACATTCTCCTGATCCTCCAACAGCTGCGATTTGCACTTCATTCCGTACATATTCAGGTCCGCCGGAAAAGTTTTGTGTTTCTGGCTAATTGTTTTGAAGCTGTATTTTGCCATTTTCGAACTACCGCAACGGACCACCAACGAACATATATCCTTCGGCTATAGCCTATGTTAGAACACACTAAACGGAAACTCTGAGCAGCCGATCATGAGCGCACTAAACATTTTAAACTTAATTAAACTAGATCGATAAAGCAAGCAAGTAAAAATCAATGACCCACATACGAAAGCACCCACATACGAAAACAACGCTTTGAACAGTGCTGCCAGACAATCAAAAAAAGCGTTGAGCAGTGCTGCCACACACGATTGCCATTGTTTTAATTATAAATTTTAATAAATATCTGTATCAAATGTAAGCCATATTTAATTCTCATCACAATAATTTAATAATATTTTTAAACAGTTTATTTCAGCGCCCTCTTTGGAATAACAAAAATAGTTACAATGGGACTAAGAAAAATACCAACACATCGATTAACATCGATAAAAGTATCTTAATCTTAGAAATATACATAAACCTAATCATGCGCAGAAGTATTATCTTTATCAGTATAAGTACATGTTATGGTTGTTCCAGAATTGCAAACGGATTTACGCTGAGAAAATGTAAAAATCCGTGCCTGCCAAGAACGTGAAAGTATTCAGCTGCCGAATTCCGTTGTAAACCAGAGTGTTATTGCATTCAAAACAATGGACTGCCATCATCGCATTGAAGTTCCCTTGCGGGCTGGGGGAAAGAAAATGAAAAAACGAAGGGAGCTGGACGCCCTGATAGCTCAATCCTCTTCCAAAAGAGGCACCAGACGAACTGGCGCCGGAGGAGCCACACATTCCCAGGACAAGTTGCTGTCGGTGTCCACGGATGACCCTGAGGATTACGCATGGGTAATACAGAAGCAAATACTTGTATATATTATATGATCAAGTACAAGGTTGTACCTATTTGTATTTGTATCGATGTGTGCATGAATGAAATGAACTTTCCCACCTAACGAGCAGTTATGAAAACCAATTATAGATTATAATGATGGAGCAATTCCGGAACAAAGAATATTATCACGCACATTGATTTTTATTTCAGACAAATGTCGCTGGATCCAGCCGTCGGAGTCATCGGAAAATAGCCTATTTCCGCATGTGCGGACCCGTCATTTTGGGCGTCATAGGCATTCTGACGGTGACTATCTTGTATTGGCTCTACTTCGATCTACGCCAGCAACTTTCCCATTATCGTCAGAAAATCGAAGAAGGTAAGTTGCATTATTTACTTAAAGGATAAGAAGTGCCTAAGTTATATAACACTTTCAGTATCGGCCATGAGCAAAAACTTTCCGGACACCCTCCAAAAATGGCATGAAACTTCGTCATTCCTATTAAAAAATCAAACTGCAGTTATTTCGGATATCAACGACCTGCAGAAAACCGTGGAGAGTTTACGAAATAACTTCAGCAGTCTTGAGGCCGTGGTGGCAGCCCAACGAAACCATGGCAAGGACGAGAAACTGGTGGCCGACTTTGGAGCCAAGATTGAAGCTGTTGCCACCGATATAGAAGCAATTAAGGAGCACTATAACAAGTACATCGAAGTCCAGAAGGCACTTCAGGCCGAAACGGAAGCCTTGAAGGTAAGATAAGCTAATAAAAACAAAGTCTTTATTATTCATTGACATTGCCGACTTTTTTTTAGGTCAATCTATCGCAATTACCAACGCTACAAGCCAATGCATTACCTGCAAACTTATCGGAAGATATTGCCGTGCTTAACAAAACCACCATTGAGTCTTTTAAAATACTAAGAAACGATCTTAAAGACGTAAATAATACCTTAAGTCAAACAACGAAAATTCTTGGCGAAGAACTATCCCTCCATAAAGTAAGAGATTATGTTACTAAGTCTTGCTATGATTTTTAATCTGTACTATCAATTTTTCAGACTAAAATAGATGACTTGCTGGATCGCTCAGAGAATATAACATCCCATGTGGCAACTATAAGTAACAGTTGGCCGGAATACAAGCAAAAAGTAACCAGCTTCGATGAATCGTTAGATAAAATAGAAAAAGAGGTAATCTAATGGTGCTATCATTATCAGAGCCAAATGATTAATTATTATTTATGAATTTAGATAACGCTTACTAACAGCAAAAATAATATGCTTGCCGCCTCCATGGATCAGCTAAAGAATTTTTGCATTCAGAGCATGGGTCCGAAAATAGCGCCCAAAGGTGAAGATAGTTCAGTAATCCCCAAGGTAAACATTTGCATATAATTAATTCGAAATAATCTTTTAAAAACAAAAACACATTTTATCGTTAATTGCAGTCTGAAGTGATTGCCTCTAATCAAGAATTTAAAAAGCCGCCTGCAAATGCCACAGAAACTCTACAGGAAGCCCTGAAACTGTAGACAGCTCTTGTTTTTTTTATTCTACGATGCCTGTTGTATTACTAAATTTGTTCGATTTCGTATATTAGACATTCGGCCCTCGGGGGTGTCGTGTGTCAAAGTCACAGCCAACGATTACTAAATATAACATTTAACACACGAAAGCAGCTATGTACATACATAAGGTTCAAAGAGCTATTTAATAATGACAAATAGAAGGAAGATGTGCACGTGTGATTTCAGTTAAGTTTACTCTTAAAGTCCGTTTTAGACAAAGTAATTGTACATAAGATTGTGAAATAAGTTTTAAGTCAATATTATTCACTTTAGATACACGACGATATGTATTTTATTTCCAAATAATAAAATCAAATTAAAGCTCACAATAGCGTAGTTGCTTGCAATATATTGTCTCAAACAGTTGTAAACATAAACATAAAATTTAACAAATTTCTAGTCATCGTCGTACTGATCGTTGAACTCTTCGTCGTCGTAATCCTCCAGGTCCTCCGCCACATAGGCAGCCTTCTGCTCCTTCCGGAGGAGCCAAGCTCGGTAGGCAGCCTCTTCCTCAACGGTCGGATCACTGGCCTCGATGAAGTCTTCGCGATCGTGGGGGTACTCCTCCTGTACAAGGGGCAAGTGCTTGAAGGGTATGTTGCGGGCATAGTACTTGTGGCCCCAGCCCAGATAGATCGATTCGCAAGTGGATTCGAAAATGAAGGTGTAGGCTCCCGGCCAGACATTGGATTGCATGACAAGCATTCGCTCCTTTTGGTTTGTGTACTTGCTTGTTTGGCGGACGAGCCACGGCACTGGAACTTCCGGGCTCATATCATTGGCACAGGACGATAGGATGCTAGGTCCCACTTCCGGCTGGTTGAAACCCTCAATCATGCCCTCCTCTTCACCCTCCTCCTCGCCTTCTTCCTCCTCCGTATCCTCCGCCTCCTCTTCCATCTCGTCCATCAACTGCATTTTCATCCACATAGCCAATGCCTTCTCCCGTTCCTTCTGGGCCTTTTCTTCATCATACCACACAACTCGTCCTTGATTAAGTATGTTGGAGCGCACATGAACCCAGGCTACTGGAGTGGACAAAGAACCTAATGGTTCTGGTTCGTACTTCTCGTTTTTCAACAGCATTACGTCGTTGTCTGATAAATGGATTGGTTTAGTTAAAATATCAAAAAATAGCTTTTAGTATTTACCTTCGATCGGTTCCTCCTCTCCTTCGTTTACTTCCTCTTCTTCCTCCTCCTCCTCCTCTTCCTCGCCCTCATCCATCTCATCCCCATTGAACATTCGTAGTTCCTTTTTGGTCATCCGCCTATAGTATCCCATTGGCGCAATATAAGTCCCAGCCGTAATGCGACCTATCATGGCCCTCAGGTAATGCTTCTCTTTTCCCGGGAAGCATGGATACGATATGACATCCGCCTCCAGATCACCAGTAAGGAACTTTTTGATCTGCCGGGAAACGACTACTTGGCGGGGAGTTACTATTGGCAGCTCGATCCAATCGTCATACAAATTGTTGACCACAAAATATGAGTACCGATTGCAACCGAGGCCAATTAACTCTGGAGGTATGTCATAGAACTCTATCTCTTCAACCAAGGGAACGGCTGCGGCTTTTGGCTTCATGTTTTCCAGCTCTTCGAACGGATAGTCTTCCCAGCCATATATACCAGGGGTCAGTTCGGGACCAATGTGCGCTGGCACTGGCTTCTCCTCGTTGAACTTTCGCATCTTTAAAGGCGTTTGTTTCTCCTTCAGCTCCTCCTGCATCATCACCAATCTTGAGGCTATTTCCTCGCGGGTCAAGGAGGCTTCTACAATGTAGTATGAGGCCTTTAGTCCATTGATGCAGCCCCAAAAGCGGCATTGCAGTATCGAGGAGTGGGTCTGAAGACGGTTCATGGCACTGGCCAACTGAAAGATGTCATCGTTACTAATACTGAATCCGCATTGATTCCAGTAAAATTGCAGCTGCTGGACGCGTTCGTTGAAGGTGACGAATAAACGCATCGAATCATCCAAAACCAACCTAAGTTCTTCATTGGTTTTTGAATCCTCGCCGGACATATCCTCGCCGGCACCCAGTTCATCTCCCTCAATATTGTAGGGTAACTATAATATAACAATAAATATAAATACATATATCTAAAGATTTAAGTGTATATTTGTATATCTAATAGGTACAAACCTTCATGGACTGAAGTATTCTCTTGGCCACCCGGAAGGTACGAACTTCATCAAAGACACCATTTGGCGGAAAGCGTTCCGGCAAATGAAATTTCTGTTCCCTCACATTCCTACTGAACTCCTCGAAAAAATCAATTACGTTGGGGGGACGCTCATCAATGACGCGCTTAATAATATCACTCAAGTGATCAAATCTATCAAAGAAAATCAATAAATTAAAGACAAGCAACAAAGAAAAGCTCTGCAAGGGTAAAGTAATAAACATAAATAAAATATAATGTGTGTGGGTTAAGTGGTTGAATGAGGAAAGTAGCTTCTGTGTTCTCTGATTTCAAAATGGTACTTTGTTTCCCGATCAGATACAAATTGACAGAGCTATGACCATCGCAAGGGGCAAAAGTGGGGATATTGGAAAAACCCAAAATTTTATGAGGGTACCCCTAGGAAAAATTCGAAAAATTTCAAAACTATATTTGGGCAATGTTTTGAATGACGAAAGTAGCTTCTATGTTGTCTGATTTCAAAATGGTACTTTGTTTCCCGATCGGATACAAATTGGCAGAGCTATGGCCATCGCAAGGGGCAAAAGTGGGGATATTGGAAAAACGCAAAATTTTATGAGGGTACCCCTAGAAAAAATTCGAAAAATTTAAAAAATATATTTGGGCAATGTTTTGAATGAGGAAAGTTGCTTCTGTGTTTGCTGATTTCAAAATGGTACTTTGTTTCCCGATCGGATACAAATTGGCAGAGCTATGGCCATCGCAAGGGGCAAAAGTGGGGATATTGGAAAAACCCAAAATTTTATGAGGGTACCCCTAGGAAAAATTCGAAAAATTCAAAAACTATATTTCGGTATTGTTTTGAATGAGGAAAGTGGCTTCTGTGTTTGCTGATTTCAAAATGGTACTTTGTTTCCCGATCGGATAGAAATTGTCAAAGCTATGGCCATCAGAAGGGGCAAAAGTGGGGATATTGGAAAAACGCAAAATTTTATGAGGGTACCCCTAGGAAAAATTCGAAAAATTCAAAAACTATATTTGGGCAATGTTTTGAATGAGGACAGTCGCTTCTGTGTTTGCTGATTTCAAAATGGTACTTTATATTCCGATCGGATATAAATTGGCAGAGCTATGGCCATCGCGAGGGGCAAAAGTGGGGATATTGGAAAAACGCAAAATTTTATGAGGGTACCCCTAGGAAAAACTCGAAAAATTCAAAAACTATATTTGGGCAATGTTTTGAATGAGGAAAGCCGCTTCTGTGTTTGCTGATTTCAAAATGGTACTTTATATTCCGATCGGATATAAATTGGCAGATCTATGGCCATCGCGAGGGGCAAAAGTGGGGATATTGGAAAAACCCAAAATTTTATGAGGGTACCCCTAGGAAAAATTCGAAAAATTCAAAAACTATATTTCGGTATTGTTTTGAATGAGGAAAGTGGCTTCTGTGTTTGCTGATTTCAAAATGGTACTTTGTTTCCCGATCGGATAGAAATTGTCAAAGCTATGGCCATCAGAAGGGGCAAAAGTGGGGATATTGGAAAAACGCAAAATTTTATGAGGGTACCCCTAGGAAAAATTCGAAAAATTCAAAAACTATATTTGGGCAATGTTTTGAATGAGGACAGTCGCTTCTGTGTTTGCTGATTTCAAAATGGTACTTTATATTCCGATCGGATATAAATTGGCAGAGCTATGGCCATCGCGAGGGGCAAAAGTGGGGATATTGGAAAAACGCAAAATTTTATGAGGGTACCCCTAGGAAAAACTCGAAAAATTCAAAAACTATATTTGGGCAATGTTTTGAATGAGGAAAGCCGCTTCTGTGTTTGCTGATTTCAAAATGGTACTTTATATTCCGATCGGATATAAATTGGCAGATCTATGGCCATCGCGAGGGGCAAAAGTGGGGATATTGGAAAAACCCAAAATTTTATGAGGGTACCCCTAGGAAAAATTCGAAAAATTCAAAAACTATATTTCGGTATTGTTTTGAATGAGGAAAGTGGCTTCTGTGTTTGCTGATTACTAAGTGGTACTTTATTTCCTGATCGGATACAAATTGGCGGAGCTATGGCCATCGGAAGGATACCAGGAAAACCCACAATTTTGTGAAGCATGGAATTTAGTCTCCACTTTCGGACTTTTATAATCCGTGCAAAGAAAATGCGTTGTGGGTAAACTAAAGGGATTTAAAGGGGCTAACTACCACTTACAAATTGTCTCCACTTAGAGTGCTGTATTGCTGCATTATTGACTTGGCCACGCTCAGCTCGTAGCCAATATTTGGGGCCTCGGGAACCGTTGACTTGTGGACGTTGCATTGCGAATCAAAGGCTCCAATCGATATGGTGGTGGTCGAGGACGAGGAAGAAGATGTGATAATGTTAGAACAATGTGGAGACATCTCCTCGGTGGACTTTTCCTCAACCACCTCCTTCCGCTTGGGAATACATGTTGGGGGAAGCGGCAACTGCGAACTACTAGTCGAGTCGATTGAAAAATTTTGGCACGAATCTCTGTCCATTCTAAGATTATAGGTAGATAAATTATACTCGAGTAGTTATAGGAAAATGTGTTGATTGGGATAGGTGAATTTAAGTAATTATATAAGTTGTAACTTTTGACAAACGAGTCAAACATAAAAGCCTACTTCGTTGTCTAACTCATATCAGTGGTGGGAAATTTGAAAAAATAGCATACCTCTTATCGTTATCGATCGATAGCCTTGAGCAACCATTTCTTGGACGTAAGACGGTCGTTACCTTTTAACCAAGTTATGAGAGTTCTTTTGTTGTGTACGTGAGTTGTTTACATTACAACTGATTCTCGGAGTCTTATTTGGAAAAGAAAGTGCTCAAGAAAGTTGTGATTTTTAGCAGTAATTTAAAATATAAAAATTCATTTGAAACAGGCAACTTTATAAGCAAGTCTAATAGTTTATGGACTAAAATAATGGACAACTGGTTGAAAAATATAAAAGATTCTCCATAAATCATAGTTTAATAAGAGCCAACATCTAGTTTTTATATTAAACTATTAATTTAAAAAAGTTAAATTAGGATCTATTATCGTAAGCATTCAAGTTTTAGATGTGTTTAATGTAATAGAACAAGGTATTAAAACCAAATGCTTTTAATTTCAACAATGTTGGGGAGGGGCAGGTTAATGCTCTTTGCGGAACAATTAACTTTCTTGTTTTTCTCTTCTAGGCTATTGGCGAAATGTATTACCTAAATAACGAGGCTGTGGCGGTGCCGTCATCTGGAAACTACGCTCAAAGGGAGGTAAACTCTTCCACTCTAGAGTTAAAGACTGTATCCATAAATCCAGATGGTGAGTACAAACCGAATCTTTTAGAATCTTAATGATTATAATTATAAACTCCTTTTACAGATACCTACACTGTTCAGCAAGCAATCAATGCTTTCGGGTTTGGATGGTTTCACGTCAAGTTATCCCTCTTGGTGGGACTTTGCTGGATGTCCGATTCCATGGAGATGGCCATCTTGAGTATTCTTGGACCAGCATTGTTTTGTGAGTGGAATGTCACTAAATTCCAGCAGGCTTCCGTCACCACCATAGTGTTTTTGGGCATGATGCTTAGCTCCAGTTTTTGGACGCAACTAAGTAACAGATATGGTCGCAAATCTGTAAGAATTTGGTATGCTTTCAAGACTCTGATGGTTTAATTATATATGTATATTTTTAGGCCCTTACTTTGTTTGGAGTATTGCTAGTTTTGTATAGTATTCTCAGCTCAGTGGCACCCAGTTATGCCTGGCTTTTGACCCTGCGCGGCCTAGTAGGTTTTGCAATAGGTTGTGTTCCTCAATCGTGAGTTTTTGATACAAAAATTGTTTGAGATTATAGTAATATATTTGTAAAATCCTTTAGTGTAACTTTATATGCCGAGTTTCTGCCAACCAAACACAAAGGAAAATGTGTAGTTTTAATGGACGTGAGTATTTTATAGAAATTAAAAATTGGATTATTATTTAAACTTTAAACATCATTTTTGAATCTTCTAGTGTTTCTGGGCTTTGGGAGCCTGCTTTGAGGTAGTTCTGGCCCTAGTTGTGTATCCATATTATGGTTGGCGTGGACTTTTGGGCCTTTCAGCCACGCCTTTATTAATGTTCACTCTACTATCACCGGTAAGAAATATATTTGAACAAAAATATATACATTTTTTAGTAATTTTAATATTTTAAATGTATTTTTCAGTGGCTTAGCGAATCAGCCCGTTATTACTCCTATAATGGTAACCACGACAAGGCTATCAAAGTACTGGAACAGGTCTGCATAATCAGTTACAATCAAATAATTTATATTTTTATTAATTAACGTATATTTTTATAGATTGCCCATAATAATAAGCGACATATGCTCATTGGTCGCTTGATTTCTGACGAAGAACCCAGCTCTACGGAAAGTTTTCGGTCACTTCTAAGTCCAAACCTATACAGAACCACTCTCTTATTGTGGTTCATATGGCTTGCTTCGGCTTTTTGTTATTATGGATTGGTTCTGGTAACCACGGAACTCCTGGTGGCCAGAAATAAGGAGAACCATCCTAATGAGTGCGTTACTTTTATGACATCGGACTTTATGGACTTGCTGTGGATCACCTTATCGGAGTTTCCGGGCATATTGATAACCATTAAGGTCATAAAGCAGTTTGGCAAAAAGAAAACTATAGTGCTGCAGTACTTGGTTCTAGTCTTATGTACTTTGGTATTAATGTCTGTTACCAGGTAAATTCTATTACTTTGAATTATTTTCAGTATTTATTTATTGAACTTTTCTCACAGTCGCTTTGCAACTTCTCTTACTCTGTTCATTGCTCGAGGAACCATATCGGGAATATTCCAAGCTATTTATGTCTATACCCCGGAAATATATCCAGCTGGCTTGAGATCGGTTGGTGTTTCCGGTTGTTCCGTTTTGGCCAGGCTCGGGGCCATGTTGACACCTTTTGTGGCCCAAGTATTGATGGATACTTCCAAAATTCAGGCAATATCCACCTACGCCCTGGTGGGGCTTTTCGCATCGGTGGCTTGCATTTTCCTTCCCAGGGAAAATGTTGGCTATCATATATAATATACAATACTATCGTACTTAATTTATCTTTTAGAAATATCCTGTTGACTGCATGTTGTAGGAATTACTGTTTCCAAAACAGTTTTTGAAATATTGAAATAAGATTGCCTATTTTTAGGCTGGTATTACTAGAAAATCATTATGTTGCAGCACTTGTTTTGTTTGCTGGTGGGCTACTTGTGCAAACTAAAATAAAACATTTGTTTCACAATATTTTTAAAAAGTAATGAAGCTTTGTAGCTGAAAAGCTTTGGACTCGCCTGTGAGAACAATGAGTTTTCTTAAATCTTATCTAAAAATTAGTAAAAATTACATTGTTATTACTATATCCGTAAAATAAGTTTTGAAATGCTATTTATTACTTTAAAAATTTCCCTATTTTTGGTTTTAAATATAGTCTTTGAATAAACCCCCTTGACTCCCACTTTCTATGGCAATGTGCCACCCACATACCTTCATATGAGTGTCACTTTGTGGCATCATTTATGATTCAAATGACAGGAGGAAATGCACTTGCGAATTAATTATAAAAGTCATTATTTCAGAACATAAACATAACGTATATGTATGTATAAATAAACCTCTGGCAAATATATATTTATAATACTTAATTAAATATGTATGTTGGGCGGGCGCACACATCTATGCCGATTTTATAAACTTTTAGAAAACGCTCGCTTGTATTTAAGTAGATGAGCTGAATCTATGCACATGGCTAGACACATGCATACACTTCGAGGTGCATGTGCATTATTTTTAAATTGTGAAACGATTTTTTCGAGGGGAGCTTTTGTTGTGATCAGCAAATATCGATCAGTCGTACAGTTGTCGGGATGCAGTTAAAATCATTGGTATCTGCACGCAGCAGCTATTATTTTATTTTTCACGCGACGGAAGTTTAAATTTAAACCGAAACCTATTCTACATTTGAATCGGCCCCTGCCGTCCCGCCACCCTAACCCTTCAGCCGAATATTCATCGACCGATTAAATTATGACAAACGAATTCGAATTGAAAGTGTTCTAACGATCGATATTTTTCGGGGCCTGAAATTGCCCATAATCTTGTGCAAATCCATTTTTAAATAAAATTCGAAATTGCTGAAAGTAATAAGTTATGCAATACATTTTTACGTAGACGTACAAATGTGCGTTTCATTTATGAAGTGAGTGAAGTTAATTGAGTGACAAGCGATCAATCTTAAGAGCAGCAATGGATACCGTAAGTTATGCGTGTCCAAAATATAAAAAAATACCCAAAAATATGTGTATGAACATGTGCCAAAATTTACTTATTAATACATTTGTGCAACAGAGTGTATGGGTGACACTTCAACACCCAAAATACATACAGTGCTCGTCCTTGGCTTGACTTGATTTAAAGTTAATAATTTCCATGATATTTGACAGCTGGAAATATCGTCGAGGTTTTTCAAATAAATTATATGAGTGACAAATTGAATGTGAAATTCGACGACTTGTGGTGATTGTTTTATGAAATATGTCCTTTAAGGAGTAAATTATTAAAAGTGAAACAAAAAAAAACGTTTAATAATATGTACATAAAATCTAAGATCTTTATTTAATCCTGAAGATATATATACCGATATATATATGCGAATTTCACTGTGGTTTCGGATCATTGGCCCGAAGTGTAGAACCCTGTGCTCGACAGAGATGCAAAATACCGCTCTTTCGCTGGGGAATCAGCTGTTTTCCCGACTGCATTAAGCTTTGCACTCAGTAAAATTGGACAAAGAAATAAATAGCCGAGCCATGCCCGCGTGTCTATGTCAACGCAAAATAGACTTTCAGCTAACGAGCTAAATATTGCACAGCCACTTTTTGTTTGGGCTGCTCGGTGAATGTGTTATGAGAACGAATCGATAAATCTTGATGATCATTAAGAAATATCGGAGGCATTTCCGGTTCTTGTGCAATTTACTCGTAAACCCAAGGAGTTCATTCTATTTGTGTATATATCATAAATAATATCTATCCGCCTAGAACTAGATAAAAAAAAAGATACCAACAAGTTTGCTTTATTTTGCATACAAATTTTGTTTAACGGTCCATTTCGATACACAATTTATTATATATCGGTTTTAATTGGCAGGTATCGGATATTGTTTTCGTTAACCGCGACTATCAGGCCCAATCGAAGGCCTCCGATGAGATCAGTGTTTCCCGCGGTGATCTGGTCGAACTTATAACTACAAAATCTGCAGAAAAGTCAAGGTAAATGGGAAAATAAAATATATTACAAAAATATTCTAAGCAATTAGAACGTGTGCAGTAATAGAGAATAAAACTTTCAGATGCTTTGTACGAATATTCGATAGTGGGGATAATCCAAAGGAGGGCTGGGTGCCGATTGAGATTCTAGAATTTAATCCAACCATGAGTAGCTCGAATGGAAAAGATAATGGGGATGCGGAGTTTAGGAAGCAGTAAGTGCCTCTTACTTTAAAAAAAGGAATAAGTAATATCCTGGAATTGGCGCCTTTTAGAACAATTCTTAGAGAGCTGGTGGAAACGGAGGAGGAGTTTTCCAGGGATTTGCTCCATGTGGTAGAAAAGTACATAAAGGGTATTGACAAGCCGGTAGTGCCCAGATCTGTGCGGGACAACAAGGATATTATCTTTTGTAATTTCCTACAAATAGCTGAGTTTCACAACAAGTAAGGAAAACCCAATAGAAGTTTATAGAACTCCGAATAAAAACACTTGGAATTGCAGTGTGCTTAAGGAAGGTCTCAAGTGCTACAGTAACCAGACGAACATGGTGGCCAAAACCTTTCTGCGGTTGGAAAGGGACTTTGACAAGCACGTGGTTTATTGCCAAAATGAGCCCTTGGCGCAGGACTACTTGAGCACTAATCCGGAGGCCAGGAAATACTTTCAAGTAAGTATTCTATTACAAGAAATGAAAAGAATTTTAATGATTGGATGATCATGCCCCGGCAAAAAAATTTATAGGCTTTTTGCCAAATCGAATGAGATTTTGTTTTTTGTTTTTCTGTTTTCTGTAATTGTGGGTTGAAATCAAAAATAATAGAGAATTGAATAAATTTGAAGCTGAGCAAAGCGTTGGAATCGTCTTCAAATATTATGCGTGTGCTATGTGCGAGAATATCAGTTTATTTTTAAAGGCAGACGCTTTTCAATTCTAAAGCTTTTGCAGTTTTCAGTTGCTTCCGAGTAGTGTTGGCGGTCGTGTCGTGCTAATTATTCATATACGTAACCGTTTCGCTTTAGGTACTTGTGGTCTCCCTCTTGTCACATTAATTAGACCAATTATTATTTGGAATAATCTTTCCTTCAAATATTTGATATCCTTTAAATCGTTTAATACTTTATAGTACCATTATTTTTACCCAGAAAGAGTGAATATATACAGCTGGATAATTCCAGAATGAAACGATTTATGTGTTGAAAGAAAAACCATTTTTCAAATCAATTTTTGTGTGAATATTTGTGACGTTTCCCGTTATGCAACATTTCCGAAATTCTACTAAGCGAGAATTTATATATTTAAACGATACGCCTAATACGTATACATTTATAAATGTATAAATATATGAGATGAAAATTTTTCTTCAGCCCACATATTCGACCTCACATCTAAAAGTGTTCAAAAATATATACTGGCGAAAAAAATATTGTAACATTGACTTTAATGAGTTCACATCTACTCATTCATTTCGAAATTGGTTCAGCAGTGAATATTCGTTGTAGTTTCGTGAATATTAACATGCCACAGAGTGAATAAAAAATATCTACATATATTCGAGCATAGAGTCGAGTGTGAATCTCTCCAAACATTTAAATACTAATATTCGAATATGTATTTAGAAAAAGTATACATATGTACATATGGATTTGTGAATGTCTTCGTGTACCGCCGCGAACGTTTAGCTTTCCAAACCGAAAGTACATACATGCATATAGAAAATCGCTCACCGACACTAGCGCACACATATCCGTTTTTGCAACAAGTGATAAATTTTTAAACATCGTTCCAAAAATAACCCTAGAGGAGAGATAGAGAAATGATGTGTTCTGAATGTATCTGTGAACATACAATGTTCATTAGACTAGCGGATGCAGAAAACCACCAAAAATCTGCGACTAACAATAAATATTATTGTATTATTTCATTTCCCAATACCAAGATATACATTTTCGTGTAAAGTCACAAACAAAAGTCCAGTGACCTTGCCTGGGAACCTGGGAACATGTCTTGTTTATTGGTATAGTCTTACTTAAATATGAATATTTTTGTATTGCAGGAACTTTCAAAACAACTTGGTGACGATAAATCTCTGTCAGAACACCTGAAACTCCCCATCCAGAGAATAAACGACTATCAACTTTTGTTCAAGGTTTGGCGCTATTAATCCCCCTGCATTATCCTCCCGTGTTTAGTGTTAATCCGTCCGCCCGTCTCTCTGTCTCTGATAATTCGATAATTGATGCCACTTCTAATGCAATCACCATGCGCTGCGCTAATCTTTGTTTTCGCAGGACTTTATTAGGTACTCGCTAAGCTTGAAAGAGAACGTTAAAGACTTGGAGAGGGCTCTAGAGTTAATGCTTAGTGTGCCCAGTAGGGCCTACGACAATAGATATCTTTCTAGCATCGAGGGCTGTCGGGGTAACATCTACAAGTTGGGTCGCCTCCTGCTCCACGAGTGGTGCACCGTCGTTGATAAGGACGGCAAGGCGCACGATCGCTACTGCTTCCTGTTCAAGTCACGCATTTTGGTGACCAAGGTCCGTAAGATAACCGAGAACCGGTCCGTATTCATTTTGCAAAACATCGTAAAGCTGCCGCTGTGCAACATCGAGCACAAGGCCGACGAGAAGCACATCCATTTGAGTCTCAAAGCACCGGACGCCAACTCGATCCTTCCGCTTAACCTTAAGCCCCACGGCCCGGAGTCCCATTTGACCTGGTTCAATGAGATATCCAGCCACATTAATCAGGACGTAACCCTGCAAGAGCACAATGCCGATGACCTGAAGGTCGATGCCTCTCAAATCGCGACTGAAAGTGAGCTTCTACTCCACCTTCCGCAACGGGCCGAGGCCCACGATCCGACTGCGAGTGTTAGGCCCTCGGATGTGGCCGAGAACTATTTCCTGAGCAAGGAGACCAAAGAGCGCCTTCAGCTTGAACAGCAGGAACTGCTGAAGCTCGAGCAGGAAGCCATAGAGCTGTACAAGAAACAGCAGTCCTCGAAGTCCGTTCAGATCTCTAGCTCCCAGGTGAAGACCAGTTCGGAGGTGCAAAGCAAAGTTGAAGAGGTCAAGAGCGTGGCCAAGCCACCCGAGACAGTTTCAAAGCCCAAAGAAGCTCCCATCAAGGAAGTTGCTCCTTCGCCACCTAGTGCGCCCACTCCGCCTCCGGCACCTCCCAAAGAGGTGACACCAGCTCCGGCAAAGAAAGTTTCTCCTGTAAAGGAGGCCACCCCCGCTAAGAAGGTTTCTCCGGTTAAAGAAGCTTCTCCGCCTCTGCCACCCAGACAGCCTGAGCCTGTGATTGCTTCTTCTTCGCCTCCTCTCAAGGAGCCCCCGCCAGCTTCACATTCCAAGGAAGTCGAAGCTCCAAAGTCGCCCGAAACAGTCGCACCGGTCCAGGTCCAAGAAACCAAACAGACTGTGTCCGTATCCAAAGAAGTTACCAGCACCGAGTCTAGTCAGTCCATAAAGCAAGAGGTTGTAGTCGAGGTCGCGGAAGAGACCCTTGAGATTGGTAAGCAAGCCGAAGAAGTGAAGCAAGCCAGAGAAACGTCACCATACTCGATTCCAAAGATCCAAGTTTACCGTCCCGTAGATAGCGTTAACACCTCCGGTAACCTTGTGGTAACCAAGCACAAGCCCATCGAGCTAAAAGACATTGTCGGCTACAGCGAATCCCTGGTGGATAGCGACACCGTGCCGGGGGGTTCGCAGGGCCGATCGCCGGGGTACACCGCTAACATAACCGACCACGCTTCACTAACCATCTGGAACAATCGCCTGGCCAATATCGCCGGCGATCGCAATGGGGTTAACCAGCATTTGCAGCAGTCTGGCCCCCCGCCGCCGCCCATTCCGCCAAACTTTACGCGCATGCCCGGCTTCTTCCAGCCGCTTCCCCGCATCGCTTACGAAACGACCATCGAGATACTAATTGTTAAGGCACGCCCCCCTTCACCGCCCCCGCCCCCGCCGCCGACCATCAAACGCGTTCTAGTCCATACTGAGAGTCTAGAGCAGAAGACGCAGAACTTCTTTGAGGGCATCTACGATGTGTCCACCTCGGACACATCGCTGCGCAATGCCAAGCAGAAGATGCGCAGCATTAAAAATACGGTCCTCAAGTCGAAGGACTCAACCAATTATGCCCAGGACACGGTCCAGAAGGCAAAAGCTCGCGATTTTCTGCACATTTTCACCCCGCCCGTTAAAAAACGCCCCATTTACGAGATCGTTGAGGAGCCGGTTAATATTTTTGAGCTCGAAGGCGATTATACTGAGTCTATTGCTGACGATTTCAGAGAGCCAAGTGCCGATTTTGAAGCCAGGGGCCAAAGCGTCGGTGGTATGGATGATTATTATTCTGGCTATTCTGGCTACTCCAAACGGCGCTATGAAAGTAAGTTGAAACCCGGATCCGTCTATGGATCCAAATCAAAAATAAAAACGTTGTGTGTATTGACCGGGTTTATGGATTCCCATGTTGAATTGAATGTGCGTTTCATAAAGTCAATAAACTTAATGTCTCGTATAGATTGGATACAATCCTTGTAAGCGAAGGCCTTCAAACGAACTATTTAAATGTATCACTTATCGATTATGTATCATGTCTGTCTTGTCCTTCATCTACACATACCCTATATACACATTTATATCTGTTGAGTTGATCGTAAATAACTTTGTTTGAAAACTATCTATCAGCTATTTAAATGTTTAGATATACAAACATTTCTGTATAATTAATACATATTTTGTGACTACCTATGTTCCTACATTGAAGCCTATTCTATTCCAATCCTTGCTCGTTTCTTGATTCAAATTGGTTATTCTACAAACTTCCTAAAGTCTCTACATAAATCTAGAGGTTTTTCGAATGTCAAAAACAAAACACCAATACACTCTTTTTGACTTCAAATCCTTCCTTGCGAATCCTACTAATAACGAGTTTTGTGTAAAGCCTCTACAAGGACCCGGGACTACGATAGGGGAACCTCCTACGACAGCACCGTAGAGAGATCTCAGTATGGAATAAGCTCTCGGCGCGATCGCAGTTCCATTGACAAGGTCGAAGCCCGTTCATCGCTTTTGGCCACCGGCCGGACAGATAGTAGCCGGGCAGCTAGCCGGGCCGAAAGCCGTGCGGAAAGTCGCGCCTCCTACTCGGTTGCCGAATCTCGTGCCGGAATCCGGTCGTCGTCCCGCCTTCAAGAGGACAAGCCCCTTCGCTCCGTTGACAAGCCCGTCGTGGTGAAGATGCTGAAGAGCGTACAAGTGGAGCGTAAGTAAAGGTCCTTATGGGTGAATATTTTTCTAATATTTTGTTTAATCCCTGAAGCTGGAGAGACTGCGCATTTTGAGATCCAATTCAAGGATCAGCCTGGATTGGTTACTTGGCTGAAGGACAACAAGCCGCTAGAAGATCGTTTGGCTGATCGCATTACCCAAACTGCAGCTCCAATGAACTCCTACCGTTTGGACATTAAGAATTGCAGGTTGGAAACTGAATTTCCATCTACATAAGGACATTTAAGGATTCATTGTTTATTGTCTTCTTTCCAGCGAGACTGATGCCGGAACTTACACCATTCGGGCTCAGTCTGCATCCGAGACAACAACTGTATCGGCTCAATTAGCAGTGGGCCAAGGTGGGCTACAAAATAAAACAAAAATCATCTCAAAAGATACATTTTATTTTAATCCTTTAGTTGCTGGGCTCGATGAAACGAAAACCAATACGGAGCCAGCATTTTTGGTCAGCCTAAAGGATGCTGAAATGATTGAGAACACGCTGTTCCGATTTATGATCAAGATTAAGGGTGACCCCAAGCCCAGAGTGAAATTGTAAGACCTGAAAACGACATTCCTACCGGCTCATAGTAACTTGTTCTTTTGTGTCTCAGCTTCAAGGACAACGTGGAAATCCTGGAGATCAATGATCGCATTCAGATCATCCGGGAGAAGGACTATCTCGGCTTCTATGAACTGGTCATTGCCGACGTCCAGAAGTCGGATGCTGGAACCTACACCTGCAAGGCCACCAATAAGTTTGGAGAAGCCACCTGTGAGGCTGTGGCCACCACAGTGGGTTAGTCTTGGAAAAGCTTTCTTCAGAGACTTGGACCTCATTAGGTTCTCTTGAATTCTTTAGAGGACAAAAATCCGTTTGGCGCTCTTAGTGGACAAATCCTACCAGCTGGTGAGAAGCCCGTCTTCTCCTGGAAGCGCAATGGCGAGGAGTTCGATCCCGAGGAGCGATTCAAGGTGCTCTTCGGCGAGGATGAGGACTCCCTGGCCCTGGTCTTCCAGCACGTAAAGCCCGAGGATGCCGGCATCTACACCTGCGTTGCTCAAACCTCTACTGGTAACATCTCGTGCAGTGCCGAGCTTTCGGTCCAGGGCGCCATCCAGACCCTGAACCGGGAGCCCGAGAAGCCCACCCTGGTGATCGAGCACCGCGAGGCCAACGCCAGCATCGGCGGCTCGGCTATTTTGGAGCTCCAGTGCAAGGGCTTCCCCAAGCCGGCGGTGCAGTGGAAGCACGACGGTGAGGTCATCCAGGTGGACGACAGGCACAAGTTCATGTACGAGGATGAGCAGAGTATGTCTCTGGTCATCAAGAATGTGAGCACAGCGGATGCTGGAGAGTACACCATAGAGGCTATCAACGAGTTGGGCCAGGATGAGTCCTCCATTAATTTGGTGGTGAAAGGTAAAACTATAGTACTTTGTAGGATATTCCATTATTTGGTTTTTCTCAAGCCTCAATCGTTTCGAATCCTTTTTATAATTTTTAATCACGGCCTTTCAAAAATACTTCTCAAGCTCCTCCTAAAATTAAGAAAATCACGGATATTACCTGCTCTGCTGGCGAGACGATCAGGATGGAAATCGAAGTCGAGGGCTTCCCGCAACCCACCGTCCAGGTGACCAACAACGGCAAGGACATCACCACGGAGAGCAACGTCAAGATCTCCTCTAGCTCCATTGGCAAGAGCCTGGAGAAGGTCGTGGTCGAGGTTAAGGAGATCAAACTGTCGCAGGCGGGCAACTACTCCATTAAGGCCACCAACGATCTTAGCCAAACATCCGAGTACTGGAGCTGTACGGTCAAGTCGAAGCCGGTGATTGTGAAGCACTTCGAGAGTGAGTACATCCACGGCGAAAAGGAGAATGTACAGATGACGGTGCGCATCGATGCCTATCCGGAGGCCAATCTGATTTGGTATCACGATGAGACCGAGATCAAGATCACCGACTCCAAGTACACGGTGACCAGTGACGGCAACGCCTACACCCTCAAGATCACGGGAGCCACTCGTGTGGATGCCGGAAAGTACACGGTCAAAGCCTCCAACGAGCACGGCTCAGCTACAAGCTCAACGGATCTTCTGATCAAGTGCACGCCGGAGTTTACCCGGAAACTGAACAACATCACGGTGACCGAGGGCGACTGCAACGTGGAGCTCGTGGTCGGTGTGGATGCCTATCCGCGCCCACACGCCAAGTGGTACATCGACGGCATCGAAATCGACGAGAAGAGAAATGACTTCCGTCACGTAGAGGAGGGCAATGACTACAAGCTGATCCTCAACCAAGCAGCTACCAACATGCAGGGCACCTACACCTGCAAGCTGATGAACGACTATGGCAAGCTTGAGGATAACTGTGTGGTCACCGTCAACTGTAAGATACTTATCCTAAGAAGATTGTGGAGATCTAAAGGATGTGTTTTTCAGGCAAACCCAAGGTGAAGCGTGGTCTTAAGAACATTGAAGTCCAGGAGGGCAAATCCTTTACCTTGGAAGTCGAAGTCTACAGCGAGCCGGAAGCCAAAATTAAATGGTACTTTTGAAGTTTACATTTTTTTTTACAAAATATAACTTTATTTAATCATTTTAGGTTCAAGGATGGTCATGAGATTCATGAAGATGCTCGCATTAAAATCTCTCGGGATACCCAGCGTATTGAGAACTACTATCTGACTCTGAACCTGGCCAGGACCGAAGATGCTGGTACCTACGAGATGAAGGCCACCAACTTTATCGGCGAGACGACCTCCACCTGCAAGGTGGCTGTTTTAAGTGAGTATATTGTAGGCTAACAGAACTTTCAGGATCTATTGGTTAAAGGACATAAAAGGTTACTGGGATAAAACTGATTAGTAATTACCATTTAATGCCCTGCGAGGTCCCCTCTTTTCAAACCACACATCTAACCTTATCTACCGTCTTCAATATGCAATTCTGATGTAGCTGGCGACTCTTTGTCCCTGGGCCAGACCGTAACTAAAACCACGATTGCTACGACCGAAGCACCTGAAGAAGGGGGTAAACCAAAACCATTTTCAATGCATTCAAACAATAATCAATCTAATAAATGAGTATCGGAATGGGCATATGTGTATTAACCCCCAACATGACACCTAACCACGAACCTCTAAGAATCATCTCAATGGTGATGCTTGACAGGATCACTAGCATGCTCATTGTACATATCAATCCATATCACATATCACCCAAAACTGTACAAAGAGAACTCCTAAGAAATAACAAAGTGTCAGAAATGCGGATTTTGAACAGCATTTTGTCTATTTAATGGTAAGGTATGAGAATAACAACTGCACGAGCATCGAGGCAATAAAAAACTGAGATTTAAACTTGCAAACCGACTCCAAGTTTACCCAGAGTATCTGAATCTTGAGAACGGCTACTGGTGATGATGTAAAAAGGATTTTAGGATAAGTGCACCATGAAACTAACCATGTACAGATACCTAATGGTAGAGATTAAGGGAATGCCCCAACGTCTTGGCTATTCGGGTTCTAATTCATCTGACTTTTGTAGCCGTTCCCGAAATCGTTCATGTGGATGTCTTCCAGCAGCACAGCTTCGAGAGTGTTCCTCTCAAGTACGAGGTCATAGCCACGGGAATACCCAAGCCGGAGGCCATTTGGTACCACGATGGCAAGCCCATCACTCCCGACAAGCACACTTCCATTACCGTAGATGGGGTATGTTTTCATAACTTTGTTTTACTATGGAGCTTTCTAATTGACCCACTTTACAGGATCATTATAAGCTGGAAGTGGAGTCCTTGGACATGGTGGATGCTGGTGAATATAAGGTGGTGGTGCAGAACAAGTGTGGCGAGAAGTCCCATCAGGGAGAGCTGTCCTTGTCGGGTAAGCTTCAACACATCTATCATCTACTTCGAAATATTTTAATATTTGTTTTAGGTATTGCCGAGTACCGCAAGCCCATCCTCACCGCAGGACCTGGACTGAAGGACATCAAGGTCAACAAGGGCGACAAGGTTTCCGAGCCAGTTACCTTCACTGCCGATCCTACTCCTGAAATTGTCCTGCTCAAGGATGGCCAGCCAGTGAAGGAGAGCAACAACCTGAAGCTGAAAATTGACAAGAAGGACATTGAGAACGGCTTGGTTCAGTACACTGCCACTCTGAATATCCTCGAAGGTAAGATAGAGGATTATACATTAAGTGGGAACTACATAACATATGATACCATTTCAGCCGGCATTAAGGATTCCGGACGCTATGAACTGAAGGTCAAGAACAAGTACGGTGAGCTGGCCACCAGCGGCTGGATCGATGTCCTGGCCAAGCCGGAGATATCCGGACTGGATGACCGCAAGTGTCTGCCGGGCGACACCATTTGCTTCGAGGCTCTGGTGGAGGCCAATCCCAAGCCCAAGGTGACCTGGACACGGGGCAATGAGAACCTCTGCAACAACGAGAACTGCGAGGTTATTGCCGACGTGGACGCCGACAAATATCGTCTGGTCTTCCAGGCAGTGTCCCCCACCGAAGATGGCAAGTACACCATCACGGCAACCAACAGCGAGGGTCGCTCTACTGTGGACTTTAACCTGAATGTGTTGGGTAAGTAATCCTGACTAGACATTGTAGAAAATTTCACATGTTTTATGATTTTTTCAGTGGAGAAGCCCACATTCATTGTTCAGCCTGAGAGCCAGAGCATCCATGACTACAAGCCAGTTTCCACAAAGGTCCTGGTTCATGGTGTGCCACTGCCAACCATTGAGTGGTTCAAGGACGACAAGCCCATCAACTACGAGGCTGTGAACAAGCCCAGCAAAGACAAGCTCTACAGCAAAGAGGACACCAAGAAGGGCTCCGATCAGATCGAAAGTGTCTTCGACATTAAGCACTTCCGGGAGAGCGATGTGGGAGCTGTAAGACACCGGCATCTAAGATCTATCATAGATTATCTAAATGGTTTCTATTTTTCAGTACACCTGCGTGGCCACCAATGAGATTGGCGTCACCAAAGCACCCTTTAAACTGGGAATGCTGGCCCTTGCTCCCAGCTTTGTCAAGAAACTGGACAATGCTCTGGATGTCCTGCAGGGTGAACCTCTGGTCCTGGAGTGCTGTGTGGATGGCAGTCCCCTGCCCACAGTTCAGTGGCTCAAGGATGGAGATGAAGTCAAGCCGAGCGAGGGGTAATTACTTGGATTCTTTTAAATATTAAAACAAAAACTAAAGATTAACATCCCCAGAGTAAAAATCTCCACGAGCCCTGATGGCTTGGTCAAGTTGGAGATCACCGATTGCCAGCCCAACGATTCGGGAGCTTACAAGCTTATCCTCTCCAATCCCCATGGCGAAAAGGTGGCACTGTGTGCTGTGGCCGTTAAACGTAAGTCGATTCTATAATAATTTATTTTGAATTATTTGTTGATTATTTAATTACAACCCACAGCTGAGGAGATCCAGCCTAAGTTCATCAAACCCATTGCCAGCCAAAAGGTTGTGGTTGGCGAGCCCCTGAAGCTGGAAGCCCAGGTCACTGGTTTCCCTGCTCCCGAGGTCAAGTGGTACAAGGATGGCATGCAACTGCGTCCCACCCCGGAGATCAACTTCATCAACAATCCCAATGGCCAAATTGGATTGAGGTGAGTTTAAAGTTTTATTTAAAATTATTAAAACGGAAGCTTATAAATATTTTTAAATATTATCCAGCATCGATTCTGCTCAGCCCCAAGATGCTGGTCTGTACAAGTGTGTGATTGCCAATAAGGGCGGTGAAGTGGAGGGTGCCTCCAAGGTGGAAATCGTGCCCAAGGAATCGAAACCCGCCTTTGTGGCCGAACTGCAGGATTCCTCCAGCATCGAAGGATTCCCCGTCAAGATGGACGTCAAGGTGGTTGGTTTCCCCAAACCGAAGCTTCAATGGTTCCACAACGGGCATGAAATCAAGCCCGATCCCAGCCATGTAGCCATTGTGGAGAATCCGGACAACAGTGTGAGCCTGATTATCGAGAAGACAGTTCCCAATGACTCTGGTCTATACGAGGTCATTGCCCAGAACCCCGAGGGTTCCACCGCCTCCAAAGCCAAACTTTACGTGGCTCCCAAGGCTGACGAGACCGCCGCCGAGGAGGCTCCGCAGTTTGTGTCCGCTCTGCGTGATGTGAATGCGGATGAAGGCCAGGAACTGGTGCTGTCCGCTCCGTTTATTGCCAACCCAATGCCCGAGGTTATCTGGTCTAAGGATGGTGTAACCCTGGCCCCCAGTGAGCGCCTCTTGATGACCTGCGACGGAAAGCACATCGGCCTGAGCATCAAGCCGGCCGAGGCTGCCGATTCCGGCAATTACACCTGCCTCCTGGCCAATCCATTGGGCGAGGACACCTCCGCCTGCAACGCCAACGTCCGCAAGGTTTACAAGCCTCCGGTGTTCACCCAGAAGATTTCCGACCAACAACAGGTGTTTGGCAATAACGCCAAGATCCCTGTGACAGTATCCGGTGTTCCCTACCCGGATCTGGAGTGGTACTTCCAGGACAAGCCCATTCCCAAGTCGGACAAGTACAGCATCAAGAACGACGGCGATCACCACATGTTGATTGTCAACGATTGCCAGAAGGAGGACCAGGGTGTTTACAAGTGCATAGCCAGCAACAGGGAGGGCAAGGACATCACCCAGGGACGCCTGGATATTGTCAACGAAATGTAAGTGGTCTCTTTATAGCCCTTAACTCATTTTTTTAATGAATATCCTGTGTCAATTTAGCAAGAAGCATTCGCGCTCGGAGCCTCCAGTATTCCTGAAGAAGATCGGCGACTGCGATATCTACGAAGGCATGGTAGCCAAGTTCACCGCCTGTGCCACTGGCTACCCGGAGCCTGAGGTGGAGTGGTTCAAGAACGACCAGAAGTTGTTCCCCTCGGACCGTTTCCTGATCGATGTGGAGCCCAATGGTCTGCTGAGACTGACCATCAAAAATGTGACCGAATACGACGTGGGTCGCTACTCCTGCCGTATTTTCAATCCCTACGGAGATGATATCTGCCATGCTGAGCTCTTCTATGACTGTAAGTTACGGAGGAATCAGGAAGAACTACTAATTAATTAAATTATTTATTTAAATTTTTAGCTTTGGATAGCCAGCAGAAGCCTCTGGAGGATCAATACACCGACTTCAAGAAGTACAAGAAGTCTGGAGCTCCACCACCATTGTCGGAGGGTCCTATTATCTCCCGCATGACCGATAGGGGTTTGCTGTTGTCTTGGAATCCATCGGTTCCTCTGACTCCCCGCTATCCCATCACTTATCAGGTTGGTTTCAAATATTTAACATCTTATTTATTTTCTTTATACATTTTTATAATTTAAGATCGAAATGATGGATCTGCCAGATGGCGAATGGCGTACTTTGAGAACTGGCGTGCGTAGCTGTGCCTGCGATATCCGTAACCTGGAACCTTTCAGAGATTACAGATTCAGGATTCGCGTGGAAAACAAATTTGGTGTGAGCGATCCTAGTCCCTACACCCAGACCTATAGGTGAGGATTTTAAATTCTCTAATTATTTTCTTAATTTAATAACTAAATTATTCAAATTTTAGGCAAAAACTGGTGCCAGAGCCACCGAAAACTTACACCTACTTGCCGCCAGGCACTGACTTCAGGCCGGAAACGTCTCCTTACTTCCCCAAGGACTTTGATATTGAAAGACCACCCCATGATGGCCTGGCACAGGCTCCTCAGTAAGTATTTAAAAAAACATAAATATGATTTCAATATTACAATATGGTTTCCCTTTTTTAGGTTCCTTCTTCGAGAGAACGATATAAGCTACGGAGTCAAGGGACACAACACTGAGTTGATGTGGTTCGTTTATGGTTATCCCAAGCCCAAGATGACCTACTACTTTGATGATATGATCATTGAATCGGGAGGCAGATTCGATCAGAGCTACACCCGCAATGGCCAGGCAACACTCTTTATCAACAAGTGAGCTTTATAATGAGTTGTAATTCCATTTTAAATTTTAATTTAAAACTTTAACCTAGAATGCTGGACCGTGATGTTGGCTGGTATGAAGCCGTGGCCACCAACGAGCATGGAGAGGCCAGGCAGAGGGTGAGGCTGGAAATTGCCGAGCATCCTAGGTTCCTGAAGCGACCGGACGAGACCTTCATCATGGCCCGTAAGAATGGAAGAATCGAGGCCAAGCTGGTGGGCATCCCGCTGCCCGAAGTGCACTGGTACAAGGACTGGAAGCCAATTGCCGAATCCTCAAGGATTAAGGTAAGCACAACGAAATATTTTATTATTTATTTTTGTAAGCTAATGCATCTTTGTTACTTGAAATCTTCAGATCAGCTCCTACGACCCGGATATTTATGTGCTCTCCATTCACGATTCCATCATCAAGGACGGTGGCCTGTATTCGATCAGTGCCAGGAACATTGCCGGCTCCATTAGCACCTCGGTGACAGTGCACATTGAGGAGAACGAGGACCAGTACATCTACAAGACCTACGGAAGGCATCCGTATGTGCGCTCCAAGCAGCTGCGCTACCAGGACAAATACGACATCGGAGACGAGTTGGGACGCGGCACCCAGGGCATCACCTACCACGCCGTGGAGCGGGCCACTGGCGACAACTATGCCGCCAAGATCATGTACGGTCGTCCCGAGTTGCGTCCTTTCATGCTGAACGAGCTGGAAATGATGAACATGTTCAACCACAAGAACCTGATCCGTCCGTACGACGCCTACGACACCGATCGCAGTGTCACCCTCATCATGGAACTGGCAGCTGGCGGAGAGCTGGTCAGGGATAATCTCCTGCGTCGCGACTACTACACAGAGAGGGACATTGCCCACTACATCAGGCAGACACTGTGGGGTCTGGAGCACATGCACGAACTTGGAGTCGGTCACATGGGTCTTACGGTAATATTGGATATTCGTGAATATGTTATAGTCAATACATTATGATGTGCTTCCAGATTAAGGACCTTCTGATTTCCGTGGTCGGTGGCGATTACATTAAGGTCTCCGACTTTGGCTTGGCCCGCAAGATCAACAAGCATAATCTGTCCACCTTGGACTACGGCATGCCGGAGTTCGTTTCTCCCGAAGTCGTAAACAAGGAGGGAGTTAACTTCTCCCACGACATGTGGTCCGTGGGCTTGATTACCTACGTCCTGCTCGGCGGCCACAACCCCTTCCTGGGCATAGACGACAGGGAAACTCTGACCAAGATTCGCGAGGGTCGTTGGGACTTCAAGGACGAGATCTGGACTCATATCTCTGACGATGGCCGCGACTTCATCAGTCGCTTGCTGCTCTACAGCCCTGAAGAGCGTATGGATGTGAAGACGGCTCTGAAGCACCCCTGGTTCTTCATGCTGGATCGCCAGATCACCGACCACGACTACCAGATCCGCACCGATCGTCTAAGGAACTACTACGACCACTTCAGGGACTGGTATGCCAATGCCTCCTGCAAGAACTACTTCCGCCGGCGTCGCCTCAGCGGCTGCTTCCAGCATCCCTCCAAGATGGTCTATCCTCCGGGTCACGTTTACACTCCGGAGAATACTCCAGAACCCCTACCAGAGCCAAGGAAGAGGGCCAAGCGCGAAGAGGTCGTATCGAAGTACTTGCATCCTGACTACGAGCTGGGTTTGATTCAATCGGAGAGTCAGTAAGTACAATAGTAATTATTGATAATTCTTCTTTAAATAAAAATTATGTATTTTGTAGCTACCAGTACGGACCGGACACTTATCTCCTGCAATTGCGGGACGTCAACTTCCCCGTGAGATTGCGTGAGTACATGAAGGTGGCTCACCGACGTTCTCCTTCGTTTGCGCTGAACGATTCCGTGGATTGGTCTGTAAGTGTATTATAAACATGATATATCCAACAAATTGTGTTAAACTATCAACCTCCTTTCAAGCTTCCTGTGATCCGCGAGAGACGTCGTTTCACCGACATCATGGACGAGGAGATCGATGACGAGCGCACCCGCAGCCGCATCAGCATGTACGCCGCCAACGACTCCTACTCCATCCGACGTCTTCGCACTGAGCTGGGACCCCGATTGGATGAGTACACCGAGGCAGAGGCTATGATCGAGACCCAGCGAGAGGGCTACCCGCCCTTCTTCAGGGAGAAGCCCCAGACGATCGCCATCACCGAGAATCAGCCCAGTCACATCCACTGCTTTGCTGTGGGCGATCCCAAGCCGTGTGTGCAGTGGTTCAAGAATGACATGGTGCTGTCTGAGAGCAAGAGGATCAAGATCTCGGTCGATGAAGATGGTCGCTCCATCCTGCGCTTCGAGCCCGCCCTACACTTTGATGTGGGAGTCTACAAGGTAGTGGCCCGAAACAAGGTTGGCCAGACTGTGGCCAGATGCCGCATTGTGGTGGCCACCCTGCCCGATGCTCCCGACTCGCCGGAGATATCCGCCAACAGTGGCACGGAGATTCTGCTGCGGTGGAAGCAGCCCCGAGATGACGGACACTCCACGGTGCTCTGCTACAGCCTCCAGTACAAGCTGAGCAACTGCGATGCCTGGACCACGGTGGCGGATAATATTGACCACGAATTCTATCTATTGCACGACCTGCAGCCAAACACCAGCTACCAATTCCGTTTGGCATCCAGGAACCGCATCGGCTGGAGCGAGATGGGCATCCCGGTGGCCGCCTCGACTGTGGGTGCCGATGCGCCCAAGATTCACATCACCAAGGCCATGAAGCATTTACAGCAGCTCACCGAGAACGGGCAGCAGGTGGTGCCCGAAGAGGAACGGGTCCACACCGACTATCACTGCGAACGGGAGCCCCCCAACTGGGTCACCGACTCCTCCGTAAGCGACAAGTACAGCTTCATCTCGGAGATTGCCCGCGGCCAGTTCAGCACCATCGTGAAGGGCATCCAGAAGTCCACCGACACCGTGGTGGTGGCCAAGATTCTGGAGGTGACCGACGAAAACGAGGATAATGTCGTGGCCGAGTTCGACAACTTCAAGACACTGCGCCACGAGAGGATTCCGGCTTTGTTCGCCGCCTACAAGCCCCTCAACGTCCCAATCGCCATCTTTGTGATGGAGAAGCTGCAGGGCGCCGATGTCCTGACCTACTTCAGCAGCCGCCACGAGTACTCCGAGCAGATGGTGGCCACCGTGATCACCCAGCTGCTGGATGCCCTCCAATATCTACACTGGCGCGGCTACTGCCACTTGAACATCCAGCCCGATAACGTGGTAATGGCCTCTGTTCGCTCCATTCAGGTCAAGCTGGTGGACTTTGGATCGGCCAAGAAGGTCAACAAGCTGGGCGTGAAGGTCACTCCCTGCGGTTCGCTGGACTTCCAGCCGCCGGAGATGATCAACGATGAGCCGATCTTCCCGCAGAGTGACATCTGGTCGGTGGGCGTGCTGACCTACCTGCTCCTGTCCGGATCCAGTCCATTCCGCGGCGGCGACGAGTACGAGACCAAGCAGAACATCTCCTTTGTGCGGTACAGGTTCGAGAATCTCTTCAAGGAAGTTACCCCAGAAGCCACACGATTCATTATGCTGCTCTTCAAACGTCATCCCACGTGAGTATTTCAAATAGAGGATCTATTTATCTGACCGTCTGTCTGTTTCTACGCCGACTAGTCTCTCAGTTTTAAAGCTATCGGCTTGATAAAGCAAAATAATAAGACATACCAGAGATATATAGATAGAATATAGATATAGATAGAAGATATAGCCATCCCTGTGGGCCTTATAGGGGAAAATGGGGAAACACAATTTTCAAGGGATCCCATTAGGAAAAATGAAAAAAAATCTAAAAAATATTTTGTCTCAGGGCTTTGATGCAGAATGGTGGAGAATCGATCTAGAAATCGTTTAAGGTACTCCGCTTGAGAATCGGATCAGGATTAGGGAAGATATAGCCATCGCCGTGGACCCTATAGGGGAAAACCTCATTTTCAAGGGATCCATCAGCAAAAATGGACAAAAAATCAAAAAAATATTTTGTCTCAGGGTTTTGATGCTGAATGGTGGAGAATCAATCTAGAAATCGTTTAAGGTACTCCGCTTGATAATCGGATCAGAATTAGGGAAGATATAGCCATAGCCGTGGACCCTATAGGACCCTATAGGGGAAAACCTCATTTTCAAGGGATCCATCAGGAAAAATGGACAAAAAATCTGAAAAATATTTTGTCTCAGGGTTTTGATGCAGAATGGTGGAGAATCGATCTAGAAATCGTTTATGGTACTCCGCTTGAGAATCGGTTGAGAATTGGGGAAGATATAGCCATCGCTGTGGACCCTATAGGGGAAAACCTCATTTTCAAGGGATCCATCAGGAAAAATGGACAAAAAATCTAAAAAATATTTTGTCTCAGGGTTTTGATGCAGAATGGTGGAGAATCGATCTAGAAATCGATTAAGGTACTCCGCTTGATAATCGGATCAGGATTAGGGAAGATATAGCCATAGCCGTGAACCCTATAGGACCCTATAGGGGAAAACCTCATTTTCAAGGGATCCATCAGGAAAAATGGACAAAAAATCTGAAAAATATTTTGTCTCAGGGTTTTGATGCAGAATGGTGGAGAATCGATCTAGAAATCGTTTAAGATACTCCGCTTGAGAATCGGATCAGAATTAGGGAAGATATAGCCATCGCCGTGGACCCTATAGCGGAAAAACCATTTTTAAGGGATTCTAAGGGGATTTTAAGGATTTTAAGGGGATCAGGAAAAATGGACAAAAAATCTAAAAAATATTTTGTGTCAGGGTTTTGATGCAGAATGGTGGAGAATCGATCTAGAAATCGTTTAAGATACTCCGCTTGAGAATCGGATCAGAATTAGGGAAGATATAGCCATCGCCGTGGACCCTATAGCGGAAAAACCATTTTTAAGGGATCCCATCAGGAAAAATGGACAAAAAATCTAAAAAATATTTTGTTCCAGGGTTTTGATGCAAAATGGTGGAGAATCGATCTAGAAATCGTTTAAGGTACTCTGCTTGAGAATCGGATCAGAATTAGGGAAGATATAGCCATCGCTGTGGACCCTATAGCGGAAAAACCATTTTTAAGGGATTCCATCAGGAAAAATTGACAAAAAATCTAAAAAATATTTTGTCTCAGGGTTTTGATGCAGAATGGTGGAGAATCGATCTAGAAATCGTTTAAGGTACTCCGCTTGAGAATCGAATCAGAATTAGGGAAGATATAGCCATCGCCGTGGACCCTATAGCGGAAAAACCATTTTTAAGGGATCCCATCAGGAAAAATGGACAAAAAATCTAAAAAATATTTTGTTCCAGGGTTTTGATGCAAAATGGTGGAGAATCGATCTAGAAATCGTTTAAGGTACTCTGCTTGAGAATCGGATCAGAATTAGGGAAGATATAGCCATCGCCGTGGACCCTATAGGAATAGGAAGTTAGCTCTCCCTTCATGTTATCTTTCAGGCCAATAATCAATTTATAAACCAAAGTTTCCCTTATTTATACTCCATATCATTTAAAAGAACATCTATACAAATTTCAAATATCTTTTCCCATTTATCTATTCAGAAAACGACCATACACCGAAGATTGCTTGGAACACAGGTGGCTCATGTCCTCCGACTACATGGTCAGGAAACGCGAACGAGCCATCTTTTTGGGCAGCCGTCTAAAGGTAATAAATTCTCACCTCTCTCCCCATTCTTTCCAAAACATAAAAAAACATGCTAATTTGATCTGATGTTAATAAATTTTGTCTGCTGTCATCTCTTAGACGTTCTGCGATGAATACCATGACCTAAAGAACGCCACCGCTACGTCATCCAAGGTCCTGAACACGGTCGCCGGAGGACCCACTCCCACTCAACTACTTCGATCGAATAGCATCCAAGAGGAACTGCTCACCACATTTTAGTCAATTAGCTCCGAAGTAGTGTTAAGCGAGAATGTTGTTTTTATTTCTTGTATATATGGAATATAAATAATTATACAACATCCGAATTCTATATATATAAATATATTATCTGGTTAATTAAATCGAAAATCATTCGAAATCGAGTGTTTATTTATAATCGGTTGACTCGACGTATCCACCCACGAAATCATTAGAATGTGATTGACCTTCACCAACAGAAGAATTCATCTAGCCAAGGCTAAAAATAATAATCTTATTCAGGTGTTTTTAAATAGAAATGTTTTGTAATGAAAAATTCGATGGGAGCTTTAATTAAACAGCAGCTATCAAGAGCACAAGTGGGTGTTTCGAATTTATGATCATTATGAGTTAGAATTTTTGTTAAACAAAAAAATAAACTTTACAAGAAAAAATATATATTGTAGAATGGAATGAATGGAAATGCTAGAATGGAAATAATCCTTTACGAGTGGGTGTTGTGAGTAAACTTTAGCGCCTAAGGTTAGTGTTAGCGCCTAAAATTCAAATTCCTAAATCGATTCGTGAAAATCAACCCTGGGAAAAGCTAGCTCGTTCTCTTGGAAAGCTGCGGAAGCTTTCTTATCAGTATTGATTAAATTTTCGCCAAAAGCTTAAATATTAAAGTAGGTGCTAGTCATAAAACGCAAACACCTCAATTAGAACAATATACAAAGGGGCAATTTAGTCATAATGTAAAGTCGAAACAAAGTGGATCTCAAAACCATAAAACAACCTCAATGACAGCCACCACTAGCGTTAGAAAAATCAATGAATGACAGTCAGCATTTGGTCACAAGATTCACTTGCTCCATCGCAACACCAGCAACCACATATATAAAAGGTACAAAAACAGACTATTCATTTGTTGTTGCGCGACATTCGAATTTCACACATTGTATGAGTTCACCTGCTCTGCAATCTCAACCCAGTGGCTAATCGCGATTAATAAGCTTACACCTTTTTTAGATTTCGGACCGCCACCTCACACCCCGCCTGTCCTTCCAAGCGTTAACTTTTATGCCTCCATAGCAGAGGGTCAACTGGCAATCAATTAAACCTCAACGACCGCAATCTGTTTTGGGTTTGGGTGTAGCTGAAAAACTCAATTCCCCCCAAAAAATAGAGAAAAACAAAATAATAAAGCAAATATGGCTGAGGGCGACTGTAGTGGAGAACATGTGGAGAGGTGGGTGCAGTTAAATAGTTAACCGAATTACTCATCTGACATTGAAAAATGCCATTTTCAGAACTGAGCTTCCGGCTCCGATGATTTCCCGGAAGGAAGTTAGTATCTGGGCCATTTTGAAGAACTGCATCGGCAAGGATCTGAGCAAAATCACTATGCCAGTGATGTTGAACGAACCGCTGAGCTTCCTCCAGAGGCTATGTGAGTACATGGAGTACGCACAGTTGCTTACCGAAGCAGCTCTCCAGGAACATCCGGCCGACCGGATGAAATACGTAGCCGGTGAGTGTTATCAGTTCCCTTCCATTAGTAATAGTTCCAAATTTATTGCTTATCGTAATTATTTATTTGTAGCTTTCGCTGTTTCCGCTTTGGCTTCCAATTGGGAGCGGTTGGGCAAACCCTTCAATCCGCTTTTGGGGGAAACCTACGAACTCCAGAGAGATGACTATCGAATCGTTTGCGAGCAAGTCTCCCATCATCCGCCAGTTTCTGCCTTCTATGCAGAATCCGAGAATTTCAAGTTCTACGGCTCCATTTGCCCCAAAATCAAGTTCTGGGGCAAGAGTGTGGAGGTTAATCCCAAAGGAACTGTAACCATCGAGTTTCCCAAGTAAGCACACATCCTTAATATTTAATGAAAGCTAAAAGCTCCTAACTCTTGACCCTCTACTTCAGGTGGAATGAGACCTATTCCTGGACTAATGTCAATTGCTGTGTTCATAACATTATTGTCGGACGACTTTGGATTGAACAGTACGGCAAAATGGAGATCATAAATCATTCCACAGGTCATGTGGCAGATCTCACATTCAAGTCTGCTGGATCTGGAGCCAAAAACTTGCATCGAGTCGAGGGATTTGTTAAAGATTCCACGTAAGCTTGAGTAGCAATTTATTTTACTCCTTTTTTTATTGATTTTATTATTTTTTTCAGCGACAAAAATTTATTCTTTTTATATGGTAAGTGGACCGAGTTCATCAAATGCTGTTCTGCCGATTCCTACACCCAATATTTGAGACAAGGATCGCGGAAGAACGACGATTTTGACGGTTCGCCCAATGGCACGCCAAAGAAAATGTTCTCGAAGTTGAATAGTTTTAAGTTGAACTCATTCCGAAGTCTATCGATTCAAGATGTAAGTCTTAAATGCTTCCTATTTATACAAAAAATATATCTTATAATATAAAAATCTTACAGAACGATAGCTATCCACCCATGGAGCAAGAGGGGGATATACCAAAGAGTGATTCCGCTTACTCACTTGATATTCCAGACTCATCCACTTTGTGGAGCTGTAAACCTAGGCCATCCAATTGTAATGAGGTAGGAAGTGGTGATTGGATGTTGAGGATCTCATTTAAATAACTATTTTCTTATTTTAGTATTACCAATTTACGCATTTTGCTATGCAGCTTAATGCTTTGGATAAAAATATGAAACCACCGCTAACACTATGCCCTACCGATTCGCGATTGCGACCTGATATATTATACCTGGAGGACGGAAATCTGGACGGTGCGTCCAAGGAGAAGACCCGTCTTGAAGAGAAACAGAGACACACACGAAAACAACGAAAATCCACCCATGGTGATGAATGGTCACCAAGGTAATAGAAATCTAGATACTATATCTCAGAGTGGCTTACTAATTTTTTATAAATCTTAGATGGTTCAAGTTCGTACACAATCCCCAAACAAAAACGGACGATTGGCAGTATAGTGGAGGATATTGGGACCGCAATTACGAAAACACCGATACGATATTTTAGATACCTTTTGTAGAACGCTTATGCTTATATATACACCTATATAGCTCTATATATATTTGTATAAAGTTTGAGAGTTGTTTAAACTAAGGAGTCGTTGATAACTGGTTAATCATCAAATTAACTTTCCATTTCGATCCATATGACTGTATGATCTGGTAACCGCACAAGCATCTATGAAAAATATTTAGTTAAAGCTTAGTTTTTGTAGTGATTATGTATGTGTAATTAACTAGTTGTTAATTTTGTGGCGATTCCATGTAAAGCAATTAAAATGTTATTCAGTTATTTGTTGCCAGAAATGTTGTGTTCCCATTATGGTTTTTGAATTATTGTTCCAAGGTAAGATTATCCCCCGAATCAGTCAATTAAAACCCAACCCAAAGTAACAATAAAATTGGTTTATTTTCATCTACTGTTCCGCCTTCGATCCTTAATTGTCCTTTTCACAGATGTTGCTATTTACACATGGCCGTATGTTTAGTTTAGATTACACATGTACAACAATTATTAGACTCTGCATTTTACTTTAGATTAAGCGTTTTGGGTTTCGTGCTCACGTCGTGCAAGCTAACTACATTATAGGCAGAGACGCAGGGTTCCAGTTTGTTCTTAAAGATATCGTTTTCCGATTTCGAGGAGCTAATAGATGTCCCGATTTGCATCCGGCTGGAGTCTGGTAAGGGGCCTCTCAGCTCATGATTGCTTACCGAGGAGTTTAGCTGGCACTGCTTGGCGTACAAGGTGTCCATTTTGTTGCTTTTAGCTAAAATGAAATAATAATCTTTTAAGAGATTAAAGACTTGAAGGAAATACTCCTAAGTACCTTCGTTAATACACAACTTTAGACCAGTTCGTTGAGACACCAGCTTCGCCTCCTCGCTTCCTCCGATGGAGCACTCTTCGATGTGGGAGAAACTCTCCTGCGGCGAAATGGTGGACAGCACCGATGTGCTGGAGTACAGGTAGCCGGAGAAGTACAAGTCCGGATTGGCCTCATGTGCCTTGCATGGAACAATCCACGAAAAGTTAAACATGCCGGCATTGACTTCCTGCGTGATCCAGGGATCGGTTATTAGCTGGTGCATTGTACAACGGTATTTGGGATCCTTGTTCAGCATTGAACTCAAAAGGCGAGTTAGTTGCTCGGACACCACCTTCGGTATCTGGATTTCGGCTTTCAGGGTCTCCTCTACATCGATGAATGGATTCTCGAAAAACATCAAAACGTAGAGAGTGACCCCCAAGGCCCACATCTCCAGTTCCGGACCAACGTATCTATTTCCGGCCAGAACCTCCGGACTGCAGTACTCCGTCGTTCCATAGAATGTGGAAAAGTACTTGCCCTCTTCCATAAAAGTCGCCGAACCAAAGTCAATCAGTTTTATAATAAAATTCTGATCTATTATGATGTTCTCGTCCTTTATGTCCCGATGAAGGATCTTCTTTTCGTGCAAATAGTTAACAGCATCGGAAATCTGCCGGAAAATATAACTACCAAGCTTCTCATCCATCAGGGGACGGCGTTCAATGAAAGTCCAGAGATCCATCCCGGAACCGTGCTTCTCCATTACCAGCTGGTAGAACAGATCGTTCTCGAACACATCCAGAACTGAGACAATGTTCTTATGATCCAGTGACTGCAACAATTGGATTTCAATAGGAACCTCCTTACCCTCCCGATTCTTGACCATAAATTGCGGACACAGCTTCTCCTTTAGTATGAACTTGGTGATCACCAGCAGACGATCGGAGTTCCGGAAGGCCATGTTCACGTACCCGTAGGCACCTCTTCCAATCTGCCGAATGGAGGTGTAGTACTTGCTGTATTCCCCCAGATACAGTTCCTCCTCGTATTTGCAAGCCAGCGAGAGGGAGTTTGGACGGCTGGAATTCTGTGCCGCCGTGGTCTTAATCACCTGACCCAGGGACTGCTCAATGGTGCTAGCCATGCTGTTGAACGTGGACGTAAAGTTTGCGTAACTGTACTTGTCGCCATCCTGCCGAGTTTCCGGATTCCTGCACACCCAGATGCAGTACACCCGACTTGAGCAGGGCAGGATTTGCAGTAGCACCGAATAGACCACATCGATAACTGTTCCATCTGCATGGATGGCCTCCCCAATAAAACTGCCATTGATGGAGCTGAGCAGTCGGTTGGCCGTAGGATTACTGCACGAGGCATCGCAGGTGTCGGTGGACGCGGACTTGGCCTTGTCCAGGGACATCTCGTTGATGTGCGAGTGAGATCCGACGTCGACGAAGTCGTCGGCGGGGAAACTATACGAGGCATTCACCGGTGTTAGTATGTCGTCGATGGTGCAATCATCTGGCCTGATCTCGGGATGAGAATCATTGACCGAGGATTCGTTGGCCGCCTTGGCGGCGTTCTTCCGGCACGACTGTAGCGAGGAATCGTTATCCAGGACAAAGGGATCCGTATCCGGCTCCCAGTCGTTGCTGGTAATCGAGGTGTTGGACACATTTGGGCTCTTATCCTCTCGCGAGTCCTTCCCAAAATTCGGCAAAATTGCCGAAATATGCATGTTCGTTATCTTATCCTGGCCGTAACCGAACATGAGCAGTGAAAATGGCTGGTTGCAGGTCTGGATGTTGCCCATCTCGTCGACCACTATCAGACCACTGAGGTTGAGGAACACCCAAACGGTTATGTCGAACAAGGTGGCACTGGCACTACTAGGATAGCCCGTAGAGGGGGTTTCTTCCAAACTTAAAAGTAGGCACAAGGGAAATTTCACATTATCCGTAGTTCGTCCTGTGGCCCTCTGTTTACGCAGACTTTTCGGTATCTCCCGGCTGTCGGGATCGGGTAGCTTTATGAACGGTATTAGTGTGGCTATATTAATGCCCAAAACATTGTCGGTGGATTCGTATAGGAATATGGTCGCTGTGGTGGCATCAGCAGAAGTTATAATCCCTCCTCGATCGATGCCAATGTGGCAAATGTGTCTCTGGACGGGCTCGGCCACGGCAATGTGCCTGCCATCGCTGTTGATCTGACGAATCCAAAGGGAAACCAGTATCTTGGCGCCCGACTTTGTCAGCATCTCGATAACCTTGCCGCTAAGCAGGACTACTCGACCCTCGTCACTGTCGATTTGCATCTCGGCCAGCGAGGAAATGTGGCTCTCAGACTTGCCATTCAGCAGGTCGAAGAAGCTCTTGTTCCTGAGCTCCAGGGACGTGAAGCCCAGCAACTGACAGGCCTTGTTGTTGACAATAAAAATCTGTCCACTGTTGGCATCTATGGTGAAAATAGCCTTATTCGGATTGATCGCCTTCGAGGAGTGGAGGTTTGGAGGTGGCATGCTGAAGGAACTGGCGTCCATGAGGTTTAACATGCTCGAGGAATCCTGGCGAGACTGTTGGACGCTGGCCAGGCCATCATCTGAAAGGAGAAATGCTCTATATGCCAGCCAGTTCCCGGTTGATCATTTCCTACCTTGGCTCTGCTCCTTTATTTCCTCCTGATCCGCCATTTATGCCACGGGTAGTGCTCCAACTTTAGGCCTAGAGTTACATATATCCCGGAGAGAGAGCACCATAAACATTGGGAACAGTGTTTACAAAAAATCAATGAAAGCGCGCCTGCGCATTGAAGACCGTCTTATTAAATATGAATAATCTGGTTTATTTACATATTTTAAGAAACTTAAGAGGAGTTTTATATTTAATCAAATAATATAGAATAATTGAAAAATATTTAACAAATAGTTAACAGTCTATTTGTATATATCTGCATTCAAATTTTAGCGCTAGGCATCGATTGTAGCCCTGGGTGGCAATCGATAGATAGGCTCTGTATATCGATAAGAATGCTATATATATATAAGCTGGGCCTAGCCTACGTGTGGAAAAAGTATCTCAGGGCACAATACGTGTTGTGTTGTTCTTCCACAAAGGAAGGTTTTTTGTTTTTCTGTTTTTAAAAAATACAAAAAAAAATTAGTAAAGGAAAACCAAATTTAAAATGTCACGAATATCCGGAGTCTCCATCCCCCTGGTGGGCTTCCTCCTTATCAATGCGATGAGTGTAAATGGCCTTGTGGAGCAGGGGATGTACCAGAGCTCCAACAATCAACAGAATCTCGACAGCAATTCGGCAACAGGCGCAACGGGATCTTTTCCCTTCTTAATGCCCATGGTTTCCCCCAAAACCGTAAGTAAATGTGGATTTTCATATCCGTAAGATTGTACATATATTTGTAGAGATGAACATATGCTTGCACCTGTTCGCGATAAATACATACATACATAATACCTTTTCTTGACAATGAGCAAATATTCCAAAAAAATAAACTGGAAAATCCCATTCGATAATAGCGCTATATATGGAATGTATATTTTTCGTTGCATTTTTTGCTGATTTTACTGAAACAGAAACGTATTTGCATCCAAAGCCAATTTTGCCATATGGTTAGTATACACACAATTCGCCATTGCCTCCCACATGTAATGGGCATTGAAACCTGTAGATTGCGCTTTGGCGAACCTGCGCCCTAGACACCTATTTACCATTTGTATTGTCGACAGGGTCACAAGTGTTGAAATAATATAGAACAAAAAACCAAGGCCGCTTGTAATATTGTATATCTTAAATCTTGTTTACTAATCCAAAACTATAATAAGTATGCTAATTTTTCGTTTGTTTAATACTAACCCCAACGAATTTAGCCGGATTTGTACTTGTGCACCCCAATCAAAGTCGATCCAACTACCACCTACTATATTGGTACGTCATTATTGTTTAGGTCTGTTTATTAAAACTATATTTCTAATTGTAATTTTTCATAAAGTTGGCTTCAATCCCAATGCCACCATGAACACGGCCCACCATATGCTGCTCTACGGATGCGGAGAGCCCGGAACAACAAAAACTACTTGGTAAGTGTATAACTACATATATTAATGGAATCTTTTAATAAATATTATTTTACTTGAATAACAGGAACTGCGGAGAAATGGCTCGGGCTTCCGAAGAAGAAATGGCCAGTCCCTGTGGACCTCACTCCCATTCTCAGGTAAAAATAATATTATCTTACATTTATACAGTTGCTAAGTTATGAAGTGGGTTGTGCAACAAATTCATTAACGTTTCCAATTCAATTTTGTTTCGTAAAAAGAAAATTTCTGTAGCCAACAATTTACATAATTTAACAAACTTTACTATCCAACTGTTTTGTGGGATAAACGACCTTCAGATGCCGTTGGGGAGCAATCCAGGCAAAGGGGACGTCCGCTTTCATTAATACCGAATTCGCAGCTGCTAATGATTTCCTGGCAGTTTTGGCATCGGAAGCATGCCGCATGCCACTTGGTGTTCAGTGCCACCACAGCTTCTTTCACGATTGGCTCCCCACAGCCGGAGCATCGCGAGGAGAACAGCTCCTGGAAGTGAAGCTTGCAGAAGAGGTAGCCGTTTATCTCGTAAAAGGTCGATGACATCAGTGGTTGACTGCAACTGATGCAGTGAAAGCACTCATCGTGCCATTTGCGTCCCATGGACATGACGGCGCGGCCCACGATCGGTGCGTTGCAGGCGCAGCACCTGGAGGCGTGGTTCCCCAGGTAGCATTCGCTGCAAACTACATCGTCCTTGACCGCATAGAACCGGCTCGGCTCCATCACCTTCTGGCAGTCCCGGCACGTGAAATGGTGTGGGTGGTAGGCCTTGCCCATGCTGCATATGGCCCGCGGTCTAATCACCTCATTACACTTGCAGCAGACTGGGACGGACATGCTTTCTTCTTGGACAGAATGGCGCGGAGGAGGGTCGGGAGAATATATATTTGAATAAAACTGGGAATTTTAAATAGGAAATTCTCTGTTTAGATGAACTTGCCTTCCCAAATATATATGACATGCCATGAAAAGATAGATCATAGTTTCAGCAGTAAGTTTAATATTCAAACTTTACTTATTTTTACAGATCATCTATGCCTGGGCCAGAGATGCTAAAAAACTCAACTTACCAGAAGGAGTTGGGTTCAAGGTTGGTAAAGATTCACCCACCAAGTACTTGGTGCTGCAAGTGCATTATGCTCACATCGACAGATTCAAGGGTGAGTATTGTTGTTGATTCTCAAAATTAAACAAAATATTAATTAAACGGAATTCCCCTAGATGGTTCCACGGATGACTCGGGAGTCTTTTTAGATTACACAGAAACCCCGTAAGTAAATTTTGACATTTTTCGCGTAATCTCTATAAAAAAAACCCCCCCTTTTAGTCGTAAAAAGTTGGCTGGCACCTTGTTGCTGGGCACTGATGGAATGATTCCCCCCATGAAAACGGAGCACCTGGAAACGGCTTGCGAGATAAACGAGAACAAGGTGCTGCATCCCTTCGCCTATCGAGTACACACCCACGGATTGGGCAAAGTGGTGTCAGGATATAGAGTGAGGTCGGACAGCGAGGGTACCCAGGAGTGGCTTCAGTTGGGCAAGAGAGATCCGCTTACCCCGCAGATGTTCTACAATGTCAGCAGCCATGAGCCCATTCTATCGGGGGATCAAATTGCAGTGAGGTGCACCATGGAGAGTACTCGTCATCGGGTAACCAAAGTCGGGTAAGTCATACATAGTCCCTGAAAAATAACCTTATCTTCCAATTTCCAACATTTTCGTTTTTAATCGCATTTCAGTCCCACTAACGAGGATGAAATGTGCAATTTCTATCTCATGTATTACGTGGATCACGGCGAGACTCTGGACATGAAGTTCTGCTTTAGCCAAGGTGCTCCCTATTATCATTGGTCGAATCCCGATACTGGCCTACACAATATCCCACATATCGAAGCGAGCACCTTGTAATCTGGTTGCCAATAGCGGTACAACACTGTGGCGTTTAGTGAAACGAATGTATACTAATTTATTGTCTGGATTTTTTCCATCGTGTTTGAGATGCGATCATAGTTGACCCTCATAATGTATCCTATTCAGTTGTGTGTTTCCTGTTGAAGTGGCCACCTAATGATGTATGTAAATTATGTGTACGTGTAAATAATAAAAAAAGAAACATATGTAGATACTTCGCAAAACCCCCTATAAAATAATGTTTTTATTTTAATTAATAATAATGATTTAGGTTGTAACTAGAGGGTATTGTTTTTAGAAACCTTTCTATCTAACTGTTCTCTAATAATATTTAATATTTAAAATATTATTTTCTTGACTTTAAAGACTTTCAACCTTTAAATTTAATTGGCAATTAGATACGCAGCTCTTAATGCCTTCCCATGTTTTAATAATTTTGATATCCCGAATAAATTAACTAAATACCACTAATTAAAACTCCTCGATTTTTTCTATTTTCAATGCAATGCATTTTATTCTCGCTTTTCTCGGTTTTCTGTATATATAGAATTTATGGAATATATAGTATTTAATATGTATACATATTTATATATCTTTCTTTCTTTCTTTATATATATAATTTGGTGTAAAATTATAATCGTAAAAATTAGATTAGTTATAAATTACACAAAAACTTAAATATCTCGCTCCGTACATATATCTCTCACATTTTATAATAGCTTGCAAACTCGTACTTGTTAGTATTAAATTCTAAATGACTACCGGTTGGCTGAGGCGGCATATCCTCGAACGTATAAGCTAGGAGAGCTCCGTTGTTATCATGTGCGGCGTAGTTGAGATCATTGTGTGTTTCAATTACATTTCCGGCGTAGTCTTGGCTTGTGGTTGTGTATGTACATGTGTTCACGATAGCGTCCGCCTCCACGAAGCTGCCCCCGATGCCACCGCCGCCACAGAACCCAATCTGGGGCGAATGGGAGGCGGTCAGTATGCTGCAGTCGCTGTCCTCCGCCGCCGGAGGCATCGGATTGAAGTCGTCGCTCTGGAATGTGTGCCCGCCGTCTGGCCCGCCATACATCAGCCCAGAGCTGTTGTGGATCTCGATGTTCATGGTGCAGATGGTGTTGTGCGGCTGCACCTCGAACTTGACTGGATGGGAGGTGTTTTCGCCGCCGCTACCGCCACCGACGATGGTATGGCTACCACCAGCTACTCTCCCACCGGCGACACAATCATCGGCGAAGCAATCGCTGTTGTCAGGCACAAAGGGAGATAGATGATGGCTGGCCGAGTGCAGATTGGCATCATTCACAATATTGTCCTCGGACTCAAACACGGGCTTGCCGAGACTGTCGAGGAGGATCACCCGATCCGGGTCGCTTGTCTCCAGCAGATTGTTGCCATCGTCATCACAGTAGGGCATGTAGCTCAGCATCGATTCGGGTAGATCCTGTCGAGTGGTGATGCTGTCAATGGGATCAATGGTGTCGATGAGACCCGCTGTCGACTGATTGCCATTGCTGTGTCCGGTTGAGTCCAGTCCGTTGGAGTCCTCGTTGTCCGTGGAGTTGACAAAGAGGGGCAAGAACCGCATGACTACGTCCGAAATGTTCTCGCGCCCATTGGAAGGACTCTGGTCGGCGGGGCGCAGCTTCACATCGTCGACAGTCGTGCTTAGAGGTAAGTAATCAGAGGATTGAAAGCTTAATAGATTATCGGCTGAGGGTAGCTTAATGTCAGCCGTGCTATTGTTATTGTGCAGCTGCTCCGCGAGATCCGAAGCAGCGTTTATTTCGTATTTAGGTTTGCAAGTATCACCCGTAGTATCGTTTTTTAATCGCTTAGAAGCTGTTCCAGTTTGACATGTAGAGGTAGATCTTTTGCTTTTCCGTCCGGCAGTGGTGGTTCCGTTGTTGTTGTTATTATTATTATTATTATTATTAATTGCAAGATTGGACAGTGTACTGTGTTGGGGATCGTTCTTTCCATCGCTGCCATCTAGTTCCTGATTGGGATTCCCTTTGAGGGCGCCCGGGGAGCGTGCCTGCTTCTTTTGGGGCCTGTACTTGTAGTTGGGATACTCGATCATGTGCATCTTTCGCAGCTTCTCCGCCTCCATGATGTACGGCTGTTTGTCGTCCTTGCTGAGAAGCTGCCATCGTCGTCCCAATTCCTTGGATATCTCGGCATTGTGCAGGTCTGGTGTTCGCTCGCAGATTTTTCGTCTTTCCATTTGGCTCCAAACCATGAAGGCATTCATTGGTCGCTTAATATGGCCGGGAGAATGTTTCTTGGTCTGAAAAAGCAAAAAATACCAAATTAGAATGATTATAATTATGAAATTATAGCAATAAAATTACATTTCCGGAAGTGGAAAACAGCTTAAATATTACTCGAGAGTAAACACTGATTCGTTGAAATTTCTTATGTGGAAACACGTCCTATCTATTATACGAAATTTGTTTTTCTTGTATATATATAATGTTCATTGCATATTAACGTATCAGAGATAAAGAGTTAGGAAATAAAATTCGCACCAGTCGCAGTCGAAAACACCGACACACCAAGATATTTTTTTTTTATATGTATTATTTGAACAATATATGCACTTTGAATACTGCCTTGTCTATGCATTTGTATCTGTATCTGTAGAAAAAAAATATATATACTTATTCGCAGCGTTTGAAGTTCAATGTCCCGCGCCAAGGTTAATAAAACGCTCCTAAAACGAAATATGTATGTTTGTTTGTTTTTTGCACAAGTATTTTTACGTTTTGTTCCCGTTCCCGTTGGGTTATTATTAAGATATGTACATACATACGCCGGACGGACAAGTGGGCCGGTGTAGCAGCAGCGACATGCATTATAATTTGCATCTGCTTCCTGGTACACCTGGTCAGTGTCGGTTAATCCCTTTCGATCATAGCCGAAACCGCTGTCATTGCCGCCGCCTCAGTATCCGAGGGGAACCATTTGGAATAGGTCATTGCGACGGCGACGGTGACGGCTTCTCGCGTCGTTTGGCCAATGTGAATAACCGTTTTATTCTCGCCCAAGCGAGAGACGGCAAAAAACTACCTATTAATAGCGTTAACTTCGACCTTGCAGCAGTTCGTGTACCTCGCGAAGTTCATCCACATCCACATCCACATCGACATCGACATCGGTACGAAGCGATACCCTTGGTAGTAGCGCCGGCCGAATGAACTGTGCGAAGACCTGTGGCAGTGGTGGAGACAGAGCAGGGTAGTGTGGAGCTGAGCTGAGCAGAGCAGAGCAGAGCAGACTTTTAGCTACAACGCACCGCCGGGATGCTCCATCGGCCATTGGCACCGAGTCGCCTTTGCCATTGCCGTTTGCCATTGCCTTTGCCTTTGCCCTCGCGAAACTCACTCTCAATGTCGCCGTCAGTCAGACAGTTCAAGTCTAATAAGCAGCCTGACTCTTGTAGACACAACACACTCACACTCCCTCCCATGTGGATACCCAAAACACACAAACACACACAGTTACAGAGCACAGATACAGATACAAGAAGCAGAAGTTGCTGGTGCAGACACCCGCATCCGTGAGATACATACAGACATGTGGCAGGGAATAAGTAAAAGTGATGAAATGGCCTGGGTTAAGGGGGTGTTGAGCTTTCGATTTTAACGGTTCTGGGCGCCTGCTTAGATTCTAAGGTCATCAGCTTGAATACTATATGTTTTAATTTTTGTTTTTCGTTATTTTTTTTTCTATAAAGATAAAACATGGAACGACAGAAGTCAACGACGTCGCCTGGCCAAGTACATATGTACTTCTTTCGAATTGTTTGTATATATACAAGTAATACGCAATTGAGTTGGTTGTTCGTGACGGTGCCGCCGCCACCGCCACCGCCACCGCTACTTCTGCTTGGGATGGCAGAGCCATTGCCTCCTCCAACCTCCGTCCGCACTAATAACCGTAAAAAAAATAATACAAACTGCTTAGCAAGGTCAATGCACCAAAGTGTACTAAACCCCAACCCTAGTATGTGCGTGTGTGTGTGTGTGTGTGCGAGACAATTATTTACATATACGTACATTTATTCGCCAAAAACCTCTCTGGTCTAGTATCTAGACAAGAGTCAGAAGTATTTGCATACATATAGTATACCCCTCTAGGTGAAATATGCTCGTGTTTATTCCGGGGGTTGTGGTCAGCTCTTCTATCGCTAATAAACAGGCTATTTGGTAAATACGATGACGAATACTGGCCCTGCTGTTGTGATGAAATGTTGGTAGTGGATCGTTCCCCAACCATTTCCGTTTATAGGATCTTGAACTTGTGATTTTCGAAAACAAACTAAGCTGATAAACAAAGTTATAACTTATGTCCGTAAATTTTTTTAAAATACGTATCGGTCACAGTTAAACAACGCAATTATAGGCATTTTCGTTTACGTTCTATCTGAACAGCATATCCATTCGAACACTTGGAAGAGATCTACATATTTATAAAATGTATATTAGGGTGGTCCTTATTAGCAGTAGTATTTATGGAACTAATACTCAGATCTAATACATAGATCTACTCTGATGAAATATTTCCTTAGGTAACTCAGGGCGTATGAGTAATTTTTACCAAAACTTCAAGCCACTACCATTACTTTGGAAACCACTACTGTAGTTCTCGAAAATCAGCTTATAGTGGCTCACCCCAATACCCATACAGACGTATATGCAAGCTCGACAAATAAATGTGAGTCATCAGGGAAGCGAAACGCGAGTACAACCGCCCCGTCCACCATGCACGGGGACAAAAAATGCACTTCCACGCTTTCCGCGAATGTATCTACATATCTATGGTCCGGAACGCATCACCCTCAACGGCAATGCTCGAAAGAACATTGGAATTTCCGATCCAGCCAAAAACCACGAATACACGGCTATTTCATCACATTAATAAGACAAAAATCGAAGTCGAGCTTTTATGATACGTAGAATCAATTACTAATCTCTATTAATTGTTTCGTCGTAGTTGTATTTGTAAACAAAGAAAATAATCGCAAAAAAAAATAGGCAAGTCTAATCTAATCAACGTCAAATCTTATCAGTCAAACTTTTTGTTGACCTGTCCGGTCTGGAAAAAGTATTTTTCGTATATGTATGTATGTAAGTAGGTAGGTACATAGGCAGAAGTGGACATATATAGTATGTAGGTCTCTCAGCCAAATATCAAGGTACCTTTTGTTGGCCCAGACAGCTGGGCCCGTTTATCTAAGTAGTGTCCCATTACCGATGATAAGAAGTGCATTGAGGGCGTGAATTTCACTTTGGATAAGGGGACTTATAGACAAGTAGGAGACACAGAAATCAGGCAGCTATATCGTGACCTTAAACTTTCCATCTAGCTGGGATATTCTTTAAAAACCTTTAGAATTACATATATTACATTAATCTGGATGTAATATTGTTAAATATATTTCCCATAAAATCAAAAAATAATATTATAAAGAAACATATTTCAGGTTTATTTACCCAAAAACCCGACCTTTCCTAATAAGAACTTTTTAAGAACTATTTATGTTCAGGTTTATATTAATTTTCGTTGAAAGAACTTCAAAAATTTCCCTCAGTGCAGCCAAGGCTGGCTTACTCACCCGAGTTGCATCCGAATACGGGGTGCTGGAATTGACAGGAACCCGTGCAGATCCAAACACCAGGCTGGAATCGCCGCTCATGTTCAGTGTCATATCATGGCCACTATGGCTCGGAGATCTTTCGTTGTCCATATTGGATTCGAATGAATTCGTATTGGACTCTGGCTGGAATCGGGGTTGGGGGTGGTGGTTGGTTGTGGGAGTGGGAGTGGACCTGGAACTGGGACTACTGGGGTTCGATGCAGCTGCAGCAACAGGCGCGGAAGGCGAAGCCACAGCCGCTGTTGGATGAGTAATAGCTCGCTGGCTTGGTGTTTGTATTTGTGTTGAACCGAAACTCGTTGGGGGGACGACGTCCGTTGGGGTGGACGGAACGCGGGGTATTGACTCCGGTTTTGGGGCTGGAATCGCTGGGGTGGTTGCTGTTGGAACCGTTGGAATCGTTCCTGGGCGAAAACTAAATGGTGGTTCAGTTGCCTGTGTGGGCGCAGCTATCATCTTCCTGACACTGGCACCTCACTTGGCCGCATATGTGGTGGCGCGTATCTGTCTCTGTCGCTGTCGCTGTTTTTGTTTCTGTTTCTGCTTCTGCTTGAGTATCTGTATCTGAATCGGAATCTGAATCTGAATCTGTATCAGTTGTATCTGTTGCTTGTGCTGTATCTGTAGCTCGATGTTATCCCAGGGCAGTTGGCTCGATCTCCAGCAGTTGAACATAGTCGCAGATACTGGGGCGCAGCGCGGGCATGGATCGCTGATAAAACTCGGTTTTCTTAGCGGGCTTTATCACGGATTATTAAGCAGAGCGGTTAGCATTAATGCACGATTATGTATTATGTACTCGTACTCGTACTCGTACTCGTACGTAGTCGCAGCACTCGCAGTCGCAGTCTGATCGGGCTGTTTTATTTAACAAAATACTCGCGTACACACACTACCGTATATATTGGCTGGCATTGGTGTTGGTGGTGGTGTGCATCCGATGGTGTGTGAGTGTGCACTAGGTATTGCTCCTCAAGGTGAAACTGGTTCCTCGTTATTTATTTATTTTTTTTTTCGTTTTTTTTTTATTTTGTGTTTGCAATATTCCAAGACTCACGTTCGCGCTGCGTCTGTGTAATTTTTTATTTTTTTTTTTTGCTGCTACTGCTACTGCTGTTGCTGCTGCTTATGTGCACTCACTCTCACAATCGCACTCCGACTCTATATACATATATATATTTATTGTACATTTTATTAATTTATAAATGCACTGAATTAAATAGATTGGCCCGTACTTGTATGTTTGTTTGTTTGTATGTGCTGAGAGTTAACACACGTACCATATAATGCATGTATTTCATATGTTTCAATATTTAAGTATGTTTATATAAATTTTATATATATATTTTTGTTATTGTTTGTGTGGTCACTAATACTATATACATAGAATACCAAGTTGCCAATGGGCACACACACACACACACTGAATCGTCTGGTTATGTTTGCTTTACGTGTTGCTTTTGTTTCTACTTCTGGGTTTTCGAAACCCAAAATATTTTGATAATGTTTTCGTGACGATTTGTTTAGAATTCCATGCCCCTAGGCAGCATCTGCACTTTTATTTACACTATATATGTATAATCACCACTCAATGTTATCACTTGTCCGTTGCATTGACAATAAGTATTATTATTCCCATTTGGAGGTGTGTGGGTGGTGTGTTTAGTTTAGTTGGTTTAGGTGGTTTAGTTTTTGTTTTGAGATTTAATCACAATCTTGTTTATGCACTCGAGTTCCCGTTAGTATTTATTTAGTTTCTAATTTATTTTGGAAGTTGCTGTTGGTGTTTGGGGGTTTTCTGTTGATGGATTCAGCGTCCGAGCGCGTCGTACGACTGCCAGGGCATATCTACTTGTCCTGGTCAATCTAAACTAAACATCGAGTTGAAACTGAACGGCATCAGTAAGCCATTCGGTACTGCGCCAACTGAAGAAGCAACTCTCAGCAGCGCAGCGCAATGAAACGAACCGATGAGATACGAGTTCAAGTGAAGAAACGAAACGAACGACGCGACCGAATAAACTACGCAAAAGATTTTACGTTTTTATTTTATTTTCCTTCTTTTTTTTTTTAAATGTACATATTTATTATTTTGTGTGGTTGTTGTTTCTTATGCAGCTCCATCCATTTACTGATATATGTAATTTTGCATACATATATACATATGTGTACGGGTATATTTAGTTCCCGACAACCGTCGTCTTTGCTGATCACTCACAGCTGTTCAAGTGAACTGACTGCAAAGTTTACGACTCGAGTCCACAATACGTAGATACAGATACATTCACCCATGCCACACTCAGATACATTTCGTGCAGCAGTATGCGTGAGCCAGGGCTCCGCTCTGTTTGTTTGAATGTGTGTACATAATGACTCTCAGCCAGACTCATTTCCTCGACCAGCCCGGTGACGCATTCCAGTTAATTACGGGGGCCCGAAGCGATATTCGTATATATTCAAGTCCCCATCGAACTTGTTCTACCTAGATCCGACATCTCTGCTGTGATTACCTATAAGGTTCATTGTCTCCTGCCCGTTTTTCTACCTGCCATTGCCCAGCGCCCAACTGAACAAATCCACCCGAGGCGGACCTGTGCGCCCAGCTGTTTATGAATCAGCTGTTTCAATGTGTATTAATCATATGGCTGTTTGATTAATCTGTATCTGTGTATTTGTATCTGTATCTGTGCCTATATACCAAAACATGGTCATACAGACGAATGTATGTATGTATATATGCATGTCTGAATATCAATCTGAGTTTTGGGTCCCTTCAGTACCAGTAGGTTGAGAATCACGTATCTTTTACGCGTGACCAAGTCCTCAAAACTACATGAACCCATTCAAATACATACACTGCACTATGGTTCTATGTATATATGTATGTACATAAATATATTTATACGTAAAAGTACCCATACGCTGCAGCTGAGCAGTTAAATAAATATTTTTTTCGTATATGTAAACATACATTGTAAGTGCAGTTCAAGATGATTTTTTAATACGTATGAAATAAATGTATACATTTATACAGCGAATTTATATATATGTACATATATATATTTATCTATAGATGTAGGAGAATGACGCAGCGGAACATGCACTTGCATTTTCATACAGTGTCAGGTATAAATATCGGTTAAAGAACAATACTCACTCATATATATGTACATATGTATATGTTTGTATGATTTACTGATGATCGGGCACACGGAAGTAATCTTATTGATCATACATACATATGCATATATCAACAGCCCCACCATATTTTATCTTATGTTTTTAAGATTTAAGAACACTCACATCTCTTTTCTCGCATATAATTAAAAGATTGTGTCAATACCTATTAAATTAAGGATGTAGATGTACGTAAGTAATTGCACATGTCTACATGTAAGCCGTGATGTATTGCTTCTTTTGTCCTTCGCCATATATTCATTTTGTATCCAAAAGTGGATACATATTGTATATGTATGTATATAAGGGCAGGGATCGAGATCGAGAAGAACGCACATTTCCTCTTATAATTTGTCCTAAATTCGATCTTTGATGACTCGATTTTATTACTGTTTAACCAAAAATATTTTAAAGAGTTTGAAGCTTAAATTAATGAGTCGCAGATAATTTATTTATACCCCGATTCCAGGTAGCCATATTACACTTACCTACACAAAATATTGAATTTTTCCAATCCTGGTCGGAGCCAGTGTTCTGACCAGTTTGCCAAAATTGCAATTTTTAAAAAAACTTAACCGCAGAACTTGGAGTAAAAGTCCTCTCAGATCATTTTAACAAGAAAGTTGAAACAAAAAAATGGTTTTTTTTTATTTATTTTTTTATACTAACAACTAAAAACAAATTTATCTTGCCAGGGATTTTCTAAGGGAGAGCAATAAAAAGAGTAAGCTTACATAGATTCATACATTACACTAAATTGAAGCAAGAAAACTTTAAAAATTTACGAAACAGTAAAGTTTTTGAAAATATCGGTCTTCCGATAAACGATTTTTAACGATAACTCGCATTGGACAATTTTGTAGGGTTGAAAAGTGAATGCTCACAAAAACAACAATGCTCAAGGTGATTCATCGAAATAGTAATCGTCAAATTTTCAGCTCTAGTGAAAAAGTATGGAATTATTCTTGTGTAAAACGTGTAAAACTATCAATATTTTCGTGCCCCGACTCTATATTTCGCTCTACGCAATTGAAACAACAGCCGAACAAGCCTACAATTGATAATTACTTTGTCGCAGAAAGACGGATGCCAGTTATACGTAACATTTCACAACACCAATGCGTTATTTCACTCCATTTTACATTTATTCATCGAAGTAATCATGGATAAATCTGCTTCGAATTAACTTTGGCTAGCACCATGCCACCCAAAACAAAACACAAGAAAATGGCCTTTCTAAAGGAATCCTCCCAACTCGCTTGTGTTTTAAAGAACAGATGTCGAAATTTCACACCCTTTGGGGAGCGCTGCTTAATCACTTCCTCTTTGTTGTTCGCTTGATCGCAAATATGAGTTCTCCCATCTATGAGCAGTATCGGTGCGCTTCTTGGAAGCCAAAAAAGGTGCAGGATAAGAAGGAAACCACGAAGCAGCACGAATCGCGCAGAACGGGCGCCGAGGAGCTGCTTATGCCCAACCTGCATCCAGAACCGTTAGCCACCATGATGTCGTTCCAGTTGATGGCCATGGATGTTGTCACCCAGATGCAAACAGCCCTGCACAAGTGCGTCAACGCGGCCCAGAGCCCGCCTAAAATGCCGGGACTCGAGGCATTCCAGCGGTCCCCCTGCTACTTCTTCATTGACCTGCATCCGCAGGCGCGGCATCCCTTCAAGGAAGCCGCGGAGGAAGTCAGCTCTAGTCAATTGTCCAGTGACAAGAACAACAACGGCTCACCCGCGAAGGCGCCCCTGAACCGCCAGCGGAGTATTTCCGAGTGCAGCGAGGACAGTTTCATTTGTTTCGAGGAGGACGACGATGAGAACGACGAGGAGGACGACGACGAAGAAGCGGGCGAGGATGACGGAGATGATGATGATGATGACGATAGCAGCGTACAGTTCACGGCATGCTGCGATGATGACGACCCGGCAGTGATCGACCCTTGCGAATGCCCCAAAAACGACAGCTCATCAGCAGCCAAGAAGGTAATTATAGAAAAAAGCTAAAACTATTAGATTTTAAAACTGAATTTTCTTCACACAGGTACGCTTCAATCTAAAGCCAGAAGTTCACGTCATGCTCGCTTGGGACTTTGCTTATCGGGCGGCCAGAAAAAGCGAGTGGCAGTTGATCGCCCGGGATCGTGATCGCTTTCAGAAAAGGATCAAGTGTGTGGCCCCCATTCTAAACCCCATTCTCAGTCCAAATCATCGTGATAGTGTCTACAAAGCGAGATTCTTGAACGTGGGCGAGGACTAGCGAGCGTGTTGGGTATTCATACCTGAATTCACTTTTGATGTACAGATTACAGTTTAGCACGATTGCGACATTAAATTAAGCACAATTCGTTGGCGTGTATAAAGTGATCGGTTCTTACTGGATTTGTGATTGATTTTTCAAGCCAAAAAACTGTTTACCCTGTATAGTATGTCAAAAACCACATCATTTTGCCTTTAGTTTTTAGAAACCTAAGAAGTTTGAATTTGTTGATAACGGGATTAGAATATATATATATATCTATAAATACATATAACTAAATAAATAAGTTTTAGACGTATTCCTTTTGTTATATGTTTTTTTTTAACTAAGAAACTAAGGAAAAAACCCCTTGATGTTTGGCAACGTACACCATTAAAGATAAGCCACGAATACAAATAGATAAGACGGTTAGTACTTGAGAGATGTTAATGCTCCGCGGGGAGCAGTATATTTCATAAGCGTTATCACTTTTATTTCATGATTTCTTCAGTCAATTGCATTTTTAGGGCGATACGCTCCCAAATTTATTTGGCCAATTGATAAACTCCACCGGAAAATATTAGTTTATGTTCTCGGACTTTGCGCTGCAGGAAATGTTTTAGCTCGTCTTGAGTAAACTCGACGCCGCCACTATGAGAAGCAAAAAGCTTCAGCATTTGATGAATGCGATCTATAGGCATAGAGTCCAGGTTTGTAAGCATGCCAACAATGTAGGACCAGAATACCTAAATTAGCATACAATTAATATAAAATCAGTCTGGGCAAAAGGCTAAAATCAACGGCACTTACTTGAAGTTCCTCTTCCCTCTGATCGCTGGCAGATGCCATTGCCGATTCCAAGTCCTCCTCATCGGCTTCTGTAAGACTCATTTCCTCAAACTGCGATTTCTCAGACTCCTTCTCCAATAATGTGAATATCCCAGGAGTTGATTCAGCAATCAAGCCATGGTTTTGCCAAAAGCTCAGGCGTCGTCTCAAAGCCGACGGTGGAACTTTGGTAATAGTGCTTAGATCCTCGATACTCCATTCAGCTAGTATGAAAAATACAGATTCGATTAGAGCCAGGTAAATAGGGATATAGGGTAAGTATATTACATTTATTTTGAAAATGGTAGATGATTACAGCCAGTGTCGGGCTCACCACCATATCCAAGGTTCTGTCCCCGATCTCGATGGAAATATTTACACGGCCAGTCACAGTACGCCAGTTGAGAGTTCTGTTGCCTTTATAGGCCTCATAGGCCTTGGTGTACTTCTTGAATTCGTTCTCCAGCTCCTCCGGCAACTGAAGACTCTCCTTATTAAAGGATGGCCAAAACTGAGCAGAAACTATAAGCGACGAAATGTCGAATAATTGATCTAAAAATAAATAAAAGTTCAGTAATGATCATCAATTTGTGGCTTTTTAAACTTAACCACTCACTTTCTGTGCGATTGCTATCCCCATGAATGTGTGCATTGATCCGTTTGGAGTCGGTTACGTCTTTTAACATAACCTCGCAACTGTGTAAAAGGGATTCCCCAAAACGGATCTTCAACAACTCCAAATTTCGAATTTCCTTTTCCGAGTTAAAGTCTAGCTGGGCCAGCAACCGATCTGCCATCAGATTTCGGTACTCGGTCATAAATAGCTCTTTGCTGCCGTATATGTCGACCACCATTGATATGATATCAGCAGATCTCATGACCCGCGAGTTATTATACTGCATAACATTAGCATCGATTCCGAACGGATCAGGTTCCCAATTTTCCCAGTTGCTGAACTCATCCAAGCCAGATTCCTTGCCGTCCTTGACTGTTTCTCCTTTAGCTAATTCCTCGGAGAGATCCGTAGGGCCCTCTTCCGTGAGACCTGTTACAACACGACGCACAGTGTCGTTGCGCTTTCGAAGGTAATCCTTTATTGGAGCAGTTACCATTTCCAGGATCACTCCGGTATTGTCCAGGTGACGAATAGCCTTAATCGCTGCAACGTAGCCAGTTAAAATATCCATGGTATTGACGCCGGGATGTAAAATTCGAGCTTCCAAAGAACTTCTTAACGACTCGGTTAGGTAGACTCGCATGTCGATCTTCTCCATGCAGATTTTCAAGTCATCTATAGCTGGTATAGAATCTGGATAGTCTGTTGCAAGAATAAGCTATTAGAAGGGATTATTCTTATTTTTAGTTTGCCAAACCTACCGATAATAATGCTAAAGAATTGACTTATAACGCTTTGAGCAAAAGTTTCGTACATAAAATAAGTAAGTTTGACTTTGAACGATTGGACAGACGCAGGAACTTCTTCATCTTGAATACTGTCTTTAGACTTCCACTGTGTGAAAATATTTGTCAGCCACGTCATAATGACCTCTGACAACCACTAAAAGGAAAAGGCATTAAATATATTTTTATGAATTTTGATTTTACTTACCGTTTCAAGCTGTTTAAGGTGGCTCCTGTCAAAGATACCCATACATGTGTCGTTAATATGCTCCTTGATTTTTAGCTTAATCAGTGCAGTTAATGCGCTTCCGGTTAAACGATCAATGAGGTTCATCTCGAACAGCTTCATGTTGGTTTGGTTTACCATTTCGGTCAGCTTCTGGCAACAACACTGCTCTATATCAAAATTGCAACCAATGCAAAGGAGCTCATCGAAAACATCCGAGTCTGAGAAGTATTTAGTTACTGGAACTTATATGGTAGTTTTAAGTACGACTTGTCCTTACCAACTGTAGCCAGGGCGAGATGCGAGGATTTGGTGAAGAGCTTGAAATGTACCCAGTAAAAAGCCCCCACCACCACGCTGAACGTGGGAGGCAACTGGGCCAGCAGAGAATCTCTAAGACAGGTCTTTATGCCATCAACTTGAAGCATCTTTACAGACTTTGGCACCTTGTCCTCCGATCCAATGAGTTGGATCAATCGGGGCTTGGTCTGCGACAGTCCCTGAAACCCTTCGTAAAGCTCATTAATGGCATCGATGAACTGCGTGAAAAGCCTGTTTTTGTCAGGCAAAGCTATGGACAATGCTTGGTCGTCGATGCCACTTTGATCCGAGGACACAACGCCAGATTGAAAGTGCTTCCAAAACTTGGGCACAAGGACATTACGAATGACCGACTGAATCTCCAGATCTACCACAGCTGCGAAGGTTTCAACACTTCCTAAGATAGAAAGATGCCGGCGAACATTCTCGTATACCTTCTCGTCCACTGATTCCGCCGGGACCGTGTTCTATGAAATGTTTTTCAAGTTTAATTCGATTTTTCTTAACGAGAACTACATGGAAACATACCAGGCCTCCAAGAACTGGAAATATTTTCAACACATCCCCCCACAAAGAGTCTATTTCGCTCATTTTATAATTTTTGTTGACTATTGGCAATGCAAAAACATTGCGAAGTAGAAATCAAATTGAAGCTGGTGATGGGAATCTTTTTATCGATATATCGATTGTTTAAGTCCTGCGTATCCGCCAGATACTTTGCAAATCTCAAAGTTAAATTAAAATGGGCATGCTAAAGCCAAAAATACAACTTTCGAAGTTTAATATTTCATGTTTACCTAATACTTATTAAGCTTTACCTAATTTGTATAAAATCTCCTTAAACATTTATATATTTTTCTCATAGGATATCGCGATCCATGATAAGCTCCCACATTTACCCCCACATATTGACAAACAACAGGTTCACTGCTTACATTATATTAAATTCCTCGCATCATACTACTATAGCCAAAAAGTAAAAAACAGCAATAGGTTTAAAAATATATCTTCATGTTTTAGCAAACACAAATCAATTAAAATTAAAATTGCATACGACTTATTTACATACATACAAGTTGAGATTTAAGAACCAGCATTAGACATGAATAGGAATATTTTTAAATTGCGAATTTATTTATGTTTTATTGTACTGTGTGCGTCACCCGACACACGCCCGTTTTAGCCAATATAAATTGGTATGCCGAATGCCAATGGCCTGCAACTTATGGGTTATAGTAAAATTAAGAAACTATCGTATCTTCAAATGCGTCTGCTGGTGCTTCTTCAAGTGGTCACTCCGCACAAATCGGCGACAACACTGCGGACAGGCGTATGGTTTCTCGCCGGTATGCGTCCGGATGTGTCGGTTGAGGTCGTCTTGCCGCTTGAACCCCTTTTCGCACTGCCGGCAGCGGAAGGGCCGATCCTGAACGAACTGAGGCATGCCATAGGTGCCGGGGCCATCCTGCGGCGGTAGCTGAGAAAGGGTATTTACAATTTCGTCGGCCGGCTCGTATTTCACCTCGGGTTTGGCCTGATTAAGGAAGGATGGCATTTGGCTATCCCCAGCGGCGTGAGGAGCCACGATCTGGTACTTGTCACTGTGCTCCGGTCGTTCCAGCTTAATCTTTAGCGGCTTATGCGAGAAATCTCCCAGTTCCGCCAACTGCTGCTGGTGCTGGTGGTTTTGTTCTCCAGCCACGCCCATCGCGGCCATGAAATGGAACCCAGAGTCCGATTCCGGAGAATGCTTCTTCGCAGGCTTTAGTCGCACCCCGCTTGGTACGGAACGCTGTTTCGGAGGACTGCTCTTTAGTTGACGGTCATGCGTGGCCAGGTGTTTGGTGAGGTGATCGCTGCGCGAGAACTTTTTGCTACACTGGATGCACTCGAAAGGTTTCTCGCCTGTGTGTGTCCGCAGGTGCCTGTTTAGTTCGTCGGAGCGGGTAAAGCCCTTGCCACATTTTGGCTCGCTGCACACGAAAGGCTTAATGCCCGTGTGCCAGGTGAGATGGGAGCGCAGGTGGGAGCTCTTGCCGTAACTTTTCGTGCAGTTCTCGTACGGACATACGAACTTGCGTTTGGGGTCAGAAGCGTGAGGTGTTGCCAGCAGTTTAATGCTGGGCATGATGCGGATCTTGGAGTTCCCGCTCCCGAACTCCCCGCCTGCACTCGCGTGGTTCTCGCGATCAGTCTCAGCTCCGTTGTGCACGTTGTTTTCGAGATCCATTGGCGCTACATCGTGCTTGTTCATATCTCCGAAAATAGTGGCTGCCCTCAAAATAACGTCCGACGCCTGTTCGCCAGCCACCAAATGTGCCCCGCCGCCTAACGTCGAAAACGCTGGTGGTGGTTTCATGGGTTCTATGGGCGTTGATGTCGTCAGCATTTGGGGTGTGGGCGTGTTTGGTATTACTTGTGACATTGCGCTTACGTTCGGGGTTCGGGGTATGGTTCGCTTAGCTTAGGGCTGTGTTTCGCAGGTTTTTCTGTAATTGCAAACAGAGGCACTTGTAGAACCCAAACACACGCCGTTCTCTGGGTTTTCCAATTACCCTATTAGTTTTATCCAAAATTCATGTGAAGGAAACTGTGTTCAGTGGGCGTCGGCCGTATTTATCAGTGGAGTGGTCCCTCGTCACCGTAGCCGCGCGGATAACGGTTTACTTTCTCTTCGCGTGTGCCGCACACATTTTCCTATTGTCTATAGCGGGCGCGAATGCATTTTGCACGAAGCGTACTTTTATTTTTATTATTTTATTTATATACTGAAGAACTCTATTTAATTGCGGTGAGATATATCGAGTATTCGATAAGTGCTAGAGGTGGAACAGAGCCAAGCCGTTTCTTGCTCGTGGGAAGCACTATCGGTTGAATAAATTTTCAATAGGACTTTGCCAACTGCCATTAAGTTTTTTCGATCCCATATTAATATAATTATTATTACAGTATTTATTTAATTTTTTTTTACAATTTCTAAAGTAATAAAATTGTTGATAATAGAGTAAAGTAATTGATCACAAAGAAAATTTTAAAAAATCGTTTCTACTGATACGTGTTTTTTGTTATCTGGTCTCACTGACCTGAATTGTTTATGAAATTGGTCTTAAGATGCCCAAAAATTCTGACGATGTTGTCGTTAAAAGAACTAGGTTCCAGCGAAGAAAGCCAACCATTTGGACGCGCGAAAAAATATCCAAACTTATTGAACTCTACCGGGCCTCGGACTGCTTATGGAACCACTATTCTGTGATGTATAAAAACAAAGAGTGCCGGGCTAGAGCCATAGAACACATCTGCGAATCCCTCGGGATAACGAAGATCGACTACGGAAAGAAGGTGCACAATCTGCGGAATCAGTTTAATTCAGAGTTAAAGAAGCTTGAACGCCGCTTGGAGGAGTCCGGCGGTTCCAGTCCTACGGTCGAGAAGGCTTGCCGTTGGGAGCACTTCAACACACTGATGTTTCTGCGCTCGGTGATAGAGCCCCGACCTGGTTACCAACAAACGCCCCAATCGCAATGCAAGGTAGCAACGCTTAACAATGTGTTTTTAAGTATATTAATTTTGCAAGTTTTTCAGAAAATGATCACCAAGCTCGACTATAGCTTATCTGCAAAAGAAGAAGAGCCTATCCCATCGTCAATCGACAGCTTAGAATCAATAGTTTTAGAAAGTGCCAGCGAACCCATACCACCAGAATCTTCACACTCTACCTGTTTGAGGCCCCCTTCGACCAGTAGGCTAGCAATAGTAGAGGCTTCTGCCATATCAACGCCAGTCCAAATCCCGTTAACTGGTCGTGACCAATGGGACGCGTTTGGTGAACTAATTGCTAACGAATTCCGCAATCTAAACTCTGAAATTTTTCGAAAAAGATTAAAGCGGAAAATAATGCAAGTCATGTTGGAAATAGGTGAAGAGGATGATTTAGAATATACCAACAGAAATAGCTGAATTTAATAAAACTATTTTGCATGTACATTTGATGTGTATACATTTGAATTAAGATAGTTAAGAATGTTTAAGTTTAAAATTTCAATTAAAACAAACTTATTGTAATAGTATTCCATGTTCTTGTAGCGATCAATGGTCTTGATGTCAACCAAACTATATAAGTGACGGTATAATTCATTTGCTGCACAAGGGTTCATGTTTATTAACGATCATTTTCATTGAAAAGTTGAAAATACTTACTGTGCAAATGTGTCTAGCAGAATTCGTTTAATTTTATTTTTCCTCCGGCTCCTGTTTTATTGAGACTGGGGAAGAGACAACATCACCTATAATTACCGATATTATATGGGAGATATTATATATGCCGATATTATATTTTCATCTTCAATGAAAGACGCTGAAAAAAATGTATGTTTTATGTGAAATTTAAACTTTAGCATCAACGTACGAATCGAATCCCTAATAGCAGAAGAAACACGGTAATTCACAGCACGTTTAAATAATGGCTTTTTTAGCATTTTATGCAAAATCTTCTTTTCGAAACGTTCCTTCTTCTTGGCCTCTTTCAGATCCTCCTTGGCCTTATCAAGAGCTATAGTAATACCATCCAACAGATGCTGTACTTCACGTACGGCCATGTTTTTGGCTTTCGCTTCCTTTTTTGCATTCAAATAATTTGAACAAGCTTTTATAATTTCCGATTCTTGACTCATTTTTCGACCTTTTCCCTTCAGTTCTCGGATGAAAATGATTCTTGCTGACGATCTGACTTGGGACGTCAACTTTTTGATTCTCATACTAACGGTTGACATGTTTGAGGTGAAATTTATTTCAAAGTCTACTAGGATAATGCGCAAAGTACTTGCAACAATTTTTAAATCAAACTCCTTTTCAGTCACTTTCTATGTTGGTATTTAAATTATTCGGTATATTTATTCAGTAAGGGGAGATACATTGAATCAATGAAGCTTAACATTAACGGTACAACAATCCAGAGAGTGCTACGACTGCTGTTGGAAATTCTCGAAAAACTGTAAAGATTGAGAGCATTGTTTAAATGCAAATTATTGCAGTATTTTTTCTCATTCGAGAAACGTACATTTGTCAGAACTTAAAGTCCTTGATTGCCTGTGGCAGGTCAGGTAACTTTATGTCTTTGATTTGTTGAGGAATGTTCATACTCTTCACAGCGCTTACAGCCCGAGCAGGCGCTGCCGATATTCCGGCCTCCTGCTTAACCAGCTTATTCTGCTCCTCGATCCTGGCCATAATGTCATTCATATTGGTTTGCAGCACCATTCCGCCCATTACCAGTTCTGAAACAGGGCGTATGGATAAGTGGGTCTCTGAAATGTACAACTTTTCTTTACCTGAAAGGATGTGATGAACTGCATCTGCATGGAATATCAAGTCCAGTTCGCAGACATTTTCGAAGCACTTGTCAAGGGTCTCGACAAAGACCTGGATAAGATCGAGGATTCCCAATTCACTCTCCGAGGAGTCAACGCAGAATACAAAGTACAGCGTGGCATAATGACGATAGATGAGCTTATAGTCTGATCCACCAATCAAGCTGTACAATGAAAAATTTGGTTTTATTCTCAGTGCCACTATAGTTGATTATTGAAAAGTTATGGTAGTACTCACCTACCGCCTTCGAGAAAGTTGCAAACATTGTCATCCCGTTTGGACACCAGCTGAAAAGTTTCCTTTATGATTTGCTGCTGCAGACTTTCATCCTGCAATGAGAAACTGATGTAAGTCTGATACTTGACAATATATATAGTAACTTACAAAATACTGGTAAAATTTGGAAAGCCTAGGCTTCCCGTGGTTATTAAAAACAAGAATAGCTTTAATCATTTTCAGATTGCGTTTAAACCAGCCAGCTGTTTTCGTTTTCAGCCAGGGCTGAAGAACTGTTTACATGATATGGTTTTTATCGATGTTATATGTTTTTTTAATTTTATAAATAAAAATAAAATTTTAATTGATTGATAATGTAAAGTCCTTTTTTTTTATTAATAAAAATCTGTATTGTATTTCAAACGCCAAACAGATTATTTTTTTATTTTTGTCCATCTCTAAGACCTCGAGGCGTGTGGTTTGTTTATTTATTTTAATTTCTGATAAGAATGAATATTTTGACAAAAACAAGCTTTTCCAGCAGGTATTTCCCATTTTCCTATTAAAGAAACCTATATTCATAAAATTAATTGTTTTTAGAGTGAGTTCTGTTTTAAACAAAGACGTTAAACAATATGGAAAGCAATTTATGTTCGATACGAATGAAGATACCTCTTGGAGCTCAGACGAGGTGTGTTATATTTTTTATTTAATTTTATGTAAAATAAAATTCAATTTAGATAATACTCAATTCAATATAAACATATTTTTTCAGGGAACACCCCAATGGATTGTCTTAGCTTTCGATGAACCACAGAATATCAATGGATTTCGTTTCCAATTTCAAGGCGGATTTGCTGGTCAACAGTCGAATATGGTAATGTATTCAGCGGATGGAGCGGAAATTCACCAAGAGGCTTTTTATCCAGAGGATATCAACTCTCCTCAGGAATTTAAAATTCAAAACACAGCCCATGATAAAGCTTGCTCCAAGATAAAGTTCGTTTTCCATTCCAGTACAGATTTGTTTGGAAGAATTATTGTGTATAATTTAGAACTGTTAAGCTAAGCCCAAATGTACTTATCAAATAAATATAGGAAATGTTTTTGTTTCACCATATCAGCTAATTTTTGTTGTGGACTCATTCTGTCTATGCAGAAATATATTGCTTATCAATTTCATTATATTGCTCCAATCCGTGTAAGACGAAAACGAAAGCTTAGTGGCCCTAATCTATTTATAATCTATTCTGTAATAAATATTTAGATCGATCTATGGCGTGTTGAACCACCAAACTGTCGAGGGAACTTCGTCATTAGAATCCATTATTCCTTAGCACTCTATTAACAAAAGTTCAAGAGCTTTTCGTAATTTAAATAGCATTGAACTTGGCTCTTGAAACACGCAACTTCTTATCGAAGGTGACACTTTTCATGGCTTCTTGTCTAATCGCCCTAGCCGCCTATCAATTAGATTCCCCCAAATAAAAATTACATCATACTTTATGCACCAAAACCATTATTTATTTGTCCAAAACCACAAGATAAATTTTAGGCATTGCTAAATATTTCGAATGCTTGATTTAGAGTGTCTGCCACCAAAGGTGGCACCAATTATGCAGCAACGGAGATTTCCAGTCGCGGGCAGTTGGGAATTCCGCACTCGAGATCAGGAGAAGCGTCCTGGTGCCAACAGCTCTCCGAGTTGCAAAACATGCACGCTTTCGGTGATAGCGGGACATTTGTCGAGAGATCCACCATTTCCCAGACTTTCTTCAGATCCGTAACGAGGGCATTCATCATTGCATAGGTGTGGAAGGGTGTGGGTGCCAGTCGGAGTTTCTCCTCGCCGCGGGCTACAGTCGGATAGTTGATGGATTGAAGGTAGTGGCCGAATTGTTCCATGAGAACATTTGAGATTTGACTGCTTTTCAATGGGTCCCCTATTTTAATTGGAATGATATGACTCGGAGTTTCTTCGACGGGGAAACCTGAAACCAAAAAAATAAGTAATTAGGTCAAAAAAGTGAAAGTATTATCATAGCAATCGATTGCTGTGGACCGTGGATGTTTGGCTAAATATAATTTGGCATGAATTCAGATATACGTATTTGTTTGTAAAGTGGAAAATAACCTTAAAAGTGTGTTACATAAAACCAAGAATAACACGCACCTTCTCGCTTTAGCAAGTTCTTCAGGTAGGAGACGTTACGTTGGTGCAAATGACGCAACTCCCGACCCTCGTCCGATGCCAGAATGTTGACAGCCTCCAGGGCTCCGCACAGCACAGTCGGCGGCAAGGATGTGGTAAAGATGAAGCCAGCTGCGTACGAACGAATCATGTCCACAAGTTTTTCGGATCCAGCGATGTAACCACCAATGTTACCAAACGCCTTGCCCAAAGTTCCCGATATAATGTCCATTTTGTGCAATACTCCATCCCGTTCTCCAACTCCGGCTCCGTGATCGCCGTACAAACCCACGGCGTGCACCTCGTCAATAAATGTAATGGCTCCGTACTCGTGGGCAACATCTAGAAGCTCCTCCAACGGGCAAATAGCTCCTGTCATGGAATGTACCGTCTCAAATGCTACAATTTTTGGGGTGCTCTTGTCCACCTTTTTCAAAAGGCTACGTAAATGGTCCACATCGTTGTGCCGGAATATGTGCTTGGGCACACCACTATTCCGAATCCCCATGATCATGGAAGCGTGGTTGCCTGCGTCCGAGAATATTTGGCAGCCAGGCAATAGCCTGGCAAGGGTAAAGAGCGTCGAATCGTTGGCTACAAAGCACGAAGTGAACAGCAATCCGGCTTCCTTTTGATGCAGTTCTGCCAGCTTGCGTTCCAGACGTTCGTGGTGCAGAGAATTGCCCGAAATATTCCTGGTTCCTCCGGCTCCAGAACCGTGCATGTTAAGGGCCTCTTGAACGGCTCTCTTAACGCTAGGATGAGCAGACATGCCCAGGTAGTCGTTGGAACACCAGACAGTAATGGGCTTCTCGGACCGCTCCGAATATTCGAGTGCATGAGGGAACAACCCGTCACCAGCCAGGCGGTTCACCTTCTTGAAGATGCGGTAGGAGTGGTCCTTCTTCTTCTTTTGGATCTGCTCGTTGAAGAACTTCTCATAGGGAAAGGTCTCCGAGGAGGAGGTGGCCTGAGAGGGGCAGGCAGCAACCTGTCCAGGGTCAGCAGCCCCAAAACGCTTGCTCTCCGTCGAATAAGACCTTGTAACAGTTGACGCATATGGCAGCGAAGCGACGAGTGAAAGTCCCTTCTCGCCAGCCGTTGCAGCTCCAGATGCAGCCGCAGCAGTGTTTAGAGTTTTCCCCATCACGGGACAATACATCCCATAGGATTGGGTGAGCACCTCCGCATAATTGCGAAGGAAGTTGGCAGTAAAGCGGTTCAGAAACGGACACTGCATGTTGCGAAATCAAATCACTCTTCAGACCCGACCTAGATCAGCGAACTTTGGAAGCGAAGTGAATGTTTTTGGTAAATTATGCAAGATTTCGTGGCTGGGAGGTGTATTTAGAGTTGTCAGGTAGCTGTCGGAGCCCCCAAGGCCACCCCACTAGATCTAAGTTACCCTGTGGGAAGTCGTTTGCCCCAATCACCCTGTGAATTTTATTTTCTAACATAAAAAATGTCAAGTGACGAACGCACTTCTCCTTTAAAAAATTTAAAAACTTGTTTTAATTAATTTTTACAAAATCTTCGTCATTTAGAAGTTTGAAATTGTCCTCGCGAAAATAAAGTAGGTTTTCATTAAAGCATTTGCTACTTTCGTTGTGCAATTTTGTCATGACTGGCTTCAAGTTCTTTATTCCCGCAGTATTGGCCAAATCGGTGAAATAATCAATCTTAAAAAAAAACAGTCATAAAATATAGGTATGTATTCAGAAAACAAGGTAACTACTTACTTGCTTGGGGCCTAGCATATGAGCATGACGTCTTCTGTACCCTGCGCTCCAAAGCTTCTCCATTTTTTCCTGGGTATCCTTTTGCATTTCCTCTTTGGAGGGAAGGACATTGGATCCTTTGTAGTAGCTCAGGATAAAACGCGCCTGCAGATCCATCATTTGGGCAGCACAAACATAAAATGGCAAACCAATCAATGAAATCGATGGGTTCATTATGTTAATACACTGCTTATAAAGATCCTGAACATAGTTATCCTCGACATAAATTCCAGAATTTGCAGTAAGAAATGGGAATGAGTATTTGTAGCCAGTGCAGAAAAATATCGTATCAAATTTTTCGTAAGATCCATCCACGAAAAAGGCTCCATTCTCATCGAGCTCCTTAACATCCGGTTTTTGATTTACGTTATCGAAGAAAATCGCCGTTCCAATATCCTTTAAGTGGTGGCTTAGTGTAACACGATTGGCGGTTCTTGATATTATATTCGACAAGTCCATGCCACTTGGTCCAGCTCCAATAACCAAAACGGATTTTCCTAAAAAAAAAGGTTGAGGAAATTATCCTTCTCATTAAACTTCCTGAACAAACCTTGGAAAACATCCCGTTTTCGAAAGTCGTGGCTGTGCATAAAATTTCCTTTGAAACGATGCATATTGGGGATTTTTATGTAGTTGGGTGTATGGTAATGCCCATTGGCAACCATAACTTTATCAAAGTAGTGGAATTCGATTTGGTTTGTTGTTACATCTTTTACAAGGACCTGATTTAAAAAAAAAAATATTTTTAGGAATAATTTTCTTAAATGACTGAAACAGTTTACCTGCCACATGTTCTTTTTGGGCGCCACTCTAATCACATAGGAATTAAATCTGATGTGCTTCTTCAAATCGAAATGATCTGCATACTGGTTCAAGAAATCCAAAATTTCATCGGATCTCACATACGAACGTTCGTTTTTGGCGATTTCAAAGTCTGGAAATCCCATTACTTCCTTTGGCAAATTTGTTCTGAAATCGCAAATATATCCTGGCTATATGTTTGTTAATACTGATTGGAAAAACCCACCGTAAATTCTCGTACATGCTGCTGTGAACATCAATACCGTTCACAGATCCTGTGGCCTCATTGTACACCCAGGTACCGCCAATTTGGTTGGATAACTCGAAGACCGTTGTTTGGAATCCACTGTCAATGGCATGTCGTGCACAGCAGAGGCCTCCTGTTCCGGCTCCAATTATGCACAAGCTCGTCATATTGAGATTAATATTGTTTCTAGGTGCGATACGCGGCAATCAATCTTGACAGTCCGAGTGCTATTGTAAAACTGAAGATCGCATTATAATGAACTGTATGGCTTCTCCACAAAAACACCCTTCGAAAATCAGATGGGTGGGCATTCTGCTTCCAACTGATAAGAAAATATTGAATTTAGGCGTCTACCTTTTGGGGAACTTGTTTCAGGGTATTCCTGATTCTACAGGAATAAGTGATATTGCTCGGCTGATAATCTTACAAACATAAACCATTTTTAAATCTACCTACAGAGGCCATCTGGGCATTTAGGTGCTTGTTTTTTGTTTTATTATAGATTTTTATATGAGTAAAGCATCTTTATATATGTACCTACGTATATTACTTATTTTATTGATATTTATTTTCGCCGATAAGCCTGTCGGCTTAATTAATCTCTACTAAAGGGGTCAGACTGAACTTTATTGTTATTGTTTAGCTCAAGGTAGGGGTTTTCAACTGAGGAAAACTTGAATGAAGCTTACCGATACATACATATTTGAAAGAATACTATATTTATATCAATGCAGTGAAGAAGAAGCCATATCCTTAATTTCTTACCCTTACCCTTCCTTTCCTAACTTAATTCTTCAAAAATTTAAACTGGAGAATATGTTTGTTTATAAATCATAATTTACCCTTTTTTTTGTAGTATGATTACATTCCAGAAGAAGCTTTAATTTTGTAACAATTCACAAAGATATTTAAAAAATAATAAATTAAAAAAAAAATATATATAAAAATAATAGAGCCCTCCTCCACGATTCTCATCGGTTGCACTTAACCAGGCCCGAAAAGTTGGAAAATTAATTATTTATTTTTTCTAAATTTTATTTTTTCTCGCTTTTGTTGTTGTAAGTTTTAGTTTTTTTAATTTTTTGTTGTTGTAATTTGTATACCCCGGTTGTATACAGACGGTTGCTGGGGTATAGCACGAAAAATGGACAAAAAATCTAAAAAATTTTTTGTCTCAGGGTTTTGATGCAGAATGATGGAGAATTGATCTAGAAATCGTTTAAGGTACTCCGCTTGTGAATCGGATGAGAATTGGGGAAGATAAAGCCATCGTCGTGGACCCTATAGGAGAAAAACACATTTTCAAGGGATCCCATCTCGAAAAATGGACAAAAAATCTAAAAAATTTTTTGTCTCAGGATTTTGATGCAGAATGGTGGAGAATCAATCCAGAAATCTTTTAAGGTACTCCGCTTGAGAATCGGATGAGAATTGGGAAAGATATAGCCACCACTGTGGCCCCTATAGGAGGAAACCCCATTTTCAAGGGATCCCATCATGAAAAATGGACAAAAAATCTCAAAAATATTTTGTCTCAGGATTTTGATGCAGAATGATGGCAAATCGATTCAGAAATCGTTTAAGGTACTCCGCTTGAGAATCGGAAGAGAATTGGGAAAGATATAGCCATCACTGTGGCCCCTATAGGAGAAAACCCCATTTTCAAGGGATCCCATCATGAAAAATGGACAAAAAATCTCAAAAATATTTTGTCTCAGGATTTTGATGCAGAATGGTGGAGAATCAATCCAGAAATCTTTTAAGGTACTCCGCTTGAGAATCGGATGAGAATTGGGAAAGATATAGCCACCACTGTGGCCCCTATAGGAGAAAACCCCATTTTCAAGGGATCACATCATGAAAAATGGACAAAAAATCTCAAAAATATTTTGTCTCAGGATTTTGATGCAGAATGATGGCAAATCGATTCAGAAATCGTTTAAGGTACTCCGCTTGAGAATCGGAAGAGAATTGGGAAAGATATAGCCATCACTGTGGCCCCTATAGGAGAAAACCCCATTTTCAAGGGATCCCATCATGAAAAATGGACAAAATATCTCAAAAATATTTTGTCTCAGGATTTTGATGCAGAATGATGGAGAATTGATCTAGAAATCGTTTAAGGTACTCCGCTTGTGAATCGGATGAGAATTGGGGAAGATAAAGCCATCGTCGTGGACCCTATAGGAGAAAAACACATTTTCAAGGGATCCCATCTCGAAAAATGGACAAAAAATCTAAAAAATTTTTTGTCTCAGGATTTTGATGCAGAATGGTGGAGAATCAATCCAGAAATCTTTTAAGGTACTCCGCTTGAGAATCGGATGAGAATTGGGAAAGATATAGCCACCACTGTGGCCCCTATAGGAGGAAACCCCATTTTCAAGGGATCCCATCATGAAAAATGGACAAAAAATCTCAAAAATATTTTGTCTCAGGATTTTGATGCAGAATGATGGCAAATCGATTCAGAAATCGTTTAAGGTACTCCGCTTGAGAATCGGAAGAGAATTGGGAAAGATATAGCCATCACTGTGGCCCCTATAGGAGAAAACCCCATTTTCAAGGGATCCCATCATGAAAAACGGACAAAAAATCTCAAAAATATTTTGTCTCAGGATTTTGATGCAGAATGGTGGAGAATCAATCCAGAAATCTTTTAAGGTACTCCGCTTGAGAATCGGATGAGAATTGGGAAAGATATAGCCACCACTGTGGCCCCTATAGGAGGAAACCCCATTTTCAAGGGATCCCATCATGAAAAATGGACAAAAAATCTCAAAAATATTTTGTCTCAGGATTTTGATGCAGAATGGTGGAGAATCAATCCAGAAATCTTTTAAGGTACTCCGCTTGAGAATCGGATGAGAATTGGGAAAGATATAGCCACCACTGTGGCCCCTATAGGAGAAAACCCCATTTTTAAGGGATCCCATCATGAAAAATGGACAAAAAATATAAAAAAATATTTTGTCTCAGGATTTTGATGCAGAATGATGGCAAATCGCTCCAGAAATCGTTTAAGGTAATCCGCTTGAGAATCGGATGAGAATTGGGAAAGATAAAGCCACAGTCACAGTGGACCCTATAGGAGAAAACCACATTTTTTCCCCTAAAATAATTATTAAAAAAAAAAATAATTAATAAAATAATAGCGCCCTCCTCCTCGATTCTCATCGGTGACACTTAAGCAGGCCCGAAAAGTTGGAAAATTAATTATTTATTTTTTGAAAATTTAATTTTTTTTCCCTTTTTTGTTGTAAGTTTTAGTTTTTGTTGTTGTTAATTGTATGCCCTTACAGAGGGTTTATACCCCAGCACGAAAAATGGACAACTTTCCTGTTACTTTCCCAATCATTCACAGATGGGCTTCTTATCGTTTCTACTATATTGCCCTTTTATGTTTCGCTTCCAGTTGCTGCTGTTGCTGAGTGGCTGGCCGGCCACTGCCAACTTCAGCCAAACTTTCTTTTTTATAAAAGTAAAATTTTTGTAAATGTTTGCCGAAATGTACGGCTTAATAGAAAAATAATTTCAGTATTTGTTTTTGGCTGAGGAAACCTTGGCCCACTCACATCTTTACCTATGAGTTTCCCACGGAAAACAACGCAAAAAGCCAAATGTGAGAAAATTTGCATGGGTCAGCGTTACTTTGAGCCGAACGTGATTCAGTGTGTCAGAGTACGTTAAGAACGTCTAACATGGGACTAGCGGCTTCTATATGCATAAAAGTTCTGCAACTTGCAAGTGTCCCCTCAAGAATACATTTTATATTAAAAACATAATTAATTAATTTCATAACCAGATAGCTACGGTGGCTGCGTTGATTCTGAAGAGATTATCGGACAAGTATTCGGAACGAGTATTTACAATCAATAAAAAGCAGTCCAGGGAATGGACACTCTTGAATAATCTTTCATGGACCAGGGAGGGCGATGACTTCAGCACACTAACCTTTGTTGGATATACCTTCATAGCTTCAGTTTTGCTCTTGTCAAGGTAAAGATATAAATTTCATAAATAAAAGTTTACCATTAAATCAATTACCTGCAGAATTATCGATGGAACTTCCAACTATAGAACCTGCGAAATAATTCTTCTTACCTGTGGAGTTTTGTTCTTCACCATAGAAGGTATTGTGGCTTTCATAAAAATAATATCTTATAAGTGACATCTTAAATAACTCTTGTAGGACTCTTGAAGTTCTTTGCCTTGGAGGAACTACCCGATGAACTGACGACTTACGCATATACCCTTGGAGCTCTTTCGTTTTTCTGTGCAGCTTTATTCGCTTTGGACTTAATGCTATTTAAAAATTTGATGAAAATCAAAAACTCAAGTGCTCAGACGGATCAGCTAAAGGAAACAGTGGCCATGAAAGTTTACAATTTGTCCCAAGAGGCTAAAACATCTTGTTGCAACAATGCTCCCCGAACTGAATTAATTAATGAAAGGGATAGAAAGTACCTGAGAACAGATTTGTAGGCCAACCATATTAAATACTTTAGAATATCTACATCTGTCATTACCTTTATTGCCTTTATTTTTACGAATGTAGTGAAACAAAATATGCATTATAAGATCGTGCTGTTGAAACAACTAATTGGAATTTGTATGTTTAATAAATTTGTTCGACATTAATCAACGCTAGAAGCGGCACCAACTAATACACAGAATTGAATGTATTAAGATTACTAACAGTGTACACTATAATAATAAAAAGAGCGGGCTCAGAACAGTAAAAATGATACCCTCGTTCTCCTTGCATCTCCCTTGGCTCTTCGAGCCATCCCGTAATGTCACATGCTCCCCTCGCTGCTGCTCGTCGTTCCTTTGGAGTCGCACATTCCACCGGCCACGTTGTCATCGCCGCGCACTGCTCCTGAGGTTAGTCCTCCAGTAATCCCAGTTAAATTTAGTTTGTACTGTGGAGTGGTGGATGGATTAGTTTTGTTTTTCAACCATGTTTTTGAATTTTGTTAGCAGAAAACGCAAAATACTTTTCAAATAAACATAAAATTTGATAAAAATAAAAAATTCACTTAAAATGAATAAAAAATGCTAATATTTTTGGACTAGAATAGCCTATAATAGTCGCTTTAAGATAAAGGAACTTTGGGTAGTACGTGTTTTTAGCCATTTCATAGCTTATGAGATTTCTTAAAAATGACTACAATAGCTTAGAATAGCTTTGAAGTAGTAGGTGGCTTACAAAGTTTAAGATATAGCTTTAATATATCGACCCACAAGAAATAAATATAACCGAATTCCACCTTGAAATTCCTTGAAGAAAAATAAAATAAAAACCCTAAACCATACCTGTATTAAATCATGCTTTAATATCACAGTAAATCATAATCCTCATACACATTCAAAAAATATAATTAAATTATAATTGATCTTAACTGTAACTGTACGAAATGGCTTTTTGGCTTGGCATAGTTTTAGTTACCTTATTTGCGCACTCAAAGCACTTCGATACTACTTTATTTATAACGTTCATAAGGTTTTTTGTTTCTCTGATGACGTGATCCACCTTCACAAAAGTGGCAGCTTTACCCACCGTGTGGTCTTTCACTGTAAATTGAAGTGCTTGGACAAAAGTCGGCACTCTATCTAAAATGTTAAGCAGATCCTTTTTGTTGTCACTTGCTGGGACCTACAGATACCACACAGAATATATAAAATATATCCATTAGAGAGTTTAAAAGACTTGGATGTACCTGATAAGAAAAGTGACGAAGGACCTTGTAAAGTCGATTGGCTTCCTCCGCAAAATATTCGGCTTGAGTAAACAAATCCTGAGTTGTTCTTAAAGAACCGTTTCCTTTTGTAAACTGATACATAAGGAAAGCCATAGCTGACATGTTTTTAGCTCTCTTTAATATGTCGTTGTCATCCGACAAGTCTTCACTCCATTTTGATTGATATGTGCTTAGATCTCCATTGTTTTTGCCTTCGAGGCCAGAATACTCAACCATTTCTCCATCTTCAGTTGCAGGTACACCGGGTTTAGATAGTTTATCAGAAGTTTCGCATTTCTAGAAAACAAAACAAAAGGGCTAGAATTAAGATACCTAATTAGAAAAGTAAGTAAATCCACCTCAGTTTCCGTTTCTCTTTCGTTCTTAGTCGTATTAATTGATACAAGAATCTTTTTGGCGATCATAGAGATCTCGTTAGTAAGCCACTTCCACATGTCCGAGAAGGACTCAAAGTTCTCGTTGGCCGCACTGCTGTTCGAGTATTTCCAAAGGATTTTGGCAGCAATAAAGACCTGAGGTCCATAGATTCGTAGATTGATGGCTAGGCACTTTGCCTGGACCTGCAACCTTTCCGTTGGCGCAATATGCTGCAGGAGCTTACAGATGTCAAAGATATGGTCGCAGCAGTCATGGAACTTTGAGGAACGCTGGTTCAGATTGTCGATGTCATAGTTCGTTGCCAGGACGTGGAACGATTTCACAAGCTTAGACGCGATCTTAAGAGATTCGTTGAAGTCCTCGATTTGGCTGGATACCGAGACGACCAGCTGCTTGCAAAGCTCTTCCAGACTACTCAGCATTCCCAACTCGGGATCACGACCCTTCAACTGACTCCCGGAGTTTTCGTGCTGGTCCTTCATAATGGTGTTGAGGTAAAGATCGAACTCCAGCTTGCAATTGTCACAATAGGACAGTATGTTCTTTCGATGGTTGTGACTGATGTAGGGCGAGTCAGTAAAGTCGTGGGCCTTTTCAAAGAGTTTCTCAAATGCCATGGACAACTCCTCACGCAGATCCATGCTCTCGGAGCTCATGTGCTTCCTGAAGTTGGTGTTGTTCACCATGCGACCACCGCCAGAGGAGGATGATAGGTTTTTCTCCGACTTCCACAAATCGTCGTCCAGGAAATTGAAGTACGCGTCGGAATTGTTGTTACCTTCGACATTACTCTCATAGTAGCTCATCTGGTACTTGTACCGCTTGATGAGGTTAACAATGCGCTTTATTGTCGTGTATATGCTTTCGTTCTCGTAGTTCGGATTGCTAGCCTGCTTTTCGAAGGGTAGGTGCTTCGCCGAATCAAAGATACTGTCCTTCACCACGAAATGAATGAGGTCCATAGCTCTTCTGATCTGGCAGAACACGGTGTCGCGGTTCTCCTTCACGATCACACAGTCGCTGTGGATCAGGCTGTTCTTCGAGGACGTTAGCAAGATGGCAATCGATTTCTCCAGGATTTGACGGGCCGAAAACATCTGCGCCCGCCGCCGCTCCTCCTTAAAGGAGTTCCGGTGGTGCCCGGTGAGGTAAGCAAGCTCGATCATCTCCGTGCCGAAAACGGAAAACGCACGTACAAACTCAGTGAAGTTCATCACCGATTCTAGCTTCTCGAGACTCTCGGAGGCTCGCTTCTTGGCGGTTAAGAGTTTCTTCACAACAATAATATCAACCAGGAGTAAAATTCGCGTGACAGAGGATAGGAGGGACCTGGCCGCCAATATAATGGCACCATAGTCTTTCAAAGGTTCAATGTGGTGTCGAAGTTCCATACCACTTAATGGTGATATATCACAAAGTCGTTCGATTGATTTTCCTAAAGAAATGAGGATGTATCATTTATATTGTAATTTTTTGTTATCAAAATAAAGTATACCAACCAGCATCTCGGGCTTCTTTGGCAGCCTCGTACATATCCCCTTTGATATCTATATTTTCCTCAGCTATTATTTCGCCAATCGTTATAAACCGTTCCACGGCGATGTTTAGTAAGTGCCCTATGTTCCCAAAAGTGGACATGATTTGCTCGTTATCCATATCACGAACTCGAAAGCGTTGATTCTGAAACAGTGGTCATGTTAGACATTAGGTTTTTTCATTGCCAATCAATAATCCCCGTGGAATAAAGGCGAGGCCTCTCTCGGGGCTCCGATACAATTTGAAAGTCACGCAGTGCCGGTCAAAAACTTACGTTTACAATTGATTGGTTGAGTCCATACATGTTGGAAAAGTCCCTCGACAATAAAAAAAAGATTTATATTTTTTTTAACAATGCGCAAAGCGATTTTTAGGCATGTAACATTTTTATTTACTCCCTATTGATTTTTCTCACTACTAAGGTTAGCAGAGCTGAATAGACAGTGAAACTAAATCATGTATTTGGCACTTAATAATACCGTCACTGATTAATGCGTCATATTACGGGGGTTTAAAGGTTTAAGCTCAAACAAATTTCGATTTTTCAGCCAACGAAAGCTTTTAGCTTAAATTAGTTTTATATCTAGGTGTCTGTAAACAACGTGTTTACTTGTAGACAAATATATGTATAGGCTCCCAGATTTGTGTGATTCGAGCTTGTAACAAATGGTTGTGCGCAGACTTTCTGCGCAAAAAAGCCATTTAGTACTGCACATGGCTGCCGGCAGTGGGGTGAAGGGCAAATTAAAAGGAGGCATTTATTAACTATTTATACTCCTCAATTATAACAATTTATAGAAAAAAATATTAGTATCCGTTAAATACATTTGCATTTCTGTATCTAATAATACTTTATGGTATTATTTATAGATCCAGATTAACCCCCTAAAAAATTGTAGAGACTTCCCATGGACCAGTTCGATGCAACAGTTTCACGTTACATATCTGCTTACAGCTGGTATGAGATATCGAAAGAATCGGTTACTACCAGCCGCTATATGGTTTTAAAGGTTTTTAATATTTCCTTAATAACTTTTAAAACAAATGGCAAATATAAGAAATTTGAAATATTAAAAAATATTACGATTAGCAGAAATATCTTTAAAATGACTCAAAAAAAGGTAAAAACAATAAGTAATTAATTATTAAAATTCTTTTTATCCATGTAAATAAAGTCTTCCTCAATTTTTTTAATGCTCGTTACTTTCCCTCTTTCAGTAAAAATCACACAGTAAAGTGTTGGAAAACGCTGCTGGCCAAATCACAGGGAACCGCTGACATACATAGTTCCCGGCCAAGGCCTTAAGCTCAGGTACATCTTAAGCCATTAAAATGGGAATAAACAATCCTAAAATATCAAAAATATAAAAAACTATCTTATTTTCGATATTCAAGCTAAATTTACATGTCGATATAGCCATATCAATTTTGTGCAAAAAATATCGATATTTTGATACATTATCACAACCATATGATTCCAAAAATGTTACCTAAACACGAGCACGTCAAATAATATCTAAATATTTAACCGGTGTACTAATCGATGAGATTAGCTTGATTAAATTGCATTCGGCATAGATTAGCGGCGCCGTGGGAGAGGTCTTTCCACTGCATAACCAGCAGAAGCATACCTAAATAAAGCCCGGTAATACCACATTGTCCTTGCAAAAATGATGCGAAACTTCGGGATGTTATCAATTAGAAGGAGCAGCTGGCTGGCCCACTCGTGCTCCACAGAGCGGGTGTTGTCTTCCGCCATGCGACTGTCATTGCCCCCAACAGCTACCTGCCACGATAGATTACTTAACGGAGCGCGAATCGACAACATTCAACCTAGTCGGTGTCTCCACGAGAGCGCCAGCACACAACCGGAGCCCAGCAGCGATAAAGAAACCGGGAGGAAACCAGAAGATCTGGACCGTGCCTACGAGGTGCTTAGAACAACGCTGCCCAAGCTGTTCGTGGAGCCGCTGGACTATTCCATCTACAGTCCAGGCCTCGTGTTTCAGAACAACATTACTGGCAAACACACCGTAGGTCTTTACCACTACGTCAAACAAATTGCCATACTGCGAACGGTTGGCCATTTAAAGTACGCCTACGTCAAGTTTGAAGTCCTGAAGATCACAAAACATCCCGAAGACTATACGGTACGCGTCCGATGGCGGGTGAGAGGTATATCTGGCCTGAAAGTCATGTTTCAATTCTGGAAGTTCAAGCTGTGGCAGTTGAAGGAGATACTTAAGGACCAGGAAGCCTGGTATGATGGATATTCGGTACTCTACCTGGGTGATGATGGGCTCATTATCAAGCACGTTGTTGATAAGGTAATGCCGGATGAAAGCCGGGAGTCTATTGAGAACCCTTCTTCGACGTCGCTACCAACCGGATCCCTGGCGGCGACAACTTCCCAGAAGATAAACTGACATTGAAATTGTAGCTAGCTTTAAATGTTACTTATTTATTGTATTACTAAACGTAATAAACAGCAACTGTGAAATTGTTTAGTAACCGCACAACAAAATTCTGTTTAAAAACATCACTGTTTGAAGGCATACACCGAACCCTTCTTAATGTACCTATATGGACGCGCTCGATTCCGCTTTGCAAAAGCACTAATGTATGGTTTTTCCTTGTTATATTCGATTGTGCTTTGCATGGAGCCTTCAGTCTCTAGAAATATGTCGAAGCTGTATATGGTGCGGTAGAGTTGGGCATACAGAATGCGCTCGTTGTCCTCTAGTTGTTTTGGCTGTAGGGAGTTGGTCCAGAACTCCATCATCTAAAGAATAGTAGGTTCAAACAAATGGCTTTTATACTAATCTGAGTTTGCAATACTTTACCTTGATGGCGGAGTTGTTTTGCGATGTATGACATCCGTTCCAATGGACATTTAAAATCCAAAGAGGTATTTCCCTGGGGTAATTGCTTGGGATTCTAATGAAACACTCCATTTTTGCAGCTCCTCGAACAATTACAGCCCTGTATATACTGTAAGTGATTTCATTGTCGTCTGACGAAATCTTGAACACATCAGAGTTTTGCGCATGAAATTCCTCCAATGTGATTGCCGTCCATTGGACAAGACTGCACGACAAGCCGGCAGGGTAAATGTTCTCCTTCAAAGTGGCTAGATCGACATCCTTGTACGTCAAACCTCGAATCTGCTGACTTAGCTTCAACCAAGTGTTCCAACGCCTGGAGATTCGGGTTATTATTTCCTGTGTGTTTTTGTTCAAATTCAGCTCGTGGTTGTACAGCATAGAACTATTGACTGTTGGAATAGCGCACATTCCTTGCAACCAACAATAAGGTTTTCCAAAGTTTTTGGCCTTTAAATGCGCCAGACATTCATCAGCAGATATATTAAAATTCTGTAGCTATTGGAAAAAGACGATATTTATTTGAGGTTGCATTTTTCTTCTGAAATTTATACCTCATACTGGATGCCTGGAATGGGTATTTCGATGCCCAAGTCGTTCGGGTATAAGTGCCTCAGAATGTTGTGCACAAAGTTTGTATCACCGCTAAAATACGATACGATTTTATTCATTTATTCTCCATATACACTTATTTATTACCTACCCATTGTTACTAGCAAAGTTCATTTGAGCCCACACAGCAGTGCACTTGAGAAGCTCAAAATAACGAATCTGCAAAATTAATTGATAGGCGCCAGCATTTCCAATCTGGAGAAAAGAGCAGACAGATTATAATCGATTACCCCAAAAAGTGCTACAGTCTACTTACTGTAATTCGAATATGCAATGGGTGAGGAACCAATGCCTTCTCCAAGGGACTTTCAGGTTGCCCATATTTCTCATCTTCTACTTTCAACGACTGCAAAGAATCATGGTGCTTTTCATTCAACAAATCCTGCATTTGCACTTCACTTTCATATCCCACTACTTCGGAGGTAAACGTGTGATCGTCGCAGATGCGTTGAATCGATTGCAGGTTGATGAACAGGATGTAAAGGGGTTTCGGCAGGTACTTGACCACAGCACTCAACTTCCACTCCACGTCTAGGGATAGTTGCAAGGCGTCGTGCAACGGCTGAGTGGCACCCATTAATGTGCGCAAGGCAGGTGCAAAAGAAACGTATCGCTGTGTTTGACTCAGACTATCTTGCAACAACTCCTGTTTCGAGTTAAGCAGAGTGCTGTACTGTTTGTCGAGATCCTTTCTTAGTCGAAGTTCGCACTCCAACCGGTGCAGATGCTTCTTGTGGCTAGACAACTCATCTTTAGAGTCGGATGGGGTGGAAAGCTTATCCGCGTACTCTTCCTCCGTGAGTAGTTCTAGCTGGGTGTCGCGACTTTTGAATTTCTGGCAACGGATGATCTCTTTCTTCAGGTGGCTCACTTCATATAGCAGATTTTGCAACTGCAGTCGGCTAAGGTCAACCTTGTTCTTTTCCAGGTGTAGATTATCCCGTCCAGCCTTGATCTTTTGCTTCACCTCCCGATTTGCGTGCTTCAGAGCCACAAACATCAAAGTGACCGATGTGCGGGCTTCGTCTGTGGACTGCCCCTGTGAACATTAACGCGAATATGAACAATACAATATGATTTTCGACTCTTCATTAACATGTACCTTGGTCTTCAATTCCATAACGCCATCGATCGCCTTTTGCAACTGATCCAACTGTTTATTTAATACATCTTCCATTTCTTTAGTGAATTGTTAGTAAAAAGCCGCAACAAAAATTGTTTTGTCAAAAGGAAGCGCAGTGTTACCAGTCGGGATGTAGGCCCAATTCGATGATTTTCTATGTTTTTCAAGTGGTATTACTAGGCTAAAACGGCCACATTGCTAGCGGCTTTGTAATTTGTAAATAAATGAATATCCGAAAATACCTTTAATATTTATTATAGCCATAATAGTAATAATACACAATGTTGCGCCTGCTACAGAAGAGAACAAGTCTTATTAAGCTGCTGGTTCAGGGTCCCCGGTTTCACCAAACCATTGCGCAAACAGCGATAAAGGTGAGCACTTGAAGGGTTATATATTATGACCGCATGAAAAACTTTCGAGAAGAAATAAATTAAGAACTACGTTGGTCTAACCCTTCTAAGTTATTAAATATAATAAGTTCATTCAATAAGAAACTAAATCTTGTAGGAAATACCCGCGATAAAACCCATAAGTATTTCAAAGAGCGATAAGATCGTGGGACGATGGTTCCTTGGAGTCAGTGGCATGGTGTTCGTTGCAGTTGGTCTTGGTAATTCCATCCGACACATCCGTGGTCCTTTTTCTAAAGATTATCCTTCAATACAGGGGGTGTGACCAGATTAACCGAGTCAGGCCTTTCCATGGTTACCTGGAAACTGACGGGCGAACGAATGCCAAGGACCCAGGAGGAATGGATACAAGAGTTCTCCAACTACCAGCAGTACCCCGAATATAGGCTGTAGGTATTCCTAAATTACAATCCTACTGATAAACTAACTTCCCTTTCATTTAGGAAAAACGTAAACATGACTGTTGAAGAGTTCAAGTTCATATTCATGATGGAATATATGCATAGAATGTGGGGTCGTGCCATTGGCGGATTCTTCCTTTTGCCAGCTGTATACTTTTGGAAAAAGGGTTACTTCTGCGCTAAGACCAAGAAGACTGTGCTTTTATTAGGAACTCTGATTGGTCTCCAAGGCCTGATGGGGTGGTACATGGTCAAATCTGGGCTGGAGGACAGGTTCCAGGATCCCAACGATGTCCCACGGGTCTCACAGTATCGACTGGCCTCTCACTTGGCCGCAGCTTTTGTCCTCTACGCCTTTTCGCTGTCGAAGGCAATGTCCATGCTTATCCCCACAAACACATTCGTGATCCAAGCCAAAAATGCATTTAACATCAAGGGCTTGTCGCACATGACGAAAGCCATGGTCCTGCTGACAGCCATTTCCGGTGCCTTTGTGGCTGGACTGGACGCCGGTTTAGTGTACAATTCCTTCCCAAAGATGGGCGACAAATGGATTCCCGATGACATGTGGCAGTTCAAGCCGTTGCAGAAAAACATAACTGAGAATCCAACGACAGTGCAGTTCAATCATCGCATACTGGGAATCAGCACAGTGACTCTAACCACAGCCCTATGGCTGGTCACCCGCAGAATGAAGCTTCCAAAGCGCGCAAATTGGGCCATCAATGCAGTGGTGGCCATGGCCTGGACACAAGCCACTCTAGGAGTGACCACGCTACTGAACTACGTGCCTGTGCCTTTGGCGACGGCCCATCAGTCTGGATCGCTAATCCTTTTAAGTTTCGCCCTCTGGTTATCACATGAAGTGCGATTGTTGAAGTACCTGCCGAAGTAAACTGGCCAATAAAGATATAATTGTTGACAATGAATAATTACTCGTTTTGGAAACAGAGTTTATTTAAATCTAAATGCTGTGCCTTGTTAATAACAACGATTCAAGCAAAATTAATAGCAACAATCATTTATTCACTCTTATTCAATATTCATTTTCACACTGGCTTTATCCTCATTCAATTGGTTGTACTCAACATTTTTCGCGTTGAGGCAGGAACCAACCGCTTTAACGCCTTCGGAGGGCTGGATGCTGGCGGCGTTTGAATTGGAGACGTGCTTGTATACCGCCAGTGCCTGCGCAACGAAACTATTAACATCTCCAGGATTTGAGGGCAATATCATCGTGTTATTCGTCTTAGCCAGATTCTTAAACGCGCTAATATACTGCTCGGCCAATGTCAGGGAAGCAGCATTTTGTCCATCCTAAAAATATAATGATAAAATCAATGATAAATAATAACTAAATAAAATAAAAACTAATTTTTTTTAAATATATATTATTTTAAACATCAACTTTAATTAAAAAATATAAATTTTTGATGATGGTTATGCCAGAATTTTTGTCCCCCTTATCGGATATTCCGGTTCAAGCTTAGCACTGAAGTTGGCATCTTGGGCGCTTGTCGTTTTGTAAAAACACTCCAAAAGCGTAGTGTTTCGTCGGCACCGCCGGTGACTATCGTCTCATTATCTGGGCTTACAGCCAGATAAACAACACGATGGGTATGACCAGAAAGCTTGACGATTTTTTTAAGCGAGGGATACCGCCAAACGATAACTTGAGGCTGGGCGTAGCCATGGGTGGTTACCAGCTCTGCAGAGTTACGGGCCCAAGCTAGATTGCTTATCTGGGCTCCAGTGTCGATTCTCTGCACCAGCTGACCGGTGAGCACGTTCCAAAAGCGCAGACATCGATCAGCAGATCCTCCGCCACTGGCCAGTAGCCCGGTTTTGTGAGGCGACCAAGCCAGAGCCTTTACTACTGCCTTATGTTCGCTGAATGTGTAAAGGGGCTCGGCTCCATGGGCCGTCCAAATCAGCAATCGTTTGTCGTTACCCCCACTAGCCAAATACTGCCAAGTGGGTGACCATTGCAGGCCGCAAACCTCGTGCTTATGTCCACAGAGGCGACGCACAATGTCCGAAGAGGGTAAACGAACGTCCCGATGCAGAATGGTGCGATCGCGAGATCCGCTTGATAGAGCGTTTCCACACCACGCCAACGCTGTAACTCTGGCTCCGTGTCCCTCCAGTTTTGTGTATTCTTTCTGACGTTGCGCGTCCCAGATGGTAACATAGCCACCGAGAGTTCCAATAGCCACTTGACGGCCGCCGCCATGCCACCTGACAGCCGTCACCAAGTTATCTTCGTTACTAAAGTCGCAAAGGCGGGTCACATGTCCATTTTGACCGTTCCAGAGGTAAACCGAGTAACCCAAACCCACAGCCAGCATGTTCTCAGAGGACCAGTCAATAAGGTTCAAATAGAAGTCATCCTGCAACTCGGGTGCGTCGAGTATTTTGTACGGTAATCGCGACAACTTGCGAATAGGTCTCTTAGAAATGCTGAGCAGTCGCTGGCTGGCTCCGCTAACATTCTGGAAAGGAGACCTCAAAGCAGGTAACGTAGGCGAATTCTTTTCCATGAATTTGTAGAGTCGGGTGCTTTCACGCTCTTTGAAATCGCCATTGTCTGATCGAACCTTTTTGCTCTTCCTGCACTGGTCAAGGGAGGTCACCTCCGTGTCAAGGAACTCGTTTCTTAGCATGCAGGCATAGGGTGTGCTGTTGGGCAACTCACTGGAATTATTGGATTCGTCTGTGACCTCGGGCTCAGCTGCCTTTAATTCTTCAGAGAGAAAATAGTTTCGATCCCATTGATTGCCCGCCCGCATGGGAATGCAGCGAAGGTCGAACTCTTCTCTGCCCGCGATGTTGTCGGTGTATCGAAGAAGCAATCGCTTCTGATACTCCGTTTGAAACATTCTCAAAGTTTGTGTATTTTTTCGAGCGTGTAACCTGTTTTGGGAAAGTGTTTGGTGCTGTCAAGTGTTTTAAACTAACAAAGAATTTATCTTTCGAATCTGTCCACAAATGTTACTTAAAAGGCATATATCTGAAAGCTAGGGAATTTTAAAACTCGAGCCACTTACCAAATTAGACAGTGACTTGGCTATGGCCAACAGGCTTCGAGCCCTGGCATCCGCAACGGCTATAATGGCAGCCGCTTCACCACTGGCCTTGTTTATATGCTCCTGTCGCTCAGCCTCTGAAGAAAAATGGCATTAATACTCATCGATTTGGAAATAAATTGTGTTACAAACCAGAGGCTAGGATTCTGGACTTCCGTTTGCCCTCGGCAATATTAATTTCGGCCTCACGAACTCCCTCTGATTCCAGAATCGCCGCCCTTTTCCTCCTCTCTGCCTCAACCTGCATTTGCATCGCTTCATGGACTCGGGTTGGCAGCTGTAATTTTTCGAATTAAAAAAAACTATGCGAAAGGAGATGCTTAAGATCATACTCACACGTATATCTCGGATTTCATAACGCAAGCAGGCGATACCCCATGCTTCACTCGCCTTATTGATCGAGTCGACAATGCTGACATTAAGGGATTCTCGCTCGCGGAAGACCTTGTCCAGAGACATCTTGCCCAGCTCAGATCGCATCGTGGTTTGGGCCAACTGTGTTATTGCAAACTCAGGGTCCTCCACTCCGTAAGAAGCTTAATGGTGATATAATCGGCAATTAGTATCGGTCCAGATGTCAATCGTGGCGACCTACCTCTGTATGGATCGATGATACGCAAGTATAGTACTCCGTCAATGCTGAGAGTGACATTGTCCGACGTAATAGCACTCTGCTTCGGAACATCAATAGCAATTTCCTTCAGGCTTTGCACGTATTTGATTTTGTCCGCAACAGGCACCAGTACGTTGAGGCCTGGCTCCAGTATCCTATGAAACCGTCCCATGCGCTCCACCACCCAGGCCTACTCAATAATAGGTTAGAAAACAACATTTAGATGTGCATCATGGACTCACCTCCTGTTGCGGTACAAACATAACACACATGTTTATGGGAGTTGAGGCCTTTCCTCGTCGAGAATGCTGAAAGGTCGAAATCCACGAACCGGCAAGCAAAAAATCGTGCTGTGTGGAAATATGCGTCGTGTGTAAGCTCTTGGGCGGGTTTAATGGACAAGTAAACAAACCTGCGGTATCAATCTCCTGGAGGACAATAGAAATCTTGACATTTCGCAATATGAGCGCTGATTTTATAAGAAATAAAAGTACTAAGAAGAAAACATTATGATAATTCCTAAACAGGGGGATTCGTGTTCGATAAATATCGATGGGCAGTTATTGGGGAATCTCGGAGGGGGCTTTTGAATGGCATCCTCTGTAATAGCATGTTCACACTGGCCATTTGTCTATTGGTGGCAAATATTCCATTACCTTAAGCTTTTTGAATCTATTATGATATGAAAATATATAATTTTAGTAACTATATGCAAAGGAATTTATGCATTACTCCCTTTTTAATAATTGTTAAACATTTAATTGTTTTTGAATATATTAAATCGTGCCTTTAAAGTGCGTTTATAACGGTAGCACAACAAATTTGAATATTTTTCATCTTTGCGCCAAAAAAAACATGTCAAATCCTATTACTTTTTATAGTATAAAATATTTTTTCCACAAAACTAAAACTTTCCATTCTTAGTTTATAGAGAATATTAGTTACATTGAGATAATATTCAATAAGCATCAATTTAAAATATAGTTAGTGAATAGTCGAAGTATAAACACCCTTCTCAAAATAATCTCAAACTCTTTAGAATAAAGTCCATGGAGTAGTGACTACTTCTTTAAAATTAAATTTTAAATAATACATTACTTTTCAGCCGGATGGTCAAAAGTGTCTCGTTTCTGTTAACTCAATTACCCATCCAAAGCCAAACCAAGCACAGAAAGAGAACTCCAACTGCAAATGAAAATTAAATCTAATAAATTTGAGCATATGGTTTCAATGCGCGTATGTTTGCTGAAATCTTGACACCACTCCGGCTCTGTTTGTTGGAGTATTTACCACAAATTATTAGAAATATGGTGCAAGTGACGCATTAAGAGCATAAAGGAAACCGCACAAACTAAGCTGTTAATAACGGGTGCGTTCTGTGGGTCTTTTAGCTGTCGTTAGTTATCTGCATCATATATTTTCCCACACCCTGTTTAATGCGGAGGACCCCAATGGGATATATAAACGACCCACGGCTGGCCGAATCGGCACAGTCTTCTCAAACATTCTGCCGAGTTTCGTTTCCCCAAGTGCTCAAAGCTCAAAGAATCGGAAAATATGAATCTATTTGTAGTTTTGGTGGTTGTTTCAATGTTTTCAAATCTTATTCAGGCAGCGCCAAGCGTGGTAAGCTATAAAATGAATTCGAAAAAGCGTTTTTGAAAGTGTCCAATGTGCGTTTATTTTAGGATATTTCCAACGATGAGTTAATGGATGGAAAATATTTATGCGAAGGTATTGAAAAGCAATTCAAAAACAGAGCTCCATGTTCTTTCTTTCGCTTTAAAATTTAATAATTTGCTTGTATATAATAATTATGAATTTCTTATTATTTCGACCAGATATTTCAGCTTTAAAACTATTTGGTAACGGAAACAACGACAAATATCGAACATCAGGATTTGTAAGCGACGACCTTTCACCTTCATCGCCATTTTTTAACGAGTTTTACAAACTTTTTTTAAGACACATGAATCAGTTTCTGTCAAAGAACCAAAATTTTGAATCCTTACAAGACAGGATAGCACGAACAGTTTCTAAACGCGGCTTAGACAGCATTGGTGGAGGACATTTAATAAAGAGGACTGATAGTAGCAAGCTATTAAGCGAGTAGAGTTTCTAAAACACCACTTACTTTGACCCTTTCGAAATCGTAGGACACATAATGATCTTTTAATGTAAATAACGCGCCTGGGATTTATTTTATATGTACATATAAAATGACATAATTGTTAATAAATTATTGCATTTGTAAAAGTATTTTCGGTTCCTTATTTTGACTCTTAAATTTTAGCACGCCACTGTTCCTCCCTGAACAGGATAATAATTGTAAATATATTATTTACGAATCAGTTTACAACATTTGAATAACTCACTTACTTACTGCCGAATAATTCCTTTCTTCTTCAAAAGCTGGCTCAAAAAAATATGAAGGACCATTTATTGTCAGGTGAGTTTTAAAACCATAAAACCAAAGCTAGTAACAAATACAAAGCAAATCACAGATGCACGTAAATATTCACTGTCTAACCTACTTATCAAATATTAAAGATTAAACTGCTGTTATCAGGTCTTATCCGAATGTTATCGAAAATGTACCGTATATAACTGTTTATATATATATATAAGTAAATGTTTAGATAACAAATATGTATGGGATACAAAGTGTTAAAAGCCTATATCACATACATATATGATAAAAGAAGAATTATTGAAAGATTTCTTAAAATGATTTTTTTAATCCTTTTATTAGATTAATTTCTGCTGCGAATGGACAAACCGTCGTCTGCTACGAGTGCAGTCAGTCGGATTACAAATCAAAGTTTAACATTAAACCGTGCGCGGATCGATTTATGCCTGGGAAGATCGTCAGCAACCATCACCGCGAGATAGTTCCATACCTCGTCCGCATGGATCCGATGTACAACAAGGACACCTGGAGCAGTAAGCTCAAGAGGAACTTTGATGAGATCGATAAGGCATCGGCCAGCTTCAGCATATTAAATCAGCTTGTCTAGTGACTCGTCGACTGAACAGTTGTAAATTCTCACGGACTCCGACTCCGACCGACTCACGGATATACTCTTCTTTAAATGCTTCATGTCAAGGGATTATAGATAATAAACAAAGTGCATCCTCATACCTATAACGAATAAAACGACTATGATTGTTATTAACATGTTTATTTATTATTCTTTAATGTTGAGTTTTGTGAAAGGTCATACCAGATCTAAATGCAGCGAATTTTTTTTTTAATCAAGGGACTATTTAAATACAAATTACATTTGATAATTATATTTAAAACAGTAAGTCATTAATATTTTTATTTACTTGCATTACGGCGATGGGGATAACCTATAACAATTCATATTGACGAAGGTGCATCCTTTGAATAATGTCTCTGCAATCATTAAACACCCGTTTAATGTTTTCTGTGTCAACGGCGCATGTGAAATGTGGATAGCAGTAGTGTTTACCGTCTCCGCTAGCGGTAGATATACGCTGAGCAATGATAAAGATTTAAAATTAAAATCAACCAAATAAATATTGCAATTGTATAAATTATCCTACCAGAAACTCGTCTCGTATAAAATATTTTGCTCGTATTACTTCTGGGTCGTCATTGGATTCCATTATTGCGTCACCTGTATCGACAGCACATTTTAAGATAAATAAAACATATTATCCATTAAATTTCTTAAGTTAATGAAGGCGTTTCAATATCAAGGTTGAACTTTCTTATTTTTCAACCAATTTTAAATAGATTTTTTTCAACATAAAAATAAGTTTATTTGAAGCATTATAATTTTCCAGAAGCCGATTCGTTTAAGTCGTCTTACTCAGGGTCTCGCCGATAAGGTTTTTGTTTATTTTTGGGCCAAAAAGATGCATTGAGTGAAAGCCATCACCTTGATTTTATTGGTTGCTTGATGATTTTTGAAGTTCTAATGCTATCTTACTTACTTGGCGTTTGGTATTTGTTAAACTCGGAGAAATATTCCGACAATTTACTTTTTCCAGCCTTAATTTTCTCTGCTAACAAATCTTGCTTATTTAAAAATAGTATAATAGAAATCGTGCGAAGCCATCTAAAATAAAATTAATAATATTTATATTATTATTGGATATTATTCTGAAAGTGCCTTATGCTTACCTGTTGTTCCAAATACTCTTGAACAAATCCAAAGATTCTCGAAGCCGATTTTGGGTGGGATCTTCACGCAAAACCATGTTATAACTTGAGCACGCAGTTACGAATATAATAGCAGTTACATCATTAAAACATTGAATCCATTTTCTACGCTCGTCCCGCTGTCCTCCGACATCAAACATGCTGCATAGAATTAAATTATTATTAAATGATTCAATTAGATTATCAAATAGCTATGAAATACTCACTGAAAGTTTACTTTGTCCACTTGAAATCTTGTTTCAAAAATACCAGAAGTCAAAACACGGCACCGAAGAATATCCTGCTCATTTGGGGTATAGTTTGGATTCTTGATTGTGCTTACTCGATCCAGGAAGCTTTAATGGGAGAGGTAAAGTGTATTCGTCAGAGTTTTGTGGAATAAAATAATCATAAAAGCTATTACAATTTAGAGCCAATAACTAAACGAACTCTACAGACAGGACAAAAGGACTAATTTGTTTCTAAACTGGCTTTATTACAATATATCTTTAGTTGGGGCTGCTTTGTCAAGCGATAAAATATTTAGAATTGGAAATCGTATACTTTCAAATCCAACGAATATTCTTAATCGTCAGTAATATGTGCAATAGCAAGAAAAACATATATTGAAACTATTAGAAAAATGTCACATCGTAGTTAACTTTCTGCTACCCACTACCCACATCAATTTTTGTTGCTTATAAATATTATATTAAAAACGTCTGCACTTACTATTTCGCACAATCAATTAATTGATACTCATTCGACCTTTCGTAGGTTTGAAGAACACCCTTGTCTTTCCATAGTTCTTCTGTATGTTCATAAAATTCAGGAGGATAATTAAAGTCCGGACCTGCATTAAAGAATTAATTAATTTAACATTTATATATCTCTTAAGGAATTTGATTTCTTACTAGATGCATAATCCTGAATATATTCCACTCTGGGTTCATTTTCTTTCTTTTCTAAAGCTACAGGTGGATTAAGTGTGCTCATGGCTCCTGTAATAGTCTGTAAGAAAACATATCAAAATTATTAAAATTATAGAAGATTCTCTAATTTGTTTATGAAACTCACCAAGATAGCGTCTCGAATATTCTTTTTAATATCATCAATTTTCTGTTTCTTCTCCGAGTCAGAAAATCCATCGACGTGCAATATTCGCATCTGCTTGACTATAGTTGATTTGCCGGACTCACCTGCCCCTAGGAGGAGCAGCCTGTGTGTGGCCCTATAGAGCTGTTTGTCCTTCTGCAACTGTCTAGATATTGCTTCGCTCCGGCGTTTCTGGCTCTTCGGGTCATCCGGGTTCACATCCGACTGCTTCGAGGTTGGAGACCCAAAGCAACCCATCGCAGCCCACGGGGTCCACCAACACGTCGCACGGTTTTCCTGGTTCGCGTCGGGTGACTCGGCACCCCTTGTGTTTTCTCCGTTCTGCTCCAGTATAGCTGAGTTCCCGAATCTACACACAATTTCCGTATGTACAATTCACGGCTCCAAAAACTCTCTCTCTCTTAGTAACTCCTCCGTAGGCTCAGCGATTCAACAGATCTGTTTTGAATGATAAAAATTGATTCCAGTTAGTGTTCATCAAATAAGAAGAACCTGTTGGGTCTTATCAGAATTTTTAAGGGAATTCTTAGTTATTATTTCACATGGCCTCTATCTAGAAAGCTTAAATGTTAAAAGTTATGATGGCTTAAGGAAATTCCAAAAATTCCAAAAGAGATACATTTTCTTCATGACTTTATTTTTGTTTACATAAATTCATGTGTATTCATAAGGATTTGCGGACATATGTACATCTATAGGTACATCAGCTGCACCAGAAGCACCCAGCCGCAGCACACCTATAACAGCTAATATAATAGACGCTTGTGCCAAGGCGACATTTCGTCCACTGCCCGCCCACGAATATTTAATGAGTCACAGAGTGTTCCGAAAAACCATGTTGGCTTTCATTATCGAGTGCAATCAACAATCAAAGCTAAAACCGAATTCGAAATCAAAAATTACTTCACGCAAACGCCCGTACACCCGTACACCCGTACAACCGTACAGCATTCTCGTATAGCGAGCGATTGGAATTCATCAGCAGAGCTCAGCTCAGCTCGGCTTAGCTCAGCGAGCGTAGTGTAGTGTAACAGGTGAAGAAGAGGGCGGAGAGGGTGGAATTTTCGCGCATACAAAGGTGCAGGTACTGGTACGCATGTATATAGGAGATACCAACATAATTTCATCTGCAGGCTCGTCAAAGCTGGAGCTACTGCTACTGCTACTGCTGCTGGTGCTGGTGCTGGTGTGTGGTTGTGTATACACAGCCCCCCAGCCAGAGGACAGTTTTTCGCGAAAAAAAAAATTTACATATATTTTGGGCGAGAATTTGATTAAACTTTTACTTAAATATGAATCGATTATATACACAAAAATGTATAGAGGCACGCGTAAAAGTATTTAATCTATTAATTATGGCTGTCTATCCAAAAGTTGGGGGAAGATACATATATGCATACAAACATACAAATATATATATATCTAACAGGTACATATATGTATGAATATATATATATATATTTGTACATATGCAGATTTTAATGTAAATCCATGTATATTATTTCATCGGGATCTAAGCCTGAACGTATATATTATAGATATGTGTACACACCGTTGTGTATCTATCGTATATACATACGTATGTATTCAGATATATATGCATATAAATATATATATACTGTTCTCAGTTTGCATGTGTGAATGGACGGGATGTACATAAATAAATGTATGTACATATATCAATACGTATACGCTCCGTTCCACCGAATATTTGCCATTTCTTTGACACTTTGGGCAACTATATTATACCACATCTGATAGTATTTTGAATATTCATGCGCGAACGATTTTTCACTGATTTCGGATTTCAGGTTTAAGGACGTCCGTCGGCCAATCGGACTTGAGTCCGCGAATTCATATTTGCGCGATTTTCGTCGTCAACCGTACATTTGCATGTACGCGAATTATTCCCTATGTTTGATTTGACAATGGTTATTGTTTACCGTGAATTACCGAACATTTTTATTCATGGGAGCAACTTCGGGTCGGGCTGACTAAAACTGTAGGTGCACGATTCTGACGGGCAGCAACTTTTTGGGGTGCAGAAAAAGCTAATTCGATCGCACTCGACACGGCATAGGCCGTTTTCCAATGGCCAAATATTCCTCGGCTGTGCGGTATTGCACTACTCGAATTTGTTACTTAAAAATTACTTTTCAACCAGTACTAACTCACTTTTTATATATTTTTTATTTTATGTATCAATTTTTTATAGATGTGTGTGTAGTAGCGAAAAACTATCGGTTGGGTATCCATTTCCAAAAAAAGGATCGATCTATCGATTACGAAATGCATTTTCCGACCATCTCTACCAGTATTTTAAAAAAGTCAAAACGTTTCATCTCTAGATACATTTTGTCGGTTAAATTGTATCTTTGTTTTTCTTTGCAAATGTCCCTCACAGATACTCAAACAATACCAGGGGCCTCTACTTTTCTAGATTAACAGATAACAAAACGATAACAGGGATACAAAGAAAATGATTTTTTTTATCGTATATCAAGAGTAAAAGAATCTTTTTTATCCCCCGAACCTAAAAAACTATCTAATACCATTCTAAAAGTTCAAATAACGAAAATGTAACTTTACGATAATATTTTACACGATCCCTGGCTTTAATCTATTCGGTAAAGATTTTTTTTACAGATGTAAATATTAATTAATATTTTCGAATTATTAATTTTCAAGGCGCCAAAACACTCGAGTGTAAATTACATTAATAAATTGTAAGTTTTATTCAAGTACAAAAAGTTTGTTTTAAAAAACAATCGTTATTTGTATCCTCCACCTATTGGGACACCGGGAAGCATCTATTCAATTGTTAAAGGACATTTTACTTAAGATAGGTCTTAATCAGGTTTTCCAGCTTAACAGTATCAACGGCAAACTTTCGGATACCCTCGGAAAGCTTGTCTGTGGCCATGGCATCTTCGTTGAGCAGCCAACGGAACTTGCTCTCGTCCACGGTAATCTTCTCAATGTCCTGCAGTTTGGCGTTGCTGACAGACAAGTATGTTACCACAGACTCAGTCTCGTTCTCCAGCTCCTTGAGTAGCGCGGGACTGATGGTCAGCAAGTCGCATCCGGCCAGGGCTTTGATTTCACCCACATTCCTGAACGATGCACCCATCACCAGAGTCTTGTAGCCGAACTTCTTGTAGTAGTTGTAGATATTCGTCACGGAGATTACACCAGGATCCTTCAGGGGCTCGAATTTCTTGTTCTCGGTGTTGGCCACATACCAGTCGAGGATTCTGCCTACGAAAGGCGAGATCAGGGTTACTCCGGCTTCGGCGCATGCCACGGCTTGTGCGAAGGAAAACAGCAGTGTCAAGTTGCAGTGGACTCCGTGCTCGTTCTCCAGAATCTCAGCCGCCTTGATGCCCTCCCAAGTAGATGCCAGCTTGATAAGAATACGCTCCTTGCCGATTCCCAGGGATTTGTACAGGTCAATGAGTTTGAGGGCCTTCGCCACGCTCTTCTTGGTGTCGAACGAAAGGCGAGCGTCGATTTCGGTGGAAACTCGGCCAGGCACAACCTTCAGAATTTCCGTTCCAAACAGCACACACAGGTAGTCCATGGCCTCAGAAACCTGGTCGCTCAGCGATCTGAAATCACAAGATTATCGATTAGTCAAAGTCTGTTGTATGTACATGTGGCTGTCCTTGCACTTACCCCTTGGTTTTCTTTGCATAGTCCACTGCCTTTTGGACCAAGGGCTGGTACCGCTCCATGGACGAGGCGGACAAGATAAGGGAAGGGTTTGTGGTGGCATCTGTAGGCTTGTATATGTTGATGGCTGCAATAAAACAATAACTTTATTTAAAATGCTCGAAAATTGCATTGAAAAAATTAGGAGAATGGAAAAAACCGGTCCCGGCCAACGATCGACTTTCATTTTTCAATCGCATGACCGAAAATAGCTTTGAACTTTCCGGTAGCTGATCAGGTTTTTTGCCCTCTCAAAACCTTATCAAAATGACATGCTGTTGCTGTAGCGGTCACATTTCTAACACACGTAAGCACATAAGGTCAAACTAAAGTCAGGCTGAAATTTACTTTTCACTTCTATTTGATCTTCACAAAAAACGAGATAAGAGCCACTCCTATCGGGATGGGCTCAACTACCTGTGGCTAATGTCTATCTTTCAATTGAATCCATGTGGAAACGATAAAATTATTTGGACTCTGCACGCAAAGGTAATGGTCCTCGGATCTCGGATCATATTCTAAAGAGTATATACACACACATACACTCTTTGAGACACCGATCCGGCTTTGCCAAGTTTACTTTTAATCTGAATCTGGGCACCCAAAATGTTTGCGTGTAACCGGATATTTACCTTCGAAGTCGCCGGTGTCAGCAACAATTGTGGTGACTTGCTTGAGTTCCTGTAAGACCGACATTTTCTGTTTTTTTATAGAGCGATCACTTCCCATAGGGTTTAACCTGCTGATAAAATGCCAATATATCGATATTATTTGGAACGAAATGATAAACTTGTATATAGATATCGAAAATACTATACTGGTCCGAATCCAACCTTTATTTTGAATATCCACACTTTAAGTGGCTTTGTGGTTTTGATGTTTAACCCAAGACCGCGCGTTTGACAATAACTGATACGACTTTAATTCATTGTATATATAAGCTCTCCAACTAAATTTCATTATTATTTTATTTTTTTCAGTGTTTCAGTTCGTTTCAAACATGTTACGTGTTGTGCAGTTCGGGCAGAACGAGAGATCCCACATTCTATCCTTCTCCCGCCCAACTTAAAAAGATAATGTGACCGCCCGAACCGCTCCGATTTGTCCCAAAAACACGAAGGTTTTTAATAAATGCATAATTCGAGGAACTATGGTTTTTAAAATAAAATTTCTTTTTTTATATTTCTTTCTCCGTTTTTACTAAACTGAGAGCTGATCTCTTAAACATTTACTTTTTGAAATGTTTTCCATCCCTACTAGTTATCGATATCTTCGATAGGCCTGCATTCAGATACAATACCTTTGTTTTTGTTTGTTATTCGCCACACGTGCTGCTGTTTTTCAAATCAAAATTTTGAAAATGAAGCAAAAACACTCCAAGAACCGGGCCAAGCCGTACAAAAAGCCCACGCCGGCACGTCGAAATGAAAAATTCTCAAAGAACTACAGCTTCATCCAGAGAAGCAAACAAATGGAGGAAATGCGACGACGGGAAAAGATTCCCGAGACTGCATCTAAGGAATACGAGCCCATTGCGGAACTTCTGCCAGATGTACAGGAAGATGTTAACGAGGCTGGATTCTATGAACAACTGGTCACTGGATATAATCAAGTACCCACAAGTGAGTAAACAATTTATTTATATCATTACGGCCTTATAATAAAAACCCCAACTATTACAGGTCACATTCTCAGCTCAACAGCAGAGGAACCCAATGTTTCTGCTCCAAAACAAATCAAACCTAAGAAGAAGAAATCTTCTGATCTAAAAAAGTTAAATTCGGACTTTGAAATATACAATTCGTTTTCTAAACGATTCGATTTGGAGTTGTCTACTGAAAATATTAATGATTTGGTTACAAAAAAGAATGTCAAATCGATTAAGAGTAATTGGCCTGCCTTGGGAAGTTTAAGATTTGAGATTCCACAATTATCTGACGGTACAAAAGATCCCGAGAGTAGTGAGCCTAAAGAAGTGGAAAACTCCGAGGATCTACAAAAGTTGGAGGTGAAAATGTCAATCTGTGGAAACGTTAAATTTCCGCTCTCCGCCCTGCAGTCCGAAATATTCAACATTGTGAATAACTACCAGGATTTGTATTATCCACACCGGACTCACAGCAATGCTGAGGAGATTAGATATGTTTATTGCCTCCATGCTCTGAATCATATGATGAAAGTAAGATCTTTGATATTGCGGAATAACGAGAAAGTTGCAGCTCTGGCAAAGTCCATGAAACTGTCACCCAACGAAATCTCCATACCAGAAAGTTTTAGAGATCAAGGACTAAAACGGATGAAAGTAGTTTTCATAGTTCCTTTTAGGGAATCTGCTCTAAAAATAGTAAACGTAATCGGTGACTTACTTTTTGGAAGTCAAGATGGTAGGTTGCCATGTAAATTAATGTAAATGCTGAGACTAATTCTATAATCTTTGAAATTTCAGACCAAGCCAGAAAGAATTCAATCTCAAACTATGATCGGTTTCTTGGCGATTACTCTGGAAACACGTTATATTTCCCAAAGACCAATCCAAAGCCGGTGGATTATGAGCAAACCTTCAGTGGCAATACCGATGACAACTTTAAACTGGGCATTCGCTTTACAAAAAAAACAATGTCCCTCTTCTCCGACATGAATTCTTCGGATATACTGATCGCATCCCCACTGGGTCTGAGAATGCTGGTAACGGATAAAGATAATGATTTCGACTTTCTGAACTCCATCGAACTGTTGATAATTGACCAAGCGGAACTGTTTTTGGCGCAGAATTGGGAGAATCTTCTTCATTCCCTGGATCATCTGCACTTGCAGCCTCAGAAATTGCCCGACACCAATTGTCAGCGAGTTCGAACCTGGTGCCTCAGCGGAGCATCAAGCTTTTACCGCCAGACTTTACTCTTTGCATCGCACGAACTTCCCGAATTTCGTGCAGTGCTCAACAGTAAATGCAGTAACTACCAGGGAAAAGTACGGGTCTCGAATCTGGTCGAGCACGGAGATATCCGCAATGTTCTAACACCGATTCAGCAAGTTTTTCGGAGAATTGCATGCTCCAATGTGGAATCGACCTTTGACGATCGGTTTCAATATTTTGTCAAGCATATTGTGCCCCAGTTCAGTAAACCAGGGTTCTCCCATTGCATGCTATACGTGCCCAGCTACTTTGACTATGTACGTATACGGAACCATTTTAAAGCAGAAATGATTAGCTTTGTACAGATAAATGAGTACACAAAGAAGGAAAAAATTTCCCGGGCGAGAGATATATTCTTCCACAGCGGAGCATCTGTTTTACTGTATTCGGAAAGAGCACACTTTTTCCGGCGCACTCGAATCAAGGGCATCCGGAATTTGATCATATATCAACCGCCAAACTTCCCGCACTTTTATTCGGAGATGATCAATTTAATGCTCGAATCCAATCAAAATCCACGGGATGGATTAGGGGATGCCATGTCCGTTAGTGTCCTTTACACAAAGTACGACCTTTTAAGCTTAAGTAATATAGTTGGAAGCGAGAATGCTGTAAAGTTAACCTCTGGGAAAAAAGATTCTTACCTTTTCTCGACAAAAAGCTAGATTGTTTTATAACCATAACATTACAATTGTGTATATATATTAAATATATGTTGAAAAATTGAAAAAAATCGTTTTTTAGTTGAATTTATTTTTAGCTGAAAATGCTTGTCTGACGTAAAGGTTTTAAAAGGAACTAGGTAGTTGATTGATCTAATATTAAGGGTGTGCAAACCGCCTCTATCCGGGCGAGCTTTCCATTTTCTTTATTACGCAACACAGAATATTGAAAACATGAATAATTAGACAATGGTTCTATAATTATAATTGTGTCTGCTGAGTCAATTACGACGAAGGTGTGTTTTATGGGACTTTTGATAAACGCGATCGATAAGAAAATAACTGATTTTTATTCGAAAAACAAAAATGATTATCATTTATTGAACAGTAGAACTAAAAGAACTGATAATACTTGATTTGAGTTAAATATTGGTAAAAATGATTAATAAATAAATTAAATCTTAAAAATATAAGTAATTTTTTTTAAATACATTAAGTTTAATAAACAAATTTTTTATGGTTATTTTAGCAAGGAAATAATTCTGGATTTTCCATTTTTAAATTATAGACATTTTTTGACTGCATTGTTGTTTATTAATCATTTTTATTATATAGGTAGCTTATAAAAGTTCTGGCAAAATATAGGCAAATGCATATTTATGGGTGCTCTATGAAAAGTCGTAATAGTTGCTGCACAAAACGGATATCAGACGGAAAAAACGTGTGGGGAAAGAGATCTCTTGCCAACTTTTTGAGAGATCATAGAGGCATTACAAGACTATTTTTATGCGGCTAAACGACGGCTGCCAGTCTCTGCTGAAATTGGGGAAAAAACTGAAAAGGCAAAGATCGAACCAAACCAAATGCTAAACCGAATCAGCTATACACTTTCCATCCAACTAAATAGTTTGAATTTAAAACAAGGATCTAAAGGTTTTAAAATGATTTGTTTAAATTATTGTTTTAGTTTTTATTGAGATAATTGTAATTGAGAGATAATTAATTGAACCTCAACCTATAACAGGTCTTAATTAATTTTTTTTATTATAAATAAATATATTTTTATTGACCAGGCTTATGGTGTGTCTACCATCCTTCGATGGGATCGATTTAAAAATACCGATTTCTAAATATTAGACAAACACACGTGCATTTTCCGAAATACGTTTACACTCACCATCTTAAATAATCTCCCCACATTGCTCGGGACGTTAGACATTTTCGTATCTGTGCGCTCACGTTGATACATATTAGTACGCTTGTATGTATCCACCTATGTGGATATATCTCTGAGGCGCACAATATATTTTCCTTCGGCGGAGATACGAAGAACACGAGCACCAGAACCGCCAACAATCGGATCGGATAGGTGGTAAGTGCTCAAAAGTTTGTGCGTGCTAAAAGTATTTTCCCGGGCCAAAATAGAGAGTGTATGTAGTTTTGGGAATTTTGCCAAAATATATGAATTTTGTAATTCAAATAGACACTCTCAACGAGCAGCGTTCTCCTTGCGTTCAGTTGCCGTTGATCGTTATAATAGCGCGATCTTTGTGTTAGCTCTTGGTCTTCCGACTAAAATAAATTTATTATATAATAACGGAATTTTAACTAGGAATAATAATTGTAAGTTTTGTTGATTTTCTGCAACAATTCCAAAGCAAAAACGCAGTGATTTACTCCAAAATTTCATTAAAAACCAATTCAAGCCAAAAAGATATTCCCTCAATGTAAAAAAATTGAATCGCGCGCTAAAAAAGAAAATGTTAAACCTGGAAAACTAAAGAAGTTATACAAAATACCTACATCTACATAATATGTACATGCTTACACTCGAAATACCGTGTTTCAAAGTGTTATCCCCATTAAGTCCACCCAGTTGACACCTCACGCCTACAGATATACTCCGCTTACTTATCGGAATATCCGTAAGAGGGGGTACCGAGGGTACCGAGTGAAGAAACCTCGACCTCCGGAGTCGATTTGAAAATTTTGAATGTCACCAATACGAATGCATACCACGAATAGATTCGAGTCCGATCCGTACACAGATGTAAAGTTTACCCGCCAGTGTCCTACATGGCCGAGCAAAAGTCTTTGTATCTGTGATCGAAAATCCGATTATGCAACCGCCAGCCTCATCGTGCATAATAACGGGAAATATACTGATCTACGAATGCATGCATTTAATATATTCACCCAGAAAAAGAATATATCATTCGCACACACCTCAAACATTCATACCTGCATCTATTTTGTGAATATTTTATTCAGTGAAGTTTTAAACTCCATTTCAAAAACTACCCCAAAAAACCATTAATAATTTTGTGATGAAAACATAATTCCATAGCCGTGACCCTTGTGAACTTCCCAAGAAGCACCAAGTATCATAAATCATTACCAATTTTCATATTGTAGCAAATGGTCCAAGAGTTATACAATTCATCTGCGGATCGGTCCCACCAAGTGTCAATCGGAATTATTATATCTTTCATGGGAAACATCTCATAGAAATTTCAACATCCATTAGAATGCAGATATGTATGCTTGAAATATCACCATGAGCCGTGAAAACATACATATAGTTTATCTCAATATTTCTCCCTACGACCGTCCATCTCACTGTATTTGTGTATATTCATACTTATTTATGTGTTCCTAGTATATATTTTTATACGTACGAGTGTTCAAAAATTGAGCTTGTATTTTTTTGGGTGCTAGGACTCTATTTATAGACCATCTCGGTCGAAGCAATTTTTTTTTTTTGCTCCATAATGCACACGTATAGACCTATACATGAGTATATTATAAATATATAGACTATATAGTGCCTATATATATGAGTATTTGACTAGTGCCCATGTATTTTTTAAAGCACATTTCCCAACTTTGTCATTTTGAAAAATTTATGAATTTTTGAAGCCGTATATTTTTGAAATGGCGTTATCAGGAGTTATGTTCGAGTAATTATTTTTCCCTGGCCAACATTTACATATATGTATAAGCAAGTTGGCAGACTTTCAGCGACGACTCGTCCCAAAAAATCTAAATTAAAATTTAAAAATGTCTCCGCTAGAAAATACCTGGCACCAGATCTATTTATTGTGGGCTCTTGATCTCATTTAATGTGAGCGTAAATTGCGCGAAAGAATACAGTTGCCTCTTTTGCCCGCTGGATGAGAATATGAAAAATAGATATTTTTATACCTCACAGAGCTGGTGATAAATGATAAATTAAAAAAGAAAATGGTTTCTTGTATAAAACTATGAAAAGAAGCAAAGTTATTTGGCAATTATTTGTTTAGAAAGTTTTATGGTATGGTTACCCTTATCATGCATTAATAACCGGGGTAATAGCTTTTTATGATAGTGAAGTTAATGATAAAAAGATTAGCTGCAAAGCACATGTTAAATTCCTTATCATTGATATATGCTTAAAAACCCGGAAAGGCTTATTGGTTTATCGATATTATCATGTATTGTCTGCTTAAAAAATTACGTAAACTTTTGGCGTCACTGAAATTTTGTTATCTCACTATCAGCGAAAGTGCAAACTTTCACCGGTAGACCGGTACTTTTTTTAAAAAACCCAAGTTAGAAAATGGCCAAAGTAGTGATGCCGACTGGCAGCTGGTTATCGATAATTTAGTATTGCGAACCGCTGGATAAAATACTTAAAAAGAAACGTTTTACCCAGCTCTTCTCAAAGCGGACAAATAATAATGTACAAACTTTGAAAGTTTGTTAAACTTAATATATGTATTGGTAATTGGGTCTAAACAAGGTTATAGAGATGCTGATTGGCAGAATGACTTTCGATATTGTGACTTTAGTGTAGGAAAATACCTTTAGCAGAGAATCATGTCCAGTGCTTGAAAGCAAGAAAAGGTGGAAAAAGTACTTAACACGCAGCGGCTCGAGACCTGGTGCAATAGTTATCAGCACACACATATTTGGAAAAAGCGCCATGGGATATATTATATAGAAGAGCAGTTGAAACAGTACTTAACACGCAGTGCGTTCGCAGTTTTATTTGGTTTGCAACAGACGCATTTTAACGGAAAGATAGTAAATCAATTGCGTTCTGGCGGACTCGCAAAGTGCAAAGTGACACGTACACGTGTGCGAATCTCATAAGCGGAGGAGATTAGGCCAGTCGGGCGCCCAGGGTAATGCGATTATTCCAGAATATTCCCCAGGGACAGTAGTGGTTTTATAACTACGTCAGTTGGCCGCGTTTATAGTGGCCAAAAGTGCCTGCAAAATTAGCATAGTGCCCCTGTGTATGTGGGTATGCTGAAAAAAAAAATTGAAAATGAAAAGTACCCGTGTGCACATGCACATGTACATACATACATTCTACCTAATGAGGTAGTTTTAACTGCAAACACACTTGCCTTCATGCATACACACATCCACAGAACACAACAAAAAGCATTTGTGTATGCATTTGCTATTCCAGTCAGTCAGCCAGTCAGCCATCCAGACAGGCAGACAACTAGAATCAGCCCATTATCACAAAATTAAAATGTGTGCTCTGCTTTGGCTCTACTTTCATATTCTCGAATGGATCCCCATCCTATATTTGCATTGGGAACAAAGGCTACTGAACGAAGAGGATAACGATTCAAAATGGAAGACGGTCACTCGAAAACCGTCGAACAGGCTCTCAACTTTTTCGGCACAGACGCCGAGCGCGGTCTCACCCTCGATCAGATCAAAGCTAACCAGAAAAAATATGGACCGAACGGTGAGTGGTCGTTATAATAGTTATGGTGGTGGTGTGAGCCCTCTACGAACCTCTACGACTGACGTGTTTGTTTTCTTATCGTTACAGAGTTGCCGACTGAGGAAGGTGCGAAGTGAAATCGCCGGCCTGGCCTTCGAAATTGTTTACTAATCGAGTTTGTTTTTGTGTTCCACAGGAAAGAGCATCTGGCAGTTGGTCTTGGAGCAGTTCGACGATCTTCTGGTGAAGATTCTGCTTTTGGCAGCCATCATTTCATTTGTAAGTCATAATCCCCATGCGGATGCAAGCCACAGGCATCCGAATTTGGGGGGTTTAAGTGCCTGGCACTCGAATACCTACCCTCCATTTCAATCCATTTTTTGTTTCTTGATTCTCTCCCCCTAAAAGGTTCTCGCGCTTTTTGAGGAACACGAAGACACGTTCACTGCATTTGTAGAGCCCCTAGTTATTCTGCTTATTCTGATAGCCAACGCCGTTGTGGGAGTATGGCAGGAAAGGAACGCCGAGTCCGCCATCGAGGCTCTCAAGGAGTACGAGCCAGAGATGGGCAAGGTGGTGCGTCAGGACAAGTCCGGTATCCAGAAGGTCCGCGCGAAAGAGATTGTGCCCGGCGACCTCGTTGAGGTTTCTGTCGGTGACAAGATCCCCGCCGATATCCGTATCACACACATCTACTCCACAACCCTTAGGATCGATCAGTCCATCCTTACTGGTGAGTCTGTTTCGGTCATCAAGCACACCGATGCCATCCCCGACCCCCGCGCCGTCAACCAGGACAAGAAGAACATCCTCTTCTCCGGTACCAACGTTGCTGCTGGCAAGGCCCGCGGCGTCGTCATCGGCACTGGCCTGAGCACCGCCATTGGCAAGATCCGTACTGAAATGTCCGAGACTGAGGAGATCAAGACCCCCCTGCAGCAGAAGCTGGATGAGTTCGGAGAGCAGCTGTCCAAGGTCATCTCCATCATTTGCGTTGCCGTTTGGGCCATCAACATTGGCCACTTCAACGACCCTGCCCACGGTGGCTCCTGGATCAAGGGCGCCATCTACTACTTCAAGATCGCTGTCGCTCTGGCCGTGGCTGCCATCCCCGAGGGTCTGCCCGCTGTCATCACCACTTGTCTGGCCCTGGGAACCCGCCGTATGGCCAAGAAGAACGCCATTGTGCGCTCCCTGCCCTCCGTCGAGACCCTGGGTTGCACCTCCGTCATCTGCTCTGATAAGACCGGTACTCTGACCACCAACCAGATGTCCGTGTCCCGCATGTTCATCTTCGACAAGGTTGAGGGTAACGACAGCAGCTTCCTGGAATTCGAACTGACTGGTTCCACCTACGAGCCAATTGGTGAGGTTTTCTTGGGCGGACAGCGCGTTAAGGCCGCCGACTACGATGCCCTGCAGGAACTGTCCACCATCTGCATCATGTGCAACGACTCTGCCATTGATTACAATGAATTCAAGCAGGCCTTCGAGAAGGTCGGTGAGGCTACTGAGACCGCTCTGATCGTTCTGGCTGAGAAGTTGAACAGCTTCAGCGTAAACAAGTCTGGTCTGGACCGCCGTTCGGCTGCCATTGCTTGCCGCGGTGAGATTGAAACCAAGTGGAAGAAGGAATTCACCCTGGAGTTCTCTCGCGATCGTAAATCCATGTCCTCGTACTGCACCCCCCTGAAGGCCTCCCGTCTGGGCACTGGCCCCAAGCTTTTCGTCAAGGGCGCCCCCGAGGGTGTCTTGGAGCGTTGCACACACGCCCGTGTTGGCACCACCAAGGTCCCACTTACCTCTGCCCTGAAGAGCAAGATCCTGGCCCTGACTGGTCAGTATGGTACTGGTCGCGACACCCTTCGTTGCTTGGCTCTGGCTGTTGCCGATAGCCCAATGAAGCCCGATGAAATGGACCTTGGCGACTCCACCAAATTCTACCAGTATGAAGTCAACCTCACTTTCGTGGGAGTCGTCGGCATGTTGGATCCCCCCCGTAAAGAAGTCTTTGATTCCATTGTGCGCTGCCGTGCCGCTGGTATCCGTGTCATTGTGATCACTGGTGACAACAAGGCTACTGCCGAAGCTATCTGCCGCAGAATCGGTGTGTTCACCGAAGATGAAGACACCTCTGGCAAGTCGTACTCTGGACGCGAATTCGATGATCTGTCCCCCGCCGAACAGAAGGCCGCCGTCGCCCGCTCTCGCCTCTTCTCCCGTGTGGAGCCCCAGCACAAGTCCAAGATCGTTGAGTTCCTGCAGGGCATGAACGAGATCTCCGCTATGACTGGTGATGGTGTGAATGACGCCCCTGCCCTGAAGAAGGCTGAAATTGGTATTGCCATGGGTTCTGGTACCGCTGTGGCCAAGTCTGCCGCCGAGATGGTGTTGGCTGACGATAACTTCTCCTCCATTGTGTCCGCCGTTGAAGAAGGTCGCGCTATTTACAACAACATGAAGCAGTTCATCCGCTACCTCATCTCCTCCAACATTGGTGAGGTCGTGTCCATTTTCCTGACTGCCGCCCTGGGTCTGCCCGAGGCTCTGATCCCAGTGCAGCTGCTCTGGGTTAACTTGGTAAGTGATTAGTTTGTTAGCATAGTTTGGAGTGTTTTATAATTTTTATTTCTTTTCTTTAAGGTTACTGATGGTCTCCCAGCCACTGCCCTGGGCTTCAACCCCCCTGATCTGGATATCATGGAGAAGCCCCCCAGGAAGGCCGATGAGGGTCTTATTTCCGGATGGTTGTTCTTCCGGTGAGTCATAAACATATCTTTGTCTTAATGATGGGAAATGACAGAATGGTGGTCTCTTAATTGAATTTAGTTACATGGCTATTGGCTTCTATGTCGGCGCTGCCACTGTTGGTGCTGCCGCCTGGTGGTTCCTGTTCTCGGCCGAGGGCCCCAACCTATCCTACTGGCAGCTGACCCACCATCTGGCCTGCCTGGGCGGTGGTGACGAGTTCAAGGGCGTTGACTGCAAGATCTTCAGCGACCCCCATGCGATGACCATGGCTCTGTCCGTGCTGGTGACAATCGAAATGTTGAACGCAATGAACAGGTAATTTTTGAAATCCAAGCATTGCGCATTAATGTGTCACTAACAAAGCTCCTTTGTTTGATAGCTTGTCTGAGAATCAGTCGCTGATTACCATGCCCCCATGGTGCAACCTGTGGCTGATTGGATCGATGGCACTCTCCTTCACTCTTCACTTTGTTATTCTTTACGTCGATGTCCTCTCCGTAAGTACCCTCGGCGATAATTTACGATTAAGAAGATAATCTAATGTTTTATTTATTACCCAACTTAGACCGTCTTCCAAGTGACACCGTTGTCTGCAGAGGAATGGATAACTGTGATGAAATTCTCAATTCCTGTAGTTTTATTAGATGAGACATTGAAGTTTGTTGCTAGAAAAATCGCAGATGGTGAGAGTCCTATATATAAGATGCATGGGATTGTGTTAATGTGGGCTGTCTTCTTTGGCCTGCTGTACGCTATGATGCTTTAAGAATATAATTATAATACATAAGCCCAAATTCATTATTCTAATTTCTAGTATAAAATGTTACTAAATATAAACAGAAACAAACAACCCACAATTATATACAACTAACGTAACGACTTTAACCCACATGAAGTTTGTTCCAAAATATTACTGACTTCAACCACCACCACCACCAATCCCCCCCTGGTATCACAGAATTGACTGGTGATACCATAAGATGGGCCGACTGACTCACTACTTTTTGGCTTTTGGCTTTGAACAAACAGCGTTAAACGATCAATACTTTCTATGAGCTAACGATTTACCTAACACACGTACCCACACCCAAAACATACAAGATATATTTGTGTTTGTATATTATTAAATTTTAGCAGGATTGCTTATTGTACATACAATGCTATATAAACGTAAGAGAGAGAGTTCCACACCGGTATATATTTCGATTACATTAGTTAGATTTTTTTCATATATCTTTTAAATGGGTTTGCCAAAAAAGCAAAAAATCGCTGGAGTCAAGAAATGAGACGGCTGTTTGTATAGAAAAATCAAATTTATTCTCAAAAATCCTAAAAGAAAACAATTATTCGTCTCTGTGTTTAGTAACTAAAATACTAAAATGTAGATTATTAAATTATGCATCAGAACAAAAGATTTTAATTGGTAAAAGTGCAAAAAACAAGTCAATATTTTTTTAATCCATCTATAAGTCAAGTCCTAAATATTTTTCCTATCGAATCTAATGTGTATGTTAATGTTTTAAAAAATTCAAATGTGCGTCCTAATGTGTTTCTTTTCAAAGAGTATTTTTTTAGCTTGAATTGTCGTCTACTTATGTAGTTAAACTCTCATACTTTTCAATGATTTTCAAAATCGTAATATTGGTTCATTCATTCCATTAATGTAAGGATCTATTTTTTGAGCACAAGATATTAGTAGAGTCCATAGTCTCGGCATACACACGGCATTCACTCCCAGACATCGCTTGGATGTCCTTAGTTTCAATTGGTATTGTATTGTATGTACATATATGAGCAAACAAATAGGAACAGGGCCGTTGGCGATCGTACATAAATGCATAATGCATCCCAGAGACACATGTTCTGTAATGTACCGAGAAAATAAAGATACAAAAAAAATGAAAAAATATATACAGTCAAATGTGGTGCAGGAATGCATCGAAATGTTCGAGGGTTTCATTGAAATGGAGAAGGCAAATTGTGTATTTATGTCAGGCTCAGATGTAAGGAATTAAGTTATCCTTGTAGCATTTTTAGCGAATACCTAATTAAATTAACATTATACATAATTTACTCTGTTATAAAATTAGAGACGCTGTGAATTGATTAAACAAAAATTACCTACACCTAACATTAATGAAAATAAATTATGCAGAACTAAACTAAAAGTGCTCTGTGCCCTAAGAATCCCAATCAAACGGAAGCGCACGGAGCAGTGCCGCCTGGCGGCAGTGCCAGCAATGGGGGCACATGGTATCACCTGGTGGCATCCATGTCCCTAATCAAATATAAGCTTCTGTTGGCTGCTGCAAGTTGTATTCCTAATTCCTGTTTTGCTTGCACGTGCACGTGACATTCGTTGGTGACCTCGCTCCGATCCGATACGATCCGGAGGATTTGGACCATCGATTGATGTTGATACCTGATAGATACCACCTACCAATACGCCATCTCTCAATGAACTATTGTTTTATTTTATACAGTCAATCCCAGATTTCATTAACTGGATCCCCGATTAGTTACCATAACACAAATTGAATCCATCCCTGCTTTAGAAAAGTACGTGCAGTTATTATATAATGTCCCCGGAGTGCGCCAATTTTGATGTGAATGTGTAGAAAAGAACCCTCGCTGTACATTATGGTCTATAGCATTATATAGCACTCAAAGGCATAAACGATAAAACACAGAATTGAAATTCAGCATGTAAGATATCTAAAACGTAAAAACGAAATAATAAAACAAGAAATCCGAAACTGGTCTGTGTACTCCCCCCTCACTAAGCATAAGAACATGTATCCAGATCCTTTGCCCCCCACCCCCCATAGGCTGTAAGTATGAACCCATGGAGTCTGCCAAATTCCAGAATATCGGATGTTGCAGACAGCTAATGCCGCTTAGCCAAGTCCCAAGAGAATCCCCATTAGTATTCCCCAATCCCCCAAGTCAGAGTTTTGGTTTGCTCTTGCGTTGGTTAACCCACTGAGCCCGAAAAAACTATTGGTATTAACCGATAATATTATTGATAATATAGTTCCTGATGTCGTCGTCGACAAGTGGTAACGGTTTGGAGAACACCATAACCGATACGAATGTGGAAAAGAATGTGAAGGAGGACAACATTTTCTGCCTTTATCATTCGTGTATTAATCGCTAAGCCAGCCCTGTTACTTGCAACTGCAACATTAAATCCAACATAAATCAATTTATTTGCCTTAGAAAGTAAAACATTAATGGAACTGTGGGTTAGTAAGAGAATGGATTTAAATAAATATATACCAACTATACAAACTTGAAACATGTGCTTTTTATTTTATACCATAGACGTGGTAAATGAATGTATTTCAGTTGCGATTTATTTAATAAATTAGATCAGTCTGATCAACTCCCGTTGGTTGGTCTATTCAGCATGTAAGAAATACAATAATCTTGACAACGAAATTAAAGCCGTTCTGTATGGGAAATGATTTGGCCATTTTATGATGGAGGTAAGGACCACAATGTGGCCGTTTTATCCGCCGACGTGGAGATGAATGAGAAGTCAGTTGGATGCCATCGGATGGTGATGGCCTTGTCCTTGTGCTCTGCCACCACCACCGAGGATAGCTCATTGGCCAGATCACCTTGGAGATCCGTCAGTTTGATGGTGTTGTCGTAGCTGCAAGTTAGCATGTAGTAGGCGGATGGGGAAAAGCGGACGCATCTGTGAATGAAATAAAGTATTACACATGATATCTCTTTATAAACTTTAGATTCTACCTTATTTCCGCTGTATGAGGATAAAATCGTTGTATGGGGCGATTGCCTCGTATGTCGTACAAAGTGCAGGAGCTATCTGCATGTCCTGAAACTAAAAGCCTGCCCGTTGGATCCACACAGACTGCAGTCACCGCCGAGTTCTCCAAGCCTCCGTCTTTGCGCTCATGATCCAAGGTGTTGACCGAAACATTGACACGCAGATCCCAAAAGCGTATCGTTTGATCCTGTCATTAATTAAACAATATAATGAGAGCCTAGAATACCCTATCGTAGACTCACCTGAGATCCGGAAACAAACATTGAATTATTCCAGCTATATAGGGACAATATATGGCCAGTGTGCCCACTGAAGGCCTGAAAGGGAGTGGCAGTTCCGCAGTCTGTTATATAGATTTTGCAGTCTCCGGCACCGCCACTGGCCAAAAGCCGGGACTTGGTGGACGAGTCGTCCAGGAAGCACATATCCCGCACAGTGCCATCGTGCATGTTGAGCTCCATTTCGTGGCCCACCAGCTGGTTGGTCTCATTGTTGAATCTCATGTATTTTATGGTTTTGTCATTCGATCCGGTGGCAATAAGTTCTCCATCCCGGGACCAGCAAGTACAGTATATGGAGCCTCTATGGTGCTTTGTCCGCTTGCAGAGCACTGACGGAGGGTAGGCGGTCGTTTGCTGGCCATTTCTTTATAAAAAATAGGTTTACATCTCTTAAAGTTATATATTTTACTCATTTATACCTTATCTTGTTCAGTTGGGGATATTGGCAGATGCGGAATGTCTTGGAGTTGGAGCCCACTGCGTACAACTTTCCATTTGGATGAAAGTCAACACTCCGTATCGCCTGGGAGTCGGACAACGTTGTAACTGCCTCAAAGTGGGGTCTTTCTACATCGCCCTGTGGCAGAGAAAATATTTGATATTATATTGGGATCAACCCAAATGCATATATTTAACACGACACATTATTGGTGGTATTCTTTTGTTTGGCTGTTACCGCTGGATACCAAAAAAAAAGTTGCTTGCGTGTTCAAAATAAACACAAATATATTCAATCCGCCAAATGGCTAACCAACCTTTCTAAATTCCAAGTCTCTGGCTTCCGAATTCATGAATGGAGTATTTTTGCAGTTTCTTCAGAGTCTTTTAAGCAATTTGAGTATTTTCAGGATCGGTGAACAAATCTATTTTGTCCACGGAATTTCTTAGCCATCGAGGGTAATAACTGGTCCAAGTTCCCACGGTTCGAATAACAAAACTTGGGAGAAACGACCCCGGGCAGTGTTGAAAAATCTTACAGATACATTGGTATCTACACAATTCTACTGTAGAGATATCACTAGGCGCTGTAAAATGTCGTGTAAATAAAGCTTTGATCCATGACCACCATGTAACCCTCCATTGAAAAAGACCATTGTTTATTGTTACAATTTTTTGATATTTTATTTACGTAAAAATAAAATATTTGGACATATGATTGAATATAACAAATTAATAACCTTCTTTTAAAAATTTGATTGATTCTTAAACTTGTCTAGTGTTGCGAACTCTTATAAAACTGAGCGATTAATGCTCTTAAGAGTAAATTGTTATAACTTCACGGCCTCCTCCACGAACCATTAACACTTTTTCAAGGCCCTCTGTTAATACCTCCAGAAATTCCATATCTGAAAATGATGAAGAGTTATAAAATATGTAGATGGAGAATCGAATAGAATCTTACAATTGCTTTCACGCTCCGCTCTCACTTCCCTAGGAGGACCCGGTAGATTCATAATAACCAACTGGGCGTCCTGTGACTTTTCTACAATAACTTCATTTAGTTTTATTGCTGTGTGCATGCGACGAACATTGAACTCATCCCTGTTTAAAAAATTATTTAATTAGTTGAAAAAATTAGTAAATATTTTGATGTATCTTACGGTTTCACACTGGACTTTAAGTCTCCGTCGGCTTTCTCTGTTGAATCATCCTTGCTAGAAGTAGTTTCAGGTGCGTCCTCTTGTTCGGGACCATCCAAATCAATTGAGTTACGTTTCTCATCGTTTTGAGAATCCTAGGGATTTAGATCAGTCCAGTATTAGATCAAATTCATGCAAATTTTAATTGGAATGACAAGTGCCGTCGCATTGAAATAAAAATTCATAATTTCATGTAAAATCAAGAATGATAATAAGCATAAATTATCATTTAAATAATAAATCAAGTTTTTGACTATCTTCTAGTTTTATGTTTCGTTTAAATAAAGAAATGTTTAGTCTCAGGCTTACATTTCATGAGGTTGTTGATCTCACTTAATAATAACTACTTATGTGTTATATCGAGAGATTAGAGACAATGATATATACAAAAGTCGAGAAAGGCAGTACATACGTGATTTTGTATTTCTTCTATAGTTGGATCGGCGAAGCGAACTTTAGACGCCGTTTTGGTGGCGTCATAATGGTGGTCTACAATTGTTTGAACCTGAAAATGTTACCATGACGAGTATGAGAAAAGTAGGTTGCAGAGGTGCACAGAGGCCAATATCAGAGGAGGGATTAACTATAATCTCGGGATGCATACCACAAAGCATTTACATATATTTTATAACTTTTTTTCTCTTATAATAATATTTCTAAAGGATTGCACATTTAATATTCTCTCAGCAGTGCTTTGGATATATAAAAAGAAAAGCTCAAAGTATTCAATTTTAATTAACGAAGTTATCTATTTATAGACGGGTTTAAATAATAATTATTGAAATATTTTAAAGGTCCCTGAATCTCTGCTGATAAAGGCTACTGCTAAAGCAAAATCCAATTGGTGGTTGGAGAATAATTTACATTTTGATAGAGTTATAATAGATTTGCGGAAGTGAGAATTAGCAACAAACATACATAGACACAACACATAGAGGTTTATGATATGAAGATGATCGGAACAGAGACACATGCTCTCTAAGGATTCAATGCAATGATGAGAGACACGAGGGCTGATTTCATAGTTATAGTAGTATGTTCGAGCAATGAAGAGGTTGTATCTTGATATCAATATGCATAGTTCGGTTTATACTCTTTACCAAAGACATTTTATTATCACTGGATGTTTCCTTAAAGTCCATTATAGTCTGACCCTTTTGATTTTCAAATATATATAAAGTGTAAAGTTTTAATTTGGATCTCAGATAGTTGTATGATTAGTTGGAAGTATATGAAAACCAAAGCTCAAATCATTTCCTCTCAACAATCAAACCAATAACTTCAAAACGAACAAATAATCGTAAGAACTATGCTAATCAAGATTTAAATAAATCAAAATTCAAAAGTGCATTATGGCAGTTTCCAAACAAAAAACAATGGGTTGATATTCGTATGAGCCTCTTCACGTTAAAACGAAGTACAGATGCAGATCAAATGTTGTGAATAGTAGATTCTGTCAGAGGAAAGGATAACCACTTACCACTTTGGAGTTTTCTTTTTTATTTAAACCTAATGCTCTCAGCATCTGATTACGCTGTTCCATCATAAGTGTCCGCTCATAGGTATAGGCAGAAATGTCGCTGTTATTCTGAAAATTTTCCAATATTTTTAGAACCGTTTACATATATGTTTTTATGACTTTTGACATACCATCTCAACCACTTCGACATCTGCCTCGATTCGCAGATGGTACAGGAATGTCTTCAAATCTTTCTTCATTTGAATCGAGTTGTCCTCGATTTGAGCAACAGTGAAGATCCTCAGCTTGCAGTTGCGCCAAGTGCGATGTTGCTTCAGCAAGAACGGCAGCAACATGAGCAGGCCGCCGTCATGGACAATCCACCAGATGTCGATGTTGCCACCAATCTGTAGAGATCCATACAGTTAATATTTGTAACCTTAGAAAAGATTCTTTAAATACTGCCTTGTGGTTCGATTCTGGATAGAAGTTAATGCCCTTGGGCACCAGGAGAGCCATGTGGCAGGCGGCCACCGTGCGAACTGTCTGGATGAAAGTCTTCCAGCTGTTGCGCCCCTCCTGCCGCCAGCTATAGGGCCATCCCACGATGACAGTGTTTGGCTTCATGCCTCCCAGTCCAATGGTCTGGACACTGCAATTGACATATTATTTGAATTAAAGTATAAAGTCGTATATCTCTAACATTAAACTTACACTGAACTGAGGCCTTCGCCTATTTGTTGGGCGACCAGGACATCGCAGAATCCCTTCACCTTCTCGTCGGTCATGTATTTGCGCAGCGTGGACTTAGCATCCACTGCTTTGTTAGCTATCTTCGTGTGGTCGCCCTTTATCACAGACACACAAATCGTCAGTCCCTTGCCAGCTTTCAGCTGGGTGGCAAAGGAGAATATCTTCCTATACTTTGGCAAGAGGTTATCATTGAGCTTTGAAAGCACCAAAATTTGGGGACGCCAATTTTTCGTATGCGGTGGGCCTTCCTCCAGACGAAGGAGCGAGTACCTGGCGGCGGTGAGGGCCATTCCACGAATGCCATCACCCCACTCCTTTTCGGCACTGAAATTTTAAAGGTGGATACTTTTAAGACCAGTTATCATTCATACTAAAAAAATGCTAGAAACTTACCCTCGGTACTCAATGTATTTGTAAATAATAATGGCCATTCCCATAGCAATCAGTGCGAAATACCAGGATGTCATGATCATGACTGATATGCACAGAGTCAGGCCGATCAGGGACAAGCTCCAGTGGTAGAACTTGAACCGAGGTCTCCAATTGGGAGTCCTCAGCAGGGTTTGTACGGCGCAAGCCAGGTTAACAAAACCGTAGCACATGAGGAAGAACATGGAGAGTAAAGGCGCCAACAAGTCGACATTACCTACAAGTTTTGGGATTAGAACTTTGGCTATCTTGAAAGACACATCCATCCATTTACTTACCCAGGAGAATACCGCACTGGCAAATGACAATGGTCAGGAGCAGGGCACGGGTGGGTTCACCACGGCTCGAGGACTTGGCGAATGGAGCCAGGAAGGGAATAATCTCGTCCCTGGCAATGGCCTGAAGTAGACGCGGTGCGCCCGTTAAACTCTGAAGTCCAGCTCCAAGGGTGGACAGGAAAGAGCCAATCAGAATGACCCACTGGTTGGGCCAGGCAATATTGGCCACCACCAATTTTCCACCAATGGATTGACCGAATCTGTAGTTAATAAAGTATATATCACCCATTCCATGAATAATAGTCATCGATACTCACTTATCTCTCAGCAGGAGATTATCCACTGTGCCGGCAAAGAACATGACGCTAGATAAGTAAACCGTACTCGTGGTCAGAATAGCACATATCGTTCCGATGGGTATACTCTTTTGAGCGTCAGCCAAGTCTCCAGAACGGTTAGATCCAGCCATGATACCTATATAATATCAAACTCCATTAATTTCCAAGAAAATCATAAATCTTAGACTGAGACGAACCTGTTACCGATGGGAAGAAAATGCCAATGAGCAGGGTGAACGATGTGGTAATATCGGCCATGATCTGGTTGTATGACTGGCCACTGGTGTTCTCAATATCAGTTGGATTCTTGCCGTAGGATATAAACTGGCCCTTCTCCAAAAACGAAGGGAAAATGTTGTCATAGAAAACGCCACTGGACAGTCCCTTGATGCCCTTCACCCTAGTAACGTTGTTTGCTAATGAAAGAAATTAATAAGACCCTTAGTTAGTCACTCAAAGAACTCTAAAATAAAACTTACCTAAGTAGTAGTCATCGCATTTTCCACCCGGGCAATAAATGTCCACCATGAATGGATCGCCCTTTGTGCAATTGTCCAGTGGGATGTCCTTCAAAAGTCGATTTCCCAGAACACACATGCTATGCAATCAAGTCAAGTGTGAGCCGTTAATCTTCAATGAATGTCTATATAACTTACTATAGCTTTTCGTTGCCATGGATATTGTCAAATATTCCCACATAGACCGCTATTATCGACAGAATGACGCAGGCCAGTGCCACTGTTGCGAACTTGTTGACAAATTTCACACCCACGAACACAATGAGTCCTTTACGTTTTAGTGGCAAACATTAAAAATTTATACTTTGCATGTGGCTTTTAACTTTTACTTACCCATAAAAATGAGCAATATTGTGCCGTAGACGCGGAAATTGTTATACATCGCCTCAGCATCCTTGGTGAAATCCCCAAAGATTGATGCCCACGGCGCCATGTATGTCTGAGGAGGTGTAATGAATATTAAATATTTTTCAAGCCTCAATTATGAAGTAGGGATGTCT